ATCTCTGATTTCCTCGCCAAAAGCACCGTCTGGCCCTCCACTGATCTTCATTGTGCCGTTGGCCCCATCGAAGACGATGCGATGTTTATTATCTTCTTCATCACGGCCCTCACAATGTGCTTTCTCTTCTTCACACAAAACCTCAAATCTCTGATTTCCTCGCCAAAAGCACCGTCTGGCCCTCCATTGATCTTCATTGTACCGTTGTCCCCATCGAAGACGATGTGATGTTCGTCGTCGTCTTTTTCATCGCTGTCCTCGTCGGCAATCTGGGTCCGGCCATGGTACATACTCGACACTTTTGCCTTGCCATTGGGAAGAAAGTTGACTTTGTAGCCCAGCACGCTGGCAATGACATCGCGAAACTCGGCGGCTTTCTGTGTCCATATCTCGCGCTGACGTCTCATCCGTTTCTCCTTTTCCGCGACAATCATCTCCATGTCTTTGAGGTCGAGCTTGAGGGCGTCCACGGTGCTAACAGGAGCAAACTTGACGCCGTGTAGGTCTTCATCAAGCAATTGCGCTAACAGGCCTGCATTCTCTTCCTTGAGTGTCTGCAAAGTGGTCATCTTGATCGTCTCAGCCTGTGCCGTAGGATTATTCCGCAGCTCCAATATGCAAGGCTTTGAGAAGAAGAGGAGGATATTTACTTTGGATCAACCTCTCAACGCGGCCTTGATACATTACCGCTTCTGAACCCTGACCCTTTTCAAAAGATGAGAATTTCCGTCATCTGTAGTACTCGTCTTTGAGTTTACTCGATATCTCTTCAATAATTGCAGCTTTTCTCTGCTAATGGCCACGGTTGGTCTTTGACAAGCCGTCCTACTAATTTAGACATGGGGCAATTTTTCCTAGAATCTCTGGATATAGCATCGTCAAGGTTCGATACGTGTCCGTTTCCGGGACAAAATAGGGAGCCTTGATGGTATCGCTGTTTGTAACGAGATACCACTAATCTGTGTAAGATTAACACTTGCTCGGGTGTCCCAGGTTGTGGGTTCCGATCGATCAGGGTTGCTTTCCAGCTGATTTTCCATTTGCTTATCAGTCTGTTCATGCGTCGAGCCTGATAGTGTTGTGCTCTTTTCCTGTTCTAGCCGCCGAATGGTTTCTCGGAGCTTGCTTGTCTCTTGTTCATGTTTGCGTTGTGATGCCATGAGACTTTCCTTGGCTTCACGCTCAGCTTCAGTCTTATTCTTGACTTCGTGCTTGAGCTCAGAATTTCTCTGCTCCAATTCGGCAATCCTTTGCTGCCATACTTCACCCGTTGTCTGAGTGTCCGCCGGGAATTCTCCTTCTCCCTTGTCAGAGGAAACTTGTGCTGTACGGTTCAGCTCTCCATTCGACTTTGCCAGATCTAGTCGTGATCGCGCTAATTCTGTCATTGTTGCGGAGAGATTTTCTTGCACTCGGTCCAGTTCTTCACGCCCGCGGTCCAGTTCTTCATTCAGTTCCCGGTTGCGGTGCGATGTAGCTGTACGAGCCTGTTCTGCGACTGCAAGAGCCTGTTGTGTGGCTGCAAGAGCTTGCTTTGTATCTGCTAATCGTAAGCTCAATGTTTCTTGTCTGTCGATACTGATCTTTAGTGCCTCGACATGGGCACCTGCACCTAGTATTGTAGGAGCAAAAAAAGGATCATCCTCGTCCTTGTCGAAGGAGGACAAAAGTTGGGTAAGGACGTCGAGCAGTGCATCTAGACGTTGCTTGCAAGTGCCTAGAACGTCTGCAATGTTTTCATCATCCATGTCGGTGTCAACCAGATTGGTTTGAATATTCCGCTTAGACTTATGTACGCAGGAGGGTCCTGGTTTTGGTGAGTGAAATAATAGACTATTGCTACAGTGTCATTTAAATCGTCATTTGAACTCAAGACCGCGCAGGTTGGCTGTGACTATTTTATTAGGACAAAATCTTGATAGACTCACCACACTCACCACACTCACGCCAATTTCCATGATTTAACGTCATGGAGCGAGAAACGATGGCCTCAGAGCCTTCTCATTCAAGACATTCGTCTTCTGATCAAACCAAAACAGAAAAGATAGCCTCTCTGCAGGAAGAACTGCTGAAGGTTCTAGACAACGTGAAAGTCAAATTTGGCCTCAACGCTAAAGGTCGAGAAGCCTTCAACAAAGAGCTTGACCAGACAATACGAAATGCAATCCGTCATACAACACATCATCAAGAGGCTAAAGCTGAAGCGGTAAGGACGCACGAGCAGTTATGGTCTCAGTTAGCATCCTTGAACGAGCGATTCTCAACTCTTACGCTAGATTTTGGCCTTGACACATCCGAGGACGACCGAGAAAACGAAATAATTCTACGGGAAAGCGTCCTCCAACTCGTCAGAGATATTCTGTCAACGCATCCAGAAATAATAGCCGGGTTGCAGGTAGAAATGGCCGAAATCAGTGCACCGGTAGCCGAGGAGCTCGATAGGCTACGAAGATCAATCCGGCAACTTGACTCGGTTTCCCAATCCCTGGGCGAAAATCTTGCAAAGTTCAGCAAAGAACATTCGAGTTTTGCTGAAACTATGAAGTCGGCATCGACTGCCTTGAATATGGCAATGTTCCCTGAGGAAAGAGAGCATGAGCAAGCCTGGAGCAGTCCTCGAGACGCAGAAGAGGAATGCATTTCCTTGAGAGATGAGCTTAAAAAGCTCAAAAGCGAAGCCGAAAGAGAAAAGGAAGCACACAAACAGACTCGAAATGAACTTGGATCCCTTAGGGAACAGGTGTCAATCGAACCTGACTCTGTTAGAGAACAGAGATCGAAGGAACTCGACTCGCTTAGAGGTCAACTTGAGTCTGAGAGAGCTGCACATAAGCAGACACTTGCTAAACTGAAAGCCTATAGAGAACAACCACGTGCTGGGGGAGCTGCAGTAGAGCGATCACAATATAGGCCGATGGATCAACCATTACGAACTCGGCATATAACTAGGACTGAGACTGAGGCCAAACTCGAAAAGGAGGCCGTCGACGTTCTTTCTACAGTGAGTCATCAACCCACCAACACACGGAGTTTGAAGAGAATTAGAAGCTCTTCACCGGATGACTCAAATGCAAACAAGAGAGTATCTGCTCCTGGTACCGGCAATTTAGGAGGTAAGGTGACTTCGTCGCTTGACCGTGTCCTCCAGGGTGTATCATACCTGAGGAGACCATCTCAAGAGTTATTCTACGGCGGCTCTCAGCGCTTGAGGATTGAAGGACTATTCGACGAAGGTCTAGAGGTACTGTCACTAACACAGACACTCTTCCGTCTCATGTCCCATCTCGACTCTGCTACTGAGAAACTGTCTTTAAAAGATACCATTTGGTTAGCTACTGCTATCACCAAATGCAATTTACAGGAGATGGAACTCCCTGTTCTCATGACTCTGTCATTTTTGATCATCACCGTTCAAGAAAATCACTTTGAGGCTGATTTCATGAATGAGATAGGTATACTTTACTGTATCTGTGCCATACTTACAATGGTTCAGGGCCCTCAGAGAAGAGCCGCCTTCATTGATGACCATGCTAGAATCTTCTCTAGGCTGGCTCCAGACTCTATTTTAGCCCAGCAGCTGCTAAGTCTCATAGAAGGTCAAGAAGATAACCTACAATATGAACTTGGCTCTCGGATTAAAGCAAAAGCTGATGCCAATGATGTAGGTATCACGGTCGGCAACTACCATTTACAAATGGAGAGAGACTGTGGAATCATTGTTGCTGCGCCTCAGGGATCCGGTGGGCAAACAAGAGTTGGCGTACTGAAGCCTTCACAAATTCGGCTAGATTTTGACGCTGCGTCCCGAGACGAAATTCTGATACTTAGCTGTATGGAAGCTCCTATCATCGGGACGTGGAGGGCAGCCTGGCCGTTAGAAGCGAGAGTCTACCGGACTTTTAAAAGAGCAGCAAAGGACCTTTAAGGGATACTATTGTTGCTTTCTGTAAGTGATATATGACTATATGACTGCATTTGATGACTGCACCAGGATGAGCACAGTATCCTGTGACTATGACGAAGTTCAACGTTGCACAGACAAATGAAAAGGCAATGGTACACCGCGACGCGCACCAGGGCAAGGAACCTTGGCTACGTGAGCACCAGGGCAAGGAGCCCGCATGAAAGGCAAGGAGCCTCCCCAGAGTGGAAGGTCCTCAGCACTCTGCAGTCACCAGAAAGAAGCCGCCGAGACAGGTGGATGGTGATCGTCGGATCACAGAAGACAAGTCAACTGCTGACTCAATCAGACAAACAAGGCCGAATCAGTACGGCACTCTAGACTGCAGTTCGAGTTCAAGTCTCAAGTATGGATAAATTGAGCACTAGAATGAGATCAGGGAGTATCTAGGGGAGAGAGCGTTCGGGATAGAAAGAATCCTTGATGGTGTGGGTACGTGCACACGAGAGGACGTTGCACCGGGGGGAAACCTGAACCACCAGTGTTGTGTCGCTATATGAGGGTACTCGGATGCAGAAGATACTGTCATATTGACGAGGGATTACTTTTGAGCAAGCAAAGAATCATGATCCCAGTTCAACAAGCCCTTTGAGAATGAAAGTGACCGAGCCGAATGTGTAGTAGAGACCGTAGATGTATCAAAGACTCCTCCATGCTGAGGCCGTTGTACTGCGAAGTTCTTAACGAGATCTTAGGTTGATGTTGCAGATTGTTTGCAGGTGTCATCTCACAGGTTCTCTGATTGTTCTTGGGTTCACAAGTGTATGATCGTCATTGGTAGTCACAGTAATGGCAATCTTGACTTATTGTAGAATCGTCAATCGTCCAAATGGCCATCGCAAGTATACTTCAAACGCTACGCAATTGACGTCTGCTCGTTATTCTCCACGTACAAGGAGGCACAGGTGGTCGAAACCGAGAAACGTTATACCAGCGGCTGTGATGTGGCTGTAGTCTACCCGCGTAGACTTCTGAACCTTCGGAGACTGGCAGCACAAACGCAGGGAGAGATGAAGACCATATTATCTCTACCGTAGCACATCCTGGCTTTTGAAAATGGACCTGTTTGTCAAGCTTCGAGGAGTTCCCATTCCTGTCTGGTGAGGAAAAGGCGGCTAGACATTGCGCACCGAATTGAAATCTTCTTGGAAAAGGCACTCACAACGAGGCGAATCATCGTTGCTAGACATAGCTCTGGAAACAAATGAAGTCAGCCTGCCGTTTACTCTAACTTGTGTACTGATGACCGGACAGCTCAAGCATTCAGCGATAGCCTCCGGGAGTTAAGCCCTTGACGAAGGACGATGGGGACATTACGTGCTACAGCACAGGTCACAGCAGAAGCAACCCTGGCGCTGGAAAGAAGAACCATCCAAGATCTTGCAGCCCAGGGAGCTTTGCCAGTGAAAAAGGCAATCCGGCGGGGGTGTCTTGACGTCCATGGGGTATCGATTGATTCAGTCAACCCACAACACTGACTTCATCCCCTCCGGAACCTCCAGGTCTTGTGCGGGTCTTCGAGAAGGCGGACAATTGGAAAGTGGGTTCCAATCCCGCAGACGACGGTCAGAATACCATCCACAAGGAAGATCCAGGGCCAGTTAACGTGCCCCAGATACGATTCATCTTCAACAGCACGAATGAAACCTAGGATGCCAACAATGAGGAGCAGGGGGCCGTGGAAGACTCTCCCTATATGCAAGTATACTTGCAAGTGTCAGTGATTAAGACCCCAGAAGAGAAAATTCAGCATGGGTGAGGTAGACGGCCACGTCTGTTTTTCTGCCAGGCCGTTTCATTGGTGGCATACAACAGTGCCGCACAGGTATAGAGGGGGGTTGGATGCAGTTACGGGCCCAAGTCATTGGCGACTAACTAGTGGGATGAGAAGGTGAGACTGCGTTGGATGTCCTTCGACTGCGAGATGGAACAATATAGTTCAAAGACTTACCTCAGACGTGAGAACAACTTTTGCCCGTCGCGGTCAACAAGAGTGTGTTCCGACTGCGTCGACATCACTGTCATTCCGATGCTATTATGTTGGTCAGGACACAAATCAGATGTAGCAAATAGGCTATTGCATCTGCGGCTCTAGGCCTAATGATTTGACAGATCCATGGTCTGAGGCTCTGTGCTAGCGCGAAGTTAGGTGCTGGCCCGCGAAATCGCAGCAAAAGCCCACAGGTGGAGCTACGACTCTCTCACAGTGTACCTGTAGTCAAGTCGAGATCGGTCAGAGTCGAATTACTTACCTGCCCTTGATTGCCTAAGCCAAATGCCCCGAGGCTTCTTGCTTAGTCCACTATCACAGTGACTCCCCGGCGGAAGGAGGCTAGGATCCGAGGAAATGGGAAGGAGGGAAGGAGATTTTGGTGCCTGAGTCCGCCTTTGTACCTGGCCTGACCTCCTCTTCCCTGATGTGTGTAAAGAATTCCAATCTCTTAATACGGCCAATCCCCTTAGACATGAAAGGCGGATACGTATCACCATAATGAGGTCGAGGGGCAGAATGAGGTCGAGGGCGAAAAGGGAGAATGTTATATGGTTATCGAGCCATACAAAATATGTATGTTTAGTATACCAATCTCTTCCTGGTAATGTCCTCCTCTTCCAGATCATGTCCTCCTCTTCTTGATAATGTAAATAGGTCTGCAATATTGAGGTTCTATCACAGGGATAGACGCGAAGCGAGGAAGTATGGGAAGCTTGGATCCTGTTCGCAGACTCGAGGCGGGGGGAGGAAGGCCGGAGGATAGAAGCTGTGAGCCTGTGGTGACCTATGCACTTGGCTTGTCCTCCTCTTCCCAGAATGTTTTCAAATGTCCAATCTCTTCCAATGGCCCAAGTTCAAAGATCATCACAGCGTATAGCTTCGAAGGGGTGAAGGTTGTTGGGGGAGTGGCTTGAATTTCCAGAGAGCGTATTCAGAATCGACAGACAGGCTATGACTGCGATGAGAGAGGGAAAACGGTTGAATATGATGATGCTGTTGTCGTCGTGTCAATGTTCTGAACATGAGGGTACTCGTTCACGGCACAGAGGTATGGAATTCGCGTTCAATCGGCACCCGTGAGATGTTCGAGTTCTAGCAAAGGTGTGATGGGAATTGAAGTGTCAGGCTTGCACCAGTCGAAGGATCACGTACCATCAGATAAACTGTTGACTCTTCGCTCTCGTGGTCCGTTGTCTGCCCGGCACAAAGAAATATAATGGAATGTCACTTGACAAAGCCATTGTTTCTTTATCCTCTCGATCAAGGCACAATAACTGCGGACCCGGTGTAGGGCCTTGCGTACTACTCTCTACACTACAGTTACCACATGGATCTACACAATGGACACAAAGGGAGAAGCTTCCGTACAAGGGGTTTCTCATTCAAACATCTACCTCGTACATAGACACAGACATACACATTGGAATGTCCCGGGGGATCGTGTCCTTGCCGGCATTCCTGTCGCACGAGATGGTATTACCCACTACCACTCTTTTGCCAATAACCTCGCGGTCAGCTGAGGGATTTCAAGACTCATTCTTCGAGTCATTTTCCGGCTCTGCCACTTTCTTGATCACTTCAAGCAAGAAGTATTCCGGCCAAGTAAAGCGCGGCAGTTGCGCTCTTGGTTGACTCTCGTCTGGGAGGAAAGCACCCTGGATTCCTGCGATCACTTCGGGATCCTCCATGCAGCTAGAGCTCAACCAGCTTAGAAATGGCTCGGAAACACCCTCGATGCTGAAGCATTTGGAGAGGTGGTCGGCCATATTTCTCTCGAAATCGTCAAAGGCTTTTTGGAGTGCCTGTTGCAGAGCTGTGAAGTTTTTCATACCTCTCTCCGTGTCATCGCCTAGTTCATTGCACTGAATCTTGATCACGACAATCAGCTGGTCGACTTCGCCGATCCAACGAGTCGGAAGTTTCTTGATTGCGTTCAAGAATTCCCTCGTCTTGGCTACGATTCTGTCCTTTTCCTCTGACTTTGATTCGTTGGCCTTCAAGACGGTCGCAAACTGTGAAGCCTTTTCATTCAGGTCTTCCAATGTTTTCCCAATGAAGTCTTCATACTTTCGGATGACGACTCGATTCAGTACAAATTCACTGAAGACGTGATCCATCAAGCCTTTGATGTGAACATCTGCCTCTTCATCCGATCGAGGCATTATCTGAGGGTGGCGCCGATCCTGTGTTGTCGTCGCAGCCCCTGCCCCTCCGAAGTCATCATCGTCGGCCCAGTCCCCAAGTTCCTCTTCCTCTGGTTCCTCTTGACCGGAGGATCGAACAAACTCTTCGAACCTAGGCTCGCCATGCTGGCCGCGGGTGCGCTCGTACTGTAGATCGAGCTTTCTTGGCGGAGGTGGCTGAAACGCCTTTTCTTTGCGCTCCTCGATGCGAGAGCAGATCACCACCTTGACTTTGTTTGGCAGATCGCCAAAAGATTTCTTCCTCGCTGGCGACCAATGCGGCATGTAGATCTTGTAGAGATCAAAGACTTCTTGTCGAGCCGCGAGAAGAACATTGAGTGTCCTCGCGCTTCCACCTTTCTCATGTTGTTTGATGGCAGCGTCGAGGTTTCCTCGTAAGGTCTCACTGTACCTAAGTTCTTCCATGGGAAGCATGGGAGCCAATGCTTTGTACCATGCCGGACTGAGATCTCCCTTGTTCTTCTCAGTGTGGTTTGGGTTTGGTAAGCTAGAATGGTGTGTCACGCCACCATAGCCTTCGTTGGGATCAGCGGCGTTCGTAGCATCGCTGGATATCTTCTTTTCTGATTTCGGTTCAGGGTTCGGCAATACTTTCTCTTTTGCCACCTTTGAATCTGCTGGAGGTTCCTTGCGAGCCTCTGGTTCTCGAACCGGAGCAGAGAGTGGCTCCTGTATAGCTGCAAAGGGTAACCACTCTCGAACTGTCTTGAGATCGAATTTAGTGGGTCTCAGACCCCGGGAAAATGCGTACTCCGTATCGATCGAGTACTTGAGGCCCCATTTTGCCTTTGCAAGTCCCCATTCAAACCCAGTCTGCGCTATGGGTTTCGGTAGATCCGGGTGCATGGGGTCTGCCTTTGGGTACAAATCCGGCCGGTAATAGTGTCTCGGAAATGGTACCCAGTCGTACTCACGAGGCCACGGGCGGAAGTGTGTGCGGTGACTATGCTGCAATGGCGGATTGTCGGGAAAGTCGCGCCATTCTCCCTTTCCACACTCATTGACCGTGTGCCCTCTACCACCGCACTGTGTGCAGTGGAGTTCTTTACTTCCGCTACCGCAAGGCTTGAAAGCTTCGTAATAGCCCTTGCCATGGTAGCATGTGGGGTGTGGCAGTCGGCACTCTTTGCAAACTGTACCCGGGAATACCTTATCGCGTATTATGCCCTTCATGCGCACGTCGAAAGGTATTTTGTCGAGCTGGTGGCTTTCTTTCAGTGCTCGAATAACCTCCGCTGGAGCTGCCTGGCGCGTAGCAGCGAACGACATCAACGGCGCCACGACCGCACCCGGGGGCGCGGCTGTAGCCCGCGAGGGCGGTGCTGCTGGACGGGAGGCCATGGTGGAGTATTTCTGAACTCCCACTTGCTCACTCTGCAGTTTGGTGCCCTTTCTGACTTGCTTGGCTCCCGGTTTTCTTGCTCGGACCTGGAACTGGCGCCAGCTGTCGATAGCTAGGCGTTGCAATTGCAGGCGTAGGGCCTGGTAGAGCCGGGTAACTCGACGACACAGGACTTCTGGTCGGTGCAGACGACGGCCGGCTGTGGTCTCGTCGTTCTACATCGCGACGGGACCCCTCCAAGATTCTCTCTCTTTCTTCAAGAGCGCGAGCAACGATCGTCTGAACCATTGCTTCAGATCGCGAATCCAATGTGAACGTCGATTCGGAACGTTCATCAGACCGCACTGAGGTCACTCGCTCCGCTTCTGGTGCATGATGGGATGAATGGCCATCGTCAGATGCGCCATACAAATCATCCGTTTCTGACTCCATGTCACGGCTTCGCGGGTTTCTGTCGGATCTTAGGACCGTACTCAAGACTTGCTGTTGAGTACATCCTGGACCGCGCATTTCCCCGCCGTTTATCTGCCCGGACCCTGTAGATAGTGAGTAAGTGAACTCCGAATACAGAAACGGGCGCAGAGGATACTTACCTTCAGCGGGTGCACGGGATTCGGAACCAGTATCAGGTGCTTGTTCCTGATACTGGCGGTAGCCTCCAAGCGATTGCTTTGCTTGTTGGCTACAAGCTGCATCCAGCGTACCGGGTAGCAGAGCACTACGGGCCGCTACCTCCTGTCTGGGTAGCGGTGTAGTGCTTGCTGCGCCCGGGCTGGGTAGCAGTGGATCAGGCTCAGGAAGCAGCTTCGCTGCCCCATGGCATTGCCAACAAGGAGACCAGTCAAATGGTCGTTGAAAATTACAGTGTCCGCAATAAGCGTAATTCATTTTATTGGACGCACCCTGTAAGATGATGGTTGTGGTGGGAGAGAGGAGGAGGAGGAGGAAAGGTATCAGAGGATATCAATTTGGGTATGTCGCGGTTCTGCACATGGCTTGGCGAGAGTCACTGCCCGCCAGGTAACTGTACTATTTGAGACTACATAACACGAAGTAACTATCAACATCATCTCCTTCAATTTCAGGATTCCAACGCGCTCGGTTATCGACCGTGGTTCTTGGGCGCGCAAGGCTGCGTTGATTCAGGGCGCGCCAAGACCGCTCAGGTCACCGTACTCCCCATGAAGGCTGTAGATAAAGTTGAAGCAGAGATCAGTAAGGTAGTCACCGAGGGCTTGGGGGTGGCTCGGAGAAATGTGCCAGACCATAGCACGATCCTGGGGCAAAGGATGCCTACGATGATCAAGTTGACGAGAGAGCATTCCAGGGTTTGTAGAACAGGGATCCTGATCGTTCTTGGACGCCCTACTCAGGCACTCACTTTCTGCTACTCCCCAGCACAACCTCTTGTTTATATCGCACTATGAACTTCATACCGCCACGCCATGTTAGTAGTGTTCGGGTCTAACCCGACGTGACATACTCCCACTTGCAGAGAGGTGATCACAACCCACCCAGGACAGCATGCATGATTCCTGGTGAGAATGCTCTCCCTCAATACTCCATGATCCCGTCCTAAACCTTGATTCATCCGCGCATGAAGACCAGAATTCGAACTACGGTGTAGAGTGTTATACTAAGTTGGCATATCCATATGTATGAGTCAGTAGTTGACTCGTCTTCCGCGATCCGGCGACCACTATTCTCACTTGTCAAGGCGATTTCTTTCTAGTGATTGTAGAGTCAGGGAGTCCTTACCCCCTATTCTGGCTCCTCACTCTCCACATGCGCAGCCTCTTCTCCCTGCGCGTGTAAAACTCCTTCGTAGTTGCATTGCGTTGTACTTATTTTAGGTGCACTTACATTATTCGCCCAAAACTGCTGCGATCATGGACGCTGCTTAACTGTTCCAGCGGCTGTTGGCATTGTCTCGCTGTAGCCCAAGTATAAGGCTAGGTCGAGGACACTTTGTTCGAATCGAGATCGATATGCTCCTGGTCATGCAGAGCCAGAGAAGCTTCGATAAAGCTGATGCTGGTCATCGACGAGGCTCGTATTCGTCTTTCATCAGGGTGTAGCTGTCAATGAATATTTAGTTCAGCTTGTGTTTGCTCCTGTATAGTTCTCTCTGGTGAATGTAATTCCTTTAAGCACATTAATGTCTGTGTGTTTCTTCTTCTCTTTCTGTATCTCGAGGATTGATCCGGGCTTGCTCATGCTCTCTTTTCACGAGAAGCATCAATATACTCATTTCGGCCAATGCCGATTGTGTAGGATCAACAGAACTCACTTGATTTTTGGCTGGACTTTGCACAATTTTCGCCAAATGACTTGAAATCCAGTATAGTCCCAGGGTTGACATTCATATTCTGGTTAGCTCTTTGACTAAGGCGTCGCTGATGTCGACGATTTCTGTATGCAACTTTGCTGTGGTTTCCGGGTGTATAGACAGGAACTCTCCGATGACTTGAAGCATGTACTCTCGTAAGATAGCGTGAGTTTGTCTCTCATTCTCTGATGTGTTGAGGCCAATATCTAGCATAAGAGTTGGGAATTTGTCATCCATAGAGTCTAAAGACGAAGGTCCTTACCGAGAAGGTTGTGAAGCCATCCTGTATCGACTGGTATCTTACCTTGGTAGCAGAGATCAGGCTCATTTTCTGTGTTGTATAGGTATATTTCATCCTTCTCGAGCGCGGACTAAACGAGTAGATATATCGAAGATCTTGTAAAAAACTCAGCTAAATTACCCACTGTCTGTACACGGGTGGACTCCTGGAAGACCATAGAAATTACCTATTCTCAATCGGGTAGGTTGTCCGGGTAGTGAGCGTTTCCCTCAGCCTGCTTGGCTGCCTTGAGGCGTATGAACCTCTGCCCCTTTCATCGCTTCAGCCTACCTACCTTAAATCGATCTCCCTCACCGAGACTCTTGTATCTGCGGAAACACAACCATAGGACCACCAGTTCCAGATGCCCGATGGCTTCAAATTCTCCTCGCACGAGACGTTCGTCATTCACTCAAAGCCAAAAAGAGCGGATAGAGACATTGCAGAAAGAAATGCTCAAGGTGGTGGATGTGGTGGAAGCAAAACTTGGTGGTCTCGACGCCAAAGGTCGAGCGGCCTTCACCAAAGAACTCGAGAAGGCAAAAAAATATGAAAAAGAGAAAGCAGCAGAAAAGGAAAATGTCAATGATGAAGCCGGAGATGGAGTCGTTGTCGCGGATGCCTCGGATCCTGAGTGACGATTCACCAGCGATATCCCATGGAAACAGGGATGGTCAGCATATCAATCGCATGGTGGAGGTTCTGGAGACGTCTCTAGGCTTGAACTATGGAGAAAGAAATTCTAAGTATGGTATCACCATCATACGGGCAACGTCGAGAGATGAATGTGCTAACTTGTGACAGGCTACCCTGGCGAACAGCATCCAATAGAGTGCTGTGAACACTCAATGTGCTATAGGGATATCATCTTCGGTGCGATCACCCCAGCCATTTCGAGCTGGTTCGGTCTCAATAAACCGCCCTACGCCTCGCCCTCTCAGTCGCCGTAGTGCTTATGTTCATTAGATTGGCATAGACTTTCCCCAGCCCGGTACTTGGGCACTATCTATAGCTGTATCCTGTATGGGGTTGTTAAATCCAAGCCTAAGGTAGTAGTCTGTTCGCACTTTGCAGCCTAGCGGCCTCACCGCAGCGGCCGGGAATTTTAGTTGCTTGACCACAGAACTGAGCCCGCACTCTCCTTCCTCCAACCTCATCACCTATGTCTCAGAAACCATTCGACTCTGGTACATAACATGGGTCCAAGATCAAGATCCGGGGGGAAGTCCCCATATTCAAAGACTTCTAGCTCCAACGAGGAGCAAACAAATACATTGTCCTCCCGACTGGAAAAGTTGTTCGGGAGTCACGATCGCCCGGGTATCCTGACAATGGCAGAGGAGAGACTTGCCATTGATCATACGCAAAGACAAGGCTTCAATGATATCCTTGAGGAGATAAACGAACTCAAAACCACTGCAACGGTTGCCGCCGAGGAGCAGAAAACACTCAAGGCCGACCTTGCGTCACTTACGGAGAAATTTCCCACGTTCGCAGTAGATCTGGGCATCGCCATGTCCAGTACCTCTGCAGAACAAATTGCCGCCGCCAAAGCGAAAACTCTGCAAATGGCTCGGAAAGTGTTATCAAAGCACCCCGAAATCATCCAGAGTCTAGCGGCCGAAACCACCGCAGACAACACGCCCCTGTCTCAACAGCTCAATGCAGTACGAACAGCAGTACGGAGACTTGAGGCTATATTGGAAGGGCTTACCAAGCAGGTTGCTAGATTTGGCGAAGAACAATCGAGTTTCGCTAGAGCTATGGACGAGGCCGTAATCCGCGTAAGAGCTACCGTCATCGCTGAGCAAAATGAAATTGAGCAGGCGAAAGCCAACGCCCGAGAAAAAGAGCAGGAAAACACCACTTTGACGATAGAACAGGTGAAGCAGACAAGCAGACTGCAGACTCTGGAAAAACTGCAGGAAAAAGTGTCTCGTGAAAAGGAGGCACTGCAAACTCGCGTCGAAAAGGTCCTCTCCGAGCTGACCGAGTCGAACGCTCACCGTAAACTACAAGAGGCTCAACTCTCGCGGATTGACCAGAGTCTACGCAACTCCCAAGGGGATGTCAAGTTTGCGCACGAGCAATACTCACAGGTCAGAGAACAGTTCCTCGACAGGACGCATGAACTGGCCGAATCTCTCCAGCAACTGGCCGAAGCCCAGCAAGCGTTCATCAAACTTCAACAGGACTATCATGGCGTGTGCCAATTTCACCTTGACAGGGAAGAGAGCTTCGAAAGAGAGCTTGCCGAGACAGTAACCCAGCGTGAAAGATTTGAAGGATTCTACACCAGGGTGAAGCAACAATTGGCAGATACCGACCACGAGTTTGCTGTAGCTGCAGAAGAGAGTAAACAACATTCTGCAGCCAAAGAAGCCCAGCTCATGGCAACACTCAGCGAGAAGGCCAGAATGGAAGACAAAATGGCAGGCCTCTTGGAATCTAATGCTAGACTAACACAAGAAAACGATGATTTGAGAAAATTGTTACAAAAGGCCTATCAGGCGACAAAGTCCGCAAATCAAAAGATACAAGGGCTCGAGGAAAAATGCACAAAGCTTTGTGCCGCGGCGGACCATCACGCCAGCACTCTGACCAGCAATGTAATCTTGCACAAGTCAGAGATGGATAAAGCTCAGGAAGACAAGGCAGCTCTATCCAGCGAAATCAAGGCATTGAAGGAGCGCCTTGATGAGAAGATGCAAGGAGAGACTCAGTCTGCCACTCTGGTCCAGTCTCTTAGAGATCGGCTGCGTTGCGTCCCGTTCTACCATGAACTGATCGCGTTGTCGGGGGGCACGATTCTGACCAACATGGACACTAGTGTCCTAGACCGCGTCATTCATCGATGCCTAAGTTGGGAAGAGTCTTCTCCAGGGGAAATCTCAAGATCGTCTCAACCTATACTTATTGAAGGTCTATTCAATGAAGAGGAAGCAGGTGAATCGCCAACGCAGACACTGCTTGCGCTATTACCCCGACTCGAAGCGTCCGGAGACCGAATGAGCCTGGCGGACATTTTCAAACTCACGACTGCAATCATGACATGCAGTTTTCAAGGCATGGAACTTTCCATCTCCATAACCTTGTCATTCCTCGTCACCTTGGTGGAAGAGGACCGCTTCGTAAATGGGACCATGGAGGAAATGGCCCTACTTTACTGCGCCTGCACCACGCTCATGACAATAGAGGACCCGCATAGAAGGGCTACTTTCAATCGCCAATGCAAGAAAACGTTGTCTAGCTTAGTACCAAATTCTACCATGGCTCAGCAGCTGACTAGCCTGGTGGATATGGATGTCGGACAGCCACAACAAGAGCTGGCAGCACGACTCAAAGCGAGCGCCGAGGAGAATGACATTGGCGTTACAGTCGGGATCTACCACCTCCATATGGATAATGAGTATGGTGTTGTGATTGCTGAACCACATCAACCCAGCGACCCTCCGAGGATCGGGTTCCTGAAGCCAACTGAGATTGAGCTGAAGGTCGACGTGATGAATCTTTCATTGGGACTACAGCTCACCTGCACGGATGCACATGTCATAGGAACATGGTCTGCGTCCTGGCCTTTGGATAACACGAGAGTTGCCTACACATTCATCAAGGCATGCAAGGCCGAAGAAAACCGGGAGCTAGATCTCACATAGACACCCACATTTTCCACCTCCACAGCGAGGGTAAGTGGACAAATGTAAAGACCTGCAGTCTTTGAGAATGAGAAATTGAGATTGGTAGGCACTTGTGCAGAGATAATGTGCGTGTATCGCAATAAAGTAGTAGGTAGCAGTTCCCAATACACAGCTGTCTCCCGTTCCCGCTGGACATACCTGATCCCCGTAGAGATAAGTCTTGGCGAGATGCATGAAAGCAGGCTAGCCCGATTTGGAAGGGGCGCAGCCAGGCCCCAAACACCACCGCAGCCAGAATCCTCCTCTCGATTCTATCAGCCTGGGAGTTCACCTGTCAGAAAGAAACAAGATTAACAAAATGTTGCATTTCAGGTGCACCAACCCAGCGTGTGTGTTTCGGATGCAAGTCACCAGACTCACATTCGATTCATGCCCAGAGTGCGAGAGCCCTCTGGTCTCTGTCACGAATAGGCAGGGACCAGGTGATGACGGAGATCACAATGATCGTCGAGCGGGCAACGGAGAAGACCGCCGACTATCGTATGAATATAGGGATGAGGGTCGCCGTATGGCCGATCCGCTACCCCTTCATCGCCGACTCTCTCCAAGGTACGAGAGAAATCGCGAAAGAAAACACAGTCCACGTCGCTATCGTGGACGACGAAGCCACAGTCCCGAGGACTCTGGACAACGCGAGAGAGAAAACAACCGCAATCTCTATCGTGAGCGACGAAGCCGCAGCCCTTCCTCTCGACAAAGCGAGAGAGGACCCAGCGACCATTACCGTGGAGACCGAAGAAGTCCCGGTCCTGACCATCGGCGGTCTCGGAGTCCGCGAGTGCAGACTCTCGCTGACTCACGTTGGGCAGATAGGCCTACAGAATGGTCCGATAAACAACGAAATCACGACCGAGGCTCACGTCGAAGCAATGCCTCTGCCAAGAGCGCCAACTATTCGCACGCCGGCAGAAAGGGGCGCAGCCATAAGAACAAGAATGGCAACGAAAAGCCTGATAATGGTCGTGGCCTTCACAATAGGGAGCCCTCCGGGCCTTCGCAGCATCCGATGACGAAGGCCGAGATCCCTACGAAGTACTGCACTTCATGTCACAGATCAAACCACCACCGCGGGGACAATTGTGCGAAACCTAAGACATTTGTCATCGCTCGGTTCGATACCATCTGGCATGAATTTTGTCCAACGGAGACATCCAATATTGCCGGAAAGGTACCAAGTACACTTATCGAAGTCAAAGATATGACGTACATTTTTGGCAAATTCCTTGTCGAATCGGGCAATGAATTCATCATGCAACGTGACAAGCTAGTGACCACAGTTGATGATTTCATGAGAACCAATATACGGGGTGACAGTTACAACGCTTGGAGAGACTACATGTGCTCCTGCGCTCTGGCCACTAATCACCTCTTTTCCCAGGTGCGGAAATACCTACAAGTCTACATGGGAGAGCAACTCGACAAGAGCCTCAGAAGTCTCGCGGAAATCGACAAAGTAAGCATTAATCAGGAAACGAGATTCGAAGACATGGACCGATACCTTCATTCCATTCGCGATGATCATGAGAAAATCAAGATAACGAGTTTGGGCGCATTCAACCTAGCGATCCAAGACCTTGGTTCATTTTGGAAATACTACCGGATAACTCAGAAAGACCTGGTTGGACGCCTTGAGAACTTGGTCAAGGATCATCCGGAATTCAAAGCATCAGGAAAAGTCGAAGCTGGAATCCGGATGCCTGCCATACTACTGCCTACTCTTGCAGAGGGACCGCCGACAACTTTCTGTCACGAAGACTACAAGTTGCCTCCGGTGGAGGCAGCCGAGCGGGCGTGGCAAGAAGCCACTCATGAAGCCAAAGAATAAACGGCTTGGGAATGGCCAAATTGGCTGGCGTACTTGTCAAAGTACCTACCGGTCCATTGGCCGCTTGAGAACGCACCAGACTAAGCTACTCTTCTGCATTCGAATGAGTCCGCCTCTGGTAACGTTCTCCGAGAAAATAAGCTGCATCTAATATGATGATCAGTTTGCATTGCATATGTACATTGTCAGAGCAGATGTAGATTTCAATGATAATTATGCAAACAGACGAGCACTTCCTACTTAGTTCTGCCGCACTTTTGTGTTTGATTTCATCGTGTCTCAACCTACTTCGATCCTGATTTACTTACTGCAGTGTAGGTGTAGAATACAAAACTTCCTGGCAAGGAAAGTATTCTGTTGATCTACTATAATTTCGACCCTACCCAGTGATAATGTGATCCACGTAGCGCTATTCTTATGCGCCTCACCATGCCATGTCGTAAATAGTGGCTGTTGAGATGCAACGAGTGGCTATCACTGATCACGATACTACTGTCGCTCCTCTGGCACTTCGAGACATGTCTTTGTCTCGATCTCCATCTCACAGACCTAACAATTGTTTGCTGTGACACGGTATTGTTCGGAGTTTCTATGCTGCGACTAGTCATACCACGAGCTTGGATTGAGACTTGATTGTCCTTTAGCGGAGTAAGCGTAACAGTTAGTGGCAGTGTGCTAGCTTCGAGGGTGTTAGGCCGGCATTGTCGTTTGTCGTTGACGCAACGACAATGCCGCCGATCGTCTTTGTTCGTGGAGGAGATGATGGGTCTTGGGTCCCGTATCTTGATAATTGCCTTCCGAGTCCGCACATCGATAGTCGTCGTTGAACGCCCCGCACATACAATCGGCGTCTGACCCAATGTCTCAAGGCTCAATTCTCTTCCTGCGCCACACTCGGCTATTAGTATAGATGCAGCTTTCTCTTACTGCAAATAGCCTGCGTCTCTTGCCGACGTGTGCTCGCAGTGCCCAGAATAGCATGGATGGCGGTAGTGAAGCGCTGCATCCTCCCGCGGCTCCTGTCGAAGCCGAAAACCTGTCAGCCTACCGCATGCTTTGCAGAAAGTGGCGACCCAGGGCAGTCAGTAACCGCAGTACAAGCAATAACGGTTATCCATGCTAGCGTGCAGACTGGAGACGCAGGCTGTGTTGTTTGCAGGTAGGATTGGATAGAGATGATAGATACAAAGACCCGAATTGGTACAGCTGCCTTTCTGCTGATAGCTTGGCGAGCATCACCGCCAAAAGGATTGCCAAACCCACTACACTGAACTATTGCCTCGTTCTCGCCCGGGCAGGCCATCGGACTGATAAAAGACTCCTCCGAGAGAGCTTTTGGGGATCAACCAGTCTGCCGAGGCTAACGTCTTCGATGTGAGTGTCGTCCGTAGACAAGGCTCCGCTGATTCAGGAGTCGCCAAGACTCACCTGCTGAACGGGGCAGGAATGTTGATATGGTAGCCCCGATCCCGAGCAGTTGGTCAAGGGTAGCCATGTATGCATGCTCCGTATCTGTACACATCTAGCTACTAACTACAATCTCCGGGGCATTGTTGGGCGTAGTCACGGCAGTTGGGGAGTATCTGGGGCAAGGCGCATGGGACGGGCCGCTTCCGTCCATGTGGGTCAGACTAGTTAGAGCGTTGCTGTCTAGATGTACATAGAGATCAAAGCTTGCTTCCACCACCACATCCACCACCTTGAGCATTTCTTTCTGCAAGGTCTCTATCCGCTCTTTTTGGCTCTGAGGGAATGACGAACGTCTCGTGCGAGGGGAGCTCGGAGTGAGCATTTCATTTCGCTGGTAGGTTCTAGAATCGAGCTTAATGAGGATAGAAAAGTGAAACAACTTTAGGTGTGACTTTAAGTAATGAGTAGCTGGTATATTGTAGCTCTTCGAGGACGCCAGTGTGAGGAAAAACGAGTAGTTATGGGAGGACTCCTGTTCAGGGATGCTGTTCAGGGATGCTTCGTGTTGAACTAGGCTGAGTTGCGGGCTTTCAGCACTGTCTTTACAAGTCAAATACTCACGCCTAGTGCCTTAGCGCCTCCGGCGGAACGCCGACGCACTCACGTTCCTTACAACTTTTGCAACACCATCAATTCACTGTTTCTAGTCATATATGACTATATTCTCGGGCTTCACAAGGAGGCGTTCTCTCTGTCTAGAACGTCGCCCGATAGAACGCCGCCCGACGACGGCCGATGGCTCCACGCGGCGCGCTGTGCGACGGCGAGAAAGCCCTCCCTTGGAACGCTCCTTTTGCCTATATAATAGATAGGGATCTCCCTCCGAGAGAGGGAGGTCAGACTCGTCAATACATCCCAGTTAGCCCCCAGACATCGCCTAGAACTGAGCGTTGCATAACACTTCGTAAGTTGTTACTTGATAGGGAGTCAGATGCATTAGGCCGTCAAACTCACCTGCTAGTGACTTTTCCTACTGTCCGGGTTATGGACTTGAGTCTTTGGTGTTCTGAAGTCTCCTGTAATGGTTTGTGACGGCGGACACTGCGGCACTCGGCGAAGCATATGACGTTAGAACTCCTATGCAAGATTCATAGTTGTAGAGAGATGACCATCTCGCTTGAAGAGTAAATCGCGAACATTGTGTGCCAGGTCGGCCCGCTCCAAGAGTTCCTCGATCCAGAAGATGCGGAGCTTCACCATATCAAGTCCCCATGGTATATTGCTCGCAAGATCGACGGACGTCGCACGCACGGTATGGGCTTGCGCAACTGTGTTGGCGTCTTTGGACTCGTTGGAGTGAGTATGTATGCTGACTCTTTTGTGGGATATTCCACGCTGTTGACAGGTATGTTAGTATGTTCGAGGTCCCATGGCTACTTTTCCGGCACTGGCTACCAACGAGCATCAGTGGCTTCAAGAACAGACCCGTGACTATACAGCCATCGTAATCGGTTTATAGAGCCTATTTTTGATGTCGGGAAAGTTAGGTACGGTAAAGAGAAGTCCTGCTGCTGTCGGCTCGGTTTTCTTCCTAATCAGCTATAGCCTGAGAGCGCTTGTTGAGCCCCGTAGCTGACTATCAGCATAGTTTCGGGTGAGTTCTGGATGGCTAGAAAATCGCTCCTAGTAGTTGAATGGATGCCAAAGGGTTCTCTGACATTGAACTGGGGGTGTTCGTCACTAGGTATCCATTAAAAGTGTAACAAAAATACTTGGAGATTGCAAAGAACGAGCGACTCTTAGCAAACTGGATTGGCTTTTTGAGTGTTTAGAGATGCGAGTGCCGCATATGGCGCCACAGTAGGCGCGCAACATCAGAAAAGAGAACGAGTACATCGTCGGCTTACTAACTTGCTAACAGATTTCTACAAGAGATATTCCAGAACCAGATCCTCCTATGATATTAACAGAATTGCGGTGAGGCCCCCTAGCAGTATCGGGAGCGTCACATGAAGCTGCGATGAACATCGTCCTATCCCGTGAAGATCAAGGGAGCTCCTCTGTCGTTGTGCGGTGTTGTGCATTGCTCGACGGTATCACTACGGGGTCCAAGCAGTGTAACTATGTAAACGGTACTCCAGAGAGCAAGCGGTGCCATATATTGAGGCAAAACAAGGCGAGAAGACGGCGGAAGACCTTTTTTGATGCGTAAATATCCTTAGTCTCTTCGGCCCTTTACTGGAATTCAGTCTGACCATACTTTGCTACCAACCATTGTTAATTAACTGCCTCCCCAGAAAGCTTTCCAGTGTTCTCGATACTCTCATCCTCTCTGTTTTTAAGCGATATTGCCGTCGAGGGCTTAGTGAAGGGACTTTGGCATCCAGAAATCTACACATACCGGCATTCAGGCCGCCGGATGGAGACACTCCCCACTGACCCACGGCGGATACGATGCCAAAGTCGTACTTGAACTCTGATCATTGGGGTCAAAGATACAAAATCGTCACTGGATATGCAATTATCGTTGAAATGATCCCGAGACTCTCCATTTGTCACATTCGTCAATGAACGCTGGTGTACCCCTCAAACCCATGATTTGCTATCTGGTGGTCGAGATGCTTCACATCCGGACTTGAAAGCGGCAAGGTCTGACCTTGAAGCAGAAGATATATGCACACTGAGTATTCTATGAAGCCAAACAAGTTTGGTACAACATGCATAAGGTTTGGGGGAGAAGTGATTTCCCAGGATACATAGTCCACATTTACGAGGCGACCACCAGAAGACTCCAGAGGTATTTGAAGCTATAAAAGTAATCCCGGATGGTTCATAATATTAGATGTGTATGCTTGTGCAGTCAATGACACTCCACTGGGCGGGCTAGCCGATGAGAACTCGAGAAGGCAAAGAAGTATGAAAAAGAGAAAGCAGCAGAAAAGGAAAATGTCAATGATGAAGCCGGAGATGGAGTCGTTGTCAGTGTTCCCAACGCTCACATCAAGACATGGTAATCTATCTATAATGATGGAATAATATCATTGGTGAAATATACATAGAAGCTGCCTAGATTTATCCTCCATGGCTCGAAGTGGGGATGTAATACTTGCCTATTTAGAGTACATATATGTACCTAGTATACGCCATATTGTCAGCACAGCAGAACTCGACTAGCTGCGTTGGACATATATATATGTCCCCGACATAGTGCTGGAATCTACCGCTAGTGGCTTACTTCTCCCAAAGGTTATTTCTATAGCCCAGAGATGCATCAAAAATTCTACCTGACATGTAGGACGAGAATTCCGTCGGGAAAGGGCACTCAACCAAAGTAACTAACCCATCTCTCCGTAGCTGAATAAACGATATGTGTATGTTTTCAAGCTACGCTGACGGCCAAAGGTGCTGACGCTGTTCTTTCAGTTGATGCAGCAGCAAGTTGTGCTTTGGCAGAGTCCAGCTCTTCCCGCGGAGCCACTTTTTCAGCTAGCGCGGCATCGAGCTCAGCCTTTCTCTCAACCAACACCGTGTGTGTCTTTCGGGGGACCTCCTTAAGTTGATGCAACAGCAAGTTGTGCTTTGGCAGAGTCCAGTTCTTCCCGCGGAACCACTTTTTCAGCTAGCGCGGCATCGAGCTTAGCCTTTCTCTCAACCAATACCGTCTGATTCTTTCGGAGGACCTCCTTGAGCTGATGCAACAGCAAGTTGTGCTTTGGCAGAGTCCAGTTCTTTCTGCAGAACCACTTTTTCAGCTAGCGCGGCATCGAGCTCAGCCTTTCTCTCAACCAATATCGTCCGATTCTTTCGGAGGACCTCCTTGAACTGAGTCTCAAGCACAGTCTTTTGTTCTGCTTTGGCATTCTTGATGACGGTAGAAAGATCATCAACATGCTTCTGTAGAGCGGTTCGCGCCTCATCGCGTTCGGCAACAGCACTGTCATATTCTGTTTTGATCTCATCGCGTTCCTTTTCTAGTGTAGTGATCCTCTCTTTGAGAGCCTTCAGCTCGGCCGAGTCAACACGATTATATTTGGAAAGAATGTCCTGACAATGTTCTTGTCAGTCTGTGATCCCGCTCTTCCTGCCTCAGGTTCAGCTCACCTTCTCGAAGTTCGACCAGGTTTTCGAGTTCTGTAACACGTGCGTTCGAGGTAACTTGAGTAAGAGTTGAAAGCCACCCGGGCTAGACTTCTTCGGGAACCGAAGAAATCCACAGGCGGTCGCCTCCTACTATTCCTGGTGAATACAGGGAGGGATATATCGAGCATGACAGCAATGCACGAAGTCCAAGCAGTCGAGGGAGAGAATCGATAGTGTGTAAACATCGAAATCTGTATGGACGGTAGGCGGTTCATATCTGGGGGGTTCCCATATTCATTGATGGACGTTGACATCGATCTGATTGTTGCCGTGTCTCATGCACGAAGTCACCAACCGGAAACGATTGAACCGTTGCCTAGCGCGTTGCTTGGCGAATTTCCCTCTTTGAGATCAGCCTAAACATGAGGCTAGCCACATCCTCTGCATAAGGGTCCTGAGGTCATGCTCATTGCCGACTTACTTTTCTTCCAAGTTGTATGCAACGTATACAGCTTGTAACCCAGGGGCCATCTCATTCGACATAGCATGCCCTTATGCAACAGTTAGCTATATGTGGTTCGTCAGGCGCAGTTCGATACGCTCACCTATCGCTCTGCAATCAGCCGATACATAATTATTCGAAACGCTAAATCCCGGGCGTTAATAAGGTAAAAATGGCGGGAAGCTGTTGCCCATATGTGGCTACAGGTATCTGCACCTTCACTTCGAGGTTCCAGGCGCAGATTTCCCACTCGTAGATCATACGCTGAGATTGTCCAATTTCCCACCTGTATCTCCTGTACATATGGTAGACGTTATGTTTCCAAGCAGCTTTTTCTTGGCTCTGGACAACTTGCAGGTGCAAATAAAGTATTCTGGGAGTCAAGACTGGCCCACGCTCTCGGCGCTTGCTTGCGTCGAGAATCACCTATAGGCGCTCTGGGTGGCCTAAGGCCCGCGACCGCCATAACAAACAGCAGATGGTTCTCGTTGTTCCCAATGTAATTGTCATAACTTGCGGAACTACTCACACCCAAAGATCAGCTCTCAGAAGATGAAGTGATTACACTTTCCGCACCGGGTTATTTGAACTCACACCCTGAGTTATCGACGAGATCAGGTAAGTCTAGGGGTTTAAGTGACGAAAATCGAGTTACTATAGGCACTTCACAAGCCCTTCAAATATCTCTGCATGGGCTATCTGCTGGTATTGTATCCAATACAAAATATTCACCTCGGCTGGGGGATCGGTATTTCAGATGGAATGAGCCTACACAAAAACAAAGCAAAGCAGAATTGGCGAGGCCTTCATGCATTCTTATATTCACATCAATCCTACTGATATGCTCTAAGGCGAACTTGGAGAGCTAACGACGGCCGCGGAGGCACCGTGGAGGCACCGTGACCGCAAACCAGTGCACACTGTCTACCGGAAGAGACGTTAACAGCCAGAAGATAATAGCTTGTCAAAGTGGCGGAGAAAGTTCACGAGCACTAATTGGTCCCTTCCACAAAGAAAACGAGACCATCATACGACCTCCAGAAGCAGAAGTGAGCTTTCTGGCCAAGCACTCTTATTCTTGAGGGTATCGGTGGCGTTAGACAATGTTGCAGATGAGACCCTTGGCCGCAGAAGAGTCTATACCGGCATTTGGCAAGCCCAAAGCTCTGATTTGAAGCTCGGATGCTAATCTTCCCACTCCGCTGGAAATCAAATCTGGTGTGTTGGGGGACTGGTACATTCGAGCTAACGATGAGAGAAGAGTTAGGCTGGGTTCTTGTTGACTTTTCTATACATTATATAGGCATTCAGGGCCTCTAAAGTCTACTACCGACCAAAGTTGACCTACCCATGTCACACAGACAGGCTGCAGAGTCTCAATGGCCTTGGTGTTTAGCATCGAGCGGCGGAAAAGCATACAAGCGAACTTTGCATCACAAGACCACTCTACTGCATACCTACCATCACAGCACGCTTACAAGGTCTCAGTGACTCGTGAAAGCACCGCTGGACGGGCCTGATTCATCCGCAGTTACGCGCCTTCGAAGTGTGGGTCCTTCAACACCCTTGCGTGCGTCGTGCTGACTATCGAGGTATCGAATTCGACCATTATGTGTCGATTCAACTTGATTATATCAAATTCATCCTGTCTGGCTATCGAGAAGACGGAAGTGAGGTTCAATTACGTTTCGCCACCTAAGTCAGATCTATGGAGGACTACTTGGACCGCGCCTTCTGGCTGTTTCTGCCTCCATCGTCTACAGCAGCAGTGAATGGGAGCTCAAAGGGATCTTTCGAGCATACAGGTACACTATATTTGTTTCGGCCTCACTCATTACAAAGCATAGCCTCAAGATGCGACACGTGTTGCACGCTCAACGGACCTCTTGGACCTCAATGGAGGGCCAACCTTCTGTTGAGGATGTTTTGTATCTCAGGCTCCAACAGCAAAAGGTATTGCTGATCGGCTGGCCAAATGCTCCTGAAAATGAAGTTGACACTGAGTCGGAGGGGAACCGGCAGCTAGCTCCGAAACTTCATCATCCAATGTGGCCAGACCTTGGCCCCCAGCGAACGTGTTCGGCCAAAGTAACTAAGAGCAACTGTCAAACTTTGCTTTAGGCTCAGCGATTACTTCGTCAACCTGTTAGATGAATGCGTCTCTACGAGTCATGGTTAGGGTTGTGCAAGAGCATCATGAGCTCTAGTTCTCTTGTGGCATGACGATTCTTTCGATGTGATGATGAACAGCCGCTGTTCGCTAACGAAGACCTCGAGCTGGTTTCCCGATCCTATAGGGACGAGTTGTCCATCCAAACTACTCACCAGTTCCACGACAGGTGTTTCGGGTGTATTCCAACTCGCTGAGGCACGGACATTATCCACTGTCCCTGGTCAGGTTATGCAAAATTCCTCATTCCTCGGCATCTTTTCAATCAATCTCTTGCTCTGTCACGCGCTTCCTTATGGCTTCAATCTATTGCGCACGCTTAGAACAGCTCGTTTGTATAGCGTCTAGCCCTTTACGTGAGCCTATTCATATCTCCTCAGACAGCCAGATCCTGTACACCCGGATCATACAACTACCCAGTAGTGCTAATTGCCTTCCAAGTAGAGGATAGATTGCAGGTAAAGGTCATTGATAAATACATATTCGAATAGTCTAAGAGCGCGTAACAGCTCACAACAGATCAATTTGTCTTCGCTGAAGCCAGCAGAGCCCTGAGAGAGGCGTATACCAAACTCAAAAAGCTTGAAGCTTTGAACATTCGCACTGCGCATTACGTGCAAGAGCTCAGCTGATAAATCTTTCAGTGACCCAAGGCGTCGTACACATGGTCTTATTTTTGCTGCGCTCGCGAGTGTTGTGACTATCTCGCAATCGGCGGACCACCTACTTGGGTACCGATGGAAACAATGACTGACAACTGTGATGCTCTTCATATGGGCTCAGCTGGAGTATCAAGGTTGCAATCGTATCTGTGAGTACAATTGTCTCTTGCAGTGGCGCCATTGCTATAGAAGTCTGGGGGGTGGTGAACTCATCCCATCATAGGTCTATCCTACGTATGCCTCCTACTATCAAGTCTGGATCAAAGACCGCTGGCGACCATCTGAAGCCTTTGAGTAAGTCATCTGGCTCTGATTTGCTAACGCGAAGCTCCAAATATCCACTGCGAAGCTTCTGCGTGTCCGGAACATTCGGCCCACTGAGTTCTGGAGTTGCTGAGTAATCATTCAGTGATGGTAGTGGCATATATGAGGCTCAAGCAATCATTCAGCGTTCCAAAGGCCTCATTTGATGCTATCTGCAATCATGCATGCTCTTCGCGAGACTCTAGAGCTTCAAGTAGCGACTGTGATGTTGTATGTATCGCCATTCTTTCACGAAGATTGAGATCAGACATCACGTTCGCCATGAGTTATCTGTGACTTCTGAGTTTGACAAAGAGCTTTTGCAGTGGCTCAAGTCTATACCGCGAGTAACAGGAGGTCTCTGCGAGGCTTCAGAGTCTTCGAAATTTGCTCTTGTCGAGAAGCCTACAGATAACCAAAGGTTCAGCCACAAGCGACATAGTGTTGCACCATCGAGCTACATTCTAGTACCTCATACACGCAAAGTTCACATAAGGTAATTGGTTCAAGGCAGCTTTGAACCGCAAGACTATTCTATTCTGACTTTGACTCTTGGTTGCGGTTCTTACCGATGAAGCGGATTATGTCTTTCGAGGACGTACAACCAGTACTGAAGGTGGACGATCAGCATATCTCTACATACATAAAGAATGACCTGGTTTAGCTACCAACTCTTGGACGCGTCATACAATGTCTGCACTATCACTCTTGCCACTGCGCCAGGATATATTTGGTTTGCGAGGACGCCTAGCCAGGGGCACTTTCAACTATTACTTGAGTGCACTTTGAACTCTCATGTTACAGAACTTGAAAACCTCGTCGAACTTCGCGAAGCTGGTCTGGAGCCGAGTCAGGAAGATCGTGATGACTGGACCGGCAATAACGCTGTCAGAACCTTCTTGCTACCGATGATCTTGTTGGCATACCTGTGCTGTACTTGCAGCTCAAGGTACATGCACATAGGTATCGTAACGGTCAATGAAAACATGCTAGATACAACGTATCCTCCAGCTACGAATACATTCTCAGCATCTGTGCGTGGAACTTAGGAACTGTCCTTGCCCGGTGCTACCAGGTACAAACTCAAGGTATACTTAAGACCCTCTGTACGGCCGTACGCGGTGTACAACAAGCTGAACAACGATGTTGAATCAAGTGGCGCCCTGGTCTAAGAGACTAGGAGGACCAGTAACTACATGATTGTTTGCCCAGATCAGAGCTGATGCTTCTGCAATATCTCTAGTGGCGATACGCTAGTCAGTGCTTCACGGCGAGCCGCGTGACCCGGGCCTAACTAGAGCTCGTAACGCATTGAAGCAAGTGTCCTGCAGCTCTAAGGCGCAAGCATGAGCTCTAGAGATATCAAGATATGCTCTTCAGCGCGGTTGCTATTGGCTGATAGCTGGCGAGACCGAACTGCCGTTCTCTACCTGAGGGATGAACGCGCGAGTCGAATGGCATCGAAGCGTGTTCAAACTATCTCAGCCCGGTTTGCACCTCCTTCTAGATGTGCAGAGGCCTATCATTTGTCTACCCTGACATAATTGAGTGGTGGAAAGATTGCTCCAGGCTTGTGCTGACCAGGGACCACGAAGTACTGTACAACAAGATCATCAGGTGACAGCCATAAAATCTGCCTCTCCTGACATCAGTGGCCTCTGAGTCTTCCAGGAGAATAGACTGACAGCTATGTAGTCGAGACCTGTTGAATTTTATCATCAACACGCCATAGACGGGCTGGAGATTATCAATGGCAGCTCGTTGAAGGAGTATAGGAAGCTCATGTCACTTTTTGAATTTAGGTGCCTTCTCAAGCGCAATACAGGTTGCAGCGATACGCCAGTTATCCCCAGGTACATTCGACCGGCGCCCAGTGTGCAGAGGACGCGGAACGGGAACGTGAGACGCGTGAACATAGCTGTGGACGTGCTTTCCAGCGACCGCTTCTCTCGAAGGCGCCACCTCTCTGGTTGTATGGAACCTGGCAGCAGCCTGATCAATGACCATGCCAATGGAGTTGTGCGAACACTGTTCATCGGGTCTTGATCATGTCATCTCGGATCCCATTGCGGGAGCGCAGAGAATATCCTAGCAGGCGGACTAGTACAATGAATACGCGTTGTGCAAATCCGGGCGCGGTAGAATGGGCACATTCACTACTGTAGGGCGGTGAATGCTCAAATCAATACATTCGCAACTTTTACCGCGTCCTGTTTTCATTTCCTTCTCTCTCTCAACCATCTGATGATCGCAAGAAAGGCAAGCAATCATCATGTCTCGTCGAGAATACCGTGACGAGTCAAACCACATAGGACGGCCTAGGCGTCCCGACAATTACGGACCAAGATTTGAAGCTAGGTCACCGTACCAGAGGACGCGATCCTCATCACCACGGAGAAGCAGCGGACAAGGTCATGGAGACCTACACGCGGATGACGACTATGAACGTCGCCATCGCCGTCGAGGACGCTACAGCGATAGTGAGTCTTCGGGGGACGAGAGAAGACGTGCACTTGAATACGAGCGTCGGCAAGAGCAACGCCGGCGTGAATACGTCGAACTTGAACGACTCCAAAGCGAGCGAGCCGAATTCGAGCGACGTCATGGAAATGCACAACAATCTGGCAGTCACCGTCAGTACGGCCACGAGAGATCAAACGAATCGGAGGTAGAGCAACGAAGTACCCCCAATTCATTTGGCGATAGCCGTGGTCGTGGACGGCGGCGTAATCACCATGGAAGAGGTGGTCGCGACACTCCCCGCGGACGAGGACGTGGCCAAGGAAGTGGCCGTGGACGCGGCCGTGGACAAGGAGGTGGACGCCAACACCAATCTCCCCACGAGAATGAACCGGAAAACAGCCAACCTGCAGATCCTCTAGTTGAACGACTGCGAAGAAGTCATGCAAGACTTGTGGCGAAGTCTGGACTCAGTGAGGAGAGGAAAAAGGAACTTGAAGAAGAGCTAGCTCAGGATCTAGCCGACTTCATTGCGACCAGATCAAATTCAGGTTCTACGGTGGGCAACCAAACAACTGGAGAGGTGTCACAGCCCGCCACCAAACTTGCGGCACAGGAGACGCAGAATGCCTCCGTGCAAGAAGTAAATCAGGCAGATAAGGAAGACCACCGAATGTCAAATACCACTGAAGTGGCAGAGCAGTCTTTGGCTTCGAATCCTGAAGCTTCTATGCAACCTACCCCAGATCAAACAGCTCAAGAAGTGGAAGCTCTACGGGGTCAACTTGCTCGAGTCGAACATCTGGTAGTGCAATGCCAGGCGCAAAATATGTCCACTGAGCAGAAATTTGGCATTTTGCCTGCTGTATTCCAAGCAATCGAGGATATACGGCTTGCTAATGAAGCCAACAGGGTCGATGCTCAATTCTTGAATAACAGAATGAGCACTGGCTTCGAAGTCACCGCCCAGATATTGGCAGAACACAATCATCAGGCTCGACTTACCAATCAAAATGTACTGTACATGGGCGAACAAATCCAACAGGTCAGAGACGATGTGATGGATGTTGACTACACTCATGAACAGCGGTACAATCTAATGATGGAAGGATGGAGGAAATACTTCCTTTACCATCAACAGGTCATCGAATCAGGACCTCTTGAACTCGAATACGACTTGGCTACGCTGGAAATCCAGGACCGGCCTCTACGTCAGTTGATGGCTCCAGAGAGAGCTGACACCGAAGTCGCAAGGGTACCAGTCACAGATTCAAATCCCACTGCCATGACGAATGATAAAGGTCGGCAGTGTGACGATCCCACGGTCGAGGCAAAGGCGCAACAAGAAACTTGGTTGCAAGAGATCCGGAACTACTGGCACAATTACTCGGCGAATCTCCAAAATGTCGGGGAAGTTGTGAAGCAAGTACTTGAGACTCACTACCAAGGAGATGAGTTTCAGACAGAGGAATTCCAGGGGCATTGCACAGCCTTTGCAACTTATCTGAAAGGAATTCGAGATGACATCGACCCCTTTTGGAACGAATGCATGCTACTGCATATTTCAGCTTGGGGATCATACGGAGACATTCCCCAAGAGGCAACTGAACAGCAGAAGCAAGATGAATACGGAATTGCCATGAACAAGAGCAATGCAGCCAAAAGCCAGCTGGAGCAACGCATGAAAGAAGTTGCGAAGGCAATCAGAAACGATGGCATTTTCATGATTGCCAAGTTTGATGGAGTTGATGAGAGAACAACTCCTGAGGTATTTTTGGCGAGATGGCGCCCTGTCTACCACAAAGTACTCCAGCTTTTGGGTTTACAGGACAGCAACGAGCCTACGTTTGAACCCGAAGACGTCCTCCTCTACTGTGGAGAAAAGAACCACACTGTGATGGACCAATCTTGAGTTGTACTTGGAAGTACGGTACAAACGTAGCCATCGTGCTGCAGCTTACGGTGCAGAAGAAAAGGCACCAAAGAAGTCAAGGGACACAGGCTTCATTGTACAATATTGTTTGAAGAAGGTTGCCAGAATAGAGATTACAATCAATTGAATTCTCCCCAGATTTGAGTAGTGTACAACCAGTAAGAGTTTAAGACCCAGGCTTCTAAATCTAAATGTGCTTCGACGCTACCTATAGGTCCCTGTAAAAACCTCATGTGACAACTGTATAAAGGCTGTAGGTTTCCATGCAATATGTAGTTTAATCATCTTAACAAGAACAGGGATACCAACATGACACTGCACATGAATAGTTTCTTAGCCATGAACAGTGTTCAATTCGTCAACTGTCTATTGAACACGGTTCGTACTTTCGACCTTTGGGGCGAGCGGCGTGCTAGCTGAAGATTGTCTGGCGAAGTGTTGTGTGGTCGCGTAGTTAGGGAAACACTTGATATTTTCATGGCTCGCAGGTTTGGGATATAATGCCATTAGCTTGTTACTATGAGACTGCAACAACTGTAAGACTCAAAAAGTTGGTTTAGCGGGATGAATGGTATTGCCTACATCTACATTTGCCATGTACAGATGGGCTGCACAGCTGCTCTGTGCAACAGAAGCAGTTAGTCCATTCCCGGGGTACTTGGGTGCCAAAGACTCCCGCTCTTTGTACCGTCCGCTGTCACATAGGCTTAGCTCGCCTTACGCGCTTTTCCGGAGGGCGTGCTGGCTTCTCCGATTGTAGCTCTCCAATTGCTTAGGACTAGCGTGTTGACTCCATGAGTAGCCACTTGAACACTTGCGGCTTTGCATCCGCTACAAGTGCCATGTAAGCTTTCGAAGCTTCTGAGAGATTGTGCAAGTCCTCGAGCATCTCGATAAGCTCTTCAAGGTCTTTGCACTTCTCGATGAATTGATCGAGCATTTGTTCAACCTCTACCCCTTCAAGAACTTCTTCATTAGGCAGTGGTTGATTTCGCAGAGGCTGCTTTCCCTTCACGTTGGGGTCCAAACACGCCGCCGTATCGTCATCATATGAAACTTCCATCTGATCCGAGGAGGATTCAACTGACGACATGGTGCCATGATCAGCTATCCGAGCCCTTCTTGTGGCATTATCTTGGCTTTCCCGTGGGCGGAGTCTTCCTTGCCACTGCCTTGGACTACCATCTTGCGCTTCCCCCCGGTTCGTGCCGTCCGTTGTTAGGCCGATAGGTCTTCTTCCGGAAGCGATTGCCTGTAAGGCCTGATCGACACTGTCGTATTCAGACCAGATGGACATGACGAGTCTTGCCGATTGGACTTTCTCGTCATCATCGGCAATGTGTCTATCCATCATACCTGACTGTGAGATATTGTCCGCAAATTTCTGCATTTTGTCGACCACCCTCGGGTCGCTCCAGTCAGAAGCTCCGATGCTAGTCCCAGCATGTGTAATGTTGAGACCACCGTCCCAGATGAAACTGGATGCAAGTATGGACGTGACGATTTCGAGAAGCTTGATGTCGTCGCTCCTCGTCGCCCGAAAGATCATGTAGGAAGATTCTTCAATTCCATACTGAGTGTCGAAGAGATAGGATGCAAGAGCCCGCATTAACCCAAGTACTGGACTGCCCGACTTGTTCACGGACCAGTGTTGGGGGACTCGGTTCTGAACGTTGACAGCGAGTCCGACATACGCAAAGCACCTTTCGAGTGGTTTTCTCAGTAGGTGATGCTTCCCTTCCTCCAAGAGCTCTGCACTATATTTCCAGTACATCTCTTCGATTCTCTCGATAAAGCCCTGGTGTTTGTTGAATCCCGTTCGATCGGACCCGGAGCCATACCGACGAGCATGTTTGTACCCGATTGGGGCCTTTACTTGCCCAAGTTTGGCGTCAATTGCCTTGGCCTTTTCCTGAGACTGCACGGAAGCCGTATCCACGTTGATGTATTCTTTCAGTTCATCAACAACAGTGGAAAGCTGTTCCAACGAGAAGCTCCGCCCGATGTGGTTGCGCGTCCCTTGCCCTGGCTGTGTTTGGGTCTTAGGATCGGTAAGCGCAATATATACCACATACGATCCTGGGCCTTGCCGCAGCTGTGTGTAGCTGCGAAAGTCCTCTCGGAATTGAGGATTCTGCATCTTGCTGGGAATGTTGCCTTCCAACAACGCGAGCAATAACTCACTCGGGATTGAGGAAAGGTAGTATATCATCCTTGATTTTCCGCCTTGACGGTAGTCATTGATGACTATGTCCCAGCTCTTGTGACCTCCTGTGTCATGATCAATATCATCGTCGTCAGGTGAATCACTTTCCCTGTCGACATTGCCTTGTTCGTCGTAGCCGTCGTCATTGGAGCTACGGTCACGCCGGGGACGCTTTCGCTTGCCCCGACGAGAGGTCAATATTTCGGCCTGTTTCTCCTCTTGAGCGATTCCGTTCACTCTGTGCGCTAATCCGAGGATGCCGAACGTTTCGAACCACCATATCATTGATTCTTGTCGCTGGGTAGGGACTGGGTCGATTACTGACATATCTTCTTCTGAGCTGCTATCTGCAGAGTCAGATCGTCCAGTCTCTGTTGGTATGCCACCGTCCCTTCTCCTATTCGACGGTGCTTTTCTCCTCTCTTTCTGAGGTGCTGTGTGAGGTGTCTCTTCGTGAGAACTGTGAGAAGGTGACGACCCCTTGCCGGCGCCACCTTGAATTCTAACTGCTCGCAGTCTGACATTCTGGAGGTCTTGCTTCATTTTGGTGAGATCGGCAATATGCCGAGCAAGTACTTCAAGGTCAACCATGATGATGAACCTTGATCGTTGGAAGACCTCTTCGTTTGTGCATACTGTGAGGTGGACGGGGAAAAAAAGAGCCGAGGAGAGCGTAGCGCAGCCGCAGAATTCGCTTCACTACTTTTTTTTCCCTTCTGAACAGTACGATTTCAACTACCTCGCACCGTTCTACTGTAGCCGAGAAATGATTTGAAGGAATCTGCCTCAACTACTGGCACGCTGTAGCTACTCCGGTTCTCTACAATCGACTGCGAACATAAGAGTGCTCCGACTTCGAAATCCCAGGGTATCTTAGCATCAACAAATGTCGGTACATCGCCATTGAAGACGACCTGGCATGCAGATAAGCGACTCAAGAATACGGAGGATATTTGGCTTTGGTCTCAGCTCTCCGCACGTTCTACTCTCTGGTCCAAACCTTCGGCTCCCATTTTCTGCGATCAGGAACGTAAGATGTGCCATGCATCCGAGCTCAAGAGCTTAAACCAACAACATTCAAGCGCATCCTGGTGTGTCCTGGTAGTCCGTGGTCATAGCTACCGGGCCAACCCCAGCATTTTACCATTGCTGGTGGGCGACAAAGGAACCTCGTAGGTTAAAATCCACGAGGAAAAGCCTGGGGCAGCTGCAGCAAGCGTTTGAGGGTTCAGTTGACTGTGTCTCAAACTCATTCCGATACTGGCCGGTCTGCAGCTACGGATATAGCATTGTCAGAATCCCTGAGATGCCAAAGAATGAGATTACTCCGGGTTCCACAGTCCATCTGGAGACCTTTGGTATCTTTTGCGACGCGGAGGATTCCACAACCATGTCTGCGCGACTCCTACATAATCTCTCAAGGGGAACAGGATCCGCAAAGGAGTATGGACCTGGCAAAGATAGCGGCCTATCACTAGAACTCTCGAGGCAGAGCCAGTAGTAACTTGCTGTGTGGCTGCTGAAGCTTAGTCTGGCCTGTTGCAAGCCAAAAATGCTCTCGAGTGAGCCCAACGCACTCAACACTGCCAGTAATACATGGATTTTACAGCATGTAAGAGAAACTCAAGTGCTTTGGATAGGTAAATGGTAATACTAAGCATTCGGAGCCCGTGGCCACTGTAATCAACCATACATACTACAAACTACAGGTGAGTTCGTATGGAGTGAAGGTGAGTAGTACCGTCCGTGTAATTGCTGTATGCCATCAACAGCGTATAACCCGTCACCGTCAATTTATGAAACACTGAGAAGAACCGAATTGTCAGAATGCCCCTAACATATCCGTCTGACAAAGCATTCGCATTCCTAGTACCAGGTAGCTTGAAGCCGTATACTGAAACATGCTGATATCATAGGTTTCGTTTGTGAATCATAGCTGAACAGATTGTCTGGGATTGCCGTAGATTGGATGGTGCCCCAGATAGTAAGCTGAAACGTGTGTGCTTAACAGAGGAGGATGACCGTTGTAATTGATGTTTCCAATGTTCTGTCGCTATCGTTGCGACCACCTCGAATGCTGCTCATATCCCTCCCGCTGTTGACTGACTAGCTTGACGGGATATATATAGATATATGTGTGTGTGTGTACTGTACTCATACTGCGGGTGGAGGGTAGGGGTCTGTCACAGCGTTTCAAATGACGCCGTTGGCATTGCGTCTTCTCATCCCACTTCTCGATCGCTTCCTTGTTGATGATCAGGAAACAAATCAAACACAATGGCAGAAGACGTCTCTAACGCTCTGCAGGCGTTTCCAACGGCGCTCGAGACTATGTCTCAAAGTATCGACAGGATAATGCAGGTTGCAGGCGCCCCGGGCGCCTCGCAAATTCTGCTGCACACAGTCCGCCAGGCAAACGAACACTTGCAAGGCATGCGACTTAGTCTGGAGAAGTACAAAGATCTCACAGCGCAGCTCGAAGTAAGCGAGAACGCTCGTGATGGCGAGATGAATCGCTGCCGAGAGCTCACCGAAGAGCTGGAGAAGAAAAACCAGGATCTGGCCAATTTGGAAGTAGAATTGGCACGTACCCAAGAGAACAACAAAAATCTCACGAGAGAGATTGACCTTGAAAGGCAACAACTCTCCGGTAAAGAAAGCGAATTGGCAGGCATAAAGCAGAGCCACGAAGACTTGACCAAGGACTTAGAAGTCGCCAGGCAAGATCTCACATCTAGGACCACTGACCTGGCAGATATACAAGCAAGGAACACAGTGATGGCCAGGGACTTGGAACAAATGAAGCAAGATCTCTCTGTGAAGGAGAAAAAAATATCGCAGGCAGAGTCCAAGATGGCCGGAATGATCGAAGCTCATAAACAGACACGTGAAGACCTTTCCGCAAAGGAAGGAAGACTGAGGCAGGAAGAGGCCAAGTCCATGAACATCACGAAAGAGCTGGAGCGTACAAAAGCTGATCTCTCCACGAGGACCACGGACCTGACACACTCACAAGCAAAAATCGCACAGTTGACGAAAGACTCTGATCGGATAAAAGAAGAGCTCTCCACGACGAGTGTCAAACTGGAGCAAGCACAAGCCGCCAGTCGGAAGACGGCTGAAGAGCTTGAGAAGAGTAAAACATCTCTTCTGTGCAAAAGCAAGGAACTGGACTCCTCAAGAGAGCAGTTGGCTGAAGCCACCCGATCGCGAGACCGGGCAGCTGTTGAGTTAGCCGAGGAGAAGCAGAAAGCCGGCGAGACGGCGATTGAACTCCGAGGGATAAAACAGCAGCTGGCTGACACACAAAGCGGCTTGGGCAATGTTCAGAACAACCTCGACAGCACGAGGAATGAACTAGAGAATACCCAACGGAGGGCCTCTGTACTCCAAGAAAGTGTTACTGATCTTGAACAAAAGTATGCTGATGTGACTATTTCTATGAAAGAGCAAATGTCTACATCTAACAAGCTGCGTGAAGAACTGGATAAGTCCCGCGAGGATCTTGTCAGCAAACAGACAGCACTTGACCAAGCGTCTGCAGAGTTGAACGGTATGGAAACCCGTGTCAGCGAGCTTCGTGCTGAGCTAGATTCTAAAGTCGGACTGGCCAAAGACTTGGAAGCCGTTAGAAAACAGCTCCGGGAGGCGAACATGGAACTGGCAAACGCGCAGGATGCTTATACAGTCAACTCTGTCGCATCGAGAAGACGTTTCGAGTCTGAAATACAGGCCCATAGAGAACGTTTCGAGTCTGAAATACAGGCGCAGAGAGAACTTCAAGGTAGACAGTCCCGAACTCTAGAGGAAGAGCGAGACCGTGCACAAGACGCGCTGGCAAAATCGAGAGAATCTCTCCGCCTACAGCAAGCCAATTCAGAAGGTCTTGCCAGAAGGATAGCAATCCTCGAAGAAAAAGCCACTCGTCAAGAGAAGAGAATGGTAGAGCTGCGCCGAGAAGTGTCGGTGGAAGTCTCCTACAAGGAGGACATGGAGGAACGACTCCTGGAGCAGCATCGCACCCACCAAGAGGAAATTAGTCAGCAAGCCGGTAATGCTCTCCAGGAATATGAGAAGCTGAGGTCCGATAAAGAAGCTGAGAGGCGTAAACTCAAGAAGAAGGCCAAAACCCGGCAACGGGAGCAGGACTTGCTGATTGCGCAACTGAGACAGGAGAAACTGGACCTCGAATCAAGGCTTAAGAGTGCCCAAGAATCCCGTTCTCCTACAGCGTCAAACACAAGGCACCCTCTTCGGACCCCTAATGAGAATACCAGCCAGAGATCAAGTCAACCTCCAGTACCAATACATGGACTGGAAGGTAGCACACTTGTACCTCTCCGGTCCCAGGGAAGTCAGATAGTACCGGTGCCTGTGTCAGGAATGGTCCCGGAGAGTGACGAAGATCCAGGCATGAGTACCCGGCCGAACAGATCTAGATGGTTTGGTGCTGATAGCTCATCGCAATCTCGAGAATTTTCGTCCTTTGCACCTCCGACATCATCGAATCGAGATGTTCCGGAGAGTATCAGAACGGCTCAGAAACGCAGAGAACCATCAACTGAGCTTGGTGACGGCGGACCAATGCCATCATACAAAAGACTCCAGCATACTCATGCCGAAGGTCAATATGTACCCGAGTCTCCGGCTGAAGCGAGTCGCAGGCTCGGGAATATGTCGCAATTGTCCTCTTACTATGAAGAAGGGCGAGAGGAGACAGAGGCAGAGCAATCAAGACAACAGCAGCCTCCATCGATCGAGCATCAAGCTCCTTCGACCGAGGAGCAGCAGCCTCCTTCGACCGAGCAGCAGCAAGCTCCTTCGATTGAGCAGCAGTCACAGACGCCGGAAGAAAAGGCCGAATCGCTGCTGAATATGTTCTTTTTGGCATGGGAATATACAGAGAAAGAGAGGTCGGATATATTGTCCTACTTCTCGTCCCTCTTTCGCCGCGGTGCCTCCCTTGAGTCAAAGGTAAAGGTCGTCGACAGGTACTGTAATGGCACTATCGACCACGCCGCGCCACGCCCAAACTATTGCCTTATGTCGAAACTACTAGGACGAGGCGTCCACGGGCAACCGTCGGCCATGACACAGAACAGTTGTAGCTATTGCAAGGAGCATAGAAGGATATGCCTCTGGGCCTACTTCGCGCCCGGAGTTGGCACAGGCTTCGGCCAAAGAGTTTTCGGCAGCCTCCCCTTTGGAAATGGTGGAAGGGAGTATGACCCAAATGCTCAGCCCAGAGAAGTGGCATTAGGCAACCACAGTGCCAGATGGGTGCTCAAAAAACGCAGACTGGGGCTCAATGAGCCACAAGAGGTCCCGTTTGAGGTGGCAGGTGTTAGTTTGTGATTAGAAAATCCAAACTCACTACCTGCAAGACAGAGTGTATATTCTCGAGAGTAACTCGATAGATCAATAGAAATTTGGTCTACATGCTCCATCATCCATCTCCTTCTCGCGCTGTAGAACTGTAGATACATCTCATTCTCGACTCTTAGTCCCTATGTTGACCGCCAGCAAAGCAGAGACCTAGACATCCCCCCCAATGAGCAGAGACTTGGACTGCATCTTCTCCAAAGCGTATACGGCCCGATCTGGTTCTCGTTGGCTAGCAGCTTTGCTGGGACTCAAAGTGGCCATTTCGGAGACCCCATAGCTTCTGTATCGAGCCATTCCGCCCCTTCGTCGTGTATGTGCTTCCGATTCTTTTGCAAGACTGTTTCGATAATGAATGGAGGATACTGGTTGCTGGATGCGCCGTATAGATCGTCGGCCTCAGACCTGTTGCCTCGATATTCAAGCCTTCGGTGTTTCGATTCTAATAGATAGATAGATCCATTGCCGCCCCTCGAAGCTGTGAACTGTGAGTCTCTTCCGAAAAAATACCTGTTGAAATGAGCGGGTCAGCATGTCGAGGACCTCTCTCTGCTGTATGAGAATTGCTGAGAACCCCGCGAAGAATTCACAGTAGGCGGTGAATACCAAGGTCAGAATCTGCAAAGCGCGGTCGCCTGCGCCCCGAGGAACTCTTACTCCCTCCTCAAGCGCCAACATCCACAGCAACCCATTTCAACGATCATCATGGCTCACCGTGGTCATCGTTGGGTGCCATACCGCACAATGCGGCCTGAGCGCTCAGACAACAACGGAACAGTGTTTAACGCCGGGCAACCGTACCAAACACAACATTACATGGATGAGGAGAGTCACTTCTCACCAGGGCCAAGCAGCCAACAAGGCCGGCTCAGTGATGACCAATACATTAATTGGCATCACGAAGCAATCTTGGGAATGCAGGAACCACGAAACGACTATCTCGCAGACAGAGAGTCGCTGAGATATGACGAAAGAAGCCCACATCATTATGAACTCCTACTAGCTCGTGAGCGAGACCGTGCGCAGCAACTGGAGATCATGCTGCTTCGACGTGAGTTGGAAGACCAGCGACAGCAACAACAGATGCGCGGAGCTATGAGCATCAGCGTCACTTCGATGTTGCCAGTGAACATAATCACGACGCATCATACGGATCTGAAGTCCAATATCGCAGTGCTCCCTTGGGTGGCGAAAGCAGTAGCCGCGGCCGTGACTATAGTCGCGGCCATAATAGCGGACGTGGACGTGGACGTGGACGTGGACATAACCTCGGACGCCGACACAGACACAGCCGTGGACCAAGACGTGGATCTGGACCACAAGGTGGCAATGGACATGTCGATGAGCAAGCGCGCCGTCGAGCCAGGGACGAAAGATGGTTGGCCAACTCAGTCTTCATCAACGAGACAGCGAGACAGGCGATGTCAGAATATCTAGCCAGAGCCCGAGGAGATCCCATTGCAAGCATCTCCGATACGCACCAACGAGAACCTACCGTGAACAATGGTAGAAACTCAGCTCCCGCCACCACAGCAAGCCAGGAGGGTTGATAATGCTGCAGTGGCACCAACGCAAGCCTCCTGCGTCACAGGAGAGCGTCAAGCACACTGAGTAAATCAGGCCGCGGCGGTTATCACTCCAGTGGTCCTAGATTTGCCTCCATCTTCAGCTCCTTCGGCATCTGACGCGTCTGACCCAAATCCGGCCGTAGATCTTGAAGAAGAACTCCGCGGAGGGTTTTGCAGCCAGCGGCGGGCTTTGGACCTTGCAAAATAAGCAGCATGATCGACGGAGCACAGAAGCAACGCAGTTGGCGTCCCAATAAGAACGCCTAGCAAGTACAACCGCGGAAGTCCACAAGATACAACACGAGTTTCGCCAGGCTCGACAGCAGCCCGTGTACGTAGCGCAAGGTCGCTCAACTTTGAGCGACTCTTGAGGCCAAATATGGATCAATATGGCCAGTTTCTGCGTGCTTTCGAATGAGGTTGCTCGCTGGTACTTCTTGAATACCTCGAGGCTTCTGCGAGCCCGAGAACCAGGCAGCGCACTGCTATTGGTCGGCGGACATTGGCGAGAATGAGTCTTGGCGAAACTGCCTAATCTGGAGCGAGGCACAGACCAAACATTGCCGCGCTCGCGGTTTCAAATAATCCCACATTTGCGATCCAACGCTTCAGGAATCTAAGCTTGATACAACATCCATCTCACAAGATGGCGGACTACATTCGGATGACAGAATACAGATTGTTTTGCACTCTCCCACGGTGTGGGTTCACAACGAGCATACGTGCACCCGGAGTCATGGGGTTGCCCTACATGACATGTTCTCGATGCAACAGTACCCTGGATATTTTCGTCCGGGCACGGATACCACCTGATGGCGGCAGACAGTACAGAGACAGTCAAGTCCTCCAGTACGAGTACGACCATCACGGACAACGACAATCATATGATACTCGGCCCGCTCCTCCACCGTCAAGGTACGAGAGATTGCGGCGCGTTCGACCTGAACACACACAACTTCACGGCGCAGGCAGTCAACATTTCCATGAGAGCAGACAGCACCGCGACACGCGCAACACACCAAGCCGCCGATACTCACACGGTCACAACGCAGGCAGTGCTGACAGCCATGAGAGAAGACCGCGCCGCCGGGCTGACTACTTTCAAAGTCACAGCGCAGGCACTAGACATTGCATCATCACTGACAAAGCTGCAGCTCTGACTCCTCGCACGGTCACAGCGCAGGCACTCGACGTCGCAGTCATCACCGACGAAGCCACAGTCATGACTACTCACAGTCACAGCGCACGCAATGGACGTCGTTAACATGGCCTACGAGGCCGCAGCCCTGACCACTTGCAACGGCGCCGAGGAAGCAGTCCATGCTGACTCGTTGAAGCCCTTACGTGGATTCTACCAGGGCCACGCCTTGACATACACCAATCAGCTTTAGCATAGCTGCAATTGGAGAGAATGACACAATATCCTTGGGAGATGCGCATGAGGGGCGGCTCACAGACGAAACCACCGTCTGTTAGAGCTACGCACGGGAGGGTGGGGCACATGCACCAACGGACTGGGTGGCACAAAGTCCGCCGAAGATTTCCAGTGGGATAGTCGCTCGCGGGCGACTCCAACAGCTGTGGAAGGCTGAAGATGCGCACGAGGGAAGCTGCATTCGGACAATGTCAAGTCTGTGCAAGCTTGCATGGAGCGGCATGCAGATGACTTCAAATCTGTGGAAGCACATGCATGGGAGGGTGGCGCGTGTCGACAACTGAAGAGCGGCATCGGACGAGACCAACGTCTGTGCACGCTTTGCGCATTGGGGGAAGCTACATGCAGACGAGGTCACCTCATGAAGTCTGTGGAAGCTTACGCTGAGCGACGTGCGAAGAGTTCGCGTCTGTGGAAGCCAGCGTATGAGGAGGGTGGTGCGCATTGAGAACTTATCAAAGCAGCTTGAAGAAGACATCAACATCTGTCGAAGCTGTGTATGCGGGGAGTGGTTCATGGATGAGATCAACATCTATCAAAGTTACTCATGAGGTGGGCTGCACAATACTTCCTCCGTTGACGATGCGCATGAGGGGAGCAGCTTCACTAACCACGATGGATTCAACATCTGTGAAGCTGTTCATTGGGTGGGCGGCGCGCATCGACAACTGAAGAAGATGGTTGACACAATATCCTCCAAAGATGCAACACGAGGGGAGTGGCCGCAGAAGAATTCAACATCTGTGAGAGCTTCTCATGGGGTGGCCGGCGCGCATCGACAGCGGATGAAAGCAATATCCATGGAACATTGCTACGAGATACAAGCATGGACACTCGGCCGGAACCAACATCTGTGGGAGCTGAGCACAACGGTCGACGAGCATGGACGGCGGGCGAACGAAAACACACCTGTGGAAGCTGGGCACGAGGGAGGTCGACGAACTTGAGAGCCGTAAACAACCAGGTGGAACAAACAGGGCCAAGGAGCATGGATGGCGGACTGAATTTCAGCGTTTGGTATCTGATTCAGACAAGCAATGGACTTTCCACAACCTGTACCTAGGGAGCTCAATGCATGACACATCACAAGCGATACTTTATCACTCATTCCGTCTTCTTTCTGTAGCCATGTGAAATCTCTTCTTGGTCATGGGAACCCGAGGGGACGGCTCAAAGGCCGAGACTGACTTCGTGATCAACTCTCTGCTTCTACGTCGATGTCATGGAAGCAGAGGGTTGATCACGAACACTTCGCTTGGCTACCACTCCGAGAACCCACGAGCCAGTGCTGAACCTCCGCTGTCGGAGCTCGGCACGCAAGGGAAGGGTAGCTCGTCGCTGTGCGCCATTGAGGATGCCGAGACAGGTTTGTAAATGGAGGAACCGCGAACGAGCTGGGCACCCGCCGTGCGTAGAATGCGGTGCCAAGTCCGGTGGGCCAAGAGCTTCCGCCCATCTTGGCGGCCGTGAAGAGACGGCCACGGCGATTATCAAGTCAGATGGTACGTATCTGATAGTCTTATCTGATAAAAATTCGGCGTCGGCCTCCACCCACCCAGCGAATCCCTTGCCGAAGTCGGTGTCGCTCGCGGGACTTGCCTCGTCTTGGCCTAGTGCACTTCCGCGTGTCTCTCGACACCACATCCAGCAGCGCATTCCACTGAACGAGTTCGATCGCGCGGTCCGCTGGTTTCTTGTCGTGCTGTCAGTTCTCGCTCAGCATCGAGCACGAGCTCCACGTTTTTCGCTACGGATATGGCGTCACCCGTTGGAGGTGCTATCGCTTTGCTATCAGGACCACCGTACCGACATTGGCCGGTGGGTTGGAGACAAAACCCTCACCTGGGACATTCCGAACCAGAAACAAGAATTCGTCTTCGGTTCATATTCGATAGTATTCTCTTGGAAGGTGAGGACGTTGCGTGCAGGTCCACCGACGCGCGGAAAGCAAGACCTATAAATGATCCTCGGTTGCTCGGTTGAAGAGGTCCTCTTTCTCTCGTATCGTCCATCTGCAAGTCGCTTGTCTGATTGTCACCATGTTGAACAAGGTTCTCGCCGTATCAGCGTTGGCTGCGTCAGTCCTGGCTGCTCCTCTTCAGCTCCCGGACACCAAGGACATGGACCTGGTCACCGTCCTCAACAAGACGGCAGGGTTTCGCTACCTCAGCGAGAACATCGGTCAGATTCCCGCTCTCGCCAGCGCGTTGAACAACATGACAAACGTCACTGTCCTCGCGCCTAGCGACATCGCTCTGAGGCTCTTCCCGTGGGACACCCGGTACTACGAGGAATGGGAGTTGGCCGGCGTCGACTACCTGCAGGCCATCCTTGCGTACCATATCCTCGACGGCGTCCACACCAACCTGTCGACGACCTTTGCTCCGTACAAGACCGCCGTCAAGCAAAAGCCGTGGACCACGATTCCCGGTGGCCAAGTCGTGCTGGGACGTTTCGACACGCGTACGTTTGAGACGGCGTTTGTCTCGGGGAGAGGATACGTCGCCGAGGCCCCTACCTATCTCGAGTACAAGGGTGGCATCATCTATGCCATTGACGACGTGCTCAACCTCCCTCAAGGTGTCGCTTACGAACTGAACGACAAGGCCGCGAATGCCACCAGGTTCATCGCCGCTCTCGGCCGTGCGGGTCTTTTGGATGAAGTCGAGAGTCTCGACCGAGTCACCATTTTTGCGCCGACGGACGAGGCCTTCCGACAGGTCGAAAAGGCCGTCTACGGTCTCAGCAAGGCCGACTTGGCCGCCACGCTTCGATACCACGTCGTTCCCGACCAGGTTGTGTACTCTTCGGGTTGGAAGAACGGGACCACCTTCCAGACGCTGTCTGACGAGGAAATCAAGATCAACGTCCAGCGACGAAACTTCATCCAGAACGCCCGCGTCCTTGGAAACGATGTTCCCATCAAGAACGGCGTTGTTCATGTGATTGACCAGGTCTTGAACCCCAAGTTCACCGTCAAGGCTCAGAACGCCACCCAAGGTGATGGTGTTCCCGCATTCCCTCTCGGCCCAGGTTTCTTCTAGATGCGTGAGGCGGTGCTCGACGACGAACTTCGATCGAGCTCGTGTGCGACCGTGAGAATTGAGATGTGGTGTTCGTGACCGTCTCTCCGAGGTATCTGGGCCATGTTCTGGAGTCTGATCTCACATGCCGTACCCGTCGAAGCGGCGCTGTTGTCGGTCGCACTGGAAAAGTCTGTTTTGGGCGTTCAAATTCTTATAAAGTACAGATGATTGGAATGTCAGAATCTGGCCCGAAAGCCGTGCGTCAGTCCTTCCGTATGTAGCTTCGTTGTTGAAGAATCACTGCAGAATAATCTCACCGGGCTTCGTTTTCCTCCGTGGCTGAGAAGAGTCCCTAGGAGCGCAACCAACCCCTGTGCGTGTCAGTCCGGTTCCTCATCCACAGACTCCCTGGCTCGTCCCGGTGCCGAGCAACTTTCATTTCAAAGCAGAGTCTGAGCCAGGAAATGATGGTGGACATTCTGAGGATTTTTCACAGACATATTTAGAGCACCCTCCTGCACTGCCTTGTTCCGCGCCTCGTTCCGCGGTCTTGGTCCGTGGGCTCACTAGGCTGTGCTTGGCTGTTCAACCCATGGCGTCGCTGACTACATTATGCACTAAGCGGCCTGGAGGCGGAGAATCATCTCATCTTACCAAATGGATGCCGCCGTTGCCGCCGATTTTTGGAATTCCTCGAGCGACGTCGTGTACACGAGCCACGGCGTCTCGTCTGGACAGATTCTATGAAGAGTCTGACATCCCCCGTCTTCACCACTTGCCTCGTGTTTCACGTCCAACGGCATGACTTCCACGGGCGATACTTCAAGCATGGCCACTGGACATTCGGCGACGCGACCCCAGAGGCGTTCCAGAGCCAAAGATCCAGCCGATCGGAAGAGGGCAGTCTATGTTGAAGAAGCTTGTATCTTCTGCAAGGGCCGCAAGATCCGATGTGATGGAAAGTTGCCATGTGGACCCTGCCAGCGAAGGTCCTTCGACTGTCGATACACGAAACCTGTACACGGTGACGCTCCGTCGGCGAGCGATGCGCCAGCGAGCGTATCAGGAAGCCCTTCTTCGAGGACGTCCGATTCTGCGTAAGCCAATCCTGGCGTGGCCGGTTGATCGAGAGCTAATCGGCTTGACCCTAGTCGACTTTCAGACTTGACGGATATCGTGGCCCGTCTGCAGAAGAAGATTGCCCTTCTGGAACAGGGAGATTCTGTTTCCGACCACGGAATCGCCTCGACGAGTCCAAGTCGTGGCCAAGACGTCGTTGATGTTGAGCAGCCAGCCTCTGCGCCAGGATCGTCACCGGTCTTTGCGGGCCCGACCAGTGCAGAGTTCAGCTTCGGTGTCGCAAACGTCATTCTAGAACGAGAATCTGGCCAGAAGTCGAAACTAAACCCGGAGCTGGCCGTGGCGCCGAGCTCTCGTGAGAACGAGGATTCAATACCCCCCGCTCAAGCGGCGCTACCTCTACATGGTCTTCGATTGCATGATACGCTCCGGCTGATTCAGGTGTACCGAGAAACGATTGGCATTTTGTATCCCATTGTCGAAGTTGACGCGATGACGAGGACAGCCACCTCGGTGCTTTCTCCGGAAGACCCTTTCGGCGACCGGTCCACCACGTTGGATGTCGCGCAGCTGAAGATGATACTGGCGATTGCACTGCTAGGCGAGGGCGGAGGATCAAGCCCGTTGGCGAAGAGCCTTCACGAGGACGTCAAGCAGGTCATCTCGGACCAGACGATGGCACTGACGTTCACGTTGGAAGGCCAGGCTCTCCTTCTTCTCACGGTACGGCACACGCCACCTCTGGTTGCTCTCGTAGTGCTGATCAAATCTAGGCATTCTTCCACATGAACCGGGACGACTCGAGGTTGGCCTCACGCTACGTGGTGATTGCGTCGAGGATCATGATTGAATCTGGCCTCCACCTCAAGCAAATCCGCCGCCGTCTTTTCCCTCACGCGGCAGAACATTCGAGGCTTCTCGTGGTGCTCACGACCTGCATGTATCTCGATAGACAACTCAACTTCAACGCCGGCCTGCCCCTGACGCTGAAAGACACAGACGTGGACATTCCCGAGGAGGTAAGTTCTTGACACCCGATGTCTTTGGGACCGTTTCTCACACGGAGGTTCCAGGAAACGATGCCGGCGTATCTGATGGCCATGACCTCGTACATGCGCATGGGTCCTCGAGCCTGGGCCTCGGTGACAGATGACCGCGGCAGGCTCAAATATCGCATCAACAGTGAAGACTTCGAATTCGTCGAGTTCCAAGTGCGCCGGTGGCAAGCCAATTTGCCCGAGGACCTCCGCATGGACGATGGATCCGAGCTGGCTTTTGCAGATGCTCTGGACAACGGCACTCGATCCCTGCGGTTTATCCTGTACCTCCGAGCCAACCAGTTCAAGATCGTCATCATGCGACCGATACTGTTCTCGTCACAGACGTTCAAGGCGAACCTCGAACACGTCCGGCAGATAATCCACCTCGCGACCGACAACATCGCGACCATCTTGACCATGAACGAGAGGTACGGGCTGTACGAGAAGCGACAACCACTTCTCAACCTGTTCCTCTCCTCTTCACTGTCCACGCTCTTTCTCATCTGCGTCCATCTCATCTCCGACCCGCGGCCCGAGCTCGGCAGAGACGTGCAGGGTGGGATCGACAGGGGTCTCGAGCTGTTACGACTCTACTCGTATTGTCGGTCTTCGCAGCGCCTGTCCGACAAGTTCGCGACGCTCTTGCAACGACTGGGCTTTCCAGAGGTGGCACGGTCTCGTGTTGCGAATGTCCCGCCGCCGCGGCATACAGACTCGTCGCCCGACGTGGCGGGTGACACGGTCATGGTGGGAGCCGACTCCTCCTCCACCTCTGCCTCGACGTCCTCGTTTGAATTCTCGAGCTGGAACTGGTCCAACTTCTTACCCGGTGGGAGTCCAGCCGAAGTCTCCAATGACGCCTTCCAGTTCACGGCCTCAAACAACCAGGGTTTCCCGTCTTTCTCCTATCCGGAATTGAATCCGATGCCCATGATACCCTACGGCACAGGTCAATTCAACGACGATCTGCTCTTGAATTTTATCACTGATTTTTCCTAGCGCGGCGTTCTCTGGTTTTTTCTGAGACGAACCATGGTTTGTGTACCGTCAAAATGAGTCATGACAATGTAAGGTAGAATAGGGTATCACGATTGGGCGGAAAAGCAAACGTGCGAGACACGATTTATATCTTCATGGTGATCTAGCACTGTAGTCTTCATCCCCTGTCAGACTCCACGCGTTGAACTTGGAGTCTTCGGCGGTTCCCATGGCTCCCTTCTGTATCACTACAACTCTTGAGTGTATGTCTAGGTGAACTCGGTGGACGTCGACGGGTGCTGCAGAGACAATTGCTTAATTATTCTGTCTGTCAAAATTGATGCCCGACTTCTGTGCCAACATTTCCGTCTTTACAAAAATTGGGCCGCGTTGAATGGCATTCCAGAATTTCTACTTTACCTTCATCCACACAACAAACGTTGGAAGATTTGTCTACTGGGCCCGAAATCATCCTTCCACGCAAACATTCTGGTCCATGCAATCTGTCCCTTTGATGCGAGCTACATGTAGACTCGGTCGACCTTTGTTGTGGAGAAGAATTGCTCGTCCAAGTCGAAAGAATCTTCGGTCCACATGCGTTCCCACGGGCCTTCGTACTCTGGTGACTGAGTCCGGCGACTCTGCGAATGCCTCCTTCGTTGGCACGGTGCCTGAGACCCTACAGACGGCGTCCCAAAACACTCCGGCCTCGCGATCATCCCTACAGAAGAATGCCATTCTCACCTCGAGAAGGCTTCCGGTGTCTTGCCCTGGCTGCGGCGCCTTGACACAAGACGTAGAACCTCGAGAGGCGGGCTACTATTCACGCTCGAGGAAGGCGGTGAGGACGTATCTGCGGGAATCTGAGCGCAGAGGGCAGTCCAAGGATGGAGAAAAAGGCGCAGAGGCAGACGCGACGGATGACGAGAGTGGCGAGGACGTGAATCAAGGGCATGCAGATGAGACGCGAGAAATACAACATCCTCTACTCCCTCCAATGTGCGACCGGTGTCATACCTTGATCCACGAATCTCGTGGACAGCCCATTGCACATCCCTCGATTGAAAACATCGCAGACTCGATTGCCGAATCCCCATTCTCCAAAAACCACGTCTACCATGTCATGGACGTGGCGGATTTTCCAATGTCATGCGTACCGTCCATCTACAAGCAGCTGTCTCTGGCCAAACCTAGAAGCCAAAACCGTCGATCACAACATTCGTTCTCTTCCAAGCCCTCTCTGTCGTTCATCATCACGCGATCGGATTTGCTGGGGCCTTCGAAAGAAATGGTGGACCGATTGATGCCCAAGTTCATTGCCATCCTCCGAACTGCCTTGAGTCGCACGGGACAAAATTTGAGACTCGGGAATGTCCACCTTGTCTCTGCGAAACGGGGGTGGTGGACCAAGGACATCAAGGAGAGTATCTGGCAACGAGGAGGTGGGAACTGGCTCGTCGGGAAGTTCAATGTCGGGAAGTCGAACCTCTTTGAAGTTTTGTTCCCGAAAGGATCGTCTGGTCATGATTCCGTCCACGACGAACTGCGTCGACGACGAGAGGCAAAGGCCGACGACTTCTTGTCGGTCGACGGCCTTCTGCCTCCGCCTCAACCTGAAGTGCCGTTCCCGGCCATGCCTGTAGTTTCTAGCCTGCCCGGAACGACCGCGTCGCCCATCCGACTTCCTTTCGGCGACAACAAAGGAGAACTCATTGACTTGCCTGGTCTAGAACGGAGCGGCCTGGACAAGTACGTCAAGGACGAAGACAAGCTGGACTTGGTCATGACCCATCGGCCGACAGTCACCCAACACAACATCAAGCCTGGCCAGTCCCTACTTCTCGGAGGTGGCCTGGTCCGCATAACGCCCCTTCTGGACGAGAACGACCCCAGTACGATCATGATGGCGTACGCGTTCGTTCCGTTGAAATCGCATGTCACGGCCACTGAAAAGGCACTGAGCACACAGCAGCAGGAACGTGAGAGTGGAATCGAGTCTATTCTGGCAGAGGATGCCGGACCTCACATGGCTTCGGCTGGCAGATTTGAGCTCAAAACTAACGTGACGAAATCAAGGGCTGGTGCGGTCATCAGGGCAGGTGTCGATCCAGCAAAACTGCCCTTCCAGGTGTACGCGACGGACATCCTCGTTGAAGGTGTTGGCTGGGTTGAGCTGGTGTGTCAGGTCAGGAAGAAGCCACGAGCTCCTCCACCGACGGGTTTACCGGACGAAACGACTGGTGAGGCGATGAATGAAAGAGACGTCCCTACTTCTGACGATTTGTCCATTGGATCTACTGGGTTCGTGCCTTTCAGTGCTTCAATCTCAAAGGGAGGTGCTTCCGACAGGCCGGGTTACCCTCGAGTTGAAATCTTCACACCGGAAGGCAGATTTATTGGCCAGAGGGAATGTCTAGATGTGTGGCAGATGTGGAACACAGGGAAGCCTCGCAAGGACACACGCGCCGCTCGCCCACGGAAACCCATGAGTGGTGCGAAAAAACGAGCGAAGACGGCTCGACGCTCTGCGGCGTAGAATGCGCCAACCGTGTGTCCGCGGGCAAAGGCACTCGACCCGGCAAAGAGACACGACCCTGCTGGGCCTGGTTGAGGTTTTGTACAGTAGTCCTGCTTTTCGTACACTGCGGGTATCTTCTCAAAGAGCGTCTTGACGGCGTCAATTGTTAGAGCAGTTGCGCCGACTTTTTCTTCGGCGTCAACCAAATGTCCGTTCCCAAGCATTTCGTCACCTCGTTACCTGACCCCGTCTCGCTCATTCAGTCAAGACGACTATCTTCCCACGGGCGGTGTTCTCCTCTTGTGTCTGGTGTGCCAGCACAATCTCGTCGATCTTGAAAACCTTTCCGATCTGAAGCGGCAGAGTCCCGGCCCTAATTTGCTTGAGCAGATCATTCAAGGGGGTGTTCATGAATTCATCAGGACCACCACCGTACGCCGTGAGATATTTCGCGGTTCCTATTGCGGTCATGGGGGAGAAGTCGTCCATGGTCCATTTGTTGCCTGTGATGGCACGAGAGAATCAGCGCTGGCACAGAGTCAGAGATTGCCGGGGGGGTGTCGACGGTCTTACCGACGATTCCTGTGACGCACACGATGCCACCCTCCTTGATACACTTGAGGGAATCCTCGAGGGTGACGGTCCCGACCAGCTCCAGGACTTTGTCGAAAGTGTCGTCGCCGACCTGCGCCGAGACGTTCCCATCGTCGACGATAACTTGGTCGACACCACTCTCCTGCATGACGTCGGCGCTCGCTTGACTTGAGCTGCGCGTCGTTCCGGCGACGAAACAGCCGTGGTTCTTCGCGATAGACGCCGCCGCGAGACCGACGGACGTGGTCGCGCCACGGATCAAGATGCGATCCCTGGCTTCGAGCCTGAGCGATTTGAACAGTGACCCATACGCGGTCTGCAACATCTCAGGCACGGCTCCGACGGTGGACCAATCCAGATCCGTGTCGAGAGCCTGTGTGTTGCTCGCCTTCACACAAGTGTACTCGGCGTATCCGCCGTCGAAATCACGACCCATGCCGCCCATGGCGCTGGCGACCTTCTGGCCTTGGTTGAAACGTCCACCTGGACACTTCTCCACGATGCCTACAGCCTCGATGCCCAGGACGCGCGGGAACCGGACACCTGGCGAGTGGCCCTGACGCGTAAACATCTCCGAGCGGTTGAGGCCAAATGCCTTGACGCGAATGAGCACTTCATCGTCCTCGGGCTCCGGGATGGGAAGGGTTTCAATCTTGAGGACATTGGGCGGTCCGGGCTCGCGGACGACGACAGCTTTCATAGACATGGACACTGATCGTGTCTGAGTAGCTTACGAAGCGAATGGGGGGAAAGTATCACCGGAGAGAATGGGGGTTCATCAAGCAGTGGGATCGGGTAGAGTAGAATCCGCTGTGAAGGTGAAGGAAATAAGATGGGAGGAGGTGGGCAATGATATGTACAGGGCCTTGTCCATCACACATATATCCTGGGTATATACCATACCAGGACCCCAATCTTCTCCAATTGCATCTATCTCGCACTGAACACTGTCCGATATATCCGAGTGAGACGGAGTGCCTAAGCACCTTCAGAGTACGCTCCCTGGCACATCTACTTTGCCATTCCTGTGTCTCAGGCGTTCCTTGTAAGAGCGCGTGAGAATCTGCGCATGCACCTCAGGTTGACCTCATGCCGTGATCCGACGCACCACACCCTGAGCCCAAACTCGACCGCGTATAGAATTGTCCAAGATGGTCGTCGCTGCGTAAGCAACTCCTGCAGGGACTTGGGAATGTCGCCGACGCCTTTCACCTCGTGAAGCCCGCTGCGGTACGGAGTACTCCACGGGACAACATCGCCCCGTTCAACCGGTGTCTACATGCCATCGACACGACAGAGTTCGAGGTATTGGCCAGGGTGGTTTAGGAACGTAGGACTCTGGTTCAGCTGATGAAAAAGGATTATCATTATCCAAGTTAGGCAAGGGAGGTCAAGAGATGTGTGTATATGCTCCATGGTGATAGGCAATGTACTCTGAATCAACGTCCAAACGCGGTGACAACACAAAACTTATGTCCAAGCAGAGAACCCATGATCGATACGCCGACGAAAGAATGGTGTGCCAGTTGCTCATGCCAGTAGGGTATATACGAAAAAAGTAGCGAAATCAATCGAGAAGTTTCCCGGCACTTCATTCCCCTTTCTCCAACCTCATGGTCCTTCACTCGGACTGAACGCCATGTTTATCGTCAATGTTGTCTCGATCTTTCGTCTTGTGGTGACGATCTCCCGAGGGCGTCGCTTTCGCCGCTGCTGTCCTCGTCGTCAGCATTGAAAAGGGAGGACACGGGTTGTCTCTGGCGACCTCCGAATTTCATCTCGCTCTGCGTGCGACGGTGTTTGGATTCGAGTTGCTTGAGTCTCTTGTCGGCTTCGCGTAGTTTGGCCTCGAGGTCTTCGAGCTGGTACCGCTGGGACTGGACGGTATCTTTTCTGAAAGGGGGTATCAGTTCGACCGTGCCGCGCTCGTTCCTCGTTCACTCACTTCTGCACGACAGAATCCTCGAGGGCACCGACCCCATTCAACCGGAACATCTCGTCCAAGGTCGCGGAAAAATCTTGGGCGAGGGTACTACACATCGATCTTAGTGTTGCATAGATGGCAGGGAGACGGTGTGGGGGGTGCTGTCTTACGATTGAGGTCTGTTGTTGCTCTTCCAGCCGGCATCGGCGTTCGTATTGTGTGAGGAGTCCATCGTTTTCGGCGACGTGTAGGTGGGAGGTCTCGCAGCAGCAGGAACTCGAATGTCGCGAGGAGGTCCTTGTCCACGAACGCCTTGCGGTGTGTCAGTTGGCTTGGATCTCGAGTCAAGCGAACAACGTCACGATGAGTCAGGTGCAGGTGTCAGGCAGACGGCGAGGATATGACGGCCTTGAAGAGTAAAGTGCCTCGGGCCACTGTAGTTCATGTAGGCAAGGAGATGATAAGACTATGGAGATGTGCTGATGGTGGTGGTGCTGGTGAGATATGCAAGTGGTTGCCCTTCCTCGCCGCAGCCACGGCCAGGATGGACCCAATATGCGCCCAGCATGTTAAGCGAGAAAAGGGGGCGACAGGGGGGCGTCGTGTTGGGTTTGCAGCAAGTTCAACCCCAGGCATCGCAGATCGTCGGACTCTGGAAGTCGATTCTTACTCCGTAAAGGCATCAAGTGAAATTGAGAGGTTCATGGGGCTGCGGTGTGGATAGACAAAAGGATCATGATCCCGTAACAATGACGGTCCCTGAAAAGCGAGATGTGTGGACTATGGCGGCGGGAATCTAGGCCCGGAAGGGAATGAAATCTCGCCTATCGACGCCCATGATCCTTACTTTTGGTCCCTAATGGACACCCGCAGCCCCTAAGTGAAGTGAGTTTGGCGACCCCGATAGGCCTGTGAAGCCTAAGTAAAGGGCCTTATTGGCCACTCCGGTAGCCTTATTGGGCCCCTTGGTGACCATCCTCCAGGTACCAGGGCAATCCGCGGTTGGTCGTCTCTGCGTACACCAGCCCACCGGCAGCGTCTCTCTACAAACCCCGTCGTCTTCGCCGAAACTGGCCAGGTTTCGCCAAATTTTCCAAATCTCAGCACCCATCAAATTTCGTGTCACTACTATCTTTCACCATCTCGTCTCCGCGGCCACTCGTCGTCTCCATCGCGTGCCACACCGAGATCCACGCGCTTTTGATCCTTTGTTCATCAATCAGACGCTCAGGTTGGCTCTCGAGCTCAGGAATAGGCATCGTCTCGACGGTGACCTTGGCTTGTCCTTTCGCGACGATGGGATGCCTTCATTAAAAGCCTACACACCCTACGAGACTCTCGCGTTTTGCCAATCGGTCGCTCGTCATGGCTCCGACACGTCTGCCTTTGAGGACATTGCAAAGTCGCTCAATTCGAATCACCTCATCCGAGAGAGCGACGACTATGACCAAACTCGATTGACCGCTGCTGCTTTGGAAGGCTTGTACCGAGAACTCCTGGTTGAAGAGAAGAAAGCGAGCCGTCCGTCGGTCGATGGTGATGATGGCAACCCGCGCAAACGAAAACTGTCCGCTTCACCTCCGCCTCTGTCCGAAAATCATGACCGATCCGAGGAAGAGTTGCTGCAATCTCTGGTGGAAAAGCTTTATGCGCGGTTCCGAGAACAAACGATCGAGGAAATCCGGTTGGAAGAGGAGGCATATCGCAGGATCGAATCCGAAATTGCCGAGCTAGAGAAGAAGATCGAGGAAGAGCAGCAACAACAAGCCAGTGGTGAGGGAAAGAAAGCAGAATCCGGACCCAAAGATGTTGCGCCGAGGCCCTCAGACGCGCAATCCAGCCCAGATGCCGCTGCTGCGCAATTACAGGCAGGTCTGGACGCCAGTCGAGCAGACCAGGCTTCAAAAGCAGTACCCTCTCCGACCACCGTACGTGTCTCGCAGCCACCACCTTCGACAGCTTCCCCTGCAACTCCCAGGGCCATTCCGCCCGCGGAACCTGCTCAACCGCCCAAGTATGGTCAAGCTCCAAGACCGACCAAATCTGCGCAAGGCGTGTATCCGCGGCCTTCACCACAGAGGCAGGACTTTGCGCCTAACAACCCACCGTATCCTCCTCAAGGATATCCCGTGCAGATGGTACCTCCGGTCCATGGAAACATGCCTCCTCCGGTTGAATACCCGGGCACAAGACGGTCTCCGTCCGGTCAGGGCAGAGGATCACCTGTTCACATGCCACAGCAGCAATTCGCGGCGTATCCAGGCTATCAACAACCCTGGCCTCATCATCCGCCGCAAAACTATCCTCCACCACCTTATCCCAATGGCTACTATCCGTACGGTACGCCGCAAAATCCGCAGTATCAAATGTATCACGGGCCACCCGTCCAATGGACCGGCCAGCCTCCGGCACAAGTGTGGCAGCATCCGCCGTATCCTCCTCCCACTTCTGCCAATGTGACTCCGGCTCCTAGGAGCACGCCGAGTCAGCAACTTACAGGCAGGTCGTCTACGCGGTGGAAACGGAGGTCGGATTCCACCGGTGCTGCGCGCAAGTCGAGTCCCGTCCGGCCGAGCGAAAGAGATGTCAGTCCCATCTCTGATGTCGAATCGCCATCGCGTTCGGCCAAGGTCGGGAAATCAGCAGAGAAGAATGACAACTTGCTGTCGGCGCAAGATGTGAGAGGCAGACGCGGAGCGAGTGTAACTCCGGGCGTCGACGACTCACGATCACAGTCCCTCGCATCGTTCACCTCGGAAACCCCGACGGAAAAAAGACGAAGAGGACGGCCGCCTTCGAAGATCAAGGCCGAACCACCGAGCACGCCCGCCCCGATACCGTCTGACACGGAACCTCAGGTAGCAACAAGCCGCGGTAGACCGCAGAAGGGTACGGTGACTTCAAGAACCGATCAGGTGCAGACAGCGGTCAAGCGGAAGCGTTCACCGGGTCGAGACTTGGCGACTCCTCCATTACCGTCCCCGAGACGAGCCCAAACGCCTCGTGGCCCTTCCGACGACGTGGCACTGGTCAGTGTGTCCAAGAACTTCTCAAAGACTGCGCAACTGCTGATGAACGAGATCACATCACACAAATTGGCCGGAATCTTTGCCAAGCCGCTCTCGGAGCGTGATGCTCCCGGATACAAAGACTTGGTGTTCCGGCCACAAGATCTTAAGAGCGTAAAAGCTGCCATCTCCAAAGGGGGAAAGGCGGCTCTCGCGGCCATCGAAGCTCTCGAGGCAGAAGACAAGTCCGGCCAAGAGACTCCGACCAAGAACGCGCCAGTCCCTAGCTCGGAAACGGGAGAACGTTCCTTGGGCAATGGCATGTATCTCGTGAAGAAGAGTGAGGACCTGACGCCACCCAAGGGCATTGTAAACTCTTCACAGCTCGAGATGGAGTTGGTGAGAATGTTCGCGAACGCGGTCATGTTTAACCCGCTGCCCACGTCCGAACGAGGTTTCGGTCGGTCTCTTCGTCCTAGAAAACGCGGTGGAGACGTTGTTGATGTTGACGTTGACGTTGGAGCCGATGTTCAAAGCAGAAGTTCCAGCGAAGGAAGTCCCATGGACGAAGGTGGGATCATTTCGGATGCTCGAGAAATGTTCGAGGACGTCATGGCTTCTGTGCGTAAGTGGCGAGAAGTCGAAATTGAACGGCTTGGTGGTGCTGGCGACGATGCGACGGGGTCCAACGTCAAGACAACGACACATGGTCACGGCGGCGGCAATACTAATGCAAGACAATCCAGTGTGAGCTCTGCTTTGAATGACGATGACGCTGGCGGTGACTCGGCGGCTGCCTCGACACCTGTCCCTGCGAGCGGTACGGCTAGAAAGAGGAGGCGAATTGCGGATTGAGATCGACGCTGAGTCTTGACATGGCGGTAAGAAGAAGAGGCCTTCATGGTCATGGTCATGGTCATTGTCATTAGTAGGGCCAATTGATATGGTTACGACTTGTTTTACTTTCCAACTCAAAGCGGAGGAAGTGATGGGATAGATCATGGGATAGGAGAGGTCCGAACAGGATACGTGTATCATTATGTGTATGTGTATAGACAGTCTACCTGCGGAGTACCTCTTTGAGTGAAAGAGTGAGAGAAGTGAAGGGCTCAATTACTGGGATGAGATAGACGCATGATCGATCATCCTCATCCCGTAGAGACAAAGCACAGACATGGGCAAAAACGTCCATCTATCTTTTCATACTGTATCTTCGTTCCCGGTCCAGAAAATACTGATCCATCATGCAAGGAGTATCTATGTATATACGTACCATCACGGAGCCAAGCACGGTTTACGGTCTCCAACGTACACATCTGATTCATAGAACCATGAATAGAAACACTAATCTAATCACTCAATTCATATCCCAATCATTTGATTTCATCCCGTCCTCTGGTACCAGACGCATGCTGATAAGTTCGCTGCACCAACTAGGTATATATGAGCGTACTCGGAGCATAAGTGTGCAGGTGGGAAGTGTAAAGTCTCATCTCAATCTCACTGCCTCTGGCACATGGAATTGTTCAACCATGCCATTCTTCATTTTTGGTTTCTTTCTCAAAGTCAACCACCCATTCGACGTGTTTCACCACATGGTGCCACCTGGAACAAATGGTCCAAGGGTTGCGATTGAGTCTTGCTGGGTCTTCTCTTTCACAATCTGCAAGGCATGTAGATCCTCGACTCGAAATCTCCTCAATCGGCAACCAGGTCGAATCGCTAGTTCGGCGGAAAAAGGTTCCAAGCGATAAAACTCACGGCCGACCAACCTGTGCCTAAATCCTGACATTCGCTTCGAAAGAACAAGAAGTGCATGCGAAACAAGATGCAACTTGACTAGACTGTTCGAACGCCGTAGGAGGCGCGCGGGATTTTGGCGGACTGTTTCCCCTGGGAGGTGCATACAACCTGCCAGAATATTTCCTGAGGAGGTGCATACTAGGTTTTGAGATGACAGACCCTGACCGAGACAGGGTGGTGAAGTGTACCGTGTACAGTGTTGATCAGCTCACCGGTTCCAGAGAGAATGCAAGGAAGAGGAGACTGTACCCGTACGAGTAGAGTAGTTCGATGCAAGTGAGCATCAATCGACTTGATTCACTGGTTGATATCGAAGATCGAAGCGTCATGACTTTGAAGCCGAATGTAGTCAGTCGCATCATCATCATCATCATCATGTTCTTCTTCACCGTCATCATCTTCTTCACCATCATCATCATCATCACCACCACCACCACCACCATCATCATCATCCTGGTCGTGTCATCATCCCTGGATTTGACCTACCAGGAGACCAAGCCCATTCGGCTGCTGACAACCAAACCAGCCAGCCACGCAGCGAGGGCCCCGAATGATGTGATTGTAAGCCAGGCCGGCCGACGCAGCAAGGTACCTCAGGTACGAGTAGGTAGATAGGTATGCGTGTCTTGTCTTGCATTGCGCTGTCGGCACCGACATACACAGACAGAGGGAGATTTGTCCCAAGCGAGCCTTTCACTCCCCCTCCCCTCCCCAGCTCCGACATGATGCATCCTGCATCCTGCGTGCTGCTTCTTTGTGTGTGCTGCTTCCTGCGTGCTGCGTACCGCCCACGGACACTTGCATGCATATACCCGACCAAGGCGCCTTGCTAGGTCGAGGTGAACCAAAGTGATGCCTTGCCTTGCCTTGCCAACGCTTTGGCTCTCCTGCAGATTCGCCGTACGTACAGTATCCTCACCGCGACGAGTGCGAGTCCGCGCTCCGTGTCCTCCACAACGCCACGAGTCCGGGGTCTGGCCCTGTCTCTCCAGCTTGTAGTGAGGCCAAACATCACCCTGTCCACGGGGCAGTTTGAGCTGCGTACATGAAAGCGAGGCGAGGATGATGGTCGCTCTCTTCCACCATCGAAAGGAAAGGTAACCCCACCAGACGAACACGGAGAATTGCATGAATGCAGTATGCCTACCTGCGGTACCTACCTACCTACCTACCTGAACCTACCCAGGTATCCCCTGTCGCCCTGCGCCGTCGCCTTCGCCTTCGCCTTCGCCTTCGCTTTCGCTTTTGCCTTGTACGGTCGTTGGACGCCTTTTTTCGTGTCACCTTTGATGGTAGGACCTAGGAAAGTTGCCTGCGACCGCCGGATCCGACAGAGCGATGAGGGAAGCATAACAGACAAGGAAGAGCGCGAGAGAGACATGCGGCAGATGGATAGATGGATCGATGAACTGAAGAAGGCCGATAAGCCGACGGGCAGGACTGCACACCATGATCCTCTGCCAAGGTGTACAGCGCCACGGAACGGTGGAATCTTGTTGGTCTTTGCAGCACTCGATAACGAATTCGGAACACTTGAGACGATGCGACGATGGGACCATGGGACGATGAGGCGCTGAGACAGTGGTGTGGTCTAATGTAGAGGCTGATTGTGGCTCTGGTCAAATTCTGCCTTGCGGTCTATTTTCAGCTATTCTTATTGTCTCACAATTATTACCCAGAGACTTATATTATTCGGTACGGATAGGCTGTCCCTCTAATAACTAGTCCCTAGGTCCCTGGTCCCATAAGTCGACGCCGGGCCTCTTGGTGATGCACTGGCGTTGCTCTTCGTATTCGTAACTCGTCCACGTTTTGCGACAAAAAGTAAAATGAAAGAACAAACACAAAAACAAAGAATCCCGAGCTCAGGTACATGCGATCAATCCCTCGTGAAACCCCTGCCCACTACAGACAGCCCACCGCTACTGTTTCGCAATGTACTTTGAGGATTCAAAGAGGGGGCCAACTTGCCGTGTTGGTGTTTTGGGGCCCATGGTCCATGGATGGACGAGATCAGTAGTTAGTACCTCTTGCAGGTTGCAAAAATAAAAAGACTTCCACTTCAGGGCATTCAGTGAAATTATCTAGGACGACATGGTTGATCCACCAGCTTTTCGATTAACGAGGGATATTCCCTGGTGAGCTTGCATTGGACCCTCGGACGTTCAGAGAGTAGATGGACCCAGGGGGTGCACAGAGAGAGAGAGAGGGTCTTGTTCAATCCAGGGACATTGTTGTTTTTATTTTTATTTTTATTTGGTCTTCTGTTACTGTTCTTGTACCGTGCAGCCTCTCTCAGGGCTTCAGCGCCACCGTCTCGTGGGATCAGCGGAGTGACAGTTTCACCATAATACTGGCGACTGGACCCTATGGACCAACCGACCGACCTAACAGACACCGCACCAACTGACACCAACAACAGCTGACAATGTCAGGTTGTCTGTCACATTTATTATTTCGTCGACCGTTGCGCGAGCCACGGAGTGCCGGCGCAAAACACGTCATGAGGGAGTTCGAACACGACATGTTGCGTTCGTTTGATACAACTACGTACATACATACTCGTGATCGGCGTTTTCGTTGTCACGATGTGCAAGGATTGATCGACGAGTGCGAGTATGATGTAGGATATCAGCTGAAAGGCGCCATCGCTGCCACACGTACTGTACCTCCTCAGGCAAACCATGTTCTGCTCTTCGCCGATGGATCATCACAGTACGTAAGGACAACAAGGCATGGCACACACACACACTCTCTCTCTCTCTCTGTATTTGCTGCAGAGTCACATTTGCAAGGGGCCCGGAGAATTGCGGGCGGTAACTGTACAACACTGTAGTAGGAAACTTGTCACGGTGCTGGGCCCAACGCGAACCCTCCCCGGAAAAGCTACCGGTGCACGTAAATGCTAGTTGCTTCACCAAGGATCAAGGTATTCTATTATTACAACAGCCTACAGTAGGTACTGTACAAGGTAGTTTAACTAGCACAAAGTCAAACCGCAACAATCCCTGTTCTCTCGCTCGCGGAAAAGGCGGAAGTCCAAAGGAGCTCGACTGGCAAGTTACGAGGTACTCCCCGGCAATGTGGATTTGCAGCACGTGGGCCCTCGTATTGTCCGCCCAGGCATCCCGGATGTTGTAAAGGTGAACGGAGTACGGAGAAGGGCACCTCTGCCTTTGACAATGATTCTCGCACCCGTCGGGTCAGCTGGTGACGACTGCTGCAGGAGCCGGCGGTAAATAATAATCTCTGGTACGACAGGTCATCATCGCGTCGACATTTGTCGAGATCATGGTCAAGCTTGAAGCGTCGCGGCGACTTGAGGACGGTCGGGAACATGGCCGTCGATGGTCACCTGGTCATTTGCCGAGCATGGGAAAATGCCAGGGGGGTGAGTACGGTCAGTTAGTCGGAGGTACAGCAACATCCCACGGCGCTTACTCTCTACGACCAAGGGGGATCGGTTGCCAACGCAGACAAACAAGGGCGGCAGGCCATGGCTAGTGAGCCTATGTTGTGCAGAAAACCAGGAGTTGGTCACCGCTAGACCGGCGTATGATTCGCCAGGCTCCGAAACGATCCCAGGCTACACCCAGATTCACCTCGTGACCGTTGAGTGACTGACCTTGAGGACGATGATGATTGACCGGCCCGGCGAGGAGAAATGCGCCCGTCAGCAAGGAGTCATTGGGTGATTGATGGCGGTGTGATGTTGAAGAGTCGTCATTGGCGAACCGGCATTCTTTGTCACTCAAGAGCAGCACAGACAGGATATTCGCAACTGTCCTCTCGTCCAGCGTAGACGGTAACCAATGACTGACCGCAGCCCGCGTCTGGCAGCGAGATTCGCGCGACTCGTTCATCGACTGTGCCCGTAGACCAATTAACACCGGGTCCCACGCAGGCCACGTCAGAAAACGACCCCGGCAACCGAGGGCTCAGCGATGGATGCACAGAAATGAAATGAGCTGCATGCCTTAAATCCGGGGTGCATCTTGGCCTTGTTGGTCCGTGTCCAGATGCTTCACATTGGCCGGCCGTCTGTCAAGCGACGCACTACGACGTCAAGCATCCCCACCGTGATCCGGTTATCGCTCTGGCGCCGTTTGACTCCTGAAACAGGTACAGGCGGGAGAGTTGTACGTCCAGGGCCCACGGGCCGCTTGGCCTTGAGTCTTGAGGTTGTTCTTGCACTGTGTCTTTTCCCGTTTCTGCGGAGAATGGGCTCGTAGCGATCGCCAGGGAGTAAATTGGGCCCGCTAGGGAGGGAGCTCCGGCGACCTCGGAATGTGCTCTGGTGTACTCGTAGCCGGAGGGCGAGGCGGCACGGGCAAAGTGTACACCCAGTTGAAGGAAGTTTATCCAACTAGCCGGAGGAGCGGACTGGCTGGCTTCGATAGACTGCCGTTGAGGAGGTGCTGAGAAGCGGGTGGGAGGCAGAGCCGGAAGCGGGAGTTGAGGAGTCGGTCAGCTCGAGGCCAACATTGCGACTGTCGATTGGTGCCAAGCTGGCGAAGGAGAGACGCTATGCGCGGATGGGCTCGGGTGTTCCTGAGGATGGATTCACGCTCGCGACTTGACTGCGCCGGGACTTGGATCCAGCAGAATGGATCCTGTCGATACCCAACTGTACTGGTATTGTTACCCGTCATTTCAACACGGCCGGCGCTCTGGAAATAGCTCCAACGTGACGTCAAGGGGATGGCCTTATGCGACACCGAAGTCTGGGGGAAAAGCAGGTGGTCTGACGGGCTGTATTTCTGGGACACGCCCTCCTCTGCACCGACGGTAGAGTACCTAGGTAGCTACCTCAGGTACCAACAGTATCTAGATATCCTCCCGCATACCGGCAGTGTCCTTCTCGACGCCTTCATTCCCTTGCGGATGGCCTGCCCCGTCACTCGGCCCCTGTGTTGAACTGGGCGCCCATGCTTCTTCACGACGTGATTATATCATGGAATCACGATATGGACCGAGGTTGCCTTACTAGCCAGCGATGGCGTGGGGTGTCTGGAGCTGGTGTCTGCAGACTGCCATGCATGTCGCGCAGCATTGGATATCACGATGGCCACGTATACCGCCATCCGTGGAGTTGCTCTGCCATGCTTCTGCACCTCATCGCCACCACTCCGCAGACGCTTATGATTAGATGCAGGTCGGAGATATCAGCTGGTCAGGGTGCAGCTGGTCGGCACGATGCGCGATAGGCAGACCGCGGCTGTCTGCACCCTCGGTGTTCGTGTCTGCAAGTATGAGGCGAAGATGACCGTCAGCAGACTACCTGGCCATCTTCCCAAGCCCCAAAAAGCGACAGTTTTCGGCACCGTGCAGCAGCGATCGGTTACGGTTTGGAAGGCTACTGTGCACGGAGTCTGCAAGCGACCACTGAGCTGAGCGCCGGGCACTTTTGACCTTGGTCGGGTGGTGAGAGAATGAGGCAGAATAAGTGCGGCAGGCCTATGCTGTCAGCAGAAGCGGCCAGCCCGAGTTCGCCTGGAATTTGAGCGCAGGGTAGAGTCGGAGAAGACGGTGATCATGCGTCAAGCGTCGAACGCATTCCGAAGTGCTTCTAGAAGCCCCTTTACCGTGACTTATTAGCAGCAGTTCAGATGAAGAAAAGAGATTACGAGTGGGCTCTGCGGAAGACGATACGAGAAAATGGGGGCGAAAGACGACGGTAGAATCGACCAGGGGTCCATGTCGTGCGCAAGAAATTGAGAGCATCTGTACTGCCCAAGCTACGGGGGCACTCTTGTTCACAGTTGAAACGTCCCCGTCGACGGCCCAAGAGAGATGTGAAGATGCGTGTGTGCCGTGGTAACTCGTGGATACCCAGAGCATGATACCAGGGACATGATACAGGCAAGAAAAGACGTAGAGGAGAAGAATGCAAGGTACTTCGGCGCAGTCTGACCGGGGGCCAGGAAATCCCTGTGACAATCCCTGGCCTCGTCTTTTGATTTACGTGCTCCATCCCACCCTTTTCATTTCCGCCACGATACGCGCGACTACGACACTGTGTTTCCCATCAGGCCCAGAAATTCCGCCTTGACTCGTGGCAGAATTCGATCCTGTTCCCTGCCGTCAGTGGTCTGTACTTTTTTTAACCGGGTCCAGGCACTCCATCTCCCTCCAGGTACTGCAGCCTGCCTGATACGAGTTCCGGCGAACAGAACTCGACTTAACCGGCCAGACTCGCAAAAGTCACAGTCACCGCTCTCAGCAGCTTCTCTCCCTCCTCGCGAACCCTCTGGGAGAAAGATACAAGAACAAGAAAAAGAAAGAAAAGACAAACCTTCTCAAGCCCTCTCACTTCTGCAGCGGCAAAGATCCTCGCTGCCTCAGCTTCCGTCAACCCTCGTTCCCTCTCTTTTTTCGGTGCTCGCAACATACCGCTTGACATTCTGACATCTGTCCGATTCCGCTGTCTGTGCCCTGAAGAAGTACCCTGCCTACGACGACCGGGCAGACCAGAGCAGAGCGCAATATTATTGGCAATAATACGAGCCATCCCCAAGTTCGCCGCTGGCCAAGTCAACCCTCGTCTTGCTCCGTACTTGTACGACACTATTTTTCCCCTCGACCGCCGCCGCTGCCACTCACCACCACGCACCTCTTTTTTTTCCCACACTCTCGCATACATCTGCATACTACTGCATCACGCTGTCCACCACCCTGGTCAGTGGTCGCTCGACCACCATCCCTCGACTGCTCCTCCTGGTGCTGCGCACTGCCGACAACTCATCTGAATATCCTTTCTGAGCGGACAGCTGGATTGCGTCTGACTCGTCCATTCCTTTGTCCGATTCCCCCCTCCCCCCCCTGCGAACGTCACCGCATCCCTTCCGAATCATACAAAATCACACCATAACCCGCCCGACTCGAGGCTCTGCAACCGCACCAGGTCGGTCGCCTGCCGTCTGACTGCATCCAAGTCTGGTCTGCCATCGTCCCTTTCCGCCCGTCTGCATATACTCGCGAGCCTCGATCCCGCAAGGCCAGCCGGCGCCTTACGCACCCCGTCATTTCGAGTCCGCCTAGGCTCACGCCCTGTACTTCCTCTCTCGCGACGGGCCCTCCCTGCCCTGCAGCTGCACCAGCACCGATCCGATCCTTTGCGACATCAGACGACGCTGCTGGCCATAAACATGGCTGTTCTCCGAGGGTGATGGACCGTACTGGCGGCCTCTCCTCTACACGACCGCTTCTTGTCTTTCCCCTACAAGACCATTATGAAGTCGTCAAAGGACCGTATACAGAGCTGGACTCATTCTGACCATTGTCAAACCTTTTCTTGATCGTTCCCATTTATTCATGTTCTTCGAGATTCTGGACACAACCGAGGCTGCGTCCACCATGATGTCGGCGTCACCGTCGCCGGCTCTCAGGCCCCTGCAGAGTCGGGACAGCTCTCCTTCGCCCCGTCATCGCCCGCTGGCTCATATATCGGCCTACCAGCGCATCAACACCACCCTCTCACCTCCGATGCTGTCGGCGACCCCGGCCTCGGCCAACAGCACCTCTTCTGTCACCCCCAGCCCCCATCTGTCCTCCCTCCAGTCCTCGCCACTGGTCCCTCAATCACACTACAGCCATCTGGGGACCCCGGGGCCTCTCGAGCTCCCCGAGTCCCTCGTCTCGGCCGCCCATGCTTCACCTCCGCAGAGAGACCCGTCCGCGAGTCTCAAGTCGGTCGGTCTCATGCGCAAGCTGTCCCAGAGTGCAAAGGATGGCGTTTCCTCCACCCGGCAAATTCTGCGGAGGAAGACGTCGGCGACCCAAACTCGCCGGGACGAGAGCACCGGACCCATCGCTCGCCGGCGGAGCGACAGCAAGAATGCACTGCCAAACGGCGGCGGCGGCGGCAGCAGCATTGAGTCGCCTTCCTTCGACACCCTGCCCCTGGATCCCCATCCCGGCCTGGGTCTCTTCGACACCATGAGCATATCCAGCGAGCCGGTGACCCTCCTGGATACCAGCCCCGAAGGTCAGGCCCCCTGCGTGCCTGAACGGTTGGTGGGAGGCTGCCTCTTGACCAAGATCACCAGGAACAAGAAGCAGGAGAAATTGTTCTTCCTCGACGTCGAAGGTTCGAGGGTCTCGTGGAAAGGTGCGGTCACCATGAAGGTCTTCCACATCGACAACATCAAGAGCATCCGAAGCGGCGAGGAAGCGGCCAGCTATCAACAGGAGCTGCGAGGTGAAGCGGTCGACCCCGAGCTCTGCTTCACCATCAACTATGCGGCGTCGGACTCCTCGAAGCAGGTCAAGACCTTGCATCTCGTCGCTCATACGCCTGCCGACCTCAGGCTGTGGGTCGACACGCTCGAGAGCTTGGCGAAGCACCGCGAGGAGTTGATGACGGTCCGCTCTTCGGAGCGCGAGTCGGTCATGAGGGCCCACTGGGAGAGCGAGATGGCGAAACGTCCCGACACCAAGATCGATGGGCTTGATCTGCCTGCCATCCGGTCTCTCTGCCGCAAGCTCCATATCCACGCCCCAGAAAAAGAGCTGGAACACCTGTTCAACTCCTCGGACGTTGACAAGTCGAGACGCCTCACCTACGAGCAGTTCAAGGAGTTCCTGAAACGCCTGCGTGAAAGAAGCGACATCAAGAAGATCTTCCACGAACTCAAGGGTGACAAGGCTGCCGGCATAAGTCGGCCACGGTTTGTTCGGTTCCTGGAAGAGGTCCAAGGGATTGCCCTTGCCAATCTTTCCGAACCCGCCGTGTGGGAACAAAAGATGAACGATCTGGTTTTCTCTTCGTTCCCGAACCGTCCGGATCTTCGCGAGCAGGAGCTCATTGACGCCAACGCCTTTGCTACCTTTCTCATGTCGAAAGACTGCCATGTCTACTCGAGGCCGGAGGAATCAGAACCGGTCTTTGATCGACCACTGAGCGAGTATTTCATCTCATCTTCCCACAACACCTACCTCACAGGCTGGCAAGTCAACGGCACGTCTTCGGCGGAAGCTTACATCACGGCACTGCGCCATGGCTGCCGCTGCGTCGAGATCGACTGCTGGAACGGCCAAGATGGTAGCCCACGGGTCACACATGGTCGGACGCGCACGAGCTCGGTGCTCTTCTCTGACTGCATCAATGCTATCCAGAGATGTGCTTTCGACGTTTCCCCCTATCCGGTCGTCATCTCGCTCGAGGTCCACTGTGACAGTGACCAGCAGGCCAAGATGGTCGACATCATGAGCTCGGTGTTTGGCGACCGCCTGCTTGTTCATCCGCTGCCCGGATTCGCCGCGGAGCTGCCGTCGCCCGAGCAACTGAAGTACAAGTTCTTGATCAAGGTCAAATCTACCGAGCTACACGCTGATCTCGAAGCATCGCGCCGGTCTGCGCCTCTCGGTCGAGCTCGAAGTGCCAGCTCTCCCAACCGTCACGGCCCTGCCAACGGCTTTACTCCGGGTCTGGCCACAGTGTCAAGCCCTTCCATGATCACACCACCGGAGACCATTTATTCCCCGACGGATCGCTCTGTGACGGCGACCAGTGCGAGCAGCGCTGACGAAGAAAGCGACGTCGCCTTTACTTCGTCCTCGCTCGCGGATACCACCAGACGCTCTCCCAAGTCGAGCAAGGTCGGCCCTCTGCTGTCTGCTCTGGGAGTGTACATGAAAGGCTATACGCTCCGTGAAGCCCGAGATCTCGGATTCCAGCAGTACAACCACATCTTCTCCCTCAGCGAAAATCGTGCCATCGAACTGTGTCATACACCCGAAGACAAGGCCATGTTCGAGGATCACAATCGTGAGTACTTGTGCCGTGTCTACCCCAAGAATCTTCGCTTCCAGTCGTCGAACTTTGATCCCAACACGTTTTGGCGAAGAGGGGTCCAGATGGTGGCCCTCAATTGGCAAACGTTCGACGCACACATGCAAATGAACCAGGCCATGTTCGCCGCTGGAACGGACGCCTATGGCTACGTGCTGAAGCCAGAGTATCTCCGCAAACCTCGGACCAAGCACGGCGACTTTGAACACCGCGTCAAGCTTCCCCGGTACAAGATGAAGTTCTCGGTTCAGGTGGTGTCGGCCCAGCAGCTACCTCGGCCGCCCAACATGAGCAGAGAAACTCCGTTGAACCCCTTCATCGAGGTGCAGATGTTCAGCGCCGAAGACCGAGCTCGTGGCATTGCCAACGGGACGGGCGGCAAAGAGACCTACTCGAACGGATACCATGGCATTGGATCGCCGTATCGCCGTCAGACCCAGATCTGTTTTGGAAATGGCTTCAATCCCCAATTCGGCGACAGCATTGAACTGTCCTTGGAGACCAAGTATCCCGAGCTTGTCTTTGTCCGGTTCATCGTCTACAATTCCGACGACGGCAGGCACAATGGCAAAGGCGTCAGGCAGCTCGCGGCGTTTACTGCCAAACTCGACAGCATTCAAAAGGGCTACAGGCACCTGCCTCTGTACAATGGCCACGGCGAGGAGTTCATCTTCTCCACGTTGTTCTGCAAGGTCGTCAAGCAAGAATCAAAGCTCATGCCGTGGTCGCTCCAGGACGTGAGTGAGCGACCGCCCAGGGCCAACGTCTTCCGGGGCATCCTCTCTCGAGGACTGTCTGGGGACCGTGGCAGATCCCGAGCCTCGAGTATCGAGGATCAGCGCACCGCCCGTCAAGCCAAGCTGAACCGAGAGATTGAAGAGACCGTCGCTAGACGATGAGATTGCAGAATGCACGAGCAAAGGATTGTATCAACGCAGGGCGCGGGAATTTGACATTCGAAAGAGATACCCAAAAGCATATATGACCCGTGACGACATTGACTAGATTCACCCCGTCTGGCAACGGACATGATTTCTTTGTGTTAACAGTGTTTGATTATTTTGTGTTTGGAGGCCCATGGAGCTGGACGGGTGTTGATTACTTCTACCTCTTACTTTCCACCTTTCTTCTATGTACCATACACGTATAGACCCTGAGGGCCTTGTTTGTTCTCCGGATTGGAATAGGATGAATTTTTTATTGTTGCAATCTATTTCTTTGATGACGGCCTCGACACGGGTATTTCGACTGAACACATGTGTGCCAAACTTCTATTATATTTTTGGGGGGTTCAATAGCTTTTGCCAATATCACAAGTTCGAAATCGTGGAAAAAGCGGTGCATCTAAAGCTGTCCGTACAGAATCAAAGGAGGCATCTTGGTCCACTGATCGAGCGTGTCTGCTCAACGCTGGCTACTCTTGTGCTGACCTTGCAGTTGAACTTGTCCAGTCCGGTCGAGTCCTTCACCGACTAATTGCTGTTCTGCAGTAGTCCCTATGCACATAATGCCCCAGGTCTGACGGTCGATTATCGTGCCAAATGCTCGTCTTCGACGACGGTTGGCGATCCGTCATTCTACCTGGTGACAAGTCCTACGGTAGTTGCTGGGGAGGCTGAGCTCCTAGACTGCAGCAAAAGTCCGCATTTTTGTGTTGGCAACCGCCCCCTCCGTGGCATGGGGCTCCTCTATGCTCGATCCTCAAATCTGAGACCTCCCAGACATCTCGACTGGCGGAAGCGCCTGTGTCGGACATTCTGTACATCCCTCGAAGCAAGGTGCTGCTCAAAATGTACTGCTAACGTCTGAGAAACAACCCCCCCGCCGTCGTTCCAGCCCACGCTTTCTGACTCGACGAGACTGCTCAACTCTCTCCATTACTCGGAGAGAGCAGGATGAGGTTCATTACTACCTTCGAGAACAACAATGGCTCATTCCAGCTTGACATCGTCGGTATGGAGCTCTCCTCCTGGGGATCTCGTGGAGGCCCAAGTGGTTGGCTGACCCAATTCGTTCCCCAGGTTTCCTTGCCATCCTCGGAGAAGGTTCCGTCGAGACTGTTTCTCAAGTCCTCACTTTGAGTTACCTGATCTACCTGCCTCGTCTCCTCCCCGCGCCTCAGATATTCATTAGACCGTCGAGACCGGAAAAGCTCGAGACCACCTCGGGAGCAAAAGTGATTGGAGTCCATTCGGGCAACACTGGCGAAGATATACACCATGTGGCCCATGCGTTGCACCGTGGAGACAAGCTCGTCCCGAACACGGTGACATGTGTGAGAGTCAGAGAGAATGAACGGCCTCGACCGTCCATCAAGCGCTTTGGACCGTTGGCTATGCTGGCCTTCGTCGGCTTCGGGATGAGTGTTGCGCTCCTGGCCTTGTCCATATACTACAAGGATGGGTAGGATGGGGCTCGCTGGCGGATTGGAACACCTGCTGACGTGACTAGGATGTCGCTGCTGGCTACTGCACTGCTGTCCTCACTGAGCAGCATCACCGGTATAGCTAATAAATGGTCACCGACGCCGAACGATCCGAAGCCTGATCCTCACTCCCCCCCCGGCGACGTGGTGATCAAATATCCTCAAGGGGCGTTCATTGTGGTGAGCTGTGAGGAAAGGACGGCGCGATATCTGTATTTCAACCCGAGCGAGCGATGCATCTATGCGGTGACGAGCACGGCTATGTACCGAGGACTGTCTCTGATCTCGACACTGTTGTTGATGGGCGGTGTCATCTCGCTGGCCAATGCCCGGATCGAGACCCAGACGGCGTTTGCGGGAGCGTACATGCTCATCAACATCTTCTACTGGATCGGTGCCGCTCTGCCTCCCGCCCAGCATTGGGACCTTTCTCGGCTCGAGGTTGAACATATCGAGGTCCATGGCGGTACGCCACCGCGGACGGCGAAGATGGACAACTACTCTCCTACGTATACCGAAGCCTTGTGGAAGGCGATTGCAGTCACCGGCACGAGCAACTGGGTAAAGGAGGCAGGATGGGCTCCTAGAACCCCGGCATGGAACGACTGGCTGAACGAAGCAGAGGAAGCGGCGCTGGGTGAGCCGCTCAAGTCGAGCACGAAGACGATCAACGGAAAGGTGGTCGAGGTGTGGACGATCCGCAACTGGGACAGCCGGAATGCTCTCTCGACCTTGCTTCGAACCACCACAGACAAAATCGGACCACGATCTCCCAAATGAAGAGGAGCAGGACCTGATCCAAGCAATTTAGGGGTTTGATTTGATTTTGATCTGAAATACAAGGCTTATGAGAGATGATGATTGACGCGAGACCATGACCAACTAACTGACGACTATTAATGATTGATGACTGCAAATATTTGGTGTCGAGAGATATTGAAAAAGAATGATAGAGATTTGTGTCATAGTCTGAATGATACCCCAGGTGTTCTTGGGAGAGAGTGCCGTGCAATGTAAATCTCCTGATAAGTCACAGTCTACAGTACCCGGTAGCACCGCTCGAGGGTCCCCCACCCAACTCTCTCCCCCGGCTTCGCGTTTGCGATGGCTTGGCGTGCGCACAAAAACGAGCCCACGGTTACAAGGGCAAACGCACGACTTTTTGCAACTGCGAAATCTCTCTCATCCAGCACACCCAGACCTTGTATCCCGCGGTCTGCCACAACCTTCAGAACAAGATGTGAGAATCCCTGCATATCGCTGCGGAGTTTGGTCTGCAGCATGCTGATTCGAAGGATGTAGTGAACCTCCAGTGCCGTCTTGATCAGAAGCCGCCATGCCTTTCACCAAAGAGTTTGTCCAACCCCTTCCTCTCGAGTTTGGGTGCGATCGCTGACCTTTGCAGAGTCAAGAACTCGCCGTACTTCTCGCGCTTCCAGACCAAGTACAAGCGCAGACGGGCTGGTAAGGTACGTATCACAGTGCGATTATCTTTCGCACTCCGGCGTCTCACGGTGGCTCTAAACATTGCTGACGTTTTCATCCGCAGACCGACTACTATGCTCGTAAGCGATTGATCGCCCAGGCCAAGAACAAGTACAATGCCCCCAAGTACCGACTGGTTGTGCGCTTCACCAACCGCGACATCATCTGCCAACTGATCACGGCCGAACTCTCGGGAGACAAGGTCTTTTGCTCCGCCTACGCACACGAGCTCAAGAGATATGGAATCCAGAACGGCCTGACCAACTGGTCTGCGGCTTACGCCACTGGTCTGTTGCTCGCTCGTCGTGCCCTCAAGAAGCTCGGTCTCGACGAGGAATTCACCGGGGTTGAAGAGGCGGATGGCGAGTACAAGCTCACCGAGGCTGCCGAGGTTGACGGAGAGGAGCGTCGTCCTTTCAAGGCCTTCCTCGACGTGGGTCTTCACCGAACCTCGACCGGCGCCCGTGTCTTTGGTGCCATGAAGGGTGCCTCGGACGGTGGCATCTTCATCCCACACAACGAGAAGCGATTCCCCGGCTACGACCAAGAGTCCAAGGAACTCGACGCCGACACTCTCCGCCGATACATCTTCGGTGGGCACGTCGCCGAGTACATGGAGACCTTGGCCGACGACGACGAGGAACGCTACAAGTCCCAGTTCGTCAAGTACATTGACAACGACGTCGAGGCCGATGGTCTGGAGGAGCTGTACAGCGAGGCCCACGCTGCCATCCGCGAAGACCCTTTCAAGAAGGACGAAGACGAGGGTGAGAAGAAGGACAAGGCTTACTGGAAGGCCGAGGGCAAGAAGCACAAGGTCTCCAAGTTGTCCAAGGAGGAGAAGGAGCAGAGAATCAAGGAGAAGATTGCTGCACTTGCGCAGTAGGATGCTTGTCTGAACGCAGACCTGCCCGCCTACCCACCTCATCCGGTAGTGCAGTCGTCCAAAAAGGAGTCTCGGAGTGACTAGATTATCATACTCGGGGGTTGTTTACAAACGGACAATTGAGATTTGGTTCAGCTCATCGTGGTGATGAAAAATGAACGAACAGTTGCACCCTTTTGGGTCGACGAAAACGGCCAGTCATAGGCACACCGACAACGCCACCAGGGTGATTTGCATGTGATGATGAAATCAAGAATGAGAAAATTTCCTAGACGCGTCAAAACTTGTCCCGCACCCTTGTGTAAGAATGATTGCACGTTAGCTGCGGCCTGTCCGAGTAGGAGAGCCATTTGCCATTTGCGACAATTACTGTACAGGCAATTAAAATCTAGGTATGTACCGTAGGCAATCAGCAGAGCCTCCGTTCATGGGGGTGGCCGCTCTGGAAAAAAGTTTGTCTGCAACTCTGACATAAGATTCGCACTAAAGTATTATTGAGCCGCCTCTGGGAGCTCCTAAGGGTTCCTGACCGAGCGTGTCTGGGTAAGGTAGGCTTTGATAACTTCGTGCGGAGGGAGTCTTGATGCTCACTCGTGCTGTCCGTACGGTCTACAGGTCTCACGGCAATCAAACAAGAATCAAACATGGTTATCGTCGGGCGAAATAGTCTCAGAAAGAATGCCCGGTGTTCGGAGCGTTAGGATCTGCCGCTATCCCATACAGATATTACACCATCCTCCGGCGGTGGCACCATTAGTAGGTAGAGTTTGCTACAGCCCGAGGATCTTCTCAAGCCAACCAAAGTACGAGGGCTCCCAGACTCGTATAGTCGACGCTGCAAAGCTACGGGTAAGTAAGATGGACTGACTGATGGGACCGATGACCGTGAACATGACCGATGACTTATGACCACAGCTGGACCAGCACCGACCAACTGGAAACGAGGGCCCAGGCTCGTTAGCCCCCGGTTCAGAGTCCTGCCCCCAAATCAGAAGCCTCTGCGGTGCCCCAAGAGCCCTTAATAAGCCCTTGATCAAAAGGCCTTAAGCCCTCTCTCGTCAGTCTAGAACTTCCACACAGCCACCCATGTTCTCCGAGTCCCTCACCACATCCCGATCGCCATCGTCGCCAGAGCCGAACGAAACAAGACTTGAGAACCCCGCCGTCGGCCTCATCGCTTCATCGCTCCTCAGTCTCACACTGCGCCCGTCTTTCACCATGTCTCTGCACCGGCCTGAATTCATATTTCTGTGATCGGGCTGCGTTGAAACACCTGCGGGTGCATGCCGAATCTTCCCCGGAGCCATGGCCAGCACCGTCGGCCACAGTCTCGACGTGGACTGGCTCTTGCATTCGAAGAAAGGTGAACTTCGCTCCGGTCCACCAAGTCTTTTCCGTCCCGGTGGTTGTGCTGACGAAGACCAGAGCTACCTCAATCCTTAGGAACCAAAGTTAACGACGTGCGATCACAATCTCCGCCACTGATCAAATCGACCGAACCAACTCCACCGTCTACGCCGACCGATCGCAAGCCGCCCAAAAAGGCACAGAAAGAAGCTGGCTCTGGCGCTGCATCCCAGAAAACCGTGTCACCACCGAATGGCGTCAACGGTACCACGCAGGCGAGTGCACAAAAGGCTGGAGCTGCAAATCCCCCGCCAAAGAGCCAGCAGAATGCGCGACCTTCTCTGACAAGAGGACAAAGTGCCGAGGACAAGAAGACCTTGAAGGGCAGTACACCCAATGGCAAAAAGGACGGAAGACGTAGCTCCTGGATATCCAGCATCAGCTCGAAATTTACTTCTCCTACTCCTTCGCGCCAGTCGAGTGTGGACGACAGATCGGGCCTCGGCAAACCCGATGTGCCATCACCACAGCCCAGCCCAAAGCTGGAGTTGCCGAATCCTTTCAACAAGAAGGAAGCGGTCAAAGACGGGCATGCCGACACTGCGAAAGAGGAAAAGCCACCCCCGGTTGTGCATGCTGGCCCACGGCGACCCTCGGTTCTGGTGGCTGCCGGCAAGGAGACGAAGCTGGAGCATCCCGGTTTCCTCTCGAGCGCGTTACGGAGACTCTCGTCGTCGTCCAACGTCACCATGGGCAAAGGTGCTGCGTCCGGGGCAATTTGTCCGAGGAGGGTCATGAACATTGACCAAAATCGACAACGAGTGAAGATCAGCGAATTCGACCAGATCAAACTCAAGAGGGTGGCCTTCTGTGTCGATGTAGAAATCGCCGGGTTTTCTGCGTCGGCCGAGGAGGAGCCTGACAAGTTCAGCCGTCCTGCAGCGTCGAACGTGCAGAAACAAAGCCTCACACCGGAGAAGGAGTCCAACAAAAAGGAGGTCAAGGACGCGAAGGCCAAAGACATCGGGGAGGGCGCTGCTCTGAAAAACCCCACCGCTGCCACGGAGGCAAAGGAAGAAGCACCGGCAGCTCAGCCGGAGCAGACGTCTGAAAATGCCAAAGACAAACAAGAAGTCAAGGCTTCCTTGAACGACACCACATCGGCCGAAGGCCAGCCTGCACCCACCACCACAAGAAAAAAGGAAAAGAAGAAACGGTCCGAAGCAGAACGGAAAGAACGGAAAGAGAAAAAGCGGCGGCACGCAGAGGCTAATGGACTCGTGCCTCTCGAGTTGACCAGAGACGACGATGATTTGGACTCGACTTCCAGCAACACCCCCCCTGGCGCCTCAACTCCGAGACGACCAATGGACGGGCCCACGATAGACCCTCTACGGATTTACAAGCGATGTTGCCAACTCCGCGAGACGTCCATTCTCCCTCAGATGAAAGAGCAAATCACGAAACCGTCTGCGACTTTGGCAGAAGCACCCGGAATAGTGGCGGTAATGGACCTGACCGGACTCCGAATGTCACTACAGGACATCAACACGTTGGGCGACTGGCTCGCCATCGTGCCCGTTCGAAAACTTATCCTGGAGAACTGTGGCCTGACGGACGAGGGTGTGAGGGTGATTCTGTCCGGACTCTCCAGCTGCAAATCCATAGAGCAGACTCGCCAAAATCGGAAACTTCCCAAAAGGTATACGGGGAAACGTGGGATAGAACAGATGGGTGTCATTGAAAAGTTGTCGTTGAAGGATAACCCGGCCATCACCAATCTGGGGTGGAAGCACATTGGACTTTTCCTGCACATGTCAACATCCCTCAAGGCGATTGATCTGTCTGGGCTGCAGTTTCCGAGGTCAGGCGAACTGTCGCGGACACCCTCAGACAATAGTTCCGTCAGCAATGCTGACACCAATTCCAGGCCCGCCGATCTGGGAGCTTTGATCATCCATGCGCTGACGATACGGCTGGGTGACAGATTGGAGGAACTCGTCCTTGGCCGGTGTGGACTGTCGACCCAAAATATTCAGGACATCGTTGAGTGTGCCATAAAACGCAACATCCGTCGACTTGGCCTGGCCGACAACAATCTGAACGAGGACGCGTTGGCACATCTCATCCGTTACATCAAGTCCGGCAGCTGTGAGGGTCTCGACCTCGGTGGGAACGACTTACGAGGTCTTGGACACGTTCTCGCAGAAGTTGCTGATGACAAATGCCCGCTGTTCGCCATCAGTCTTTCGGCTTGTAATCTGACACCGAACGACCTCAGCGCGATCCTGATTCCATTCGCCAAGCTCACGAACCTCAAGTTCATGGATCTGTCACAGAACAAGGCGTTGTTTGCCGAGGGGCCGAATGCCGTGCCGGTTTTGCGCAAGCTGCTGCCCAGATTGAAGGAGCTGAGACGCATTCACCTGTCCGATGTCGACCTGACTCCTGATCAAGTGATCGCCCTGTCCGAGATCCTGCCAGACTGCCCGAACATGATGCATGTCAGTATCTTGGACAACGCACCTCTACTGCATGCCATGAATTCCAAAGAGGAAGGCGCTCAAGAAGAGGCTTGTGCTTTCTTTGCGGCGTTGATGACAGCCGTGCGGGTGTCGGAAACGATATTCGCGGTGGAGATCGAGGTCCCCGGTGCTGACAGCAGCGAAGTCGTCAAGGCATTGGCATCCCAGGTTGTGGCATACAGTCTTCGGAACATGGAACGGACCACGCTCGGCGACATGGGTATCAAAGCGGCCAATCCTGATGCGAAGGACGCTCCTGAAGTGCTGCTCCACCTTGTTGGGCACATGGAAGGGTACGCTGAAAACCACGACAATGACGAGCCGGCTCCGGACGAGGATTACCTTATTGCCTCTACGGGTATCGTCAAAGCCCTGGACGTTTGTCTGACAAGCAAAGACGGGACCAGCCGAACACATTCAAGGAACATCAGTCCGAGTGTCAGTGGTACGGCGACGCCGAGACAAAGTACGACCCAGGTCAAACCGCGGGATGTTAGCCTGCAGCTTTGCGACAGTGCAAGGAAGATCCGGATGAGGTTACGGCCTGTCCTCGTCAGGGAAGATCGTGCAGGGAATGACTACAACTATCGTAAGTTTTCTGCAGTGCTCGTGGTAACGCAACACAAGCTAACCTGTCACAGGTCGTCTTCTCAACCTCGATCAAACCTTGCAGCGTATGATTGAAAGATTCGAGGACGAGTATCCAGAAACCAAAGCTGCAGATCCAGGACTTGTCTCGGCAGCCGGCTCACCGTCGCCAGGTCCTCCAACGGCGGATTTTTCGATGCTGTCGACGTCGGTTGGTTCCGATGGGTTGACGAAGTTGACTTCTGCGGATGAATACTTCCCTACGCAACAGGACGGCCAGAACTCTCTCCCCATTAAATTATCTCGCACCACGTCGGAAGCGTCACTCGCAGCCAAGGCATTCACCGATGAAGAAGGCCGTATGCATCGTCTGGGACAGAGCATTCGCAGAGAAGTGCTCAAGCCAACGGGCATGGACGATGAGCTACACGGTACACGCTCTGACGATGGCCCGGAAACCCCTCATCTGGCTGCTCTCCGAGCGAAACTCGAAGCACTGAGCGGAGAGGATATACGGGCAAAGGTCCAAAGGGATGGTGCAGATGAGGTGTTGCGACAAATTGGCCTGAATGCCCAGGAGCTGTTGACTCTACGAGACACGGATCCTGAAGGGTTTGAAGCCTTCCGCATGTCCCAGATGGCGGCAGCTATCAACAGTGGCGTTGTAAACGTCTGAAGATGAGGTGGTTCTATACTTTAGTGGCATGGAGAGGGTGAGGATGAGCGTGAGGATGAGCGTGAGGATGAGCGTGAGGATATTTGTGCGTTCTGAGCGATCTGTGATGACCTGGAAACGGCTACTTTTTCCCTTTGACTGTCTCATCTATTTGTGCCCACTTTGATACCAGCTGCAATGTACTGGGAATGATGATGGTAATGAAATTTCTGCATCTGTAGTTTGTTGTTCATCTCGGACAATGACGAGGTTAGTACATGGTACTCGTGCAGAGGGAAGATCAGGATATACTTGAAACAGTGTATTCCCTTGATTTACCGTACTGATCACTGACGCTGACATTGATATGTATCGCTTACTGAACGCGAAGTGTCCTCAGTCACGACCTCAGGGAATCTAGACAATGAGCCCATGCCTATCTCAAAGTGTGCCATCGTCCAGATACGGGACTTGTCTTGACGACGGATATTCAAGCTTACAATAAAGTCTTGGAGTCTACCTTTCGGATGTATCCATTTGCCTACAGAGGGCACGTCGTGTTCAAATGCCAAAGGCGGACAGGACAGAACTTCGGACACCTCGTATGTATATAAGATATTCACCGACGAGGAGTCATGGAGGGGCATTCACTTATCTCAGGTACGTCCCCTTGATCTTGGCGTTCGATTCAAGGTCATCTGTCCTTGGTTGTGTATCTCCCATCCTCTCATCGCTGTCGTCCTCCATCTTCATCGTCCAGCACCAGCGGCGACAACTGGACTGACAAGATGGCATCTGATTCAGGTAAGTTGACCGATCCTTTCCCCGGACGGACTATCATTGTTCCGGACGCTGCGACATCAACGGGGAAACTTCGGACATTTGGGATGGGAATCACTGAGACTCCAACTCTCACTTGGGAACTGTCGGGGGCCATAAACAAGTTTAACTGACCTTGTCCTGTTCACTTTCGCAGGCTCAGTCATCTACCACGGCGAGGACGACGGCGACGAAAGAGGAAGAACAAGAACAAGACGGGAACAAGAAGACAAAGAAGACGCCCTTGCAGAGAGACACGATCTTGCCCGCGAAGCGGCAGAGAGCATCTTGTTTCGAATCGCAGAGACACAGACTCTAGCACCGCAGACGTTTGGTGGTGGTGGCGGCGGCGGTGGTGGTGTTCATAACCTCGACAGAAGTCGAAGCCGAAGCCGGAGTCGAATTCGAATTCGAAGCGATCCTCGTGCTACCTTTCCGAGCCCTGTCCCGAGTACTCAAGCGTCCAGATCATCATCACCAGATATTGATGGATACATCCTCCGCGCTCGTGGTGCTTGGGTGACTTCACTACCTACACACACTCAACCTCACATTCAACCTCGCACTCAACCTCACACTCACACTCGCGCTCAATCCCACATTCGCACTCATCGTCGTTCCTTGTCCATTTCACTCTCTGCTGAAGACGAAGAAGAGGTTCGCAGAATGACCAACATCAACAACAGCACCTCCTCCTCCAGCGCTTTCCCTCCTCTCGACACCACGGGCATGGGCGGCGTCGGCATGGGCGGTCAAGGTCGCAACAACATTGCGTCTCCTACGACCAGCGGCCATGCGGGTGGTAGCGCGGCGGCTGCAAACGGTAACGGCGCAGGCAACAATGCATCGAATTACATGGCTACCCTCCCCGTCGGACACCAGCAAGACCTCAATTATCTTTACAACCAGATCCAAGAGTTGGGAGCGCTGTTGAGAAGTAATCGGGAACAAGTGAATACCATCACAAGAACTGCCGAGGAAGTCGCTGTATGTTTTGTTTGACTCTCTCTCTCTCCCTCCCTCCCTGGTGATCTCAATGTGGCGCACTGTGTGGATTTCTAACAGGCTCGCTACAGAATCGTGCAAATGCAAATCATACGAGCGGCGGTGGTGGTGACGATGGAGGAGAGATACCCGAAGCAGAGAGTAAGTTGGACTGATCTGTTCTATTCCATAACAGTCAATCGGACACAGCTGCGGGTTTCCTGCTGCCGCAAAAATGGAGACAAGAGCCAAAGCTAATCTGAGATTTCTGTTTGTATCGCAGGAGCCAAAATGAGAGAGGTTCAACGTGAACTAGCAAAGGCAAAACACCTCGTCGAACTCTACAAGCACGAACAAAAGGAAAACACCAGCCTCATCGCCATGTACGAGGATGCACTGGGTACCGCGACAGAACAGATCCGCAACTACTGTTCGGGGATCGAGGCACGATTCCTCGAACAGCGTCGCCACTACAACAACCTCTTGCAACAGGAAAAGGACGATCATCTCCAGAGCCGGTTGGACCGTGATCACTGGTTCGCGCAAACCCTCAAGGTGTGTGAGATGATTCGGACGGCGTACCGGCTGCGCACGGATGAGTGGGGTGAAGAGTATGCTGTGATTTCGGGTCTACAGGCTCAAGTGCGTTGTTATCGACGTGTCTTGGGATGGGAACCAGAAGCGCCGGAAGAGGAGATTGGCTGGCCTTACTTGAAGGATCTGCCTCTCAATGACAGAACTTGAGGGCAGATGTGAATTGAGAGGTGACCGGTGTTGATGAGAGTTGAGAATGGCCCGATTTGGGGGGTGACGAGAGTTGAGAATGGCCTGAGTTGAGAGGTGACCGGAGATGACGATGACCTACCAGGCTGAGGTTTGCATTTTTTTGCACTTTGTACAAACATGACCATCATGATGATGATGGAAGAGGCTTGCATACACGATGATAGCGAGGCCAACGAGCCAGCGAGCCAGCGAGCCAAAAGGAATGAATTGAACTTGATTGATTGAGTGAGTGATTTGATTTCTCGACGGTCGTACGGAGTAGTACTCTCTCATGCTACACTCAAGGTGGCATACCATACCTTGGGTAGTGCAGGATACGCAGGGCAGGGCCAGATTAGTCGTAGAGGACGGTAGGGCCATGCAGGGCCATGCAGGGCACAAGATTGAGCCAAGGGTACAGTACAGAGTAGGGTGCAGGTAATGCAGGGGCAGATTCAGATCGAGCAATGCAGGGCAGGACAGGGTGTGTGCAGGGTTGAGCAAGATATAGTAGGGTAGTGTACGGAGTATTTAGTTAGGGCACTATAGCTCAAGGCGGGGGGGAAAGATGCAGGGCCAGCCAGTCAGTGTAGGACTCAGTAGGCGGTTGGGAGGAAAGGAAAAGATGTAACGGGGGGGGTATGGAAGGGTCAAGGGTCTACCCTACCCAGGGAGAGATCACCAGGGGGGGGGGGCTCTCCATCTCTACAGTACAGTAGTAAAGATCTCAAGGAATCCAGGGGTCGAAGGTTCAAGGAACATCTACAGTGTCACGTACATCCCTACCTACATATTGTAGATGAGGGTGTGCACGGTGGATATGGTGTTGCATGGTATGTATGCGTGGCGTGCTTTGGAGTTATAATCAGTCAGTCAGTCAGTCAGTTGTAGGTCAAACAAGCACAATTCTGTACGAGGTACCTTGACATTCTGGATACCAAAGACATGGTGAGCGACAGGGGGTGACAGAGGGGGAGCCAGAAGGTAAGGCGAATAGATGGGTGTCAGTCTGCGTAGACCGTACATACATGTACGTGAAGAGTGTGGGTGGGTGCGGTAAAATCGCATCATAAGCAAGAAAATGGCAAAGGTAGAAATTCCCCATACGCGCGACATGCGAGGACGGTGTGCGGTAGAATGGGATTTGTCTGTGCTGTGCTGTGCTGGGCTGGGCTGGGCTGCCCCGGGCTGGCGAACTCTTGGACTTTACGTTTTTGGCCACAGACTTTTAAAAACAACTTTAAGAATCCATGGTTGAGTTTGAGAAGACTCGGTTGAGGGCCAGAGAGTTATGTAACATGTACCTAGGTACGGACTGCAGAGAATATGGCACGTCGCTCGCGTATTAGCCAGCACTCGGTGCAGGTGGAAAGGGAGTTGACACGAAGTAAGATAGATATGAGGGTTAGGTGCCAAAGGGGAGCTTACGAGTATGTACAGGGACGTAGGACAGGTACCTACAATAACGTAGACAGATAGACATACGATGCATAAAACACCAGATGAATAACAAGCCCCGAAGAATGGAAAACGAAACCAAAAAAGTGTCCCGACTTCTACAGCAGTCCCAATCCATAACTTGACATACATTTCTGCACTGCAAAGTGTCAGGCGGGAACAGGAGTTCTTCACACTGTAGAGTACGTAAAGTCTTCAAGAAGCACAGAACACTCGTTCTTCACGCAGTACGTAAAGATTCTTCAAGAAGCACAGATACAGATACAGATATCTTCCATGTACGGAGTACTACGTACGGAATCGGAATCCTACCGTCCGTATCTTTGCGAGCTGGGGGCTGGGAATGACATTTGCTCCATCCCTCAGGTACTGTAGGCATTAGTCCTTACAAGGATGATTCAAGATAAGATGCATATGCATAAGCGACGTGGCCAGGGTGATGAATCGGGATTCCTCCAAGTCGAATTGGGGTTCGCATCTCGATCCTGGATGCCGTGAATGGAATGGCTGGGTTGTACTCGCACCGAGTTCGAAGTTTGGTGGTACAGTACCAGCTCATCCAAGATCCGATCTTGTGGTAGATTTCTTCGGAAAGCACTTTTTGGTTAGCGAGTCAAGGACGGAGTAGTTAGTGGCATGTCAGATAGGCGAAATACAACCCCGGTCCATTCGATTCGGTGGTGATGGTCGCTGTCCAGTCTCCAGTGTCAGTAGACGCGTTCTGTCTGTAGACTGTCGTGGCTGTCTACCAGCGTACCGAGTTCCAGGAGGAGCAGCAACTTAGGTATAGTGGGTGGATCGGGGAACTATTCGGGCTGTGCGTGCCTAGACTCTTAGCTAAACACTTAGCTAAACACCGACGCCCCCCCGGTACGCCGTTGGCCGTTGGACACCTAGAGGGCACTAATCAGACCACCTACAATACGCGGTCCAAGTCGCCTCGGAATAGGCTTCACATTGACACACGTTTAGTTAAAGTAGGGAGGAGGGAGGTGGTATAACTCCCAACGCCCGACTCCCAATTCACCTCTCTACCACCTGGAGCCTGAGCAAGTCAAGCCTACACTTGCAACCGTAGACACGACACTCGAGAGTCGCCACAAATCTACCTTTTGCCTGCCATCCGGTCAGCACTGGTCAGTCAAGTCACCACTGATCAGTAACCAGAACAGAGAATCCCACGGTTCAGGTTGTATGTACTTTGGAAGGCTACAGGTCCTGACCAGGGTGTTGCAGGGTCTTTATCCTTTTAGAAACCACGGGGTCTTCAGATCTAACTTAGGGGTCTTCAGGACTAACTTACTGAGATACTCTGTGGCCACGTTGTTTGTCCAGGGTCTTTTTACCCTTGTACACCACCATCTTCGATCCAGCTACTCCGTCCTTTCAGTTAGAGGCTTAGAGCTCACTGGCTAACTAAAATACCGACCTACGGCGCTGTGTCCTTGCTGAAGTTGCCCACTACCCGTTTGACGGGCGGAGACACGGCTGGGTTTTTGACAAGCCACTTCACCATTTTCTGACAGCGTTTGTTGACACTCTTCGACCATACCCAAAGAGATGCATGGTCTGCGGTACTGAAATCCTCCACCTACGTAGCAACTATTTTGTGGCTTCTTTTGACACTCTGAGCCTCGACAACCCCGACACGCCTCTTGCGCCTCGTCTACGCCGGGCGTTCGCCTTCTCGCACCACAACTCCCCCGTTATACACGAACCCATCTCGACCGCTCGATCTTCCTTTCGATCGCCCGATCCGTAAGCCCTCAAACTGTGATCGAACTACTTACGTGTAGTCTGGACCTGCACCACCCATATTCGTCCAGCCCAGGGCTTAAACCTCTTTGACCCTGGCACATCTGTCAGTTGTGCTTCCCCGGCCAATTGCACAAACACCGTGTCCCGAACAATGCCGTCTCTCGACGATTGAACCACCATCTCGAACCACCATCTGTCCGTCTATGACTGCAGACTGCAGACTGCAGACGCCTCCCCCACAACGGCCTGATTCAGTCGACTGACCTTCGCCTTGCTGCCCCGGTCCGGTCGTCGACCAGGACTGGCGTATGCTGACGTCCCGTTTCGTCGACGAGCCTGCTCCTCTACTGCAACCACTACCGAACGACGCTCCCCCTCCAGACTGAAAACATACACCCTTATGCAGCTCAAACCTCTTTGACATGTTCGCCGACCCTGTCACTTCGTCTGGGACGTACTTCTTCGACATCCATCATCACCTCGCCTGTGTGGAGTTCAATCTCGTTCCCTGTCAATGCCATCAGCGCCCTGTCAGGCCCAGAGCGCTCGAGAGTCAAAAAAGTCTCTTGTTTGCTGTTTTGCCCGCGCACATACCCATCCCGCGACGTTTTTCGTGTTCGTCCGTGCTGCATCGAGCTCATACCACATGGCAGTCTGTTACCGTGCCTTGTGTTTAAAGAGATGGTCCCTCGTCGACACACGCTCGCAACAACCACCGCCGTCTCGTCTCTTCGTCGCACCGATCAGGTCTAGTCCCTTCTGTCTTGCTCCCATCTGGGATCTTTCACCCTGTCATTCCCAAGCCGCGGCAGGGCAGTCAGACTCGAAAACAAACAAAGATCACCTCAAGGGTGGAATAACAACCCCCTCGCCTCAGCCCTCTACTCCCTCCCTGCCTACCCACCACTGCTCATCCTGACGCGTTGGGCACGAAGCCACCCCCGGGGCATGTTTCTGTCGTGGCGTATATGAGGGGCATTCGATCCTCGCTGTCTGACTTTCTCAATCCATCCCCGTAACCCTCGTCATGTCTACCACAGCGTCCTACTCTGCTCTGCCGTCGCCACCTATGGAACAGTCGGGCTGGTACCCCTCGGAGCGGAGTGCAAAGTCTCGCCTCAGATCTTTCTTCAGCCGCACAAAGTCCCAAGACAAGGTGGTGCTGCACAGACAGTATGTTGAGAGCTTCCCTCCTCACCCAAGTGTAGCACCCTTGGAGCACACCAGAAGGCCTCAAGCTACGACGTGGTCCAAGGGGCACAGACATCGGTCGAGGAATGTCGCCGCGGACCCTCCTCCCTTGTTTCGTGCCTACACCCAGGCAAGGAAACAAGAGTTCCTCGACGTTCCATCCTCGTTCACGGACACTCTGTTCCGGAGCGGCGGCCACGCTCGACGGAACAGCATCTCCAGTGAGACGCCATCCAGGCCGAGCTTGGAGAGATCACCGACGGACGTTACCCAGCACAAACGTAACTGGTCTGGAGCCAGCACGTGCTCTCTGAGCCAGAAGCTGTTCGTTCTGACCACGGGCGGCTACGTCTTGCAGTATGCAGCTGACGGGTTGAACGATCGTCTGCCCGAGAAGATCCTAGAACTCGGTCCGGCGTCGGTGGCCTTTGCCAGTGATGCCATCCCTGGTAAACACTGGGTCCTCCAGATATCTCATGATGGAACACCGGACCATGGTGCCGCTGGTAGCAAGGGCTCCTGGTCCAGGTGGTCGTTCAAGCAGCCCGAGAACAAGAGAATTGTCACCGATCTTTTCCTTGTCTTTGGAGATGCCCGATCTTTCAAGGATTGGCTTCAGGTCGTTCGCAAGGAGATTGCTGGCCTAGGCGGTCTCGAATATCGTCCCGATTCGAGGCAAGAGGACCAGGTGCCAGAGCGCCGTTCTCTCAAAGCTCAAAGGAGTCTGCCCAGTCTGCCCAGGTTGCCACCGACGTCTCCTTCTGAGGCTGATCTTCCTCCACTACCACTCCGCAACCCTTCTCGCAACATCTCACGCTCCAACACAGACTCCTCAATCCACACTCTGAATGACCTCGACCAACTCCGCAAACCATCTTTCTCCGATAGTCAATCCATCTCCACCACCCACACCAGCTTCACCAGCTCTGTCATGTCCTATGGCGCAGAATCCTTTACCAGTGTTGACGAACCTCCTCTCCCGGCGGTGGGTTCTCAGTCTCGACTGTCGACACCTACTCAGGATGATGTCGGGGAGTTGTCCATGTACATGGCCACCCCCAGGAAATCAATCACCATCCCCAAGAGAACAACCTCGCTCGAGAACACTGCCGATGTCATCAGCCATGATCTCTTCGTGCAAAGTAATGATTCTTCCAGCAGCACGTCCACCTACAAGTCCAGGCCAATCTCCATTGTCGCTCCTCTCCCAGAGCCGGGTCACATCCGTAAAATCTCTGCTCGTCATCGATATGATATTCAGAACCTACCGGTTCAACCTGCCACACCTGCTGCCACCCCTGCTGCCACCCCTGCGTCTTCTCGACCCTCCAGCACTCGCAGCCGAAGTTCCTCCCACACTTCTTACAACCCCAAAGAGCCTTCTCCCGATGGGCTTCATCGCCGCGCGGTTTCTTATACCCTGTTTCCCAAGACCCCTTTGAGCAATGCACAGGCCGCCGCATCCCTTCCGTCTCCACCGGCTACTACGCCAGGTGCAGCGTACGAGAGCATGTGCAACTATCCTTTGACTCCAGGATCTGAAGGCGACAAGTCTCGCCCTTCTTCGAGAGTTAGCAGGGCATCTTCCCGGAGAAGCACCAAAACCCTTTCTGTCAATACCAAGAGTGCTCATTCAGCGACAGCCGATTCACCTCGACGATCTCCTGTCGTCGCCGACACTCATTTCGAGACCTGTTTTGGCACACAGGCACACCCTGACGCCGATCGTCGGAAACTCTCCGAGCGGAGCTCTATCGGCAAAATCACCACCACTACCCTCCAACCTTCGGCCATGGACGGTCCAGTGCCTAGAATTGGCCAGCCTCCCGCGCGGAAGACCCGTCACCTCAAGAGCCGAAAGAGCATGCCTACCCTGGCCCGAAGCGTGGCCATGCAACCGCTAGGGCCTCCCCCCAGCGGTCCTCTCCCAGCTCTGCCCACCGAAGCGCCTCTTTCTTGCCTGCCTCTGAAGAAGTTGAGCTGCATGTCTGGACCGGAGAGAAAGCCAAAGCCACCGCCCAAACACACCAAGGCGGGATCCTCGGACGCTGTGATGACTCTCCGAAAGCTCGGCAAAGAGCCTCCTGTACCGAAGCCCCTCTCATTGACCCTCAAGCCACTACCGGTGCCCAAGGCTGTTGAAGTAGAGGGGAAGAGTGCTACCAAGACCGAGTCAACGGTTCAACATACCAGAAACATGTCTTCGATCTCCTCGGTAGGCAGCGTCACTGCTTGGCTCGCCAGTCCTCGCGTCGCCGAGTTTTCTGCCAAATACGGCCTGGACGACAGTGACAAGGAGAATGAAGATGACAAGGAACGGAATGGCAAGTTCTTGTCAGTCAGATTGACCAATGGTCTTGGATTCAGTGCCGAGTTTGAGAACTACATGTGTCATTGAATGACCTCTGGCAATCTCTACTGTCGATATGTTTTATGTTTGTTTATGTGACGCTGACTTTATGCTTACGGATTATGGACCATGTACGGTACCGATGATGATGGTTTTTTTTCATGGATGATATGACTCTTGATGCATTTGCGGGCATTTTACGAAAACCACTATAAATGGGGATGTTACGGAAATGGGCAAACCATGAACGAGATGTGACAAGACAAGACAAGACAAGACTTTCCCGAAAGATGGGAACAACAACAACAACAACAACAACAACAACTGCCGACCAGCGAGTCATTTGTGATGGGGAAAAGTCTGGCGTTGTTGAATTTTTGTGGTGTTCTTTTTGTCCTGAGAATCTTCTCCCAAGCACTCACTACTCTACCTACCTCATACGAGCGAGGAAGTAAGTGTGCTCTTCTGTCTGCTTATGAATGCACTAGAAAGAGGAAAAGAGAGAGAGAGATCAAGACATAGACACCCAGGAGACCTGCTACTTTCCAGGTCTGGCGTTTGGTTTGAAACGAAAATCGGGATGACACAATAAATGAAACGAGATGACTACCTTTGAAGAACGTCGATTGCCTTTCTCTTCTTCTGTATCTTTTGTGCTTTTTGCTATTTGCTAAAGCTTTAAGGGTCAGTAAGTAGGCAGGCCTGATTTTTCCTACGAATCTTACAAGCCACGACCCCAAGCACACCTGAGCATGGAGAAGAATTGTTCGAACCCCTGAGAAAGTGTAGGCCAAGATTGTAAGGGCCCAATGGTAGATCGGATGACTTCCATTCTCTGTGGATGTGGATGTGGACATTATCACCAACCGAACGATAGCTACAAGCCGTTGCAAGCAAGTCTCGGTTTCGCTTTGAACACATAGCTCTTTCAGCATACGAATAGATTCAGAGAGGGAGAGAGAAAGAGAGGGGCGAGAGTCTTGTAAGTCTGGATCGACTACTTTTTGCTGATCTGACCTGACCTGACCTGACCTGACTTCTTCAGAGGTTCACCCAAAGCTCCAATGAGCTCGTATGACGCCCCCATTTCTTCCGTACAGGTACTGTAGGACTTACACGGGAGTGAAGATTGCTTCGGTCGAGGAGGCAACGGAACGGCCGCTCTTCAGTCTTCAAGTCTTCGCGTCAAGTGGCAAGTAGCAAGCAAGGAGCAAGTGGCAAACAGTGGAACACACACGCACACTCAAAAGCCCGAAAATTGTTCCCAATGCGTTTGTTGGTGTGTATGCTACGTGTGTGTGTGTGTGCGGCCGACCAGACTCACTGACCACTCACTGAGCACCGGGACAATCAAAACGCAACTCGTTACTCGCGCGAGTCATGGTGAGTTGTTTCCTGCATCATGCACGTCAAAATCCGCTTTAGTTAGTTTGTGCTTTCGCGCTGACGTGCCGCGCCCATGTCAAACGTTACGTTTTTGGGACCGAGGCCACCGCGGGGGGGCAAAACCTCTCGATTCGGATTTCTGTCCTCGTTCGTTATCCGGCATCCCACGGCTCGACATGAACATTCTGAAATTTGGTTCCCCGGTAGATTGGCGTACAGTAGCAGCATGCAAGAGAGTATTGGCAGGTGGTGTGGTGTCACTTGTCGGCGTCCCTCTCTCTCTGTGTCTCTCTGTGTAAAAGGATCCGTAGGCTAGAATCTCAGGGAAGAAATCGACCCTTGCCTCTCTGTTCGACGGAGCTGGTCGGGAGGACTCATACAGCAATTCCAAGAAGACCCTGTGGGATGTAATTCAACGCAGTGGACTCTCGGGGTCGCTGACTCCTCTTGCTCAACAATGTAAGATACCGTAGTAGATAGATGATGGTCCTCGACTTTCATCCGTGCATACCCTGTGGTTGGTCAGCGAAGTTGCCGACGCACATGGTAGCTACACCCCTCCGTAGAAGTGCGTGTGGTAGGTACTGTGGAGTATGTAGACTGCGGACGTCCTAGACTTGACTGCGCCCATCGCACTCGCGATAACGGGGCATCGAGCTAAACTCCGTGCTTGATGCCGACCGTTGTTGTATCATCTCGTCACTCATAGTGTTGAGTTCGATCAAGACCATCCTGAGAGTGCGTCTTGATTACCGCGGTTTGTATATTCGCTTTCGCCCTCTTCTGCCGCTTGCATGCACTCCTCCTCCTGCTTGTGGACCCTCTCTTCTCGTCCCTGTATACGCCTCTCCTCGACAATATGGCTCGAATACTAATTACAGGTTCGTCTGATGGACTCGGATCCCTCACGGCGCGCGCTCTGGTCAAGCGTGGCCATTCTGTCGTTCTACACGCGAGGAACGAACAACGCGCTCAGGATGCGCGAGCTGCCTGCCCAGAAGCCGAGACATGCCTCGTGGCCGACCTCTGCGACATTTCACAGACCAAACAATTAGCCAGAGACGCGAACGCGCTCGGAGCGTTTGACGCCGTCATCCACAATGCCGGCCTGTACACGGGGCCCTACAGAAAGACAAGGGAAGGCTGGCCTAGCGTCTTTGCGGTAAACACCTTGTCGCCATACATTCTCACCTGCCTGATCCAACCCACGCCGAAACGGCTCGTCTACGTGTCGTCGGGTCTGCACAACGGTGGCGATGCTTCTCTGAAAGACCTCACGTGGCAGCAGCGCGGCGGCGAGCGCGGGTTTTCGGATTCTCAGGCCTACGGTGACACGAAGCTGCACAATGTGATGCTCGCGGCTGCGTTTGCTCGCCGATGGCCCGACGTGCAGAGCAGTTCACTCGATCCTGGATGGGTGCCTACGAAGATGGGAGGGAGCTCGGCTTCGGGCGACATCGACGCCGCCGTCAAGACTTATGTTTTGTTGGCCGAAGGGCCTCCCGACGGCGTCTCAGGGAAGTACTGGTTCGGCAGTCGAGTGCGATCCCCCAAGACACAGGCGGACGATCGAGCACTTCAGGACAAATTGATCGAGCAGCTGCAGGAGATCACAGGTGTGCCAATGCCGTGAGAGATGAGATTGAGTCTCGTTTGAAATAGAGGGATTGCTGGTTGTCTAAAATGAATTAGGTAGATAGGTCTTCCACCATGCTCAGCTGCGGGTCTACCTGAGCCTTTAGTTTTTCTATCCTCAGTCTTCTCAACAAACAAGTTCATTTCTGTGGAATTCTAATCCTCCAGGCCAGAATTTTCATAGTTTTCTTTCTTGGTCGATGCTGAGCTGAGCTGAGCTTCACTGAGATGGGAACGTGGTCGACTTGTGTCGCGTATCACGAATTTTTGATTTCACGATTTCACCCGACTTGTAGTGAGTGGTACACCACGAGTACTCCGTAGATTAGCATTGAGTTCGTGAGGGCCAACCTCACCGCCAAGTTACCATCCTCCACTGCTCCGGAATAGACCTGCGACAGGACATACATTCTTGTGCTGTTTTCATGCTCGGTGAGAAGCTTATCTTCATCTTTGTTTCAGGCCTCCCGTGGCGCGGCTTGCTCTGCTTTTCCACGACGACTTCGGAAGAATAATATCATACAATTCTAACATCTCCCTTGCGACAGTCGCGCCCGCAACCTTCATGTTGATGAGCGCAACCCCGGTGGCTTACACTCCTACAGCCATCCACCGCCATGTTCCTTGTCGTGATCTCCTCCGCGGTGGTGGGCTACTTCTTGTGGTCCGTGGTCCGCTTCGTGCAGAATTACCATGAAGCGAAGAGAACAGGGCTCCCCATCATCTTCACGCCGGTCAATGCCCCAGGGCCGCTGTGGATGATGCTCAAAGATTTCTTGATCCCCATCGCCTCCCGACTGCCGTTGGAACTGGGGACGTGGGCTCTCCGAAGCGACATCGGCTGGACGTTCCCGTTGAAATACAAAGACCACGCAAGGTACGGCGACGCCTTTGTCATCGTCGGACCAGGCGAGCTGGAACTCGTCCTCGCCGACCCGCCGGCCACGGAAGACGTGATGAGGCGGAGAAACGACTTCGTCAAGAACCCGGCCATGTACGGAATGCTGGACATTTACGGGCCAAATCTAGACACGGTGAACGGCAAGGCGTGGGATCGCCATCGCAAGGTCACGGTCCCGCCGTTCAACGAGCAGAACAGCGCCCTGGTGTGGCGGGAGGCCGGGGAGCAGGCGGAGCAGATGCTGGCGGTGTGGTCCTCCAAGCGTCAGGAAGTGGTCAGAAGTACGCAGAGAGACGTGCACGCGCTGGCGTTGAACGTTCTTTGTGGCGCTGGTTTCGGGGTGAAGAGCAGCTTCGTCGACTCCACGTTACCGCCGTCGTCGCCCTCCGAGGATCAAGGTCGAAGCGGAGATCGAGACCGAGATCGAGATCTCAAACCGCAGAAGCTGGGCTACCGAGAATCTCTCCGACTGTTGCTGGCAGACTTTATCAACGTGGTTCTGCTTTCGCTGCTCAAGAAGGGAGGGTACCCAGACTGGGCGCTGTTCGGCGGCATGAAAAAGCTCAACACCGCGTACGAGGAGTTCAAGGTGTACATGGGCGAGATGATCGCGCACGAGAAGGAGGCCTTTGCGCGAGGGGACGTCTCGAGACACAACCTGCTGAGTGAGATGATTCGGGCGCTGGACGGTTCGATCGCCGGGGCGGGACTGTCGGACGAAGAGGTGTATGGAAATCTATTCATCTACAATCTGGCCGGACACGACACCACGGCGGCGACGCTCCATTTCGCCATCACGCTTATGGCCGCGCACCCGGAATGGCAAACGTGGGTCGCCGAGGAGGTTGATGCCGTCTGCAAAGCCGACGACACGGGGTCGTTGTACTACGAAGAAACGTTTCCCAAGCTCAAGAGGATTCATGCATTGATGGTATGTCTTGTTGAGTGGTTTGTTTGTTCCGTCACAAAAAGGCAGCAGACTCCACACACAACCTGCTCTTCCCTTCGCCGCCTCCCTTCTCCCTTCCACCTCAAGCACACTACTGACACAGAGCTGGAATAGTACGAAACACTTCGACTCTACGGCCCCGTGGTCCTGATGCCGCGATACACGGCCGACGAAGCGCAGAAACTCGTCATTCAAGATCGAGTTCACGTGGTGCCTGCGCACACGACCATCTCGCACAACTTTGCAGCGTTGCACCGTCACCCCAAGTACTGGGGCCCTGACGCCGACGAATGGCGACCGGATCGGTGGTTGGTGGCAGACGGAACGAAGGACGGCGGCCAGGAGGAGGCTTCACTGTTCCAGCCGGCTCCTGGGTCGTTCGTCCCGTGGAACGCAGGGCCTCGAGTGTGTCCCGGCAAGAAATTCTCACAGGTCGAATTCACAAGAGTCATTTTCCACTTGTTCGCCGACGGATCGCGGGTGCGACTCGTCCCTGAAGACGGCGAGAGGTACGAAGACGTCAAAATCCGAGCGTTGCAGACCGTGGACGCGGCAAAGGTGGTTCTCACTCTGAAGATGTCCGGTACGGAACGCATTGGGCTACAGTGGTTCAGGCAGTCTTGAATTTTTTGATCTGGAGGATCGTGATGATGTCGGGCTGCATCTTGATCGTAATACATAACTTTTTGTTCCTCTCAACGAGACCCTCCGGGGCGAATATGTTATGGTATGGAGCCACTGTTCTGAACCACCGTCTTTCCACTCTACAAAATGCCACTCCAATCCTGTTTCTTGACCCAGTCAGCCACACTGGGCAGATTGATCGGGACGCCGAGCTATTTAACAATCACACCGTTTGTCAGCGACTGTCGAGTATGCATGCAATCCATGTAGAAAGACGAGAAGAAGAAAGAAAAACTCGTTTCATTGTCTTACATCTTTGGGATGAACCACGCTGGGATCGCCTCCGTCGAATCCAAATTCGGCAATGTAGTCCGCGGCGTCCTCGATGTCCTCTCGCAACTCTGGAATGTCGATCCAGACCTCGTCGGGTGCGGTGGTTTCGTACCTGGTCTCGACGCAGTTGACCCGGCCCCAAATCGCCACGAACTCGGCCAGGGTGGTCAATTCGCGGAAGGCCAGGAGGTGCTTTCCGGCGTCGACGCTGAGCAAAGCCAGTGTCAAGGGACCGGTATCCTCGTCGGTAGCGATCAAGGGGATCTTAGCCGTGGGAGGGATTCTCGTCTTCAGGACGTACACGCCTTCTGCGTTCTGCCGGAAAAAACACCGTAAGAAACAATGCAGTGTAGGTAGGTATCTGACGGTGCGCTGATTGAGGTAGAATGCACATCAAACGAAATGAGACGACGAGCCGAGACGGGATGAAATGAGATGAAATGAAATCCGACGGAACGGAAGCGTACGAAACTAAGAACTGGAAGGGGACGAAAAGAAACCAGTTCCGAGGAGGGGCTTCTTCATCATCGCCGTCATCATCATTGTCGTCGTCGTCGTCGTCGTTGTTAGTGTCGTCGTTCTCGTAATCATCATCATCATCCTCCTCCTCCTCCTCCCACCCTTCATCATCATACAACAATTCATACGTACCTTGCGTGGTTGATAATGCGGCATCCAAGTCATATTACTCAAATACATGCCAATCTGAATAATACTCGTCTTCTTGTTCATGAGGTCCGGATACGTTGTTCGTGCGTACTCGACCGCCCTCGCCTCGCTGTCGTAGTGGTACACGTGCGTGTATTTCCCCTTTGACCACTTCGTGGCGTACGACAGCGCCGAGAAGACCAGCCTCTCCAGCCCCTCGGTCTGGTCTGCGGCGGCGAACACGTTCTTGCCCTGCTGCAACTCGTAGTCGTGCGCCCAGTCCATGAGCGTCTGGCTCCGGCTCCGGCTCCGGCTCTGAGGAGGGTTGCGGAACCCGGTCCAGAAGTCGGTGACGCTGAAGATGGCGTCGGCGCCCTTGAAGGCCGAGACGAGCGACGAGACGTCGTCGAGGTTCACGGCCACCACCTCGACGCCCTTGGACGCCAGGATCTGGGACGCTGGACTGCCAGTGTTGCGCGTGAGTCCGCGGACGCGCCAGCCCGGTTGACGGAGGAATGTCTCGACGACCGATCCGCCTTGGGTTCCTGTGGCGCCGATGACCACGATGAGTTTGGATGACATTGTCCTTCCGATAGGATCTCAACGCGGTTGTATGTCTTTGGTCATGCGGTGTAGTGGGAAGAAGACCGAGTGAACCAACGACGTAAATCTTTTTCGCACCAAAGTGACTGTCATTGTTTCATCTTTCGCTACCCACCCCGCAAGGTGCAGGAATTGACCCTTGTTTATCATTTTCATCTTCTGTCTGGGCCGAGCCTTGCAGTGGCATGTTGTCTGGGGGGCTCGTGTAGAGGGTACTTCGTGAAAAAGTCCCCTCAGGTCGAGACGGCGAATCCCCTGAGAGTATCTGTTCTCCCGAGTCATCATCCCAGTGATGTGCCTTTGCTTACCAATGTCCAACTCAGACCAGCCCCGGTCGGAACGAACTGGACCCGACTCGACCGTGGTTTGATATTGTCTGGCAGTCATTGTGTGTTCTGGATGATCGTGACAAAGCGGGCGCCATCTCAGGAAGCTATTGCGGCAACTAGAGTCTTCCCATGGCTGTACGGGTCCATTGAAGACCAAGGACTCTCTGACCGCAAGTCGGGCAACCGGTCAATTTCTCTCCGAAGACCATATATATGTGTGAGAGTGGTTGATGACAAATACCTACTCTGCGAACGAAGTGTGGACAATACCGCAGTGAGATGGATGGACGGGCCAGTTTGCTTTTGATTGTCATACCATGTATTCTCTACCCCGTCACTACTCTCCGCCGCTCATGTCGCTACCAGTAAGCATTTTCAGATGACAGACGAGCACACCACTCCTGTCTCCTGACCAATCACTCCCTAATTGAGAAGAGAACTATGGTCTCGGTGTCTCCCAGGCCATTGATAATCCGGGTCAATAGGGATGTTCTTTCTCAAATGATTCTTGTACGTGGGAGGAATTCGACCCATCCTCTCTGCTCTCGCTGAAGGTGGAATGCCATTCTCTTCGTTGTGTGCTTTTAACAAATCCTCAATCGCACTGGCCCATTTCACCAGCTGGTCCTCTCTCCACGCCGTGTGCTGTAGCGTCAGCGGCAACGGCATCCCATCTGGATCGAGACCAATCGGAATACTCATGACGGGATACCCGGCCTGTGCGGCGATCTGGATCCCACCAGCCTTGACGTCGAAGAAGAGCAACGCGTCTAGCGTCTCGTCTTTGGCCTCTCCTTTGCGGTGACTGGAGGGGCATTTCAGCGCTGCGTCAATGCCGTTCTCGCGGCACTGCGTCTGGATGTGCTTCAGCGCGGCATAGTACGTCTCGTCCTTGATGCCCTTTGTTTCGACGCATTTGCGGAACAAGCGTTGGCCGTCAGGGAAGGCAGGAAGGTCGCCCTCGTGTCCACCTTCAGAACCGCGGTTCTCATCGTTGAACCGTACCACATCCTCGAGTGTTTTGATCGGCGTGTTCTTGAGCTTGCCCAGGTACTCGTTCATGAGATAGTATGTCTGGACTTTGCTGACTGTGATCTCGGAGATCTCTGGTCGACTTTCTCCATATCGTTCCCTGGTAGCATCCACGTCAGTGAAAATTGGCCAAATTTCCGTCCTAGTGATAGATGATTTGATCTCACCAGTCCCAAATGCCGTCTTCGTCCAGTCTCTCATCGGCGCAGGGCATGTCGACAGGTATGATCTCTGCACCCGCTTCCCGAATCAACTGCAGGGCCCTTTCGCCTACAGCCTTTTGCGGGTGCGGAGCGACGTCCCAGAAGCGCTTCATGGGGAGACCAAACCTTGCACCTTTCAACGCGTGGCGATCGACGAGGAAGTCACAGTAGCTATTGGGTTGTCGTCTCTCGGGGACGACCGAGAACTTATCGTCAGGATCTGGGCCGGCGATGACGTCCAGTGCTCGAGCTGCGTCGGCAACGGTCCTCCCGTACGGACCTATCGAATCTTGAGTCTCGGAGATGGGAATGATCCCACCTCGCGAAGTGAGGCCGACGGTTGGCTTGATGGCAACCACACCGTTCACCATGCCCGGGCTGATAACACTGCAGTCTGTCTCCGTTCCGAAGGCGAGGGGCACGATGTTTGCCGAGACGGCCACTGCACTGCCTGAACTGCTACCATCTAGAGATTGTTTTGTCAGAAAGGATGACGCGGTTCTTTCCAGAAAGTGTGATGAAGCCCTACTAGCAGATCGATTCAGGAGGTATGGATTCCGACACTGTCCGCCACGCGCAGAGTAGCCCAAGGAATAGATGCTGCCTCTCATCCCTGCCCACTCGTCGAGATTTGTCTTGCCGAGGATAATGGCTCCAGCTTGTCGAAGGAGATGGACGATATGAGCATCTTTGGGCACGATACACCCCAGCAAGACCCACGAACCACCCGTCGTCTGCATGCGATCCGCGGTTGCCATGTTCTGTTCAGATAAGCATTGATGTCGCACAAAATCAAGAACAGACGCACATCTTTGACTAATACTGGCACCCCGTGGAGAGGACCTCTGATGTTTCCTTTCTTCCTCTCCTCATCGAGAGCCCTGGCATGATCGAGGGCCTCGGGATTGGTCTCGATGACGGCCTCGAGGTATGGATTGATCTTGGTATCGTTCAGTGCCTTGACCACACGGAAGGGGTGAGAGTGCCAGTTACTCTTTGAATCCTGTCTAGACAGAATTGCACGTAGTCAGCTGAGGACAACGATCCCGAGGTGAAAAGGTGTTGTAATTCGTCGACCGAAATCTCGTAGAGGTTGTGACCCTGACAAGCTGGAAGACGAAAGATCTCTGGCATGTCATTTTCAGCAGCCGACTGAGTCTCCGAGATCATCACGAAGTCATGGCTCTTTGCCCGGCTGTGTTCGGCACGAATTGGTTGTTGGAGAGCCATGTCGCTGATCTGTGGACAATAAGGCGGTGTGCGACTCGGATTCAGAAACAAGAGCCTTTCGAGCTGAACCAGACACCGATAGTGCCCAGGAAACACACAATGGATCTCACTGCAAGAAACTATAATGACTGAGAGCGTCTGTCAGAGGCTGGAGTCTCAAAGTATATCACGAACAAGTCGTGGGAGCAGCGTTGTGAAGGTTACTTACTCTTGGAAGACGGCAAAGCGGAGGTGGAATTCTCCGCATCAGAGTAGATCAGCGAGGATGCATGACAAAGTGGCTCATCCCACTCGTGAAGCGGCCATGTAAGACGTGGAAGGGCAGACTCCATGTCGGGTTGAAAGCTCTACTGGCTGGTCGGATACTCGCCTGCTCAGCACAAGCTACTGGCTCATCTTGAGGACATCGCAAGTCGATGATAGTATGGCAAGCCTATTTCTATCTCATTGCCGACATAAACGCACAGCAACATCACTCCATCGTTTCGGCAATCATGGCGGCCTCTTCCCAACTTGCCTGCATTCCTTTTGCATAGATACGGTCAAGGTAGAAGTACTTGACCAGCACAGATCGAACGTCGGTCCAGCCTTGCAGCCGAAGTACTTTGCAGACTTTGGCCAGATTCAAAACAAACCACGGTCGTTCTCTTTGCCCCGCAGAAATGAATGCACCCAACAGCAAAACCCAAGCGAGAAGCTCGTGGTACGGACCCCAGAGGCCCTTCAAGTCCGACACTTGCAAGGCACTCTTAAGCTGGGTTGTCAGCGTCCGATTCAAGGCCGAGTCCGGCTGCGACATCTGGTAGTTTGTGAACCAGAAAATCAACAGGGCCAATCGACAGGCTTCCTCTTTGTCGCTTGTCGGAGCCCGAGGCTCAAAAGGTGCAGAAAGTACCGCGTACCTAAACTGGTAGCTTTTCGCATTGATGTAATCGACCTCTTCCTCGCCCGGCTGCATTTGTTTTTCGTGGTAGTATTCTCGATACCGAACGACCTCTGTCATGTCTCTGAACGCTTGAGATATTCTCCAGTCGAGGATTGTGTCAACTTCTGGGGTAAGAATACCCGTCCCCATTTGCCTAGTATCATCCGCCAGGTTTCGATTGATATCTTCGATCAGGTTAGGTGGCAGGGAGGCCAAGGTAGACGTGGGCGGCGAGGCAGGCAGGGTTCTCGTCATTGCGGCGCACATGTACGAAGTGCTGTGGTGGATATTAGAGTCTGTCATCCATCACGACTTTTTCGTTACTTACGACAGTATGAGCTCCGTCGCATGAGGAGGAATCCCATGGTACCCGCCTCGCCACGCGATCAGTTTCTGCAGACCACTGACGTGTGCGAATATCTCTTTCTGGTTGCCCGTGATGACCTGCAAGAACAAATTTAGTCCAGTCAAGCGGCGAAATTCTGAAAGACTCACTTCGATAGATAGCAAGCACATCATCGCAAAGATTGTGGAAGCCTTGGCTGCCGTCTCAATCGATTTCATGGTCTCGTTGGCAAGCTTCACTGCATTGACTTTGTACGATACAAAATCCGGCACGGGTCGATTCTTGAGATCCTCCTCGGTGAACGTAGTCTCTTGCGATCCACTCCGTAACTGTCCCAGCCGAGCGTCACGCTCTGCAGAAGAGATTGCCAACAAAGAGTACAACACCAGGGGTTCCTGGGAAGCTTTCTCGAAAGCCCACCGCGTCTGGATCTCTGCTTGTTGCCGGGTCGGGAAAACCGAAGGTATCATGACATCCGAAACTGCCAATATGGATCAGTTCGGCTTTCGTTGCTCCTTGATTTTATTTCCACTCACAATGCCGCAAAACTGCGTCCATGGAAGGTGTTACCATTATCGAGCTAGTACTGAACGGATCAAGAACAGAGTTCCTCAGAGCTGAGATTGGTGGTCCATGAAGAGGTTGGCCGACACTGGCAGCGTCGAGCCGCTGGAGAATCTGCGTGAGCATGGACCTTACGGATACATTTTCTGCCAAAGCACGATCTTCCTGAAGGGGTGCAGGCTGGCGGTGCTCACTCGAGGCTCGTCTATCATCTTCGCGTTGGGCCTCGACTGCTTGCCGTACCTCAGATCCTCGGACATTGCTATAGTATCGTAGCCTGGAGATTAGATCTTGGTCGACGTCGGCTACGGCCCGCGCGTTTGTAGCCAGCCCTGGAGATGGAGTGGGTGAAATCGTAGAGGTGGGAGTTGGTAGTCTGGAGTCGCTTGGTTCTTGACGGGTTGGCGAAGTCAACGGTGAAGCTCGATGATGCTCAACACTCGGAGATGGTTCGATGCGACGCGGTTGAAGCTGCGTTGAACCTCGGTGACGACCGACATTGGCCGCATCAGAACCTCTCTGCTGTCGAGCCGCTTGCCTCCGGTTGCGATAGGCGCTCTGTTGAATATGTGCATTGATTGCCCGTTGGTCAGAACGTGGTCTTTGGCCGGCGGATGAGGAGTCGACAAACAAGAACCGACTACTCTGGTCGCTTGCGGTCACGGCTCTGGTACCATGGCGGTTCACTCTTCGATACTTCGGGGCTGAAGACGCGCCGCTCTCGCTCTCGTCGTCTGGCTCGGCTGAGGTGCTCCCTCTGCCACGGTCGGTAACGATGTCTCGTCGACCTTGGCTTGATGGACGACCTTCAGCCATTCTCAAACAGGCAAAGCCGCAGCAGGTTGTCGAAGCAGATCTGAATCATCGAGTTGTCATTCAAACGGACGGGCTCCGCAAGAAAGACATGCCATTTCCGCCTAGATGCAGGAGAGTGTGGACGAACTGCAAGCTATTTCTTCCAGCGTGCAAAGGCTGGGCAGGTCTCAGGTCGTATCTCCCAAAAGCAGGAGAAATGGTCAGTGCGGACGGGCCACCATCATCCTCCAACAAGACGCCGAGTTGCCCGACTGTTGGATATTGTATGACCCTCTTGTGTCCCCTTTGCCCTAGTTCCTCTCCTTCATCGCCCGATTCCTAAAATTACCTCGAGTCGAACTGAGTTTAGGCCGACTTCTGCCGCCCATTTGAGGCGCTAGCGTGGGCTGTTGGTAAGCGCTAGAGTCATTGAAGCAAAGCTCACACGCAGCATGATGTACTAGGTATTCAGCTCGCTCATTCTGCGGTGCGACAGCATTGGTTGGAGCTGCACTCCCGTTTAGGCAAAAGGATGCAGCCAATCTCATCGACTTATGTCGCTGAATTCGAGATGAGATGGAGGGTGGACCGAGAAAAACGGCGTGGCCCATGTGAACTGGCGTGATAGAGCGTCGTACCCCTGGAAATGGATGATGGACCTCGTACCCGATGTTGAGTTAACATTCAGATGGATGTGTATGACCTGGGGGCGCTGACTCGTCAAGATCGTCTTCATCTTCCCACCGAAAACGCAGGGAGTTTGACTGTGGTTTGTTACTCCCATGACACAGCTTGTAATCCTCCTCACAGAGTTGGAATCTCCTCGAGCCAAACAGAGGATTTCTACGCCACGATATGGGTGTCGTTCTCTTGCCGACTTCTGACTTGGAGTATGTGCCGAAATATCTCTTCTTATCTGGACAGGACGAATCAGGAATATGCAAGAATAGCCATGTCATGAAAGAATGTGAGGGTTTCAACCGCTCTGATAATTATCTGTATCTAACTCCCCCGAGTTTTACGAAAGCGCAATTCCATACGGCGCCAAAAACAGCTGGCCACGCGAGCGCAAAGTCGAGTCCTTCCGTGGCTCCGTCGAGAAGAGCTGGAGCCACAACCACAAACCATTGAAGCGCCTGCGGATGATACCAGTGCTTCGCCCGAGTCTTCGTATGGTTCCAGTTCGGCCGTCACGTCCCCGCAAGCATCCCAAAGGGCAAGTGAAAACGCCGCGCTGGATAGCCATTCCTCTCCTCCAGCGTTCAGTTTGTCGGGCTCAACAGGCTCAGCGGGCGCATTTTCCAGGCTCCCGATGGTAGGCGGTTCCTCAGAGAGGTGTCACGAGCATGGCGACCTCCTGGACTATTGTAAGTTGGAGTTGTCTGATGTGCACCGTCGGCTAACTTCCGATTAGTGTTCAGAAATGTCCTCGGTCAATTTTCAGGCACAAGTGTCTTCAAACACATTGCATGGCCAGGGTTAATCGTGGCTCGTCACATGCTACTGCGCAAACTCCCCTGCCAGGTTCTCCTTGCGATCTCAAGTCTCTATCGTGATCTTGACGCCGGGCGGCAAGACCCTACCTCCGAGACGATCGCGTTCATGTTGGGAGGTATACAGCTGCTCAAAGAGCAACTCCAGACACCTGACACTATCGATGGAGATAGTATCTTGACAATGACTGGCTTGTGGATGTATGAAGCGGTACTGCGTTTCGAGATTGTCGACTGGGTATCCACACGGCCCACAACCACCAATACTGAGTCGTCGTTGCAAAGCATTCAAGCGCATCTCGACGGACTGCGGCGGTCGATCGCGCATATAGGTGGCTTGAAGTATCTTCCACCAGAGGCAATGTGGTCTGTGGCATGGTGTGTACATATCCCAACTCTTCAACATGTCGATCTGAAACTGACTTTGTAGGTGCGTGGCGAGCCTTCCCGGCTATTGGACACTCGATGCGAAAATGACCGAAGACCAGTCGATTAGCAGAGCTCGTTTGACTCCTGGCTCGCAGTGCTCTCTGACACGATTGGTGGATTTCCTGACGAGAATAGAGCGACTTGCTTCGTCGACAGACTTTCAACCTAATATACTGCAAGAGACATCGTTCAGCCTGATGAGACGCTCCTTGCTGCGTTTGGTACAGATGCCCACAAATCAAAGAACAGTACTAAAACGCATGATGAGGTCGACTAGTATGTTGTCGATCATGCTTTTCACCTTCGACGTACTCCTTGGAGGCAGCAAAGCACACATACAACCACTCAGAGAGCGGCAAAGGGAGATGATGAGGCTTCAGGATCGGCTAGACCAGCATAACATCGACCAGGAAGGCTCTCCACAACTGGCCTGGCAAATCCTCATGACAGAGAAAGAGACGCCGCATGTCCAGCTTCATCCACGAGCTTGGCCGATTGTTGAAATGGTCAACGAGGTCAAGCATCTCAGTGTTGCAACGATCGACTCAATGTCAAAGCTGTTGATAGAGTGGATGTTCCCACGAGATGCTGGGCATGTCGCGGATTTCAGATACGAGAGGTTGTTGCTACAGATACATTATGAGCTAGACGGCGTGGCGGGTGTATTATAAGTCGAGAGATACATACCTACTGAATGACTGATATGAACGGACGTTGGGTTGGAAAGAGACCAACTAGATTAGGATCGTGGTGAACCTTTGTCTCGAAATGAGAGGGAGGACAAAGTGTCTCAATGATTGACCGTAGCATTTAATCTTCGGCGGAGTAACTGAGGCGGGCGGGTGCCTGGATCTCGCTATGTCGGGGTTGCAGATGCACTGGATTCGTTGCCGCTGCGTATTGTTGCCTGTTATCTTAGTCGTCTTCATGACTGGTGGACTTCTGTTGTCCCTACTTATCAGTGTGTCCGCGAGATTGCACCGGGCTTGATGTTTCCAAAGCGCCGAATCAGCCACAAATTCGAACCCAAATATGCCATCTTCCTGGAAGGGATGAGATCCTCTCCGAGATCACCGCGTAGTTCCTAATCCACCCGGAAGGCTCCCAGAACTGCAGGCAATGGGCGTTTTGAATGCAGAATTACCTAGGTGCTATCAGGGCCCGAAGCATTGTTCTCTTGAGGTTGCACCACATCCATCAAACGGGCTTCGGCAATGCACAACGAGCCTCATGGATTAACCCTACAAACTCTTTCAAACCACCGGCGCTGACGCCATCTCCTTCGAGGAGCCAGTTCAGCGATACACATTCTTTTATCAAGTCCATATGGTTAGAGTGCATCCGCACCCGCGACGCGGCGAAAAGCGCAGGGGTTTGACCTGAGGCGGACTGCATCTTCTACCAAGTACTCTTCAATCTCTCGGCAATATCACACATCTCGGGTAATATCTTAGGAGCGCATCGGCAAGTTCCAGCAGGTACTTCTGCCGCAAGATCCTGAAACGGAGTGGGAATATTCTCTCCGCATCTATCTTGGTCGATCGTGTTAACCTCGGATGTCATTTCCTCCACATGTCCTCATGCTGGGAAGTACCGGTGCTCTCCTATAGAGGCTTACAATATCGAACTGCCGATGAATCCCTCCACAGCATGCTAAAATCAAAACCTGTCAACAGCTCTGTCAAGCCCGCCCCGGCTTTGGAGAAGGAAAAGCAGATAGCAATGCCGGGAACGACAATATCAATCACCATTGGTGGATTCTCGCCGTATACAAGACAGTTGCCGGTGGGAAAGGCATAAGTATACTTGGCAAGAGATGAATCAACCCAATCACAGATACGGTCGGGCTACTTTTACAATGTATACTATTCGCTGGGAGACTATATACATCGCTGATTCGCAGGCGGTGCAATGGGAATTGTCCAGATCCAATATACTACCCCGAACCCTCCACAGTCTCCGTTCAATCCCCGCATAGTACACGGCGACCAGGCAGGATGGCAAGCGAATGCTTGGGGGCTCGTGTAGATCTAAGCGGTTAGCACCGCTTGAGATGAGTCTCGGTGCACACCTGAGAAGTCGATCACGGCAGTTGTGCCCATACACTTGCCGTTGGCCTGCCTCCCGCCAGCCTTCTTAAGCCTCTTGTTCACCCATACTTGGGCGAATTCAGGAGGGAAGAAAAGAGACATATCGCGTGTTGTCACACACGGTGTCCTGGTCGGTATCATCTCTTCACCATGTCTGCGGAGATTTCAAACGCTCCTCAATCTCATGTTGATCCAGAGAAACAGGTTCAGGAGACGGTCGTCCACCTCGAAGATGCTTTGGCAACGCTTCAGATTGATCCGAAGGACGCCGATGAGGCATTCGACTTCTTGAGAAACCACCCGAATGCCGATGGCGTTACTCAGGAGGCCATCTCCATACTCGCCGACGACCACAAGGCCAAGATGCTTCTGAGAAAGATCGACTGGGCCATCCTTCCGTGCATGATCGCAACATATTTCCTCCAGTTCCTTGACAAGACCACCATCGGCTACACGGCCGTCATGGGCCTTCGACAAGATACCCATCTCAAGGGTCAGGATTATTCCAACGTGGCTATGATATTCTACGTAGGCTACTTGGCTGCAGAGTTCCCTACGCAGTATCTATCGCAACGGATTTCGAGGCTGGGGAAATACCTCGGGGCCAACATCATGTGCTGGGGTGCTGTGCTAGCTGCGCATGCCGCCTGTCAGAATTATGCTGGTTTGATGATCTGTCGTACGATCCTGGGTATCTTTGAAGCCTGCGTCACACCGACGCTTGTGCTTGTTGTGGCCATGTGGTACAAAAAGTCGGAGCAAGGGCGTAGGATCTCCTATGTCTACGTTTGCAACAGGTTTGCTACCATGCTCTGCGATACTGATGCCGCTGACTCGCGTCCAGTCTGACTTCAATCTTTGCCGGCCTGGTCTCTTACGGAGCCTCCTTCTCAAGCAATGGGCATCTTGCGAGCTGGCGAATCTTTCTTCTCACCATTGGACTAGCCACCGTTGCTATTGGCTTCGTCGTTTTCCTGTACCTTCCGGATTCCCCGGTCAAAGCCAAACGCTTCACAGATGCTGAAAAGGTAGCAACGTTACTCCGGGTCAAAGACAACCAGTCTGGTACTCAGAATTCCAAGATCAAGACAGACCAGCTACGCTTGGTGTTCAAAGACCCGGGTGTCTGGCTGATTGCCGTCAGCGTGCTATGCCTGAGCGTGCCGACTGCGATTCCCAACTTTTCCAGCATCTTGCTGACGACATTCGGCTACACTCCACGACAAGCGCTGATTCTCAACATCCCGGGGGGCGTTGTTGGTGCTGTCTCCACCATTCTGGTTGGATATCTGAGTGACCGCTGGAACGATCGAAGCCTGACCATGATCGTCAGTATACTTCCAACCATTGCGGCGTTTGCCATGATGATCGGACTTGACCCTGGCGGCGTTCCCAAGAGCAAGGGAGCTCTCTTGTTTGCCCTGTACTTGGCCAACTCATTCACGTCGGCCTTCATGCTCCTGCTGGTCTGGAATGCATCCAACCTAGGTGGGCACACAAAGAAAGTCACGGTCAATGCCATGACGTTGGTGTTGTATTGTGCCGGCAATATCGCCGGTACCGAAAGCTTCAGAGCCGCAGAGGCCCCCGGGTACATCAGTGGCAAGGCAGCCATCATGAGCACGCTGTCCACGCAAGTCTTTGTCTGTCTGCTGCTCAGATATCGGAATGATCGGCTGAACAAGAAGAACCGTGAGAAACTCGCTTCGATGGGCGAGGATGAGAAAGAGACATTGCGACAGCAACTGGCTTATGCGGACAAGACTGATCGAGAGAACCCGTTCTTCGTGTATACTCATTGAGCCGGACTTGCTCTGACCAGTGGCAAGGACCCAGCGATTCAGAATCGTCGTCTTCAGAGTGGCAATGCTTGAGGGTAGAGAAGAGGATGACTTGTGCCGCACAAGCCCTCAGGCTTAATGCTTGCCAATTGATTATTAGTTTGAAGAAGTCGTCGCTACAGGTCTATGTCTATGTCTACGTCTATAATAATTAAGATGGGCCAGCAAAGCTTCGTAATTGACCCTATATCGAACAATACCGGAGATGGCGGACGACGGCCTCGGTTTACTTGGTAGCCCCGTGAAGTCGATGTTGACGCAGCACGAGGCCTGCCTTATCCAACCCTGGGTTCATCAACATGCATATCCACAAGCCAGTGGCTGTACACTTTCGTGTCCTGTATCCCACAGCGGCAAATTCAAACGCTCATCAAATCTCTCCTTGGAATAGATTATGACTCGATAATTAAAACAGTTCTTCGTGGAATGCGCTGCAGCCATGGTGCACAGCGCGTGGGTTCAAGCTTCGGAGGGTCCCTGCGGCGATTCCTGGACTCGAGTTCAACCTTATGGATAACGGTATAGTGGTGCTCATTGTCGCAGGTAAGTCGAGGCTGTTGATCTCTTGTTTGCATTGACCCACCGCCATCGTGTTGACTCGTCGAAGGAGAGCCATTCACGTTGCCCAACGGTGGCTGTCGGATGTCGCTTCTGTAAGCGGACGTTTGGAGTGGTTGTTGAACTGTCAGTTTGCGTACTCGTTCCTTCAGCGCTCGTTTGTCGGTAACTCACTATTTGTCGTCCCTTGTGTTGCCTTCTCGTCAGCGGCATCCAGACGCAGGTCACGTTCAGGCCCAGGAGCTTCGACACTGGAACCGCTGCCGCTGTCGATACTGACGGATGAACTCGAATTCGGCGTCGTGTCCTGTGTAACATCGACGTCGTCCTGTTTTTCCTCGTCGTTGGGCCTTCGTAACGGAGTCGGAGCAAACTTGCTCCTTTCCCGAATCAGTCTTCCGTACTTGTAGAATATAAAAGGGATAGGTGCCAAAAGACAGGCCACACCTCCGATCAAAGACGCTCCAGGGCCTACATCAAGCGCGTTGAACATGTACTGCGTGAACAGCGGCGCTGCGGAACCGCATGCAGATCGACAGATGGTGTTGGCCGCCATGGCACTCGCGGTGTACATGAGGTAAGTGTCGGTGAGGTAGTTGATGTAACCCACAAAGATCAACATGATCATGCAGCCTAAGCAGGCGCCGGCGATGGTAGGCACGATCCAATGGATGCTGTTGTATTGACCTGTCCAACCGAACCAGAACATGGTGATTGCAAACCCGATGCCGCCAAACATGGCGACGGGGAGACGATCCTCTGGTTGGCGAGGAATACCCGCTAGCAGCTTCTTCTTGTCGCGAGCCGAGATGTAGAAGATCAAAGCGCCGCCAAACGAAGACCCGATTATGTTGCCAATAAGGGGGAGTTCACCCACTCCAGAATTCCAGCCTCGCTTCTGCTCGAAGACAATGGGGTAGATGGTGAACAGCATATACAGTAAAAGGTAGACGATGGAGAGGTAGATGGCCACCAGGAACGAAATCGGATCGAAGAGAATCTGCCACGGGCGGATGAGGGCGATTTTGAACAGCGTTTTGAGGTCCCTGTCGTCTGCCTCTACGGGTGCTTTGTGGTGCGCATAATCTGGAATGCCTGTGGCGCGGATCCTTCGAGCTTTGTTGACCAACACCACAGGCGGTAGTGTCTCGGGGATGGTGAATATGAGAAGCTCGGTGGCCCAGCCGAACCAGAGCAAGACATAGAAGTTCCACCTCCAGTCTTTCGTGAGCTCGAGAAACCCACTGACGACGGGACCCAACGACGGCCCAACAAAAGTCATTATCGAGAACACTGCCATCGCGTTGCCTCGCTCGATCGGACCCCAAATGTCGGCCACGACTCCCGGCGCGTTCGTCATCGGTGCACTCGCAAACGTGCCGCACAGGAGGCGACCGACGAGAAGCGATCCAAAGTTGGGAGCGAATGCGCAGAGGAAGTTAAATGCATTGTAGCACGTAAAGGTGGCCAGGAACACCACTCGTCGGCCATAAAATTCCGAGAGGGGTGCGAAGACCAGGGGCCCTGCACAATAGCCAAGCAGGAACAAGGTGATGACAAGGCCGGCCGCTTCCATCGAGACGCCAAAATGCTCCGAGATCCCTTCAAGAGAACCTGACGGACTGGACGACGCGAAAGTGGCGTTGACCACCATCAAGACGGCCACCACGGTGATGTACCATCGTCGTGCGACGGACCATTGTTTGGGGTTTTCGACGTCGTCGGGAGCGAAATCGACATGGCCATTTTCATTGAGATACGGCGCAATAGAAGGGTCGAGTTTTCCAGATCGATATGGTTTGGCGACCGGCCGCGACAGAATTCGCTCTATCGAGAGCATCTCGCCATTTTGTTCGGTGTGCTGTCTCGAAGCCGCAAAAATTGATAACCACAGAGGGAAGAAAGGGACGGGAAAAACACACAGTCTATCCTGACGTATATATTCAGCAGACTATCTTCCTGCAGAACCTTCGAAGCCCCGTTCCGGCTACCCTGGCGATCGTTGGGAGTCTAGGTTTCGGATATCCGGCACCTTGTGTCTGCTCATGACCAATGTTTGTACAATGTTGACTATGTCCGTGCCGAAACCAAAACAGGCTGCCCAGTTAGCACCTGGAAATACCCCTCCACCTTGACCCGCCGGTGAAGGAGATTGCAGATTCTTTTGTACGTGGTCGAGGCTGAGCACACATGTGGCCGGCACGCGATTGAAGCGGGAAAAGGAGATTCGCGAACACGGTGGTCGAGCTGTGCCCGAGTCCGACATGTTGTGCTTGTTGATGGGGATGGTGTGCTTTCGCGATGCGCTTAGACCGGCATAGTGACGAGGAGCCCCTGAAGTGCTGGCCAGTGATGGTGAAAGGCGGAAAATCGGATTCGGATCTCGCACTCGAATTGTCGCCGGGCGCGAGGCTGAAATAAATCTCTGGACGGGTCGATTTGGGAGATAAACACCCGTCCCTAGTCTGAGCCTATCAGTGAAGATGGGCCCAGCGAACGATGATGTGGCATTTCGTGCGAATTGGTAATTCATTCGCATCGCATCTCCTTTATGCTCCTACACAACGTCTCCTCTCAACGTCCTACTGGCCGCAGTCCACCTGTATCAATTTCAACGTGCCGGATATAGAGTCACGATCAAGTCCGATGGCTTCACGCTTACCAGCAAGAGATCCGTTATGTCAAGTTCCGTCCTGAACATGTGCTTGTTCCGACGGTGTCGTCGCCAGCAAAGCCTTCCCAGGTACAGGACCTCTGCTTTCTGACATGATCTGGCTCTTGTGCTCGCAGTTGAGGATGAAGTTGCGCAGGTATAGCCAGGCAACCCTGTGCTGGTTTGTGCTGTGTACATGTTCGATACTCAAACTGACCAGCGCGTCGCCCATCATCCACCGATGCTGAACCTGCTGGGAGATCCGGACGTTTCCTGCAGAACACCCCCCATCTCACAAGGCTGCGCCTACGGGATTGGCAGATCCGGAAGTTGCCGCGGGTGGACAAGCTGAAGCGCATGATGATATACAGATCGCTGGGTGGTCCAAGTTGCTAATGAACGGTTCGTGGAATCTAATGTGCACCAAGGAATTTTTGGGCGCATCTCACCATGCATCTCCTGGTGTGGACTGTGATGCTGGAAATTCCTCAGTACTCAGTAAGCAACGTGCCCTCGTCAGAGAGACCAGGAGCGGCAAATTCCCTGAAAGCATGACTCCCTGGACAGATATGCAGTTCCTGTAATTCACCTACTAGGCTTTAAATGGTTGTAACTCTTCGAGTGAGCGACAAAGGTCTGTCAATCTCAGGTCCTGCTGTTCTCCATCGCGTCGTGTCATCGCTTCCGACCCTTACCAGACACCGCCTTCTCCTTCGAAACACAAATCCTCTGGCTGACGCTCGTTTTCCCTCGCCCGCACGAGGTTACACTGCCGGCTGCCCTCTGGTGAGGCCAAGAGATCCTCCTTACTCCGCGGACGGTGTGATTATGTGAGCCTCCACACAATCGCTCCAAACGCCGTAGAGTATTCGAGGTTGGCGGATCAACCGTAGGAGTGGCCAGAGTGCGATAATTCCACATACTCACCTCGATCGACCATCTGTTGCAACGACTCCCTCATGAGAAAAAAACCATTCGGCGATTTTCAATTGTGCTGGACACCTGGCCACGACCGTACAGAGTCGACGACTTCGTGAGGCAAGATGATACCGATCTTTTCTCTTTGGTCAGCACGACCTTGTAGATACTATGAGTACCGTGCCGCGCTGTCCTAGACATCGAAGACGTTAGCCTCACCGACTGACAAACGCAGGCAAAGCGTCAGCCCAAGACACCGAGTCAGCCAGAAAGCTCGGATGCCGTGATCAAGTGCTGATTTTACGTTGACTACAACCCCCACGGTGGTGTGCGAACCAAACCATATATCATATGGATCATGCTGCTCCCTTCGAAGCGGTCGACTTCCTACAGTCGCACCTCTCTGCTCTCTGACATCGGTTTCTTCTTGAGAGATAAACTGCCCTGTGCTTTGATTCTAGCGACAGACTCTCCTCGACCTCAGTCATGTCCGACAGCTACGACTTCATTGTAGTGGGCGCGGGTGCTGCTGGTGCCATCCTTGCATGGCGTTTGGCACACACAAAGAAGTCTCCATCGGTCCTCTTGGTCGAAGCGGGTGGGAAGAATGACTCCAAATCCGTCCGTATTGATGGAGAAAGGTGGCTTCACCGCATGGTCCCAGAACAAAACTGGTCGTACAAGACTGTACCAGTCGACGGCTTTGACGGCAATGTTGTCGACTACGACCGGGGCAAAGGCCTTGGAGGCAGCACCGCCATCAACTTCTCCTGCTGGACGGTCGGTCCCAAAGAAGACCATGACGAGATCGCTCGTGTTGTTGGCGATGATGCGTGGGAGTGGGCGAATGCTCAGGAGCGATACAAGAGAATCGAAGCGTACCACGGCGCTCCACCAGATGTGCCCAACGACGTGCAAAAGTACTTGAACCCACGGCTAAAAGACCACGGCCGTACTGGTCCCATTCAGACGGGGTTTCCGCGGACCTGGGAGCAGTCTCTCAGGGACCTCATGGACATCTGGATCGAAAACGGCGCAAAGGCGAACCCCGACCACAACTCTGGCAATCCTATCGGCCTGTCCGTCTGTACAAGCAGCGCATACAACGGTGTCCGATCCACTTCTGCCGATGCCTTGATCGGGGCACCAAGTAACCTTCATGTCTTGACAGATACCGAAGTTCGTCGTTTGGTCTTTGACGGCACGCGAGCAACCGCCATCGAAACATTTACGGGCAGGACTATCCACGCCACCAAGGAAATCGTCCTGTCCTGTGGTACTCTCGATACTCCCAGGATCTTGATGCACTCAGGTATTGGTCCTCGTGACCAATTGACCAAGTTCAACATCCCGATCGTGAGGGCGAATGACCATGTTGGTAAGCATATGAAGGACCACCATCACATCGTGCTGTCGTACGACAGGGCTGAGCATACTTCCAAACGACGGGAGTTCTACGCCAGCAAGGAGCTGCAAGCCGCAGCGCGAGCTCAATGGGAACAGGACGGTTCAGGACCGCTGGCAGAGTTTGCCTGTGCTTTGGGTATCGCGTATGAGAAGCTGGAATCTTTATATGACTCACCTGAGTTTCGAGCCTTGTCGCCGGCAGAGCAAGAGCACTTGCAAAAGCCAACAATACCTCATTACGAGTATCTTATCAATGCTGCCCATATTCCTCATTTTCTCGACCCTGAGCATGCACCCACGGGCACTTCCGTCTACGTCTTCAACCTCAACATGAAGTCCTCTGGTTCCACGGTGCTCCAGTCGTCCGACCCGAGGGAACCCTTGTTGTTCGACGCCAACTATTTCTCTCACCCGTACGACAAGCGCGCCGCTATTGAGGCTACGCGTGACGTACTGCGAATGGTCAACAGTCCTCTGTTCAGCAAGGACACTGTAGCCGTGACCCTTGCTCCCAAGAGTGAGTCGGACGAGGATATCCTAGATTTCTGGAAGAAAACATCTAGCAGCACCTGGCATATGATGGGCACGGCGCGAATGGGCAGGACCGAGGCTGAGGCTGTGGTTGATCACGACTTCAAAGTCTTTGGTGTCCAAAATGTCCGTATTGCAGATATGAGTGTCATTCCCATCGCCATCAAGTAAGTCTTAAGTCCCGGTGGTGTGAAACATGCTGACCTCCATGTGCAGCTGTCACACGCAGACAACGGCGTATCTTGCAGGTCTCACGGCAGGAGACAAGCTAGTTGCCGAATATAGTCTCGATGAATGAGCGACCACTCGTCGTTGAGTCTTCACCAGATCCATTGCCTCGATGTCGTATAACGTGGCAGCGTGTCTCATGTCTAGGACAACTTGGTGGAGTTGGCACAGTCACGGACACCATGTAACGGGTGATCTAGGGAGCTTTGTCAGATATTGAGGTGGTCATTCGAGCTGCTGGTGGTGGGATCAAACACCTGGTCTCTGATTAAAGAAGTTAGGGTGCTCCCAAAATAGCTACGGGGACATGTCTGCTCCTGCTCGAAGCTTTTGAGGCGCTGAAAGTACCCGTGGAGGGCTCACTAGGCCCTGGAGCGGGGGGTGTTTAGAGCCTAGCGACGAAGTAGTGGGCATTGCTAGGGCGTAGCATAAGCAAAGATGGCATTCTACAGACCCTAGAGGGCCCCTGGAAATGTCCCAAACAGAGGCCAACCTTGCCTAGAGCCGTGTCTGCCGAAGACCCCATCCTTGTTTCTCCAGCTTGGCGAGTGCCTCAGACTCGACGCCACACCTTTGCACGGCTCCAGGCAACGGATTGACCGCGATCCGACATTGCCCTGTATATCACCGCATCTCAACCTCCCTCATCGGCAGTGCCGGCGACGACAACCGCAACAGGGAGGGCTGCTGCGACGTTTCTTTGCAGCCCTCGATTCTATCTCAATCCCATCCCATCGTCACATCTTTTACCCCTCGCCACTGCCCTCCTGCCATTGTCTGCACCAGTGACAGACAATATGCTCGGTCTTGTCGACCATCCAGGCTGCGAGACTATTCCAGGTGATTGACTGCTTGGGGGCGAATGCATTCCGACGAACCTCATCTACCGTTAACGACTGGGCTTCTCCTACTCTTGTCCGCTAACTGCTCCTCGCTGAACAAGGGATCCGCATGCCCAAGCTTATGAGCAGTCCTGTGAGCCTTACGAGTACAAACACCACCATCGAAGGGTTGTCTTGAGGCTTCCGACTCCTCTTCATGGCGCTTCCTTCCTCGCATCAGAAAGGCCGGTCGGTCCCACGAAACATTCAAACGAACCTGACGCCGAATGAGGGCCGGCAAAGCGCCACCGACCTCAATCGCCCTCTACCTCCACCTCCCGCCTCTGCCTCCATTGAGACCTACGAGATCCCGAGTCTTCGGAGAAAGCCTGTCCCTGGCCAGCTGGAACCCGAGTCGTCCAAGCCCAGCCACAACCGGTCGTTCAGTCATCCATTTCCTTCGATATTTGGTTCTAAGAGATCCGAGAAGAAGCACAGTGCTCGGGGAGAACCCGAGGGTATGTCGAGTGGTGGCAAAGATACCCGGCAGGAAGATAACAAACAAAAATCGGCCACTGCTGAAGGATCTGCACATCGTGGTGAACGACAGCCTGTGACGGGAAAATGCATGACCTGCGACTCGACTGTACGATGGCCTCAAGGATTGAAAGTGTTCCGATGTACGACTTGTTTGACGATCAACGATCTCGAGTTTAATCCGGAGGGAGGAGCCACTGATGGCGCGAACGGCCCTGGGCTACCTCGTAGACCATCGACGTTGTCCCTGGAAAGGACAAGATCACTTCTTGATCGATGCGTGAAGGAATATCTCGAACGACTTCTCAAACCAAACATCGAACATGAACAGGCGGTTGAGCTGCAATCCCACTCACTGGTCGAAGAATCATTTTTGCTGGCAGGCACTTCTCCAGAAGGAGCTCTCTATGGAGAGCTTCATGATGAGCTAGACTCTCCTCCACCTTCACCGGGTCCAGCCATGAAACCACGGAGCCCCTCAGAGTCGACCTTGACCGCGTTCAAATCAAAGTCAAACGGACAACCTCCATTTGTTCAAGGACATTCCTCGGACCCATTCTCAAGCTCAGTCCCAACGCAAGCCCGTCCTCCAGAGAGCAAGGGACATGATGCAAAGTCCAATACTCCCGGAACGACAAACGACATCTTCCGCATGGTCGAGAATTATATAGCTACTTCTTTTGTCGGGTGCGCAAGTCTCAACAACTCATTCCTGACTCCAAGACCTCCGCAGGAGTCAAAGGCCAGAACAGGATCCAGCACGCACCAACGACGACAAATGTCTGAACCTCTGTCGGCCCCACACTTTGAATCAGATGTGTACCTGTCCGATCTGGACGCCAAAACTTTGCTGTTGGGAGATGTCGCTGAAAATGGATCTTGGTGGTTGGGAGCACCAGGGGGGCGAACCGACTCAACTCATCACCGAGACCGCTCTCCCGATAAGTTTCGTGGCTCCAGTAGCTCGCGCAACCCCAGAATCAACTGGCTGGAGCTCTCCGAGTGGTATCGTTGCATAATATACGCCGGCGAGGGATGGGAACACAGCTGGAGCGAAATGAAGTCCCACGCTGAGGGCAAGGTGCAACAGTATTGTCAGTCGCTACCCTTCGAGAGTCTGCAGCGAGACATCATCGAATCTCGTATTCATCTCCACCGATGCTTGTTGAAAATGACCGAGAATCTACTGAAACGGCCCAGGCAACCTCTGAAGCATCCAGAAGATTGTCGATTTCTTTTGATATTGCTATCGAACCCACTGCTGACTCCGCAAAGACTTGAAGCTGGGAAGATATCCAGCACTCCCTTGTCACACCCACCTACGTCAGCCAAACCAAATGACGATAGAGCAAGAGGCTCCCCAGCCAGACGTATTCCGAGCTCTGGTCGCCGGCCTGGAAGCCTTGGTCATCATTCAGGGATCATCAAGCGCATTCTAGGCCTTCTGGCTAACTCGTCCAATGAAATACACCAGTGCCTTGTTTCTTGGTTTGCCAAATATTCTGATGGCCACTTTCAACGCACTGTGGAGCTCGTCGGCAGTTTCGTCACGTACCGCTTGTCACGGCACCAAAAGCGTCCTGTACACGAGGCGGTCAATCCTACGGCGGGTCTTGTTCCCAGTTTCTCGGGCAGTGGCATGCAACATGCGTCCCAGATCCATGCAGCGCTGGGAGGTCGACCCTCGTCTACAACGGGCGGCGACAACGAGGGCAAGCCTAAACTCTCCTTGTATGGAGAAGACTGGCAGGTTCGAGCCGCAGCGAGGGTAATGGCTCTCCTATTTCAAGCAAACATTGGACATGCGGCTCGAAAGAAAGACGCCCACAATACCCACGACCAAAGGCATCACAGTCCGGGTCAAAATGCTAGACACCAGGCAAACCGTCACGGTCAGATCGTACCCATCAGCAACTTCTACAATACAATGCTGGATTATGCAGACTTGGTTGCTGATTTTGAGACCTGGGAGACATCAAAGTCTAAGTTTACCTTTTGCCAGTATCCCTTCTTTCTCAGCATCTACGCCAAGATCCATATCCTTGAACACGATGCTCGGAGGCAGATGGAACTCAAGGCCAAGGAGGCATTCTTCGACAGCATCCTAAGTAGGAAAGCGGTCAGCCAATACCTCGTGTTGAAGGTTCGTAGAGAATGCCTGGTCGAAGACAGCCTGCGCAATGTTTCCGAGGTCGTGGGGTCTGGTGGCAGCGAGATCAAGAAGGGTCTGCGCATCGACTTCCAGGGAGAAGAGGGCGTTGACGCCGGAGGCCTTCGGAAAGAATGGTTTCTCCTCTTGGTGCGGGAGATCTTCGACCCCAACCACGGTCTCTTCGTGTACGATGACGATTCCCACTTTTGTTACTTCAACCCTTACTGCTTCGAATCCTCGGAACAGTTCTTCTTGGTCGGGGTGCTCTTGGGGCTGGCCATCTACAATTCGACCATTCTGGACATTGCATTTCCTCCTTTCGTCTTCAAGAAGATGCTCGCGTCGGCCCCGCTGACGGGGGACAAAATCTCATCCACGCCGAGAGTTGGCCATAGCTACACGTTGGAGGATTTGGCAGAATTCCGCCCGGCACTCGCACGGGGTCTCCGGCAACTTCTCGAGTTTGACGGTGATGTCGAAGAGACGTTTTGCCGAGATTTCGTTGTGGAGATGGAGCGCTACGGCGAAATAATCCAGGTTCCCTTGTGCCCGGGCGGAGAGAAGCGGCCGGTGACGAACGCCAACCGACGAGACTTTGTCGATATGTACATCCATTATCTCCTCGATACGTCGGTCACTCGACAATATGAGCCCTTTAAACGCGGCTTCTTTACTGTCTGCGGCGGCAATGCGCTTTCGCTGTTCCGACCAGAGGAGATTGAATTGCTGATCCGAGGTTCTGACGAGCCGCTGGACATTGCCAGCCTCCGTGCCGTCGCAACCTATGAAGGATGGCCAAAGAATGAGGGCCCGCCCGACAAACAGCCTCAGGTCATCTGGTTCTGGGACTTTTTTGGGCGAGCCAGTCCAGGCGACCAGAGAAAGATACTGACTTTCATCACCGGCAGCGACCGGATTCCCGCCATGGGGGCAACGAACCTGATCATTCGCATCCAGTTGCTCCGGACCAAGGACGAGGTGGATGGTCTTGGCCGGGCGCCTAGAACGAGCGTTGAGCGCTTTCCGATCGCCAGGACGTGCTTCAACACCTTGAGCTTGTACAGATATAGCAGTCGTCAAAAGTTGGAGCAGAAGCTTTGGACGGCCGTTACGGAAAGTGAAGGGTTTGGATTGAAGTGAGAAAACGTCAGAAGCCGATACCCGACTGCTGATCGTGACGCTGCCGATGATTGAAACGACGAGATAAATTTTAGGAACAAAGGGGTGGAATTGACCAAGTTGGATTACGGTGTGGTCCAGAACCAACGAGGAGAAACGGGGGAAAAGTCAGTATCTGGAGGTAGGCTGAAGTCACCTTAGCATTGGTATGAATATTGGTCTATGACATTCACAAGTCTACCATTGGCATTCCACTGGATTCTGAAAGCGAGGAGACAACCTCGGAGGATACGTACGGAGGTGGTCAGACACATGCCGACAGATGTATCGATAAAGATTTTGTTACCCCTTGAGACTCCGTAAGGTGTCTAGCACGAAGTGGTACAGAACGGTACGTAGGAAAGGTGTACCGGGCCTCTCAGCGATACAATTATATTAGTCAAAGTACCTACCCACCTATCCCGTAGGAACCTAGTTGGAGGAGGTACGTGTTGCAGGACCGAATAAGAAATAAAATGTGTCAGCGGACCTCGAAGCTTACGGGGTTCACGACGAGGTTTTTAGTTAGTTCCAGGCACAGTACTTTAGTCAAGGTAGTTCTGTAGGTACCTGTAGTTATTGGTTAGGACTAGACCTGCATTTGCCTCGAGGGCCCAAGTTACCTACCTCGGTGAGCCTGTGGCCAGCGTTGGAAGCCAAAGCAAGGAGTTGAGTCCTCCACGGATTTCTGTCGAAGTTGAAGGAGACAGGCCCTGGGTGGATGATGGATGGGAGGTTCTCCCAGAAAAAAAAAAAGAACAAAAGGGTCACGCGGGGGACTTTATTTTTTTTTGGGCTTGGTTTTTTGCTTTTTTGCTTTTTAAGAATCTACCTTTGTCGAACAGTATATCCCTATTTTTTTTCTCCTTTTTCTTTTTTGAAAGAGTAGAAACTACGGGCGAGGGTAGGAGTACAGCAGTTGATCAGTACATACAGTTCGAGTCCAGCGCTCACCGTACATTTCTACCTGGTTAGTAGGTACCTGGCACCTGGTAGGTAGGGCAAAGAAAGGGTATGTATACAAACAATACTTGAAGGGTGATAATCAGCCCGCGTGGGACAGTGGAAAAGGGAAAAACTTCACACCAGAGCGAGTGGGATCATTGACAAGGAAGAAGGTGTGACAAGCGTCCTCCTCGTCTACTCGAACAGAGTACACGGAGTATACGGAGTACTCGAAAAGCCGAACGGTACCTTTGGTGACGAGTACAGTCGACGTCGTTTTCACCTCACCGTTTGTTTTCTTCTGGAACCCACCCACCCACCTGTTGGCATTTGCAAGTCCAGGTACGGATACTCCGTACGGGTGACTGTGACACACCAGGCGTTAGCGGAGAGCGTGGGGGACACTTGTTACGCTGGTCGTGGCCGTGGGTGCTGGTGGTGGTGCTCGTGGTGGTGATGGTCATTAGTTAGTGGCGGCGTCCATGTACAGTACCAGATGATGCGTGTGTGTGCGGTGTCGGTGACAGTGTCGGTGTGTGTTTTATTAATTACTTAGCGCCGAACACAGTACAGTTTCTCCCCCGTACGTGGCTTGTTTCTTCGACAACGACAGAAAGGTCGAGGTCGAGGACTCGGACTGTTTGATCATCAGTCCAAGTCAGAAAAAACATCCCGTGTCTGCCTCACACGGTGACCGTGAACGAATTTCGTGGCGGTGTCTGTAGGTACCTGCAGGTATCTACGAGTCCTGGACTTGAGCCATCGTGCACACATTTGCCAGTCGATGCTGGCTACCTACTGTAGGTACCCAAGACTCACCGACATTTTGATACTGCATGCGACCTTCGTCCTGTACAGTAGAATGGGATGACTCTTGTTAGGGGGAAGGAAGTAATAAGAGAGACCTGCATTAGGGTACAGTAATCTGCATCGAGCTAACTACCGAGCTTAGCCATCCGGACGCGCTAGAGCTATCTTCCGCCTACAGGTAACTTGGTACTCCGCAGGTAGAAAATCAAAGATAGACAAAAAAAAGTGCTGGGCGTAAATGGTGGGTAAGATAACCTTTTCCGTCCATACAGAAAAAGTCGGGGATCGTCGGGCGCAGAGAGATAAAGATAACGGAGGAACGGGAGGCACACAAAGCCACCCTCAGCACTCGAGACGTGAACGAGCAGTACTGCGTATAGTAATCTTATTAATAAGGTGTAAGGAGGTCTCTGAGTTTGTTGTCGACTTGTTCCTCGGCCAGACGCGACATGCTGTGGTTGGGAGAAGCAGATGGAACGCAGCCAGTCTTAGGGGGTCCGGGGATCGATCTGAGACTCGTGGGCTAGTGCTCGGGAGGCTCTAGTTAGGCAGAAACAGCCTACCAGTTGTTCGAGCTGTCAGCGAGTCTCGCCCCGCAGCTGCATCATCCGCCCACGCCAAAAGCACCGACTGGCACCAGCTGGCAGCATCTGCCCCTCGGTCAACCTCGTGCGGTGAAACTGTTTTCTTTCCCATTCCAACCCTCACACTTCCCAGAAACTCACCGTCCTGTCCTTATATTCCTCCCGCATACCGTACACCTGTGCTCAGATCCTTCCCCCAACCCATACCACACACCTCCAAGTCACCTCCAGACTCGAATCGTCAACATGGGCTCTGCAGATCTCCCCACCAAGATGAAGGCGTTGCGTATGGCTCCCTCGCACGATGAAGCTGTCATGCTTGACCCACGACTAACCGCATGGCAGAGTACGACGAGCCAGAGAAGTTCCGCGTCGTCGAAGTCCCCCTCCCCAAGCTCCGTGACAACGATGTCCTGGTATGTGCGTGCAACAGACAACGAAAGAGCTTGCTGACGGGGAGAAAATACAGATCAAGGTCAAGGCCTGCGGTGTGTGCGGTACTGACCTGCATATCCATGAGGGTGAATTCTTGGCCAAGGTATGGAAAAATCTTGTTGTCGGTTTCAGAGCCCCCATGCTGACGTTACTGATAGTTCCCCTTGATCCCTGGTCACGAAACCGTCGGTGTCGTCGCTGGTCTTGGATCCAAGGTCAAGGGCTTCAGTGTCGGTGACCGAGTGGTGGCCGACAACTCCGAGCTCTGCGGAGAATGCTTCTACTGCCGTCGTGGCGAGGAGCTTCTCTGCGAAGACTTCCAGGCGCACGGTGTCACCATGGACGGTGGCTTTGCCGAGTACTGTGCCTACCCGGCCAAGAGAGTGTTCCCCATCAAGAACCTCAACGACGTCGAGGCCACTCTCCTCGAGCCTGCCTCCTGCGCTGCCCACGGTCTGGACAAGATCGCTCCCAAGATGGGCTCCAGCGTGCTCATGTTTGGTGCGGGACCCACGGGTCTGGTGTTGGCCCAGATGCTGAGACAAAACGGTGGTTGCCACGTCGTGATTGCCGCTCCCGAGGGTCTCAAGATGGACCTGGCCAAGTCTCTTGACGCTGCCGACGAGTATGTCGCCCTGTCCCGAAAGGACCCCGCCGCCCAGTTCCAGAAGCTCAAGTCCGAGAACCCCTACGGATTCGACATCGTCGTCGAGGCCACCGGTAGCGTCAAGATCCTCGAGGACGCCATTCACTATGTCCGAAGAGGTGGCAAGCTCGTCGTGTATGGTGTCTATAGCAGCAAGGACCGCGTCACTTGGCCTCCTTCCAAGATCTTCGGTGACGAGATCACCATCCTGGGATCCTTCAGCGAGACCTACAAGTTCCCTGCTGCCATTGACTACCTTGGTATGTGTTGTAATCTCCCTTCTCTTTGGTAGGATTGACTGACAGTTATCTTGTAGACAGCGGAAAGGTCAAGGTCAAGGGTATTGTCAACAAGACCTTCAAGCTGGAACAATGGGCAGAATGTCTTGAGTCGATGAAGAACAAGAGCGCCATCAAGGCAGCCATCGTGTTCGACTAGAGGGCGAACTCAGTTGGCCAGGAATGCGAGCGCTCGTCATTTCGAGGCAGGTAAAATCCTCCATTTCTGTGACATAGTGAGCAGAGGAGACGAAGTAGGAGTAGAAAGAATAGATTGGAAAACAGGCGAATTGACGGTGTAGCCACGATATTTGTCCGTCGCCTCCTCATGGGACTGTAGCCGAGAGACACAGGTTGCATTGTGCGTGCTTCCCTTTCCATCTCGCCGACCTCATTGCCGCTGTCCCTCCCTTGTTTCCATTTTTTCTCTCTCAGAAGTTGCAACACACTTGACGTCCCATTTAGAATACTTCTAGTCATGCCATTTGGCCGTCTTCGAGTGGACTGATGTCTCTCATTTCATCCAATGGCGGTCGATGGAGATTTGCTGCTCGCTCAGCTGGGTCGCGATTATTCAGCCCGAGGCCTCTGAGCGCTCTGCCATTTGCTCTTTTGGTATTCTGAGGACCTTAAGAATGGATTCCCAGGGACACAGTTGACGAGAGTGAGCTTCCGTACCAGCCGGGTCAACATCGGTAGTTGAGGTTCGCAGACTTCGTGGAGTGCGCTGCTCCATCCCATGTTCTCGACGTTGCGGCACCTCGCACCACGCGTGATCCCGTGCTGTACTCAATCAGATTCACTATCCATGGCGAGTCAGAGGGACTGAAGAATTATCCCTGCCCCAGCCTCCCCTGCAGGGTGTGGGGCGTCCCGGGGAAGTGGTTCTGAGCGCGTCGTCCACTTCACGTTGAAGCCGGGATGAGATGAGAACCCGGCCTCAACACCATGAAAATATATCGCGACAGCGCCGAATGAGTACGAGAAAAATCCCGTCGTGTAGCGCAAGATGAGTTGTATTCTCGCTATAAAGATCGACACTTGTTGGCGACGTGGTCGTTGAGAAATCGCATTTCGAAGGTGGAGGATGGCCTGATGTACATACCGCGCAGCATCAACACCACCCTCACACTGCCTGATAAAGTGAGCTTTCACCATCACCACCGCCCAAAATCTCTGTTCCCTGCCGCTCTCCTATCCCAGCCTCGCCAGAAGGCGGTGACTGGGCAAAGTATTAATACCTCTTCCCATCGTCCTCTTCTATTCTTCTTTTCTCCCAAACATTTTCCCAATCCAACACCGTTCGTCTGAATGACAGGTTTCGAACAATAACCCATATTCAGACCACTCCATTGATCTTCCTTGATCCATTCTTGCCCATTTGCCATCTTCTCGTTGAGAAAAGCTCAAGCCTCTTCGTGACCTCAAGATGTCTCTTACCACCACCTTCACCCTTCCATTCCGAAAGGCCAACACCAAGTCTCTTACGCTCGACCCGTGCTTCAAGGTTCTCTATGAGAACAACAAGGAGACTCTCACACACTTTGTCACCACCCTCTCACCTCTCCCTCTGAAGACCATCGTCTCCAATGGCACATTCGTCGGATACCTCTCCACCAAGGAACCTGGCCCACTCGTCGAATACAACAACATGCGGACCGCCATCGGTGCCATGCGAAAAATCATGATGACCACACCCCATGGCGTCAAGATGATCAACTTTTACAAAGAGCTCCTTCGACTCCAGGGCCACTGGCTGCTTGCGCTCGCCGAGCAATGCGCCTTCCACACCTACGTCAAACTCACCCAGGCTCTCCTCATCGACCGCAATGACGAAGCTCTTCTCAAGAGCGTGTCCAAGACAATCCCCGAAACCGCCAGCAAGCTGTGCACCACTGGCTTCATATCTCGAAACCAATTCACCGACCTCGTCATGACTGAACAGTCCCGCCTGCGCTTCAAGTGCCATGAGGCAAGTGAAAAGCTGTACGACTTCAAGACCTCCAAGGATTTCTGGAATCAGCATACCAAGCTCGTCGCCATGATCGAGCACTGCGAGAACAAGCTCCGCGAAATCCGCAAGAGATCAGCCAAACGCAAGCAACAGCGCATCGCCAGAGCTCGTGCAGCAGTCGAAGAGAACAGTGACAGTATCCATTGTCAAATGGGCACGGTTGGAGAGTTTCCTCAGCCTCCTCATATCACTGCGGCCTATGACAACTGGATGGAAGAGACCCGCCTCAAGTATTTCAACTTCAACGACAACATGGAGGCTGATGGAATCACCTTTGATGCCGCCGAACAATACAACGACATCACCCAACTCAATGCTGCTGGTGTCGTTCAACCTCAAACTCAACCATGAACACCAACCTTGGTATGGGTTCGAACCTACCCAGCCATCATCATCATCATCATCATCATCATCATCATCATCATCATCATCATCATCATGGCACCAACATCAGCCACAAAGGTCGATCAGCATCGTCGTCGTCGTCCTGCGTTGTCATCACCAAGTTTGCATTTGCACTTGACTTACCTTCCTCGTCGGATCAACACCATCACCATTACCGTCAGCGTCGACTTATTGATTGACCTGATTGACTTGATCATCGACATCCAACAACACTCATGACTCTATACGACCTATACGACATCACACGAATGACATTGGTCTTTCGTTCTCTTTCTCTTCTCGGCGTTTTGGAGAGTTTTCCAGATCTTTCGTTTTCACAAATCGACATCTTTCTCCTTCATCGAGAACCAAAAAAAAAGAGCTTGGGTTTTCTGTTTCTTTTCCTTTTCCAAGAGATTGATCAATTGCACCGCGTTGAACATGCATTGCATGCGGTGCCGCCAACAAAATGAGAACTTTGCCCCCCAAAAAAAGAAGAGTATGAACTCTGCTTTGGAAGATGACGAAGAAAAAGAAGAATGGGGAAATGCAAATGCAAACACAGTCAAGTAGCAGAGAGCTCTTCCATAGCATACCACCTCGAAATGAGAAGTGCAATTTATCCACCAAAGTTCCAGTAGTTCAGCTGTAGTGTTTTGGCCCTTGGGGCACCACACACAAACACACACAGAGGGTAGCATGAGAACTTGAAACATGAATTCGCTGGCTCACCTGCTCGCTTCTTCCTATAGTAGCAAAAGAGAGATTGGATCAAAACCTCGCTCGCTGCTCTCTTCCTACAAAAAACCAAGCAGAGATAGTTGAAAACAACATTCGCTCACTGCTTCCTTGTGCGACAGATAATCAGAACGGTCAGGGATGGATCGGAACAAACGTCGGCCGCTGCATCCTTACACTTATCACAGAGACAGGTTGGTTCAAAACATTTTTTTTGATTTCTAGCCTCGCAGTCTGAAACTCTGTTACGGAGAGTAAAAGATTCCTATTTTGCTTTGCCGTTGGGAACTCATGTGCTTGGAGCCAGACCTCCCGCGCCCGTGCTGCGCTCTGCAATCATTGACGGGCCATAATCCATTCCTCAATCGCATCGCACTGCACTGCACTGCACTGCACGTCCCACAACAAAGAAAACTGGCATCGGCGGAGCAAGTAGTGGCCTGCTGTGATGACAGAGAACAAGCAGTCCAACGACTTTTTTCGCCCTACGCAAGCCTCCCCAAGTAGCAGGTTATCACCACCTAGTACACCCCTTTCCATTTCATTTGTTCGATGCGTGAGCAAGTGGGTAAAGTATCTTGCGCCGTTTTGCCTTTTGCACCAAGTAGTAGTCGATAAGATGATCGTCAAATCTTCTCTCATTCTCCTTCTCCCCGTGATCAAAGTACGCTTCCCTCTTCATCATCGGATGACAATGAAGAAAAGACACACACTCACACACACACACACACACACACACAACCACCGGCAACCCCTTCGTCTGCTGCTGCTCTCTCTCTCTCTCTTCGTGGTCACCAGTGCAAGGGTCATGCGACGATCCTTTACTTTCGGATGGCTCGCTGGTAAAAGGCCAATTCGTCACCCTCGAGGATGTAGCCGTCGCAGCGACCGCTCTGGCCGGGTCGAGAGCTGATGACGGCGTACAGGCGACCGGCCTCGAACTGTCTCTCCAGCGCCGGCTCAACCTTGCCCGAGCTCTTCAGTCTCTCCTCGCGCTTGGCCTGCACGCTCTTGCTGACCTTCTTCTCCTCGACGTCCTTCTGGCCCTGTCGTCTGCGGCCCAGGGTGGTGCCGTAGTGTGCTTCGTACCATTGTCGGAACGGGGCGGCGTCAACCTGGACGACGGCCGACTTGGTCAGGGTGTTGGTGCGGACGAGTTCGTTGTTGCTTGGGTGGAACGCCACGACGATGACGCGGACCTTGCGAGCGATACCCTCGCTGCCCCAGCTGAAGTTGCCGCTCTCCAGACGCAGAGCACGGTACTTGGTGTTGCCTCCTCGGGTGCGGACAAGGTGAATTCGCTTGTTGCCGATACGGGTGTTGGCTGGTTGACGTCCCTTCTCGAAGGCACTGCAGACACGACAATGTTAGAGATATGTTTCTTTCTGTTGCTTGAGATCTTGACTTTGTTGAACTCAAGGTCTCCAAATATTTCAGATATTTCGCCAATTCATTGTTGGACTGTGTGTCTGTGTGTGTGTCAAAACGTACCGCTTCTTTCTGTAGTATGCTCTCTTTGCACCAGTGGCGCTGCGCTTGTGTCTCGAGTCTCGTGAGATACCCATCTTGACTGAACGTCGACCCGGTGTCTAATTCCAGCAGAGGTAGTTGGCGAGGTCTGGTGGAAGAGGGGGAATTGTTTGAACGGGTTGTTAGATTTGGCGCCCTCTGTGTGCCGTGGTTGTAGACCTGCCGCAGTCAAAAACTCGAAAAGGTGCGATGTGGGTTCATCTTGGCGAAAAATGCCAAGAGTTTTTGTGTGTGTGCGCGCACGCTGGCCCTCCCACCGCGGGCCTATTTTTCAGTAAATCCGCAGGCCGTACTTTTACACTTACCACCACCACCACCACACAATCACCGAACAACCCTCCCGACCTCAACCAAAATCGCATTGTAAAGCGACTTCACGAATAGCGCCAGAAGCTCGCAACAATGCTCATCCCACGCGAGGACCGCAAGAAGATCCACGAATACCTCTTTCGTGAGGGTGTCGCCGTCGCCCAGAAGAACTATGAGCTGCCCAAGCACCCTGACATTGATGTGAAGAACCTCTATGTTCGTGTCCCCTCCCTGTCTCCGCCCCCGATCTTGCGACGGAACAAGACCAGAAAAAAAAACTAACAATCATATCACACTCCAGGTCATCAAGGCTTGCCAATCTCTCACCTCCCGTGGCTACCTCAAGACCCAGTTCTCCTGGCAATACTACTACTACACCTTGACTCCCGAGGGTCTTGACTACCTGCGCGAATGGCTCCATCTGCCCGCTGAGATTGTCCCCGCGACGCACATCAAGCAGCAACGATCCCACGCCCCTCCTCGTGGCATGATGGGTGGTGACGAGCGCGAACGACGCGGCGGTGGCCGTGGCGGTCCTAGAGGAGACCGTGAGGGCGGATACCGTCGTCGTGACGCCGGCGAGAAGGAGGGTGGTGCTCCAGGCGAATTCGCTCCCACTTTCCGTGGTGGGTTCGGCCGTGGACGTGGTGCTGCTCCCAGCTCCTAGATGTTTTTCGCACCACGACCCAACCCGTCTTGCATGAGAGCAGGAAGCCAGCCAACTTGGCTTGGACTGAGATTCATCCAGATGCAGATCCGGGAATCCTAAAACAACCAGACCATCTCTTCAGGTGTTGTAAAAGATACCATGCTGCGGTGAGCAGTTGGAGATGGGAGCAGGTTCAGGGCCATGAAGTGACACACAGCCATGGGAGATTCATGCGCACCTGGAAATGCTGTCTAGAAGATCCAAAACTACCAAAAAATGAAGCCATTTCTTCAAAAGGCAGAATAGTACTTTCGGACCTTTCTTGCTCTCGTGCATGTCTCAGTGATCGCATGCTGCGTGTGTTGCAACGTGCTATATGCGTGCCAAAAAGAGGGAGACTCTCCCTACGGTACCTCCCTGACATACCTGTTCGTACTACTACTCGTAGAAATCTCCCCTCTCATTCCGGAACTTGTCCATTCGTAACACAGATTGCATCAATACATTTGCTCCGATGGCACAATCCTCCTTCTCGGTCCACTCGACAGGATTATGGCTGATGCCACCCTTCGACGGCACAAAGATCATGGCAGTAGGACAATGGAGGTTTGTGCGCACACTGTCGTGGCCGGCTCCGCTCATCATCTTCTGCACTTTCTGCTCGTGTCCTCCCATTGCTTCTTCTCCCGCAAGCACATTCGCCGCACTCTGCTCGACGCAGTCGATCGCTCGCTCATCGAACATGATGGCATGACTCGCAAAGTCCTGCTTTACAGTCACCCTGGGACCGCCGCTGTTGGAAGTGGCGTCCTCGCCGGGCTCGCCGTTCTTTTGTATCGTGTTCATGGTCTTGCAGACCCGATACAGATTCTCCTCCATCTCGGCCAGCCCTTCGTCGGTGGGATGGCGCATGTCGAGACTCATCTCGACGTAGCCAGCTATGGTATTCACACTCCCCGGCATGCATGACAATCTTCCAAATGTCGCTAGGCCCTTGCCGTCCGAACACCCGTGCTTCGCGATCTGGTGGACTTTGAGCATGAGCTGCGCCGCAGCGTGCATGGCGTCCGCGCGGCTCGCCATCTCCGTGGTGCCCGCGTGCGCCTCACGGCCAGTGACGGTGAGTGTGAACCATTTGTAGGCCTGCACGCCTTGGACGACGCCGATTTTTTGCTTCGCCTTCTCCAGCCTGGGCCCTTGTTCGATGTGAAGTTCGAAATGGGCGCCAATGGGTATGCCCTCCCCGAAATGTGCAGGGACACTTCCTAGATATCCAATCTGTTCGAGCTCCTCCTTCACAGTAGGAGGAGAAGTAGTACCGCTGGTCGATGGGCCCGCCGTGACACTCTTGACCTGCCACGCATCCTCCAGCGATATCTGCCCTGCCCAAACCCCGCTCCCCATCATGCTGATCGGATACTTTGCGCCCTCTTCGTTTGTCCAATTGACTACGCCTACTGGACCCTCGGTCTCGATGTGATTGTCGTTCAGTGTCCTCAGCATCTCAATACCGGCGGACACGCCGAGGACGCCGTCGAAGCGACCCCCGCTGGGTTGAGAGTCGAGGTGGCTCCCCGCGAACGTGGCGGGCGCCTTCGTGGACTTCAGGCCAGGGCGGATGGCGAAGATGTTTCCGATCTGGTCGACATGTACTTGACATCCCAGAGACTTTGTCGTTTCCACGAACCAATCTCGAGCCTGCTTATCTTCCTCGCTGAGCGTCAGCCGCGCCAGCCCTGCCGTTCTGATATCATCGTTGGGAATGGCCTTCGGAGCAGTCCACCGAGCAGTAGAATGGATCGTGTCCCACAGCCGGTCAGAGTCGACTGTGAGATTGAATTTGTTCAACTGCCATAATTCGGTCGTACTTAGGAGCAAAGTTGGTGTCGTCGTGAAACCTCGAGTCAAGGAATGCGTTGTTGCTCTCGTTCTCGCACTGGGTTTCGGTCCCACGCACCGAAACGTCCACACGGGCGACCAAAGCACCCGGCTCATCGTGTACGTTCGGAAGGCTGGTATTCCCAGTCACCCGGAAACAATTAAAATCAAAATACTTGACATCGCCAACCCGCATACTTTTAGTATGCTGATGTTCTCACAGTTTACTCTCGACTATTCACGCTAACGTAATGTCTCCCCGGCGGTCGTTGAAGTCCGCCCTACCTCAGGGCGGTTGAATATTCAACCGAAGTATTCTGTAGGTACTTTAAAGAAGAAGACAGCGTCTTCGCCGACTAGGTACCAACACAACAATTCAGAGGAAACAGAAGATCATGCCTGGTATCGAGCCCATTGCTCACTGCTGCAATGAGTTGATGCAAAGCCTCATTTCCACGGACAGCGCTCTCTAGGCGATCATTTCTCCTGTCAAACTCCTTCCCTCTTGAGCGAATTAACCAGACTGCTTCCGTCTCTTTTGCTATGCCCACTTTGCAACCCGTGTTTTCAGCACTGCTTGAACAATGTCCTTCTTCCCATGCATAGATATACCACCAGCGGTATTGCTTGACGCACGGTGACCATACCTTCGCAGATCTGTTCTGTCAAAAGCTCTCGAATCTGGCTTGCCTAAACCCCTTGAGAGCCTAGAAGGAGCTCCTTTTCAGCGGTGGGTTGGTATGCACAGCTTCTCATTCACTTTTTGTTCGAGGTGCAGAATTCCGTTTCAAGTGTCGGGAATGAGGTATCGAGGGTGCGCCGAAGGCTTCGTTTACCGCGCCGCATGCATGCCGGGGTTCGAACGGCCATAGGATTGATGGTAGAGACCCTGTACTTCCGAAAAAGAGAATGGAAACCAAGAGACTGTTTCTCAATGGTATCTTGCCATGTGTTTCCTTGCCAGAGATGTGTGCTCAATGGTCTTTTTCCCGTTCAACTGGGTACACCTTCAACAGCTTTTGTCCTTCCTGGGTGTTTGGAGCAATTCCCAGCATCCCTTCGATCTGGTCTGAGAACATCAACATGGCGGAAGCATTGACCATGAGCGCGATCCCTATTAAGCCTCGTGTTTTCGGCGGCAAGCCTTTGTAGGAGCTGGAAGCAATGATCAGCGGAATGTCTGGCCGTAGCTCTTACGCGAATAACACCACGAAGGGCGTAGGATGTCGAGAGAGCACTTACGACCAGAGGGACATCTCGAGAGACTGAGTGGCAATATCCACGATGTCGAGCCTCAACGCAAAGCTATTCCACCCCAGAATGTCGAGGCGGGATGTTCACAGTCTGCTACGAGGACCAAATTATGTACAACTGCGCTCGATCAAGCCGGGGTTTTGCCGTAGACTGTTCTGTCGAGCAAAAGGACGAAGCATGTAAGTACACGGTGCAGCACGGATGCCATGAAGCGTACAGCGATTGCGTGCTCAGAGCGGACACCAAATTCTGGTCACGTATTGGCTGGGACCCGTCTCGAGGCTACATTGCCCCTTATTGCGCAGGGAACATTGATCCTGAGTTGTTCAGCCTTGCTAGAGGTGCCAGATATAGACCATTACACCAATACCACAGCTTCAGATCTGAAAAGCATACAAATTGCGAGTAGATAGCAGAGTATGAGGTGCAAGACAGAGAACCCCGCACTTGGACATGTGCGCCGCTCCCTACCACCGCGTTATCGGGCGGCCTGCATGAGCGATATGGCGGTGGGAGACTTCATGTCCTCAATTTCCCACCTCCTTCTCGTCAACTTCACTTTCTGCCCTGCAAAGACGTGGGCTACCAGATCAGAATTAGCTCTCAAGAAACGCATTCGCCACAGAGACTGGTGTAATCCTCGCGCCGCCCCTGTCGGCCTGAAAGATGCCAATCGTAAGCAATGTCAACAAACGTTTCCGAGTGTACCTGACTTCTCTCAAGGAAAAGCTCTGCCCTTTCGACGATGGAACGGTCCAGAAGCCAATCAACCGGGAGTCGCAAATGATTGATCTGATTTCCAGGTAAGGGAATCTTGTCTGGGTATCTTCGGGATTCGTCAGCTCACACCTAAGGACAGTTTCATTACCAAAAGCGATCACTACGACCGTAATCACGGGCCTATTCAGCACAGGATTGGCTCGGAACACACGGTCACAGTCAACGGACTCGTGTCGAGGCCTTTGAATTTGACGCTTGACCAGCTTGTGGAAGATTTCCCTCAGCACAGGGTCACCTGCACACTTCAGTGCGCCGGCAACCGAAGGCACACCATGCGGACTCGAATCAAGGAAGTCCTCGGTGTTGATTGGTTCGACGGTGCCGTAATGAACTGTGAGTTTGAAGGACCACTGGTTCGAGACATCCTCCTCGCAGCTGGGGTGGAAGAAGATGGTGTTATGCAGCGCAACGTCGTACCGAAACACGTCCACTTCGCCAACCACGGAGGCAAGACCCAGCACGACGAGTGGTACGGCGGCAGTATCCCCTTCGCCAGGGCCATGGATCTCGAGATGGATGTGATCCTGGCAGTCAAGGTATGAATCAGCGGCCATTGAGTGCGACGCGTCTCGTTGTGGCCATGTACTGATTACCCGCTCTTCTGTGGCAGATGAATGGCCTGCCTCTTGAAGCTCGTCACGGCTTCCCTGTCAGGGCAATAGTTCCGGGGGTTCTCGGGGCTCGTTCTGTCAAGTGGCTTGACTCCATCACGGTCTCGGACCAGGAATCGCCCTGCTTCTATCAGCAGCGCGACTACAAAGTCTTACCTCCGGAAGTAAGCGACGCAAAAACGGCCGAGGAGCATTGGGCGCGTTGTCCCTCCATGCTGGAGATGCCTGTCAACGCCTGCGTTGCTTGGCCAGTGTCCGGTTCCACCATCAAGCTTCCTGCCTCTGGATTCATTGAAGTCCTTGGCTATGCTGTGCCACAGGGCTGTCATGGACCTGTGATCAGGGTGCAAGTCTCGGGCGATGAAGGTAAGACCTGGACGGATGCGCAACTTGAGCACGGGGGAGAACATGCTAGCAAGTGGACTTGGGTGCTGTGGAACGCCAGGATCAAGATAGAGAGTGGTGAGGGCAAGAGAATCTTTGCCAAAGCTACAGATTCCGGAGGCTATACCCAGACTGAGGAAAGATCCACCTGGAATCTGAGGGGCGTCGCCTACAATGGGTATGAGGCTGCTTTCGACTTGACCGTAATTGAGGAAGTTGATCGCCCTGCGGTCGCTGCGCGTCTCGATGTGGCGAGATTATAATACCATCCTGTTCGAGGCAGATAGATCGGCTTGATGTCAAGATATATTCATCCCTTGACGTTGGACTCGGGTTGGGCATCATTGATGGATCGACGGTTGTTCGTAGCACAAGGTGATCACAAATTCAACAGATCTCGCGGCTGAACTCAACTTCCAACATGGACGTTCTCGAACGTTGGGCATCAACGCGCTGTGTTTTGCAACCGTCGACTGTAGATCTCGGTAGACACATCTTCCTGTTGGCTCTAAACTGAGTTCAAATAAGAATGCGAAAAGACGCAGGACATATGTACGTGTAGGAATACCTTGCGGTACGCAGCAAAAAAACGTGGTGTCATGTCGACCGTTGGTGTAGAAGTCAGCCGATTGGGCCATTCAAGAGCTGTGGAAATGCCTATCCGTATTGACGGGATGCTTTCGGTCGGCTCCTCTAGCGCCTGGATGAGGACACGGGACAATGAATGGTGTTGTTGTAGGTGGGCGGCATCCCTGCTGTCAGGCTACCCACACCCGACGGCGCACGGGCACACTATGCTAGTGAGGCTGCGGCGGGAGCAGGCGCCGGCAAGGGGTCACTTAAAGTCATATCACGGAATCAGGGCCAGTCAACTTGAGGAAACATTCACAAGAGTCGGAGAAGGGTTTGTCCATGGAGATATGTGACCAGTTGTTGACCTTGGAGACATGTACTATACACTCAACGTGCGGACTCGGTTCTTGGATAACCGTCGCCAGCGCCTCGCTCGTTCCCTGGGAGCGGCGAGCGGCCACCCAGTGAGGCTTTTGCGAGGCTTTTGTCTCTCCGGACGGTCGCTCGGGCCCCGTGGGAATAGTGTTTCGAAGATCTCTTCATGCGCCATGCACGGACTTCGAAGATATTATTACCGTGTTACTGTGTCTGTATGAGCTTGCACATACGAGTACGAGTGCGAAAGTCTCCCTCGGTGCCGGTGTGAGAAATGGGGCGACCATGGGCTGCGTAATCTTCGTCATTCACACACTATTCCCTGCTAGAAGCTAGACATGGCCCACGTTTCTGGAGTTTCCATGGCTCTGCTGGGCGCAGCTTCAGGGGATTCAGACTCTAGGCCCATTTTCCCCCAAGCCAGGCGCAGGGGCCTGAAACACAGGCGAATTGCGGCAATGGGAGTACCTGGGTTATCAATCTTGACGTCTCTGCTGTACGAGTCCACCACGGTTAGCCGCGCCAGACGAAAGCTGTCAAATGCTGCAGATTTCCAGACAGACGGGTGCAAAAGTAAACTTCACCGGACGAAAGCGTGCAGAGACGACGTTGTTTACCCTGGGTACTCGTACCGGAGGGTCTGGTGATTCCGGGGAGTGTCTGTGATATTCGTCCTGCAATGCGACAATCACACAGCCTAGCTAGCCATGGCCCATTAGAGACCACGGTATCCTGGCAGCCGGCGGAGAGAGAAGACCACCACAAAGTCGGCTGCAGGGTTTTGTGGGCATTTCGCCAGAATCGAGAAACTGGTGGAATTGACGGTGGAATCCACCCAGATTTTGCCAGCTGGTTTCGAATCGTTGGGAGTGCGTGCGAGTCACCTGCTACTGGTGCAGATTGCACACGGTCCTCGCGCTCTCTACAGCCCAGCACTCGGGACTCGTCTATACTCATACCTGGTCGTAGTGGATGGTATGGGATGGTGATGGTGGCGGCGGTGGTGGTGGTGCTGCATCCCACCGCCCAGTCAGCAAACCAAAATTGTGATTGTGCTCTCTGCAGCAGTAACCACCGGGACTTAAGGTTCAAGGGCATACATGCAAGGCATAGCAAACATTTCGAGACGTTGGACATATAGATGGATAGAATGTCTTGATTATAAACGCCCGTCGAGTCCAGCTGGAGCCCGCGGCCCTGCGCTGTGAGCCCCAAGAAAATCCGACGCTTGCTCGGTGCGCTCGACTCCATTTCAAGTGTAGTGCCGGTTTTTGCCTTAGAAACCTGAGAACCTCCATCTTGCGAAAGCCCGTCCATCTCTCCTCACTTCTTCCTTGTCTACAGCCATCAGCATCTTGTCAAGTCAACTGTCTCTCCTTCGTCCGTATACTTTTGTGTTTTACTGGCATCGAGAGAGTGACTTGCTGCTGCGTTGCCATCACAGCCTTTTCTCTGACACTTTTCCAAAAAGTTGCCGTCTTTCAAATCGTTGGAGTTGGCCGGGTTTCTGTTTTTCTGACTCGAGTTCGGAGCTGTTCGTCTCCGGTTGCTTGTCTGGTGACTTTTTCTGGCCTGATTGCAGTCCTCCTGGGTATTCGGCTGACCATCGACAGTACTGTTTATTCATTACATCTCGAATCCTCTCTCTAGTCCGGCCTTCTCAAGATCTTCGGGGCAGCTCTCCCGTCGTTGACTATCCCATCTCACCATGGCGAGTACTTCTCTACCGTCTCCGAAGCTCGACCGGTACGTGGTCATCCACGTGGCCACGACCTGCGATGAACACGGGGTCTATGTGACCAAAGACTCGGCAGAGGTCATTGAAATGGGCTGGATCCTGCTGGACAGTAAGACTTGTGACGAGGTAGGTGGACTCGGCTGGCAAAAGAGCCAGGTAAGAGACAAGGAACGGTACAGGGTTGACGAGTGAATCAGATCTATCGAGAAAGCGTCTTGGTGAAGCCGATAAACACACCCATCACACCGCTCTGCAGTGAGTCTTTGCGTCGGCAGAATCGGGGCTTTGCATCAACTGACCTTCACATCACAGCCAGCCTCACCACTCTGACCTGGGAGCATGTTCGCAATGCCGGGTCCTTCCGGGACGCCGTGACTCGTTTCGACCACTTCGCCCAGGAGCATCTGATATCCAAGAATTTGGAGTTCTCCTTTGTAACACTCGATGCCTGGGACTTGCGGGTGCAGCTCCCCCGAGAGGCTCGCGACAAATCAGTCGTCCTACCGGCTTACCTGCAACACTCGCGCACCTTTGACCTGCGCTCAGAGTACGCCCGTTGGCAACAGCACCATCCAGAGTCCCTGCCCTTCGGCCCCAGCTCCCTAGCAAACATTTGTGCTGCTCTCGAGGTGGAGCCTGTGCAATCCTCGGCTCCAATCAAGCACAACTTGCCCTTCCATCTGCAGGCTTTGGCGCCTGCCTCCCCTCGCCGGGCAATGGAGGAGGCGGTCACTCTTGCCAGGGTGCTGCGCGGCCTCATTCGGAAGTCCCAACCCGCTCACGAGCATCCGGATGTCTTGACTCGACCCATGGATGCCAGGGCGGACGTGAACGCCTTTCTGAAAGAGCGTAGCAAAGTCCTGCACATGAACGGTCTGCCGCACGACACAACCCAGTCTGAACTCGAAAGCTGGTTTACTCAGTTCGGAGGAAGGCCGATTGCTTTCTGGACCCTCCGTACTCCGGACCAGCACAAGCCCACAGGCTCGGGGTTTGCCGTCTTTTCTTCACACGAAGAGGTACGTTTCACTGCCGCTCTGTCGTTCCCTTCATATTGAAGTCGCTTCTGCATTTCACTTCTGTCAAGAAATCTACGCCACACCAAAGACGTTTGCCCTGACATTTTACTTGTTCTAGGCTGCTGAAAGTCTCTGCATGAACGGACGCGCTCTCAACGAAAAGGCCATCGAGGTCTCGCCTTCATCAAGTCGAGTCCTTGATCGTGCCGCCGAGATACTCACACCTTTCCCTCCAAGCAAGAATAGACCTCGACCCGGTGATTGGAACTGCCCTTCCTGTGGCTTCTCAAACTTTCAGCGCCGGACCGCATGTTTCCGCTGCTCTTTCCCTGCAGCTGGTTCAGGCGGCGGTGATCCCTACGGCTTCAACCCCTACGGTTACCCACCACCTCACATTATGGGTCACCATCCCCATATGGGTCACCACGGTCACGGTATGGGCCATCATGGCCGCGGTAGCGCTGGTCCTGTTCCTTTCCGTGCTGGTGACTGGAGGTGCGGTGCAGAAGGATGTCAATACCACAACTTTGCCAAAAACGTCAACTGCCTGCGCTGTGGCGCTCCCCGTTCGGGCGCGGCGATCGTTGTCGATTCTTCTTATCCGTCTCCCATGGGCCCGCCATCGGAATTCGGCATGGGCCCTGGGTCGATGGCTAGCACCCCAGGCCCTGCCCCCTACGGCGCCGGTGCTGCTGCGTTCGGGTCTGGAGCTGCGTTCGCCCAACCACCGCCTAGCCAGTATGGCATGCCTTCTGGCATGGGCGCTCCTGGTGCTGGGTTCCCTCAGATGGGTGGCATGACCCCCGGATACGCTTCAAGCAACATTTCCCACTCATCCTTTGGTCCAGCCGCCCAAGCCGCTTTCAGTGGTGCCGCCGACAACACCACCCCAGGAAGCATGCCTCCCCAGAATGGCTTCTACGGTACCGAGCAGGGCGCAGATCCATTTGCTTTCCTTTCCGCCGGCATCCAAGGCCTCGGAGTGGGCGATGAGAATCAGCCACCGCGCCGTAATGGCGGCCCTCAAACCGCCAAGAGTCCTGCTTAGAGAGTCTAGCCGGACATCGCCCTTTGTCATGGAGTTCTTGGTTCCAATAACGACTTCGACGACACAATTCATGTTCAGCAAATGGTGTTCAGTTCTTTAATCATTTCATGTACTTGACTCTTGCAGATTCAGCACATGTGTTCTCTAGTTTGTATCGTGAATATTGGCGGGCGGTGCTGGAGGTCAGGCTGGGACTGGGGATTCTTGATGGGAACGGCACATGGAACATTCTTTGCATATGACGGATGGATGGACCTAGACACTTGGCTTTGTTTTCTTCTTTCGAAATGACCACTTGCCTCAGATTATCCACAAAAACATGGTGGAGGGAAACAAGGAGCGTCAAGGTCTAGACAAACACTGGGTACAGGGCAAGGCCGGGGGATGGAGCGTCGTATCTGCGGTATGTGAACGTGAGCTATTGCCGGCATAGCGATGGAGCATGAATATTTTGATGCCGCGACCTTTACGAAACAAATGGAGTGAAGGTGGACTTTGAAATTTGGTGTGTTTGAAGGGTTGTGATGCTGGACAAAAAGGAGAACAACAGGGGCAATGACAGGCATTTCACCAAGAAAAGAGCCGAGGGCAAAGTTGCAGTAGGGGACTGGCAGAGTGCAGGCCCTTGTTGATATTTTTATCTAAGAATGTATCAAACGAAGATTTATCTCTATCTGTTTCACGTACTTGCGGAGAGGATTTGTTTGGACTTTTTGTATCTTGAATGCCTTTGCAAGCGACGGATTCAACTGATGAGTTACGGATACACGAATCTCCACCAAACGGAGAATCAGGGTCTCAGATGATACTCATTCTATGTGAAGACTATGAAATAACTTCGCCTGTGGGGATGGGAAGGGGGGAACGGGGGGGATACTGCATAACCCTACTTGAAAGTGACTACCTACTTACATACCTACCTCAAGGTTGCTTGACAGGGCGAGCAATCATGACAACATCAACATTTTCTTCCACTCAAGAATCACCACAACTCGTCGCGACTTCCACGTCTGTGTGTCTGGTGGCGACGCTATCATCCCCCATCATAAGATGCTCGCCAGCCAGGTCGATCGGCAAAGCATTGCAAAAGGCCAAGTCCGATCGACCGACCGTCTAACCATAGCGCTCATGCTCGTCAACGACTCTTCCTTCAGAGACCGGGGCTCGCTTGAAAAAGAAGTCGTTGGTTGGAACAGTTCGTTTTGTCTTTTTCACCAATCGCCGCCCCCTAATCAACCACAACCAGTCCAAATAGATAAATACCTTTGCATGGCCTTGCCCGCTGACTCCCATCGTCAAGGAAGAGAGTGTCAGTGTTCATGCTCACTCTCACTAATGGTATAGCCCATCTCATGGGGGGGCTCATATCGCAGAATCAATACCTCGCCCCGACTCGACTCGGGTTTTGTCCCTCAGCAACCCACTATCGTTGTTCGGATGAAAGGGGCAGTCTGCATCTTGAGAGAGCAATCGATGCTGGGTATAGGAAAAGTCCCCCGCCAGATTTGCAACCCCCGTTGTTGGTCACCGAGGAAAATCCGAGGCAGACGCAACAGTCTGATGCATAGTCTGAAATCATTAATCCTATGGAAGTTGAATCTCCACGATCCGGAGAGCACTTTGGGAGTACCTAAGCAGGCGCTTGCGTTTGCTGTGCTTGAGCTTGTGCAGCATGGGCGACCACATTAAGCAGGACCTCTCGATCTCCAGGCTCCAAGATCGAGGTTAGGCTCTGGTAGAGTTGCGGTTGTTCGGTTTGAAGTTTACCGAGAGACTCTTTGAAAGCGCCGTATGGATCGAACTTGTCTAGAGGGCTCTCAAGAAGACTGTCTTCATCGAGGATGCTATCTTCATCGTCGTCGGCAAGAGCCCCAAACTTCTTAGCTTCCTCGCTAAGGAAATCAAGGTATGCCTGCGACTCGTCTTTGATGTCACCCTTGGTATCGGGGAGAGCTTCGGTGTCAATATTGCTCCATTCTTGTCCTTGCTCCCCTGCTGGCTCATCCGCCCAGTCCTCAGCGTCGTCATCGGAAGCGTACTCGGACAGGGTATCGGACACGCCGTCTGATGCTTTAACGGCTTCTTCCCTCTGCTTGAGCGCGGCAGGTAATGTGCGGAAGAGATATGTAGCACCGGTGAGCAACCGAGGCCAGCCTGTCTGAACAGATTGAGGGACCTGGTCCGCACGGATCGTGAGGAGGGAGGCAATGGCTGCGATGCAAAGCTTTTTGTCGTGGACTCTACGGAAAGAATCGATACTTCCAAACCAGGTTGAGAAGAACTTGTTGGTCCAGCCATGTGCTTCGAGGACTTGCAGTGCCAGAATTGGATTGTAATAGAGAGCATTGATCACCATCTCGATCAGGTGAATCTTGTAGCTCTTCATGATCGTCTTTTGCTGCGGTCCTGTCAAGACTTCCATTGGCAAAGTCACAAAAGTTGGGATGAAGCTGTCAATGGGGCCACCTCGAAGGTTCAGCATCATTGCTTCCGCGAGCTTGCAACCACAGATCCTGTCCACTCCTCCAACCTTGGGATCGGCAAAGATATCCCTGACCATGCCCGCTATGGCGGCCAGGTATGGAGGGTGGTTGATCAATCGTTGTTGGCCGTAGGAGACAAAGTTGTCCAACGCGGGAAGCATGTCTTCCAGGTACAATTCAGCACCGTCTTTGAACGTCTTGTGCATTAGCTCAAACGCTTGCCACATGGTGTCCGAGATAGATTTGGAAGCGAAGGTGCACGAGTCGATGATTTCAAACACTTCGTTGTAGAGATCGTACAACTTGTTCTCCAAGGTGATAGTAATCACTGGCATAAGAATAGTCTCTAGGAGGAGGAGAACATCAGGTGTAGCTTCCAAGGTAAGGATAAGCGTGCCAATTGTCTGCAAAACACCTAGTGCCGCAATGGCCTTGTCATCAAGGTAATCGCCGTAGCCAGGGCCGTCTCCGCTCTCAGCTGCCTTGGCTTCATTGCGCTCGAGTATCTCTTTGATGATTCGGAGGTAGGTGTCTCTCAGATTCTCGCTTAACGCAACGGCAAATGGGGTCAGTTGTTCGGCAAATACTTCGACAAAATCCTCCATCACGTTTGACAGAGCGTCCACGTCGACTTCGTTCATCAACTTTAAGAGTTGGTGCATTATTTGCGGAATGTTCGATTGCATTGCGATGCGGATTGGATCGTGCCTGATCAGGGGCTGCAGAGCAAGCGCGGCCATGACCCGGACTGGCAATTCGGGATCAGCCATCGACTCGAGGATATTGCGGTATATCACCATTAGATTGTTCGGATCCTTGAAATCCAGTTGCTCGAATCGCTCCATAGTCTCACAAGCTCTAGCTCGGAGAAAGCCATGTGGAGATCTGAACTCGGGGAAGACATGCCGGACAAAGAAGTATTCAACCTGGTCCGCAATGGGACTCTTTTTGCCCAATATGACCGAGGCAAGCGAGCCGATCATTCGAAGAGCGCCCTCCTTTTCCCGTGGATTCTTCTGGTCATCAGGAGCAGCCTCGTACCGTGTGACCACCTCGTTGACATATGAGAGGATTACATAGGTCTGTTGTTTTCGCGACTTGGTCAAAGCAATCAGGAAATTGGTAGCCGCCATGTCCGGGGCCGATACTTCTTCATAGAAGTTGAGTTTGCGGTGGAGATAGTCGGGAGGATTATCTGTGAACAGTTCCAAGTCTTCATCTGACTGGCACAGGACGGGGAAGATCAGATGCTTGATCAAGCTGTCCATGTGTGGCTTAAGCTTGTCCCACATTGCTTTCGGCTTTACGCACTCCTCCAAGAAGATCAAAGTATATGACAGTGATGGTTTGCTCAGCCAGTGATTTCCACCCACCCATTTCTCTATCTCCCCCAGATAGACCTTGAGCATTTCGGGGGCAAAGTGCGTGATGAAGTTTCTGGCATAGTCACCGTATTCCTTCTCTTGGGAGGTCGTCAGACCAGAAGGATTGCCGTATCTGACGAATAGCCGGTTGAGGTTTGCATATGACCATTTTCGTGCCTTCCACCAGTGGTTTCGCTCCCGATCTTCCACATCCTCGTCCAATGCTGACTCGGGAGGTCCCTTGGAAATGATGGTCAAGAACAGGGTGCACCAATCGACTGTGGCCTGGTGCGACTGCAGAGGTTGTGGGAGACCATAATAGACGGCATGTTTGAAGCATTTTACACATATCCTCAACATCTCTCCGGCCTCGGGACTCGACTCGTTGACGAGTCTATTTGCGATGCCTAACAAGGTCGGGAAGCCGACGTTGACCACTTTGTCCAAGTTTGCCCTCTCTTCACCGGCACGGAAACGATACGTCCGGCACACAGCCAATAAACATTGAAGGCCCGCATATACCGAATTCACATCTTGAGTGTTCAATAGTTGAAGGGTTATCTCCATCAACTCTGGCCATTTGGCTGGGAAGTCGTACTGCAGGACGGTTTGTAGGATAGGAATGAGCTGTGCTCGCACGGGAGGAGGGGAAGTGGAAAGGACCGGCAGAAGTCGATCTTTGAAGGGTTTTCGTTCGGCTTCAGAGATGGGATGATGCGGTGTGTTCTCCGTGCTCCAACCCCGCGATATTCGGTTTTTCAGGTAGATGGCGGTCGAGAGGCGCACACCAGGATCTTGTTCGGTCTGCAAGTTGTCGAGAAGAGCGCCGATAAAGCCATGATGCTGCTCAGCCTGCTTGAGGGCCAATTCAGCCTGTTGGCGAATGTTCGCATCCGCTGACAAGGTGGACGCGATGGTCTTGCTCAAATCCATGACACCAAAAGTTTGCCCTGGCAAGGGCTAATACTCCGAGACCTCCAAAAGAAACAGAAAACGACTTGAGAGTCCAGATACGAGTACAACAAAGACCGTGAAGGGTCCTCTAGGGTGGGCTGGCTGGGGCAAGAGACACGCGGAAAACATATTTATTACGGATTCTCAGTTTCATGGCTGTCGCCGCCGCTGCCAAGCCTTCTTCGACAGGGGGACCAACGGCAGTGCAACAATCCAACACCATTTGTGTCTCTCCCATTCCATTCTCTACATTTTGGCTGCGGACTTGAGCATCGCGAGATGGACAACATAGCCCGTGTTGGAGCGCAGGTCGGGGGTGATTTTATCATCAGACATCCTCCACACGTGGAATTCTTGCATCAGGCTGTCCAGAAAGAACTCGAATATCGAATCTGACCGAAGCTGTTGAGCTATCAAGACGACTGTCTGCTTTGGCTTGGGTAGTCCCAGACGACAGATGTCAATCATCATCTGGATCAAGGGTTTGACAAGGAAGTCGTTGTAGACACAATCGCACAGAATCACCAGGTCAATGCAATCCTCAGACGAGATAACCGCAAGCAGATTCTCAGCCCGATCAGTCTCCCAGTCGAGGGCCATGGTTTTGAGGGATGAAGTGAGATCTGGTACCCTCGGGCTGCTGCGTTTCTTCGTAGCTCTCAACTGAGGCTTGTTCGCGTGTGAGTTGGCCGATATGTTCTCTTTCAGGTACTTCATCACATACTCCTGGTCGGTGAGTACGTAACACTTGACGACACGCGAGAGGACCAGGCCTATGAGGCCTGCTAGTCCACAACCCAATTCAACCACAGTGGCATTAGGATGTAGCGCATTCAGATCAGCCAACATTGCTGGGAAAGATGCCAACCACGCCGCTAACAGCGGTGTAACTTTCCACAAGACTGCCCCTGTAGTACCTTCTTTTCGATTGGATTTCAAGAGCGCCGGAGATTGTCGTAGTTCGTACTCATGGCCAGCGATCTCGACCTGGATAGTGCCTTGTCGCGAATCGACGAACCCAAGATCATTGCTTGGAATTTGTTGACTGAACAATTCAAAAGTCTCTGGAACGAAAGGTCAGACAGCACAGGCCCCTGCGAGTGAGCGAGAAGGGTAGAATGCTACTACCTTCTGATGCATCCTCGAGTGGGGGACCTAGAATGTCATGATGTTGTGATGAAGCCATGGCCCTTGCATGATCTTAGATGATGACGGTCCTGCTCATGGCCTGGTCAATTCAGGAACGACTTAAATGGCGACGTATACGCGCAAGAAGGCGGGCAATCACATTCTTGCTGACGGCGCCGAGCCAACGATAATGGGTGAACATCAGAGAAGGTTTTACTGACAATGAAGGCACTTCGAACCGCATCCAGTGCCCAGAATTCGAATGACAGAAGCAACTCAGCCTCTCAAGCCAGGCATCGCATAAAGAGTTTGTCGTAATCGTAATCGTATAGCAGCATACGAGACATTCTCTCCGAGTACTTGATGGTGCAACGAAGCCGAAGGTAAATCTCATCGTCCGTAGCTCGTCCAGCGCGCCACCTCCAGGGTCAAGTGCATAAGCTGCCTGGCGCACTAGTTAGTTAGGTACCGGTACTGGTGCCTGTAGTGATGATTACAGGCCCTAGTCCAAGCAGAGCTACCCAAACCAAGGCCCAGCACAGCCCCTACACACGCCTAGCATCCGCGCCTAGAAGCTCCGTTGGGAAGTGATCAACCCCAACACAAGCAACCCAGCCTTCCTCTCGTATTGTCCAACAATGCTCCGTACTCCGTACTCCTTGGAGAGTGATTACTCTTCTGCCTTTCCCCAAGTGACGGCGACCTTGACGTAACCCGAGTACCTTGTTCCTCTCTGCTTTCTTGCGTCTGTCATCCTAACAGGCACAAGAGTGTGACACCGTTCAAGCTCTCGCCATTGCCAACTGCTGTCTTGCGTCCAAGGATCACGCAGATATTTGTTCTGCGCAACCTTCAAGTCACAAAGCATTCGCTCCGACGCGATCAGACCGCGACTCCGCATCCGCCTGTTCACCTCCACTCCCTATATTCCACAATCCTCAACCATCTCTTGCGCATAGAGGCACCTTGCTCAGCCAAGCAATAGGACAATCACGCACCCCCTAAGTAGAGATGGCATCACTAGAAAACGACCGTCGACCAAGAATCGATGGATACGTTCAACCTCAGCTTACCAAGAAGCCGCCTTACTCGGTAGAGGCCTCAGGGTACCAAAAGAAAGAGGGCGAAACCATTCCCAGACGACATCCTCTGGCAAAGGACAAACTGATTGTCCTGCCTTCAAATGATGTCAAGACCGTGTATGACAATCTCAAGCGAGCTGCTGCCAAGTTTGGAAATGCCAAAGCCATTGGGACCAGGAAGCTCCTCAAGACTCATGTCGAGAACAAGAAGGTGAAGAAGATGGTGGATGGGCAAGAACAGGAGGTCGATAAGAAATGGACATACTATGAACTCAGTGGTTATAGCTACATGAGTTTCATCGAATATGAGAAACTGGCGCATGACATTGGATCTGGCCTGCGCAACTTGGGTGTCTCCAAAGAGAACAAGATGCATCTTTACGGAGCTACAAGGTACGCTGAAACCATCTACGTTTTGATCCTCGCTCTGACCCGTACAGTGCTCACTGGCTCGCCACGTCACACGCCGCCGCTTCTCAATCTATTCCCATTGTCACGGCCTACGATTCTCTGGGAGAGGAAGGTCTGAGACACTCCCTTGTCCAAACAGAGTCCGTCGCTATATTTTTGGATCCCAACCTCATCCCGGTATTGAATAAGGTCATGAAGGATGCTGTGAATATCAAGTCCGTCATCTACAACACTGAACCAGAGGTTAAAGAAGCAGACCTTCAAAAGCTCAAGGCAGATCATCCCGACGTTAGGGTCATCAGTTTTGAAGAGCTGAGGAAGTTGGGCGCCGAAAAGCCTTTTGACCCGGTACCTCCGTCGCCAGAGGATTTGGCATGCATCATGTACACTTCTGGGTCCACAGGCCCGCCAAAGGGTGTCACCATCAAGCACAAGGCTGTCGTGGCTGCAATGGCAGGTGTCCAAACTATCGTCGCTCCGTACATCGGACCCGCTGATGCACTTCTCACCTATCTGCCTCAATCCCACATTTTCGAGTACATGTTCGAGAATGTTTGCCTGTTCTGGGGCGGCACCATGGGCTATGGTAATCCCAAGACTTTGTCGGATACTTCGGTCCGCAACTGCAAAGGAGACATCCGTGAATTCCGTCCTACAATTCTGATCGGCGTTCCCGCGGTCTGGGAGAGTGTCAAGAAGGGCATTTTGGCCAAGATCAATAGCAGCTCCTTTGTCGTCAAGAATATGTTTTGGGGGGCATTCAACCTCAAACAGATGCTCCTGGGAGCAGGTCTTCCAGGATCTGGCATTCTCGATGCGATCGTGTTCAAGAAGCTGAAGGAGGCCACTGGTGGGCGGCTTCGTATCGCTTTCAACGGCGGTGGCCCTATCTCCCAAGAAACGATCAAATTCATCAGCTACGCAGTCACCCCAATGATTTCGGGCTATGGATTGACCGAGACTTCCGCGATGGGTGCCATTCAAGACCCATTGGCTTGGGATCCCCATGCGCTAGGCGACATTCCAGGATCGATCGAGATCAAACTGGTTGACTTTCCCGACGCTGGTTACTACTCAACCAACAAACCTCCTCAGGGTGAGATATGGATCCGTGGGCCTTCCGTGACTGAAGGATACTGGGACAACGAGCAGGAAACCAAGGAAGCCATTACAGAGGATGGATGGTTCAAGACCGGTGACATTGGAGAGTTCAATGCCAATGGCCATCTGAAAATCGTTGACCGCAAGAAGAACCTCGTCAAGACATTGAACGGTGAATACATTGCGCTTGAGAAATTGGAGTCAGCCTATCGGACTGCCCCAGTCGTTGGAAATATCTGCGTTTTTGCGGCACAAGACAAAGCCAAGCCTATTGCTATCATTGTGCCAGTCGAGGCTGCTCTGCAAAAGATTGCTGCTGCCAATGGCATCAAGGGAGAGAGTACGGAAGAGATGGTTCATGACAAGAAGCTTAACCGCATCGTTTTGAACGAGATGCTGAAGGCAGGCCGTCAAGCAGGGCTGTCTGGAATCGAGCTCATCGATGGATTGGTCATGGCAGACGAAGAATGGACACCTCAGAATGTAAGTGACGTGTCAGTTTGTTTGAGCGCATGATACTGACTACTACAGGGCCTCATCTCTCCGGCGCAAAAAGTTCAACGAAAGAAGATCGAAGCCAAGTATGCGAAAGAGATCAAGACCGCCTACGGAAGCCAGTGAGAGGCGGTCGCCATCTCCAGATACCCATCCCGCTCGCCATGTATGATTATTTCGCGTGAAGGAGGAAGGTCTGAGCAGAGAGAGCTAGGTGTTTGGGAGTTACAAAAACAATAGCATAATCTGAGCTTCTTCACGGACCCAACCACCAGCCAAGTTTCTGATCTCGCATTGAATTGTTACAATCAGGCATCGAGGAAACTTCGGCGTTTCCAACTTGTGATCTTTCTCCCACCCCTTACCCAGCCGTTATCGATGACTCTCTGAGGGCAATGTCCGTCGCCTTGACAGGCCAAAAAGCAGCAAACCCCTGGATCTTTGGCACATTCATGACACAGAGGGTTCTCATCCGTTGCAGCCACATTAGAGATGGCGTCTCCTGTGTTTTCGTCCGCCTCAGTCTGCTGATGTTGACCCTCGAGACCATTGCTAGGCATTATCAGCTATTATATTCCTGCTGTGAAACCCTTGGTTTCGCATACCTGTCATCGCCTTGCTCGCTTGCGACTGTACCAAATGCAAAAATGCCAAAAGAGATAAAGAGTAAGTTGAGGGCCTTCATTGTTGTTGGTAGGATTGATTTCCCTCGAGTATTGAAGGCCTGGAATTATTTGTGCCACGACTAAACTCGCTCACTCTTGATCAAAGTTCTACTGGAAGGGATATCAGAATCACCGCATTCCTGCCAAGTCACATTCCACAATATGATCGAAATGCACCTTGCTCTCGTGTCAGACACGCGTCATGCATTTGATCATATCTTTGTGGACTGTAGCGGTCTTCACTGCTTGACCGGCGACCCCGGATCTTTCGCAGCAAATCCATACCAAAATGTGGCCTTCTCACGCCTGCTTCTTCTGGCTATACGTAGCCTTGCTTATATGCTGTGCAAACGGTCAGTCAACATATTGGCTAGCGAATAAGCCAAACGTCGGGAAAGTCGCGTTTCAGACGGATCCAAATTATCCCGTCTTTCGCAACGTTAAAGACTACGGAGCTCGAGGTGAGTGTATTCCCATCCGTGGAGCCGTCGGGTTTGGCCTCTGATGATCTGTACCAGGCGATGGCATACAGGATGACACAGACGCCATCAACAATGCGATCGCGGCTCCAGGAAGCCTCAGCACTATAACACAACGGCTGAATGGCCGTTGTGGAGGAGGTAATTCAACCGTAGGCTCGTTCTGCGAGTCTGCAACGGTGACTCCAGCATTGGTCTACTTCCCTCCTGGGACCTACAAGGTGTCCAAACCATTGATCATGTATTACATGACACAGATGGTGGGCGACGCGGTGACTCCTCCCACAATCAAAGTTGCCGCAAACTTTACCAAGATCATTGGGCTCGCCGTGATGGATGCAGATATCTATATTCCCAGCGGATCTGGAGGAGAGTGGCATGCCAACCAAAACAACTTCTGGCGACAGGTCCGCAACTTCATCATTGACATGACAACGGCTCCTCTTGATACTGCCGGCATTCATTGGCAGGTAGCGCAGGCGACGAGTCTGCAGAACATTGTCATCAACATGGCCGCAAAGGATGTTGTCAATAACGCACAACAGGGTATCTACATGGAGAACGGCTCGGGAGGCTTCTTTTCTGATATTACCGTCACCGGAGGAGCTCTGGGCATGTATCTTGGTAACCAACAGTTCACCACGAGGAAGTTGAGTTTCAACGGTTGCAGCACAGCCATCAAGATGAACTTCGACTGGCTCTGGCTTTTCACTCAGGTCACCATCACCAATTCCAATGTTGGCATCGACATGACTAATGGAGGGTTCTCGAACCAGGCTACTGGCTCGGTTGTGGTGATCGACAGCGTCATATCGGCGACACAGGGTATCCTGACGCCTTATGCTCCAGGCTATAGCTCGCCTCAGGCTGCGGGGACGCTGGTGCTCGAGAGGGTTGACTTTACCGGCAGTCCCGCGGCAATCTCTGCTGCTGGAGGTACTCAAGCAAGGACCGTTCTGGCCGGAGGACAGTTTATCGAGCTATTTGCCCAAGGAAATGCCTGGACCACGGCAGGACAAGGCTTGAATGGCCAAACCTTCAATGGAACATCCTGCACTTACGCCAACTCCAGTCAAACGGCATACACGGCGCAAGAGACGACGATCCAGAGACAGCTAGCTCCTATTCCTCGCCCTTCCAACCTGGTGGACAGTAACGGTCAGTACATCTACCGGGTCAAACCACAATACGAAACCCTCCAATGGAGTTCGTTCTTGAGCGCAAAAGCCAACGGCCTTGCTGGAGACGGGCAAACCGGTAAGTTTTGAGCTGCAAATGCTGGATTTTTGCCCTTTGGCCTTTGGCTGACGTTCCTTTTTCCAAAGACGATACCGCTGCCATGCAGAACCTGTTCAACCTCGCAGCCAGCACAAACAAGGTCGTCTACTTTGACAAGGGCGCCTATATTGTCACGAGCACCGTTAAAGTCCCACCCAACCTGAAGATGACTGGAGAAATGCTTCCCATCATCATGGCCACGGGGCCCTTTTGGGGCGACCAGATGAATCCGAAACCGGTGCTGAAGGTCGGCAACCCAGGAGACGTTGGTACAGTCGAGATATCCGACCTCATCTTCGAGACTCGCGGGCCTTGTCCAGGTGCCATCATCGTCGAATGGAACATCAAGGCCCAAGGTCCAGCGCTGGCGGGCATGTGGGATGCTCACTGGCGTATCGGTGGTTCTGCCGGGACGAATCTCCAGTCGGACAAATGTATCAAGACTCCGTCTCAGCCCATCACGTCAGGAAGCTCGGTCTTGACGGATTGTATCGGCGCCTTTCTTTTGTTGCACGTCACGCCTCAAGCTGACGGATACTTTGAGAACACCTGGGGCTGGGTAGCCGATCACGAACTCGACCTGGGTACGCGTGAGCAGATTTACATTTTCAACAAGGCGTGAGTCTCTTCTTTGTTTTTCTCCATTTGAGCCCCCCACCGGGGAGATATCTCATGTTGTGGTTGCTCTCCTCCCTTTTCTAACTCCCAAAACTCCAGTGGCTTTCTCTTCGAGTCGGCAGAAGGTCCGGTGTGGCTGTACGGCACCGCGTCCGAGCACAGCGTCATGTACGACTACCAGTTCTCCAACACCAAGAACGTCTTCATGGGCCACATCCAGCACGAGACGGCGTATTACCAAGGCAATCCAGACGCCCTTCACGCCTACTTCACACCGCAGAGCAGCTGGAACGATCCTACCTACGCAGACTGTACGCAGCCGAACTGCGCCCGGACCTGGGGTGTTCGGATCCTGAATTCCAGTTCCATCTTTATGTACGGTGGCGGCTTGTACAATTTCTTTGAGAACTGGAACACCCAGGCTTGTTTGGGCACGGAGAGCTGTCAGGAGCGCATGGTGGATATCCAGAACTCGACCGACGTCTACCTGTGGGCGTTGAGTACAAAGGGAAGCCAGTTCATGATCAGCTACGAGGGAACCGACGTCGTGCCGTACAGTGTGAACAGGGCGAATTTCTGTGAGACGATTGCACTGTTTGAGTTGGCCGAGTCGCAGTAGAAAGCAGAGAGCTGGCCAGAAGACTTTGTCTGGAGCGAGCTTTAGTCTTTGGATAAGGTGGGAGGGTGCTCTTCGAGGATTTGTGAGAACGTGGACGGGGACTTGCCCATCTATCTAAGATCTCATTTAGCCATAGAAGCCAATTGACTGTGGAGTAGGTGCGAGTCGAATAATATCTCAAGGTCGGATATCGTCGAGATATGATCCATCTACTTCGTCAAGGGGGAGCGAGATATCAGGAGCGAGGACGAATGTTGTTGGACAAGGGGTGGATGATGGTGGGGGTAACTCAGCACGATTGCGGTCGATGTGACCAATCATGTGGACTGATCTCAGCGAATATATTTCCTTCTCCCTCGTTGTCAAACCATCACACTGTCCATGTTTCGCTCGATCTGTGTATGATGCCTCGAGCATTCGAGTGTCGGTGTGAGTCATGCTGTGGCCACCCTGAAACTGAAATACCCTTGCATTGGTCACTTTGACATCTGCCCCCTTTTGCCTTGGCCCAGGGAAGTAGACGATGCTGGCTTGAAAGCAAATTTACAAGGCTGGTCGAACACTGTCGGATCTTCTCGAAAGGCGTATATTAAGGTGCCACAGACTCCAACTTACCCAAGGCAGCATGCTCACACCGAGTGTTTCTATGAAAGTTGTGATTCACATCTTACTTGCTGTTTTGTGACCTCCAGCCGCCGATTGGATCTAAGCACGCACCCCGACCAAACAAGTCACCATGGCCATCACCGAGTTTCAAGAGGTTCGTTTCGTTTTGTTGTTTTTCCTCCCTCCCTCCCTCCAGAGCCCTGCAACGACCCCCTCGCCCTCACTACCATACATAAATTGTGGCGAGGTACTTCAGGCACTCTGCTCGACTCTACTGTACTGACTTGGACTCGACGACTCTCGTCATTGGTACACAGCGAGTCTACACGTCCCTCCTCGCCATCCCAAGGGGCAAAGTATGCTCTTACGCCACGCTCGCAAAGTCCCTCTCGACGTCTCCCCGTGCCGTGGGCGGCGCTCTACGAAACAACCCTTACGCCCCCGAGGTTCCATGCCACAGGGTCATCGCGAGCGACGGCTACGTTGGTGGGTTTATGGGTGACTGTAGGTTCTAGTTTTTGGTCGTCCCCGTCACTTTTTCTCTCCTTACTCACCTGGAGGTGCCAAAACTCTTTCATTTCCAGGGCAAAAGGCACCTAGCTCAATCAATCAAACCAAGAAACTTGACCTCCTGGCCGAAGAGGGCGTGTACTTTGACGGACAGGGGAGACTTGTCGTTATTACCTCGACTTCGACATCCGCCACCACCACCACATCATCATTCAAATCCACACCCAGACCGCAAACTCGCACTTTGACAAAGACAAAGACAAAGACACAGCAGCAAAAACACGCCTCGACATTGCTTGACCAGGCAGACGGAAATGGGAATGGAAACCACAATGACGATAACAGTGACAACGATCCGTGGTTCAATGGACCATGGGATCTCGAAGCCGCAAAGACAAAATTGGTAGAAATCATGACGACAAAACGAGAAAGAAAAGATGACTTTTGAATCAGATGGATACATACGTACACAAGACCCCAAAAACAATTGTACAAGTTACAATACAAATCAAAACACCACGTCACCCTTCTTCTTCCGGTTGTTTTGTCCTTTTTTTTTTGATCCGTTCTAGGAAGACATTCATGATGAGCGCCATTTAATTTCCCCATTACTCCAATGATCACTCCCTCATATCACCACCGTCTACTTCTCCGGCTGCACAAACAAGTTCTCGGTCCGCTGACTGGGCTGATCATTTCACTTTATGAATGGATGGACGAGAGCAAAGGTAGGGAGCGCCGTCCAAAGAAAGACCAGAACTTGAACAATAGCCCACGCCCTTAGTCATTCGAATCCGATCTCTGGGCTCATGATGATGATAATAACAATAACATAATTGCTATCAGCTAAGGTAGGTTCAATGGTTTCAAGATCAACTACATTCACAGCTCCATCCTCCACTCCAGCCAGCTACTGACCTCATCTCAACTTCGTAGAATCGAGGTGTGAAATCCGGTAATAGTGACAAAGAACTCTCCCCCAGGTTCATGTGCGTCATCATGCCACTTCACGAGTTCGTTGCTAGCAAGATAAGCCAGGGGAAGGTAGACAAGAAAAAGGTTCTCTCGCATTTCTGCAAGAGAATCATGCATGCATATGCACATGCATGCATACACAATTACTTGCTCTTTTCCCAACCCATCCCATCTACATACAAGAGCTGGCTGAAGAGGAAACAGAAACAAAACAAAAATAGAAACCAATCGATGATCAGGATCCTATTAAAGATAGTAGTAGTACACCCGATCAAGGGTACCTGGGTTTTCTTCTTTTTGGATAGGAAACATTGTGTAAAACGCAATAAGGTTCGTGCCAATTTAATCTGGGCTGCAGTCATCAAGTCGTGATGATAAAGAGTGGCTGAGTCTTCCAAGAGTACTCGGTGTGTTGGAATAGGTGGGCGCTGCCCTGATGTCGTCCTTCACATAATAACGCTCTTTCGTTTCTCGGCGTTGCTGAGGACCAACAATGGAGTGTTGCGTCTAGCAGATTGCTCAACTTCAACAATGGATCCTCCAATGAAGTTACCCTCATCGCTGCTCAGGCTCTTAGCACTTATGGCTCCAATGCTATCAACTGAACCACGTTCTCGCGATATCTCCTTCCTCTCACCACCGATGACACCACTGGCAGCAGCACGAAGGCTACCCATGCTTGGCTTGCTTGAAAGACTAGTGCTGCCGGCGAGGACGGAATCGTTGTCAGAGGAGACGGAGAAATTGAATTCGTTTTCGCTTCCAGGCGTGCCAGCTCCAGAACCCGACTGGCGACCATCGCTCCGGCGCTCCCGGCCTGCACGAACCAAGTCGTGAACAGCTTGACGGCGTTGCCGAGTAGCGAAATTCTTGCTTCCCTCGTGCTTTGACGTTGGCTTGTCTTGCAGCTCTTGCAGATGAGGTGGGTTCTTTGGTTGCCGGACTGGGTGCTCTCCAGCACGTCCTTGTCCAGGGCCAAAGGTGCCAGTCATGGGTGTCTGGGGAACACCAGCTGACCTCAACGCCGTTCCCTTTGCCCACTCAACCGTAGTTTTGATATTGACAGATGACGCATTCTTTCTGTGTCCTCGTCGGAAAGCATTGGCAGATGGAGGAGGTAGTGGTTCGACATCAATTTGCGGGGAGGGGGTGGACTTCGGAGGAGTGCGGGAGCGTATTTCGGGCGGAGGATGAGGCTCGCCAAATTGACGTTGGTAGCCAGCGTTGGCCGGAGGTGGTGAGACGGAATTGTTTCGACGGGCAGACGAACTGTCTTGCTGTTGTTGAATGGAGTGGTCAAAGACGAAGTTCGACTGGCCCGTCATTGGGTTGTAGACAGCGAACACGCCAGGACTTCCAGGGACTGGCTGAACAACAGGTTGCAAACCTTGTTGGAATTGCTGACTGTACATGCTCATGGGTGAACTGATGGGCGACTGAAATTGTTGGCCAGGGTTGGTCATCATGGCAGAATTGAGGTTCAATCCTCCCAGCTGCTGAGCGGCTGCGGTAACGCTGAGAAGTTGTTGCTGCAGAGCTCGTTGCTGTTGGGCCAGGTAATTGTTGGTTGCTACCAGTTCGTCGTAAAGATTTTGGTCCATGTGGTCTGCTGGATCGACAAAGTCGAGCGAAGGAGGTGCCAAAACATGTTCGGGGAGGGAGTAATTCTGAGGGTAGGTGCCTGCATGGTATGAAGCTCTCTTGTTTGGGAAGTACGAGCCAGTTGCAGTTTGGGGAACGCGGTTGCCATACTGCGAAGAGGGGTACCTGCTTCCTTCGACGCCCATGCCATTGGTAGGAGGAGGCACAGTAGCAGATTTGGGGGCAGTACGAAGACCAGCTAGCAGGTGACCACGGCTGGTCCGTGGTGTTGTGCCGACATTGGCCTGCTGAGTTTCATCGATGGTTGAAATCTTCGGAGGGGGAGCTACACTGAGACGTTTAATGTGAGAGCCTTTTCCTCGCGACGCAAAGCCAGGGCCGGAAACGCCGATGGAGTTGTTGAAAGGAGACTGATAAGTCATTTGAGCAAGACCGCCAGCGTCGATGCTCATTGTTTTCTAGGACTGAAGACAAGAAGAATGTGCGAGTTGAAGAACCAAGATAGGATGCTGAACTGTAATGCGGAGAGGCCGGACGGGGTCAGATAACTCTCGAGAAAGTGATATTCGCGCGTCGAGACGCGTAGAAGTGAATTGCAATGAAGGTATCAGTGGGTTGATTGTTTCAAAGATTATGAAATTACTGAGATTCGTGAGAGGGCAAGGTTCGTATCGTGGCCGAGAAAGTAGAAGGCGGCAAGGACTCTAGTTGACGTGAGAAGGTTGGATTGCAATGAAATGCCTGCCTGCGGATGATGGTCAGAATGTGACAACGAGAAGGGCGAGCGAGGGACGTACCAGAAATTCAGCCAGCTGTATTAGTCGAAGGCGCAGAGGGATTGTGCGAGTGCGTGAATGTGATGCTGACAAGAGGCCGCAGGGGCAGATGATGTGTGCAAATGTACAAAGCAGTCTTAAGCTCGCGGCGAAATACTATACGGACGTACGACAATGAACGGTGGATTGCAGGATATTGCTCGGCAATGATCGAATAGCTTCCTTTTCAACTGGGAAAAGAAAGGACGCGGTGATTAGGGAGTATGTATTGAGGTGAGCTTTTCGAGACGGGATCGAGGTGCAGTGAGGAGCCAGGATCCGCCGACCAGGGACAGTAGCTGTCAAGAACTTCGTGGCGTCTGGATCTGGATCGTGGTCGAAATTGCGATTAGGGCGAACCTGCAGAATCAGACTAGGTGGTAAGGAAAGGCACGAGACGCGAGATGGAGGTCGATGGAAAAGGATGTCGACAAGAAGTCGATGTCGAGTATCGACTGGGGAGGGTGGAAGAAGAACACGGCGGATGAAAAGAGGTGGTGAAGGGTGGGAAGATGAATCGAAGGTGATGGTGGAGGAGATTGATTTGCAGTGAAGGGAATGTGAGAGAGATCGGTTTGTCAGTCACCGGAGGGAACAAAAACCAAAGGGACCGAGAGGAAGCGTGGATGGAGAGGCCTGGTGCCTTGGGATTGGCGGTGCACGGCGAATGGCTTAGGTAGGTTTAGGGCTAGCGAGGCCTACACGGAGCGCAATAGGCTTAGGGAGAAGGACGGAGTAGGGGGACCCTTAACTATTCAGCTAGCGTCGCTGGGTAGGTCATGCCCGGCTCAGTGGCCACGCTCCGGCATCATTTAGGGCTTAGCATCCAAAACAGCCGCCCACCCAAGCCAGTCACCGGCAGTCCCAAGTTACAACCCTGTCTGGCGAGCGAAGATGAATGGCAGCTGTGATCTGAAGTGACAGAGCCGATCACTTTCACGCTGATGGGGAGCACAGAGACGAGAGCTCATCTCATCATGATTCACCCACACATTCCTCCTTGGGCTTGCATACCTCGGCCGCACGGTGGGCGGCTATTCCATTAACGACGAGGAGGGAGATGCACACTTGCCTATTGTCCAAGCCTACGGCCTGTATAGTATGATTATGTGGTATTGTCCACGTCTGGAAATACAGACACCCCTTGGCCCTGTGGTTGCATTTAATCACTCAGATCTGAGAATGAATGCTGCCTTTCATCCTCGCTTGCTCTGAAGTCGCTCGCTACTGTACCTTAATCGTCTGTAGCCTACCGTTACGCTACGAGAACACCGGATCATAGGGAGTGCTGTACTTGTGCAATCCCGATTCCTTAGTTCCCACGAGGTCTACCGGCTGAGTAGCGAGCAAGCTTCCAATGGTCCCTAAGCCAGTGTTTCAAACCTTGTCGAATCACCTGTTCTCCACCGACACTTTAGAAGTCCAGTAAAACGAACAGAACGGGTACCCGCCAGGGGGGGCCCTTCAATAGCCTAAACGCCCAAAGAATAGTGCATACCGGCCGTACAGTAGGTCTATATGGTACCTAGGTAGTGACCTACAGTACGACAGCCTACAGTACGACCACAGTAAAAGTACTCTGGCATCTCCTCCGCGGGCACGGAGTTCCTTGTCCGAAAGGCATTGTTCTCGTCGGCCTCCTTGTCAGCATTTCCACCAAATGTCCACTTGATTGTTTTGTCTTGCCCCTGACACCCCCCAGTACGAGAGCCGTATTCCACAAACCACCTCCTTGTAATTTCTGAAGGGAACAAGACTTTCCGCATCCACAATTATGCAAACACCTGTCGATAAGCAATCAAACTGGAGGCTTGATCTGACTATCCCATGGAGACCAGGATTATCTCGTGGCCGCCAGCCAAGGGATAAGGCCTCCGCCCGCAAGACATCGGTTTGCTAAGCACTACCAGCAAGAGATTACTACATCGTAACTTGCTCCGCAGCATACGATAGTACGCGACGCGACGAACTCAGAAAGTACGCGAGCCTTGCAAAGTACCTACAGCGCCGGTACCGACCAATCGTCACGTTAGTATCTATACATCACATGGGTAATCGTTATCGTCAAGCGTTGAGGAGGGGAACGAATCTATTCTACAGCTATCTTTTCCCGTTCTGCCCTGTCCTGTGTAGGGACTCTGGAAATGTTACAGAACCCAGCTATTATTGTAGCCATTAAGTCGAGAGTACTGTACATGCTGGTCCCGGAATGCATTTTGGTTTACAATTGTCCATTTTTGTCCGGGTGCGCGGTGCAACGCACAACACCGCTGGCCTCGATCACTCTTCTTTGGATCTGGGAACCACCCCAGTGTGGTTTCTGGCATCGTGAGCAGCAGCAGGGATGACTTGTGCTTCCGGAATCGCTGCCTCTTCAGGAGCCTTGGTTTGCGGCTGCGAGATGGGTTTCGATGTTTGACCTTCGTAGATGTTCTCGCGCTCAGGAGAGTATGTTTCGTCGTCATGGATCTTGACTTTCGCCTCTTCTTGCGGAGGTCTTTGATCACTCTTGGCCGGCTTCTTTGCTTTCCTCCCCGAACCCGTTGCCGGAGTTGAAACAGGTTCCTCCAAGAGTCTACGTTGTGGTTGTCCGTCTTGCTGCTGCCTTTTCCTCTCCGCAATCTCATTTACCAACTCCTGTCTCTCCGCCTCTAGTCCTGCATCCAGTTCCTCGTCATCTTCAAGCTCACCTTTGTAGACTTCTGGGTACCGCTGGAAGCATTGTTGCATGTTCTGAAACTTGTCTATGCAGTCCATACCCTTGGGCTCCTCGGTCGAGAAGACAAAACATGAAAAGGCCTCTTTGAATTCTGGTCCACATGGCCCATGAGCCATTCCACCCAGACATGGGCAGTCCCAATTGATCTCGCCCGTCTCGGGGTTGAAAGCGCCTTCATTTTGCGCCTCTTGTTCGAGCTCGCCATCGAGAGCGGCAACGGAATGTGCGTGATGAGGCTCAGGTTCTTCGCCGGCGGATACAGACGTCGAGGCATTCTCGGATGAAAGGCTATTGGCGGTGGACTTTACGGCAGCTGCATTTCCCTCGGCTTGTCGGGCTCGTCGCGATGTCAACTCCTCCAATGATGTGGCACTGGTTGCGTCTTCGTAGGCATCGAGATTAGGGTTCAAAAGGTCTATGAAACCATGCACATCAGTATTCATACCCTAAGCGATGGAGGCAAGTCACCAACTATGTTGAGGCTGTTCCGCGAACACGGGACTTGTGTTGTAATAGTATATCAATGCGCCTGCAAGACCCCATCTCACAGCGCTGCTCTTCCAGGACCTCCGAGCATTAACAGGCGATGTGCTGGCAAATCTTCGTCCGGCTACCGTCCGGGCTGGAGCAAGAGAAGAGGGAGCTGCGGAGCGCAGAATGCTTCGCGCCGCTGGACGAAACATGTTGACACTTTCGGTCTAGACAACAGATCAATGACCGGGTTGACAAAGAGGCATGCTACAAGCTCAGGTACAATGAACGAAAGGACTTGCGGCAAGTCAACTGCGAGGGATCATCACCTTCTGACCTCACAATTTGTTAATTACTAATTGCAAGGTTGACCACCTTTTTTGCTGGTCTTGTGCATCACCGTATGGTTCGGCTTCGGTGGAGTATTCAGGACTGCCACGCTATTTACACTGGAGACGCTTTGTCTTCTCTTCGTCCTCCTTCGATCTGTTCTGCGAAGTGTACATCTCGAGCTGTTTCTAGCCATGTCGACAGACTGGTATCCTTGCGGATTGTTGAATAACAAGCCCACAAACCCGTATGCAGTGTTGATCCTGAATCAACCAATCAACAAGAATGCTTTAAATGCTGTCATAGAGTCAGCCTCGCTCTTGGTATGCGCCGATGGAGGAGCTAACAGATTGCTGGAATACGATCAAGATACTGCGAACGGCTTCAAGAAACGTTTGCCAGATGCCATCATAGGTGACCTCGATTCCCTGACGAAGCGCGCGGAACAACACTATCGCGCTCGCGGAGTGCATCTTGTCAGAGAGCCCGACCAATATTCCACAGATTTTACCAAATGCCTCAAGTGGATTCGCCACTGGGCTACAGAGGTCGCGGTCTCGTCCAACTCCAGGATGGACGTCGTTGTGCTTGGAGGACTCGGTGGTCGCGTAGACCAGGGCTTTTCTCAGGTCCATCATTTATACCTGGCGGAAAACGACAAAGAACTTTTGAACGGCCGGATTTATCTCCTATCGGAACAAAGCTTATCATTTGTCCTAGCTGATAGCATCAATGTGGTTCATCTTGAAGCTGGATATTTTGAAGAAAACGTCGGAATCATTCCAGTCCTTGGACACACGTTGATCACCACCAAAGGTCTCGAGTGGGACGTCGACCAATGGCCTACGGAATTTGGTGGCCAGATGAGTACAAGTAATCACATCCGCTCCGACACGATAGAGCTTTCCTTTGAAGGGCCCAGACCTGTGTTCACCCTGGAACTTCACCCACGCCTCACAGTTGCTGGATCCTGAAGCAATCCGAGCGGTCGTACTGCTTCATTTTACTACCTCCTGCTTGGACCTCGGAACATACATGGCGTGCACGGATGTAGTTCGTCTGAGAGCTGCATCTGCACCGTTATTTCCTGCCCCACATCGGAGCAGATTCCTTCCATTGCAGTTCTGTAGTTGGTGCCGCTGCGTCCGATTCGTCTAGGCAGTCTGCCACGGAGATTTAGGACCCTTTGAGAGTAGGGGTGATACCATATCGGCGTGCCATTCCCAACGATTGCGCATCGGGATTTGCAGACTGCTACAGGCTCAAAATTTGTGAAAAACAAGAGTGACCAGCATGTGGCTGGTACCTTGTGTCTCAAGTCCTATACAGGCCAGAAATGGCCAATCAGCCTGGCTTCTTCGACAACTTGGGGTGTTTTCTAGTTGGTGAAGCAGAAGAGATTCGGTTTTCAATTCTGCCCCCCAAACCACTTGGAGATGGAGTTCTTGTGTCATACCAGTCCACGTCACTAAGATTGAGTCTTCTGGCACGAGGTGCATTGCGCCCGGACTTTTCAGACCGGCTGAGGGAAGGGTTGTAATGGTCGAAGCCTGGTTTGAGTCCCTTAGTATTGGGGTTCTTTTGCAAAGGGGGGAGCACAGTAGGGCCATAAGGGAGACTTTGGGATATACCATCGTGATGATCATCTTCACGTAGATCGTAGTTCAATACCAAGTTCTTAATACGCTGTTGTTCCTCTCGTTCGGCCGCCTGTTTTGACTTCATCGAGACCGCAAAGCTCGAGTCCGAGGGGAGCTCAATCGTTTTTGTCTGTGCATGATTAGAATATAGACGAGGAGGTCGTCTCAAAGCTACTTACCTGCTGGCGATTGCCTTTCCGAGTCATCAATGAAAACGCCATTGTATTTTGTTCCGATTCAGCCGATGGCTTCGGGTCCTCTTCGACAGATTCAGCAGGCTGGCGTTGAATCTTGCGGATAGGCAACGGCACATCAAATTGTGCGCGACGTTCGAATTTTCGAGAGTCCAAACTTTCGGCCATCATTCTCTCGAAGGCTCGGTCGAAATCTGCCTCGGCTTCAGGATCGAGCTGCTCTTCCTGACGCAGAACCACAATTTGCTCTTCTTCGTCGGAATCAGCTGGCTCCTTATCGTCCGCCGCATCTTCGTCAATGCCATCCTGTCCCGGGGTCAGTCAAGATGGCAGCGCTTAGGAGGTTACCTACCTCGCCCTCTTCTTCTTCGGAAGATTGTGGCATTTCGGGCTCGATTTCACCATCGGCATCACCAAGACCTTCGTCCTCAGAGCCAGATTCTTCCAACTCCTCTGCTTGCTCAACTCCCTTTTCAGAGGCTGACTGCTTGTAGTTTGTGCTGACTGCTTCAGCGAAAACTTTGGCCGCTTCTCCGAGTTCAGTCACAAGTTTCCAATTGGGTCTGATGAGAGAAAACGTATCTTGGACAAGAAAGTCGATCTCCATTGGAAGCGGATCTTTGGTGGCCATGTAGTATTGCAGAAAAGTCAGGAAAAAATCGAGCTTCTTTTTGGAGCTGCCTCTGTCGAAACAAATACCGCATGTATCGAGAATCGTGCATACGAGCCGAATTCTGAAGAAGTCGTCGGGAGGATCGAAAGGATTGTATTTTTCAGGTTGCGGAGTACCTCCCTCATGGCCGAATGTTACAATTCGATACAGTGTGTCGAAAATGACGGTCGAGTCGATCATCTTGTAATTGTACAGCTCGCCGAGATATTTAACTTCAGCGACCCTACGTTGGTTGAACTTGAAGTCATTTTGTTCCAGACCCAATGTAATCTGTTCGAGAATATTGTCGATGACCCCAATCGCAAAGTCTTGATGATAACGATTCAGTGCCTGCAGGAGGACGGCAAGGAGATGGATATTGCTGAACTTGACTTTGCCGGGTTTGCTGAAGATCTTCTGCAACATTACGACAACCTCTCTCTCTTCCCAGTGCAACTTCCGTATCGTCTTGAGCACTTTCATGTAGTTGCGCTTTGTCATGTCCATGTATATCATTTGACGCACAAACAGCTCCATGGGAGTACGCTCTTTCTGCTGAATTGCGGCCCTCTGCGGAGGGTCGACATAGTAGAGCGCGTTCTCAATCAGCATGCGCTCCTGTGTACCGAGGTGTTGCGCAGACTTCTTGCGATTGAGGGTTTCAAGAAAAGAGGCCATTCGAGGAGATGTTTCGGGGTTGCGAAGAAGGTACCTTCCGCAATTCTCGAGTAAATGCGCAATGATCTCGATGTTCATCCGCGAGAAGTCGTCCAGGCTGACTTTGAAACAATGAAATATTACGTGTTCTGGCACGACGCCAAATTTGGTGAGCTCTGCAAGATAGCGAATGTTCAAGAGCCGGACCTGACCTAGAAAGTCTTTGGTCTTGCGCCGTTGAAGACTTCTGAATTCGTCATCAAGATGTGTGACCAAGCCTTGGACGATGTCTGTCATGTACTGGCCAAGAGTGGCGGCAAGTCGAGCATACAAGGCAAGGAGATCCGTACGACCTTTTGGGACGTCTTGTATTGCCTTGATCAGTCGATTTCGTGAAGCTTTTGAGTTCAGAAAACAGAAATCCAAGGCGACCTGGTCCACCATTTCTTTGCTTTGAAGGTCGGGTAGGCGGAGAAGAATAGCATCGACCTGAGCTCCTACTGTCTTATTGGCGATGGCGGTAGACTGGTCATCACCATCTGCAGTCTTGCTGGATTCGTCTTTGGCTTCGGCTCGATCTTCTGTTTCGGACTTCTTCTTCGCGTCCTCGAGTAAGATTGCCGGTACCCTGCCCTTGAGGTCCACGAGATTTTCGTAGAATCGCCGCTCTTCTTCATCCTCCCACAAACCAGCGCCTTCGCCAGACCCTTTCAGGTACTCGCCGGTCTTGATCATACCTACAGTACCTGAGGCTGCATTATCCGTGCCATCTTTGTCCTCAAGGTCAGGCATCTCTTGTCCAAGGATGTCGCAGAGCACCTGGGCATTTGCAACCAGCTTCTCTTGGGCCTTTGTCTGCTTCTCAAAATTTGCCTGCCGATCCTCAAAGATCTCGCCACTTTTGACATAAGCTTCCGCATTGCGCCGGCTCTGGTTGTTCAAGGACTTTTGGTCGCGTATAACATGGCCATTAACACTAGCCAAGTAGCGCTCAAAGATGTTGATGAATCGTTGTCGCACAGGCGGTGGAATAAAAGGTGCATCCTCTTCAGCTGTGTCGTTTGAGGACGATGCATCCTTGACTGTGTCTACCACAGCACCATCTGCGTCGACTGTCTTCCGACCATCGTCCGTGAGCGATTTGAGACCCAGGACGTCCCACGCGAAGTTCTTTACAAAAAGCACGGCAAGACTTATATTAGCGTGTTCAGAATCATGACCAAGTAACTCCTTCAACACTTCGAGAGGGAAGGGCTCATGTTCAGGGCGACTGTCAGTTTTGACGCCATTGGAAAGTGGTGCCGCTTTGCCTCCAGATTGCGAGGGGGTTTCTTTCCCCTTGGCCGAGACATCATCAGGCCGCTCAACATCGTCGAGTCCCCGAAGAATTCCACATACCCAGAATTCTGTCACTACTCGGAGTAGAATACGATGACGTTGCAGTCTTTCCTTCTCCTCTCGTTCACGGACTTCGGGAGTCCAGAGTTTGACTTGTGCCTTGTCTGGGAGTGTCAGGCCCTTCCCCAAGAGCCAGCCTAGTTTCTTTGTGTAGTCTCCTGGCCCAAATCTTTGATGCAGTGCACTGACAATCTCGACAGCGGCGGCGATTTCACTGGCAGTCTTCAGTTTGCTTAGACCTTCGGCAGTTGCTGAGATGATCTCAGAGAGATACTTTTGCAAGGACAGAGTGCGAATCTCCACAAGAAAGGTATCTTGGCCAGAGGAGGATATGCCTGTGCGCAGGCGTTTTATGAAGGCAGTATTCTTCTTCAAGGATGAGTCGAGGGAGGTTGCAACATCGTAGATGTCTGTATGTGTATTAGCCCCTATGCGCAGGATCATTCGGCATCCTGGTACCTTTGGCTCCGGACCAAACGCGAAGGTTTAAGTCACGTAGCTCTCCTGTTTTCCTAAGATCAGCATAAGCTTGTGCGTGGCCACGCTTGTCCTACGTTTGCGCTTGCGGTCCATGACGGGCCGCGGTGTTGTAGAGAGTTGACTATCGCTTGCATGACGACAAGCAAAGGGTATGCAGGAAGCCTGCAGCGTAGTTCGGCTGTAGATATCGACACGGATATCATGCAGCCAATGTCTCGCTGGTGTTGTGTAAAAAGTGAAATTGTCGGCCCTGTGCTTCACTTCCTTTGATACAAGATCCCAAGGCCAACCCGCAGTTGTCCAAAGATGGAATGTTAGGCGAGGGTGACAGCCTCGCCCCCTCCATGACTAACGTCCTGCTTCGCTTTAGAGAATGTCCAGCCTCGAGTGTAGGCACAGGTCTAGGTACTTTGTCCGCTACAATATGCACACAGACAGACGCAAGAATTAAACAACCTTTACAGAGTGATCAGAAATTAAATGCGGAATACAATGCTGACAAAACTGGTCTATGCAACAGACGACACTTTTGGCATCTCCCATATCTTGCCAGTGACTCTAACGCCATTTAAAACTTGCCTTTCATGCCAAACCTTTATTCATGACATCGTGGAGTCTTGCAGAACTGTCCTTCAATTGGTGTTACACATCCTCACCAAAGATCTTGGCTTTTTGGGCTGCAAGTTTACTTTTGCGAGCTTCAGTACTTTTCCGCTCTGTCTGCTTATCATCGCTCTCGTCCATCTTGGTCCGTTTGCGAGTACCAGCCTGTGGGCCCTTGGTGGTTCTCGAGCTTCTTTTGCGCTTCTGTCCCTGCTCTGCCTCGTTCTCCGCATCGCCCTCCTCAATAGCTTGGGCGGTAGCAATGTCATCTGACTCTGTCCAAAGATCGTCGGCTAGCCAGATAGGTACAGCAGTCGAGGATTGGCCTTTGATGTGGATACCCCTGACATTCTTCCAACCTTTGACGACATGTTTCTCAATCAGGTTCTGCACGACCGCGGCGACGTTCTCGGCCAGCTGGTCGGGTCGAAAAGAAGCCAATCCAACACGGACGGCAACCAATGTCCCTGGCCTAAGGCTGACTGGTACCGCATCAACTGCTTTGTCGATTTCTTTCGCAAGGACTGCGGGTTCAGCAGGCGCGGCAGCTCCCTCTCCGTTGGTGGCTTTCTGTTTAGTTTCTTTCTTGGTCCGCTGCGACTGCGCAATTGTGACAGGAATAGGTCGTTTTGCTGACCCCTTGTAGAAGATCTTGCCCAACGTCGCCGGTAAGCGGGTGATGATACGGTCGTCAGCAAGAAAGATGTCGTGCTCGGCCAAGAGCTGCCGTCGTGTCTCGAAGGTCTTGTACCTGTTCTTCAACTTGGTAAAACCAATGATTTTCGTAATACGAGATTTCAAGTTTGCAGGAAAAGCAGGATCAGCGACGACGTTTTTCACTGCTCTCTGAGGGTCGGCCGTGATAAGGCATATTCGAAGGTCTGGAGATGTGTTGAGGGAGTGCGGTACCGATATTTTGCTGGGCTTCAGTCGAGTCTTGTCGACAATGTGTTGCTTAGTAGTGAGGGTGAGCCATATGGGGGCTTCTGCGCCGGTCGAAGCATCAGCTTCAGAGTCTGACGCGTCGGTATCGAGGAGGTTTCGCTTTGAGGATGCATCTTGTAAACGCTTGGTTTCGGCCTGGACGTGCTGCAGGAGGGCTCGTGAGGCCTTCAACGTCTGCGCGGAATGTGAGAAAATCGACAGCATACAGGGATGACGACATACCTGGTCAGGATCAAGCTGATATGGAGAGTCTTGCGGCCGCTTCTGGATAATGGTCGAGGGCGCCATCATTGCTGGTGTGGTCAAGATGTACAGAATGGTCAACTGCAAAGTCTCTGTTCGAAGCGGCCTGTAACTTTTTTTTCTGCGGCTATTCATGATCGGATCTTGTTGCAGGTGGAGTTGAATGGGCAGACCCCACACCCCCTCGGCCAACTTTCCCTCTGTTGCGTCGTGCGCCTCGTTGGGATCTCCAACTCCGACAGCGCGTCACCTCCGCCTCGCCCACGCTACCACCATGCATGGCTTTGCCGATGAATGCCGCACGGGAGAGCGTCAAGCAAGGGATTAGATCATGAGGGCAGACTCGAACGTAGGATGGAAGATGGCTTTGGAACACGCGGTACATAAATATGCGGTTGGCTACCTAGTATAGTAGACGTCGTCCGTCGCCAGTCTGCCATCTCGACATGTGATATGCACCTGTAGACCAGCGCTCGCCGTATCTTTGTCAAAGTCTCTGCTGCATATCCTAATTCAACCTGCGAATTGTTCTCTGTGCACTCGCTGAATGCCGCGGAATCCAAACGCATTTCATTCTTGTGGTTTGCCATCCTTCAATTATAACGCGTCGACAGAACTCCGTAATTTGTATGGGACCGTGACCAGAAAACTGTGACCGAAGCGCGACACGCTCGCGCTCTAACCACCGCTCTTGGACCTTTTCCTCCCACCACTCAATTTCTGGCCTCTTAAGTGACCATTTCAACCTGATCTAGCTGGTCTTCTACCATTGTCCAGAATTTGTTCGATCTCTGCTTTGGGTTTCCTATGACCAACGTCGTTTCTTCGACCACATCAGTCCTCGTTTGAGGACGCGTTTCGAGCTGGTCAATAGCCACACTCGGCACTCGCGTGTTGGGTAGCTGAGGTCGAGAGCTCAACATGGCTCCCTCGACTACCCTTTCAGAAACGACAGACTCGCATACACCAGCAGCGAAACGTCCTGCAATGTCCCTTCTTCCTGCCTTCGAGCCTCTCTCCTCCTCGCCGGCACTACCGAGACCGCTGAAGCGTAGCCGAGAGATCTTCGAGCCCGCGACATATCCCACGCCCGTCCCTACTTCTTCTACTCATATCCTCTCGTCGTCACCTTCTCGCATTCCGAATGCAGGAGTTGATCCTGCAAGACCTTCTTCGACTCTATCAGAACGTACACCGCTTGGTACGGTTCCCTCAATTCAGCTGAGTGTTGAAGGCAAGGTCACGCGTATGGGAAGGTCGAGTGCTTCTTGTAACTACCAACTTTCTGCAAACCGCTTGATCTCTCGCGTCCACGTTGAAGCCTGCTATAAAGGTGCCAGTTCGCGCCTCGAACGTGAGCGTGTCGAGATAACATGTACGGGCTGGAACGGCATCAAAATACATTGCAAGGGTCGGGTATATGAGGTCAAGAAGGGAGAAACTTTTTCGTCTGATGTCCGGGATGCCGAGATTATGGTCGATGTGCACGACAGTCGTGTGGTTATCCAGTGGCCTCCAAAGCAACGTCTGGGTGCTATTTCATCCGACGAGGAAGATGAGGAAGCGTCCCCAACCAAACGACAACGAGTAATGCTTCGCCATTCAACCCCTCCCAGCCCTAGTCCTTTGCAGACTCGACGTCAGCCTGTATCGCCTGTCTCACCGTCACCGGCTGTTCAAGCACTGTTACCATCGTCTCCACCCCTTGGTACTAGCCGAATTCTTGAGACTGTCGAGATATATGAAGACCCAGAACCTGCCCAAGAGACCAACAACACCGTCGATGCTGCACAGGTATCACAAGCGACCCAAGCACTGACAGAAAGTGTCCAGAATCCCACGATCAATCAAACCGCCGTCTCTAGCATAAGCGAAGACTTTTCTGATAATGATGAAGAAAACGACCCCATCATCCATTCATTTGGACCTTTCGGTGCAAATCTACTGCCCCGAATGGCATCTTTTACTGCAGGGGATTCCCCCACCCCGGCCGATTCCAACAAAAGTTCCCGGTCGTCGCACACGGAACCTTTGCATCCAAATCCAGGCCCAGCAGTAATCAAGAAAGAATTGCCAAAAGTTGATATCAGGGGACACATCATCAACCAACTTGCGTTTTCAAGATTGTCATCCACGCCGTGGTCGATCATCTTGAGCCACTTGCCATCTGAAGCAGGATCGTTGTCAATTAACGAAATCAAGCAGGCAGTCAGAGAAACCCCATGTATTGGCGAGGTCGCGAGAGAAGGTAAAGATGCTGCGGGCAAGCCACTGGAGAGTGAATTATATTACATCCCTGATCTCGACGAAGATGAAAAGAGGAGGGAAGCTGTTGTCAATGATCTAAGAAAACCAGGACTTCGAGCGTGTCGCAAGCAGCATAAAGTAAGTCCAGGCATTGATCCATGGGCTACAAGGAGAAACTGACGAGTCAATAGCAATACTTTTGGCGCAAACCGAAATAGGCCGTGGGACGATGTCGGGCTCGAAGTCGAACTCCTCCTAAGCAGACACAACAGTAGCAGCGTTGATAGTGGCCCACGCCCTGGAAGACCCCTCCTCGATATTTTGCGTTTAACCTCATGGCTATGATCTTGTTGCAAATCATCCGTGGTTGCTCTTTGCACGAAGCCAAAGATGTCCGTTTGTATTGACCCTTGAGCGATTCTGCATAGCGAAAGTGTACGGGCAAGGATTCTTTTTAGTCGTTAAGAGCATGGAGGTCCGAGAGGTTCGGGATTGAAGATGAGATTCGTTTCCTGCGCCAGGACGCAAAGACACAGCTAGGGAAAGCCAGTAGTCAACACTAACTTCATGAACAACCTTTTACCATACCAATAAATCCTAAACAGAGTCTGATGTATGTAACCGTGGTTTGCGGTATGATATAGCCGCACGAGGCCGAGCCGAGTGTCGTCCGCTATCGGGGAGAAATCACCGAAGTTCCGCCTGCGCTTTCCGAGGTACGGCGCATCCTACATACAGTAACGAGTGCTGCCAAATGATGATCCCGCTTCGACACTCATCGTATACTGTTGGCATTCAGACAACGCTTCTGCTCGACCACGAATAGACACCACAACGTGCCGCTCTACAGCCCATTAACTAGGCAGCCATGTTGTCGGCAACCAGGCATTCTGCTCTACGCTCATTGCGTGCCCAGGCATGCTCAAGATCATTCTTGTCTGAGTCGCAACCGTCCCTTCGCGCACGACTCCTCTCTACCCTCGCTATCCTGGAGCAGAAGGATGGCAAACTCAACAGTGGCTCATTAGGGGCTGTCACGGCTGGCCAGAAACTTGGCGGGCCCGTACATGGCTTCGTTGCAGCCAAGGCAGGGAAGTCGATCGCGCAAGAAGCAGCCAAAATCCAAGGACTGGAAAAAGTGGTTGCCGTTGAGAACGAGGCATATGAACGAGGACTGGCGGAGAACTGGGCACCTCTTTTAGTAGAAAACATCAAAAAGGGCGGATACACACACGTTGTCGCGTCACAATCGGCATTTGGAAAGAGCCTGTTGCCTCGAGTGGCTGCGCTACTGGATGTCCAACAGCTATCAGACGTTATGTCCATTGAGAGCGAAGACAGTGAGTTCAGGACTTGACGAAGAATGAACGCCACGCTAACATCGCTCCAGCATTCGTTCGACCCATCTACGCAGGCAATGCAATTCTGACAGTACAGAGCAGCGACCCAGTAAAGCTGCTGACGGTTCGACAGACATCTTTCCCACCGGCCGAGACCGAGGGTGGTTCAGCATCGGTGGAAGAGGGTGTTGACCCCGAAGTTGAGTCTCCCACTGAATGGGTGTCGGAAGAATTGGCCAAGTCCGATCGACCTGAACTCGCCTCTGCTTCAAGAGTTGTCTCTGGTGGGCGAGGCCTGAAGTCCAAGGAGGAGTTTGACCGATTAATCCCACCTTTGGCTGACGCTCTCGGTGCGGCTATTGGTGCATCACGAGCAGCCGTCGACAGCGGCTTCGCCGACAATAGTCTGCAGGTTGGACAGACTGGCAAGAACGTTGCACCACAGTTGTATCTGTGCGCTGGTATTTCTGGAGCCATTCAACATCTTGCCGGTATGAAGGACAGCAAAGTCATTGCTTGTATCAACAAGGACCCGGACGCACCTATTTTCCAAGTGGCCGATGTTGGCTTGGTGGGAGACCTGTTCGAGAAGGTCCCAGAATTGACCGAAAAGCTCAAGTCGTCATGAGTAGTCGACTATCAAGTTGTCGCTGTTTGAAATTAATCATGGCGGCAACCGAAAAATAAGTTACGGATTCTGTACTTCATGAGACCGGTCAACAGGAGGCTTGATACTGAACGAAATGCAGGAGCATCGCAAAAAGTGGAAAATAGACTCTCTCTACCAAATGGCAGCAGGGAAACCGCCGTGGAGCGACTAGACTCGCAATTCTGTGATAACAACAGGGTGTATACACATTCATATACGCACTCCACTGCTTACATGCGCAATGCTCTGTCAATATGCATCGAGCAACAGTGTCAATATCAATATCCCCTTGCGCCGACATTGCTCAATTGGGGTTCACGCAACCCGCGCAGGAAGTGACAAAGCGCGCATCAATTGACATCATATACTACTGTGCATGGCGTGACGAGGGCTAACCCCCGGACAGAAGATTCATGAAGTTATTGTCCTGATCTCATTTTGAATGCTCGGCTCAATCTCCCCGTAGACTCGCGCCCTTTGCCTCCACAGCCAGAAGTTATTATGCTGGACCCTGGTAGCGCAAGACTCGTGTGTCATAACTGGCCTACACCATTGACAACACTCTTCCCGGTTTGATGACGAGCATTGCTGCATTGCAGAGCAGCCTGTGCCAATTTTTAGTGATTTGTGTCGCAGCATGCATAAGTCTAGGTCCGAATATGCTGGTCAATGCTGGACAGTCGTGGTCCGCTGAGCGAGAGGAATTGATCGACGGCTTTGCTACCCAAATAGGACCAATCACGGTGGGAAGGGCGTACAGCTCTGACCTTGGCCTTACAAGTTCTGCGTTGGTGCCTGTTCAAACTATGCAGGGGAAAAGCAGATGTCCTCCCTGTGGCGATGCGAAGCAACCAATGTTCATAGCGTCGGCGCACGCTCTGTACGGTAAAGGAAGGTGGTTTCTTACTCCAAGGCGCCAACAGGCGAGAGCCATCAGTCGTTATGGGCCGGGTGAGTCAGAGTGCTGGGTCGACGGGCGGGACACAATGACCTCTTCTCTCGTATTCGGAACCCTCGTGGATCGAATACCACGCGCCCGAGGAATGACTCAAAAGGCTGTGGAAGAGTATATAGACGTGCTCGGAGGCGTGCCTGAGGCTGCTTGGCTTCCCTCTATCGCATCTTCAAATCCAATAACCCTTCTTCTACTGAAGCTGAATCTTGCAAAGGAACCAATCTCCCAAGTTCAATTTTCTATTATTCAAGATCTTGTTTTCGATCCAAAGTCCTAGTCGCCCCCAAACATAAGCTGGAAGTAATAAATCAGGCGCCTTACTCTTCCACCATTCAGCCCAACTCCCCCGGACGAGATATATACATAAGATCACCGCAAGCCCACCTCGCTTTGCGCACTCGATCCGACGCTCACCTCTTCTCATCTCTTCACACCGGGCCCATCGTCGACCGTTTAACCAAAGAATAGCTCTCTGGCAAGCCGGTCCACAGTCGCACATCCAAGTAAATGGCACCTTCACATACCTCGAGCGAAAAGACCAACGCCATGACAGACACTGCCTCCGTTCGAAGTACATCGACCATGTCCAGTCTCAAGGCTCTCCTGCCTAGGAAACAGGACAGGAAGGAGAAGAGCCCGTCGCCCAAAACGAAAGCGCCGACACAAGAGGAACAGACGCTCAAAATGGAAGCCAGGGTTACTTACATGTCGATGATTCGATGAACGAGCGACCCTTGGATCTGCGCATGTAAACGCAACATGTTGAACAGAGTCGACAATCATCGACTTTGGAGATATAGTGATGAACGACGAAAACGTTCAATGAGGACAGTGAATCGGGGAGGGACAGACGTCGACAATATAGGAAGTAATGAACAGAACGTTCACGCTGGACAGCGACAGAGATTCGCCAGGATATAGGGATGGTCAGGAGGGATAGTAAAGTTGTCCCCAGAGGAGGCCAGCACGTTGATGAATAATACATGAATAATACATGCACACATAATGACCTTTTTTGGAAGTGCTGCTGCACAAATGTCTTTCCAACAGACTTTGTGCAAAGACCCAGACCGTCATAGCTTTTCTATGAATATACTGTATACATGGCTTGGTCCTTTTGTAGGCGGAGTATGTTCAGTGGGCTTTTTCCAGAGAAGTTTGGGCCATTGCTCAGGCGGCCTTGTTATGGTCCGGCGGCCGACTGGCTTTTTTTCTGTCGAGTGCTCATATGGATGGCGTTTGTAATGCAATTGGATAGCGATGCAATACTCTGCATATCATATGTAATATGGAACACCAGAATAGGGCGCCTGAGTCGAGTTTGGTCAGGATGATCGCCATGCTGGTTCGGCCGTAGTTGTTTACACCCGGCAGCAGACATAATGTCAGCCGAAGTCACGAGTACTTCTTGGACCACTTCGTGCTTCGAGGCATGGGAATCAAGGTGGAAAAAAAAGTACGAATGACAAATCAAAATCCGTAGAAATCAAGCAGCCCTCAAAACCGAAGCGAGAGTGCTGGTGGAGCTTTTCAAATGCCGTGCTTATCTGGTGGGAAACCTTCGTCCAATTCTCCGTCGATCGCCCTGACTGACTTATTATCCGTCAGGTATACAGTACGGTGGATTGTGGACACGAGAGTCCAGACTTGGAACAGGCAGTTTCGACAGACTCCGTAGAGGCATAACTGACGGGGAGACATACTGTGCAGACAACCGTACGCAGTACTTGCACAGTACAAACATCTAGGGGGCAGCGGGTCCAAAGGGGTAGCAATGGGACCACTGGAGATGTGTATAATACGCTCCCACCAACTCCAGCTGAGTTTATCACGCCGTAAGGGTTACTGTATCTGGCCAGGCGTGGCCTCGCGTCTAGATAAAGCCGAGTTGCGGTGTTAACACCCAACACTCGGGATGTTATAGCCCCGACCTTTGCGTCGTTCGATATTTCAAGCCCAGGGTGATATAACCCTTTCCATCTAATAAACATTTCATTTCGTCCTTTGTTCTCTTCCAGTGATCGTGGAATTACCGGTTGACGAAAAATCCCCATCGAAGGACGACCAAGATAACCGCTTTCCTGGGTGTCGACAGAACCCTCGTACTCGTACAACGTCGAACAACCCGGCCTTGTTTACGAGTTGAGCCTCCAACAAACATGTCACAGGAGCGAGAAAAGGAAGTCTCTGTCGAGCAGGGCCTGGAGCCTAGCTTGCAAGAAAAGTCTGGTGTCGAGACTCCAGACGGCAGCACAGAAGAATCAGCGCCTGAGCAAGAGGCCGTTCCCGTCGATCAACCGAAAGCACCGTACAACCCATGGGCCGACCCCTCGTCTTTCCCTGATGGTGGGACTGAAGCCTGGCTGACTGTCCTGGGTGGCTTTTGCTGTTTGTTCAATTCCTGGGGGTAGGTACCCGCCCTCGACATGCAGACCTGGCGCCGTGGCCGAAGACTGACAGAACTCTTCCCCAGATGGATCAACTGTGTCGGAGTGTTCACGTCGTACTATCTGGAACACCCTCTATCGCAATATTCGGCCAGTACCGTCGCATGGATTCCTGCTGTCGAGACGTTCTTCATGCTCGCCGCTGGCCCCGTGGCTGGTTACATCTTCGACAACTACGGCCCTCGATACCTTCTCGTGATCGGCAGCTTCCTTCACGTCTTCGGCCTGATGATGACCTCTCTCGCGAAAGAATACTACCAGTTCATGCTAAGTCAAGGCGTGTGCTCGGCCATTGGTGCCAGCTTCCTCTTCAACCCGGCCATGGGTTGTGTCTCGACGTGGTTCTTCAAGAAACGAGGCATGGCCATTGGACTCATGGCGGCTGGGTCTTCGCTGGGAGGTGTCATCTTCCCGATCGTCGTGTCGCGCATGATCCGGGAGACTGGCTTCGGCTGGGCCATGCGTACCTGCGCGTTCCTGATTCTTTTTAACAGCATCGTCGCCATCTTGACCCTCCGCTCGCGGATCCCTCCATCGGGTCGCAAATTCGACATCAACGCTTTCGTCCGTCCTCTCAGGGAACTTCCAATGGTGTGGACGACGTTCGCCGTGTTCTTCTTCTACTGGGGCATGTTCTGCGTCATGACCTTTATCACGACCGTCGCCCACGCTCGGGGAATGTCTCAACAACTTGCCGATTACCTTGTGTCGATCCTCAACGCAGGTTCCATATTCGGTCGTACGATCCCAGGCATCATCGGCGACAAGGTTGGCCGGTTCAACGTCATGATTGTCTTTTGCACCCTCACAATCATATTCTTATTGGGCCTTTGGATCCCAGGCACGAGCAATGCCGCGCAGATCGTCTTCGCATTGATGTTCGGCTTCAGTTCAGGTGCGGCCATCGGTCTTACGCCCGCTCTGATTGCTCAGATATCGCCAATCAGAGAGATTGGAGTCCGAACGGGCACCGTCTTCGCCGCTGGATCGATCGGTGCTCTGACTGGAAGTCCCATCGCCGGTGCTCTGATTAGCAGGGACCACGGCAAGTTCTTGTACATGATGCTCTTTGGAGGATGCACCTGCATTGTCGGCGTGGGTTTCTTCACCGCCGCACGAATCAGTATCGGTGGCCTTTCTCTCAAGAAGAAAATATGAGTTGCCCTTTGCGTGTACGACTATACTTAATGGTGCATTGGCATAGAGGGGACTGCATTGGCGGCATCATCAGGCTAGGCGATAGACTTTTATTTTCTCAGCTCCAAAATCAAACAAATGCTCATGCGCAAGTTGGCGGTCCTTCCGACAAGCCTGCTTCGCAAAGATCCCTCCTTCTACAAGTCGTCTTGGGTGCTTACAAACACCGGTGTCGCGAAAGCATTGAAGTGGCTGTTAGAGGCGATGCGTTTAAACTTCAGGCCTTTTGTTGCCCTATGGAATGCCAACAAGGAGCCTAAACTAGGGATGCAGGCCAGCATGCAGAAACAACACTCCGAGAGCCAGACTCCACGCGTGCTAGTGAGGATTAATACGAATACGCCTGCAGGAGAAGCGCACGAGCGAGCGTGAACCCCCCCCCACCGACCTTACCTTAAGCTACCTAGATACAATAGGTACAGTATCTCTAGTTAAGCGCCGTATCCCAGGGACCTCACCCGTCACTCTACAGACACCGCTTCTCTACACTTATATCAAGGTCGGGTCAACAACACCGTCTTCCCAAGATCCTTGGTGCGTCTGGTGCGGAGAAAATAGTTCTACTTCACTAAGGTATGCCTGGGTAACATGCTGCTTGACTTGACGACCAGGGCCACTTCAGCAACAGGCCAAAATGGTGGCCGTCTTGAACAGGCAAAGTGACAACGTGACAAGGCAACCCGGCATGTCAATGTTGACGTGTCCAAGGGATTATCCGATGGACGTCTTTCTTGCATGAGAAACCCATCACATAACCCCCAATTAGCTGACATTGTCAAGATCCATGGACGGTCACAGTTCTTGCGGTGAACATCAGCCAGTGTGCCCCGTTCCTTGTTGACTATAGATGCCCGACCGATGGTCAACTTTCAGCCGCAGCTTTGCCAGGCTGGCAAGAAGGGGTCGAATCAGCGTCTTGACGAGCTCTTCCGTACTGCAGAGCTAATTGCTGCTTGCGGCAACCATATTTGCACTGCCTCCGAGAGCTATACTTCACATTTCGGAGACCAGGATGGTAGGAGTCCATGGAGAAGCATGTTGCCCCCGGGGGAGAGAGCCTCGAGCTCACGAGTCTGCATAGCCTGATGCTCATCCTTTGCCCCGGCATCATCAGGGTGTATCGGGGCGTGTTCCAGACATGATGTGTACGAGCTGGGTGCATGGCTTGATGAAGTATCGATCACACGACCAAGCAACCAGGTCCGACACCGCCTCTGCCGACCCATGCAGTCATCATCAGACTTCGACTGTTTGGCTCGATCGAGAGACGGCCATTTGATATCGCCTGCAGTCAGCCCTGATCCCACCTTAACATGGTCACTGTTCTCATTGAAAGGCCACTTGCATCTTGTCTCTCTGGGTGGGAAACACAGCCATCACAGTTCCTGAGTCGCCCAACCTGCGGCTCAAAACCAGAAACGGGCAAAGTTGCAGGGCGCATTACTCTGGACCATCAGTTCTCTGCCTTGCATCTTCCAACGCCTTGCTACACACATGGAATCTACGCAGCAAGTGAGCATCTGTAAAAGAGGTAGTGGGATGTACCATGGCCACTCCTTGTATTGCGTACTGGCCCTCCTTGGCTTCGGTCATGGAGTATAAATACGACTCAGCCCAAATCAAAAGAGGTTTCTTCTCAATCATCGTCACCTGGCTTTGTTTTGTGCTCAATAGGTCTCTCTACTCGCATTCTTGGGCTTGTAAAGCCTGATCACAGTGCATGTCGTTCAGTGATTTATTGATATCATCTACTTTCTCGACATCTCAGCGACATCTTGTCCAGTAAATTTCCACTGCCAGACGCACACCACAACATCATCAACAGACTGAGAGATAGACCTCCAACAATGGCACAACAGAACACTAGCAACTTGAAGGTCATCCTCTCAAAACCACCCGATTGGCAGACCTGTGCTGATTGTAAGAGGGCAAAGGCAAAGGTCGATCTATACCACATCCACTTTGGTTTACAGTCTTCCAGACTAATTCTTTCGTTAGTGCGAACCTGCTGCCGACCCTCAATCATGTCTACGTTGCCAGTCAAAAGCAAGACCATGCATTCGCAGTTCCAATCCTCACGGCGGAACTACGCAGAGCAACAGACGTAATCGAAAGAAACGTTCAGACCGTGTCGAGGGACCTCCTGTAGAAGCAGGAGGCTCCCGGGTCGCTGCTGGACCAGGTCAAGCCTCACAAGCACTGTCTCCAGCCTCTACGGATACGAATATCCAGTCAAACGACACTCATGAGAATATCCCGTAAAGAGTTGACGACCGTAGAAGTGTATGCACTCAATACTGACATAGCTTGTCTAGGATCGATCCGCGACTCCTCGAAGCCGATCAAGAGAACCAGAACAAAGACCGAGACAAGGGGAAGGGCAAAGCCAAGGCTGTTGATGGAGATGAGGGAGAGGGAGAGGATCAAGGATGACGAAGATGATTGCCAAGCCAAAATAAGAAAGAGGAAGAGGGCCGGTACCGGGCAGAGAAACAGAATGAAACGACGACGACGACGAGGAGGAGGAGGAGGAGGAGGAGGAGGAGGAGACCCCAGCGCATGGCTGCCATAGAATTGCTTTAGGTGGCATATCCGTACGACGCAACCTCTACTTTGGTGTTTCAGAATCGAGCGGTCAAGGCTGATTGATGGGTGGTGGATAGCTGTGAAAATTTGGATACTTCGCACCATTCAACTTGGTGCAGAGTAGTCCGACAGGGAGGTAGTCCAGTTTTTCTTTTCTTTTCTTTTCTTTTCTTTTCTTTTGCGTAGCTTATCCGCAGTAATCATTTGATCCATTCAATCCCTGACCATAATCGTGCCGACTAAGAAGAGTGGTGTGGTTTAAGCTTTTTGACAGGACACACTCACTACCTTAGGCAGTACGGGTCACTGCTGCCCATGGGAGGGACCACCTGAGTGAGGTACCGTGGGATTTGGTCCGATCGCATGGTGCGTACGATGGTGAACTTCGACTTTTCTCGACCCATTCATCATGGTCGTGGTCGATTCCGAGTTAATAATCACGGTAGTGATAATATTATTCTAGGTACCCAGGTAAAATTATTTATTTATCTCTCAGGGGCAGGCAGTTGTCAACTACAGATCTTTTTTAAGATCTGTAACGTCGTCCGTCACCTTTCGGTGCCTTTGTCATGTAAGGTATAACACGATAGTTGATAACACAGTATGTTGTATGCTAGGAGTTTCCGATACCCGTCATGTCATTTCAATGCTGCGAAGCTACAGCAGTGTTTTCTTCTTCTTCTTTGGACTTGTACTTGTTCGGCGCATGGTTACAACTGCCGAGGACTCGGGACCCTGGAGAAGGAGACGATGGGTGTCTCTAACCTACCTACCTACCTACCTACCTACCTACCTAGGTGTATCTATCTACGCAGGTGATCTACCTGGGTACGTGCCCATGCCTATACACTGAATGATACCTACCTAGGTACAGGTACAATGAGTATGGTAGGGAGATAGGTAGGTAGGTGGGGTTTTATCCCAGATATACATAACACACAATGTGCTGTGTTGCAGGAAAATTCGGTAAAAAACAATATCAGAGAGTATATCAGAAAGGAGTGTTGTCTCTTCTAGCTTGCTAGCTACCTTTATTAGGTAGGTGGCTATTATCCCGCGTTTCGGTCGAAACCTCGGGGGCGTGTGGAAAGATCGGCAAAGAAGAAAACACCACAGATGAAGATTAATTAAAACCCGGTTACAGTATATAAATGATACATGATACGGAGTCTCTCTACACCTCACCTCGCCTCACCTCACTGGAACGACATTACATACGGTACATAGGGGAGGTGCACATTGTACACAGCACCACGCCCCCCGGCACTGAAACGCACCGCAGGGTAAGGTAACTTTGCAGGCGCACGCATCCCACGGAACCCATACAACCGCATTCTACAGACTACAAATTACAGACTACCTTTACATACAGAATCTACACTCTACGGCATCGACATCTCGGTGTTGGACAGAAATTCCCTGACAAAAAAAAAGTAAACCCATCATCTACAAGGTACACCGTCCGCTGGTTATCTCAAGCTCCCAAGTACCAAAGTAGATACAGTAGGATTTTGGATCTCCAGACAGATTTCAAGATCCAAGTACCCCCCCCGGCGCACGAAGTAACAATGTCAGACCCTCGAATGGCGGCAATCAACAACTTCACTGTGAAGCAGCACAAGTCTGTCCCGCCGGAGCTGAACCCGAGGGACGCGGTCCTCCCGGACCCCTTCACCGTGTGCATCATGGGCGCCAGTCGCGGGATAGGAGAGCACATAGCGTATGCGTACGCCCAAGCCGGCGCGTCACGAATTGTGATATCGTCTCGCGCGACGGGCGATCTCGAGACGGTTGCGCGCAACATTTCGGACGACATCAACAGCCGAGTCAAAGTCGACTTGGTCGAGTGCGACGTCTCGAGTGCGTCGGCCGTCGAGGCGCTGGCAGAGTACGTGAGGACTCGGTGCGGGAGGCTCGACTTGCTCGTCCTCAACGCCGGCTACGCCGGTCCAGTCACGACCAGGATGGACCAGGGCAAGCCGGAGTGGGTACGACGGGCGTTCGAGGTCAATGCGATGGGCACGTACCTTGCTGCACACTACTTTGTGCCGTTGCTGCTGGAGTCGCCCAACGGTGCAAAGGGGTTCATTGCCGTCGGGTCGTTTGCGGGCTGTATTCGGCGTGGAATAATTGCGAACACGGGGTACACTGTGAGCAAGATGGCGCAGATTCGCCTGGTCGAGTATTTGGATGAGCAGTACGGGCAGTACGGGCTGGTCAGTCTGGTGGTGCACCCGGGGGCCGTGGCGACGAAGATGGCCGAGGGAAACACGCCAGAGGAATTTTTGCCTTGTGAGTTTGTATTCTTGACCTACACTTGACTCTGACTTTTGACCCACTTGTATATCCCGTTGGGATTGTCCGTTATGATGACGGCTGACATTGAGGACTCGTGACTTGTAGACCTGACTGATGATGTCGACCTTTGCGGTGCAGTCTGCGTATGGTTGAGCAAACAGCTCAATAACATTCACTGGCTGAGCGGTCGATTGATCAGTGCGACATGGGACATGGCAGAATTGATGTCAAAAGAGCAACAGATCCGTGAGAAAGACCTTTTGAAATTTGTTATGGTGACTGGGTGAGTGACGGTGGGATGTGACGAGGCTGTGGTCCGTGATGCGACTGCGTGCGTTGGGCAATGAATACGAGTACCGACTTAGCGGTGACAAAGTCACACCACCTCCACTACGAGTACGACAGGACGCTGAGTAACGCGGTAGCCGGACGTTCTCTCCGGGCAGCATGAGACTGAAGCCACGGTGCAACTTCCCGGCAAAGGGCGGGAACAGAGGCTTTTGTACGCTGGGGTCTTGGTTGGGCAGTGAACAACCCGTGGCCTGCAAAGCTGCGGAGACTGAGACAGCAGAAGCCAGTGTGAGATGCAAGGCACGCCAGTGAGAAGGCTGGCGGAGAAACCAGAACAAGTCATGGACATCTGCGACCTGCATGGCCCTAGGCACTCAAAAGTGCCAGAAATAGAATTCTGCACTGGCCAGCACAGTGTGGTGTCTCAGAAGGCAAGGCTTCACTGAGAGCATCATCAACTGAGTCCAGCTGGCACTGAGAAATCTCGACGTATCGGTCCTCAAGCCACACCGGACTCTTCGTCCCTCCGGAGTGCGTAGTCGAGCTGAATCTCCTAGACCAACTTCAGCAGAGGTGTAGGGGGGTGTTCCGAAGCCCTACGGCTCGGCGAGCTCTAATGGTGGAAGTTAGAAACTCTGTAGTCAGTACTGTTGTACTGTAGCTCGGAGGCGTTATCTGGTCCTCCGGACGTCCCTAGAGGTGTCACCTAGGCGGAAAATATCGTGGTTGTGTATCACCGCGTCTGGTCCACGTTTCACTGACCCCAGCCACTGACCATGATGGAGCCAGGAGGAGGAGGAATGACGGTTAGATTCATCCCAACCGAGGGCGGAGGGATCACGCAAAATCATGGCCAGGAGGTTCCAAAACATGGCAGGCCAGGCCTGAAGGGCCAGCCTTTATTGGCTCGGTTTGAGGCGTTTGTCCACTGTAAAAGTACTTGGCGTGGTGGATGTCTCAGGAGCCCATCGTATGTTTTTGAAACCCGTATGTGCGAAGATACGGGATGGAATGGATGCGAAGACGATTTTGCCGCAGACATACTCCGTAGTCCCGGGAGGATCAGGTTGAGAAGCGTCGCATACTTAGCCACCAGATGTTTTAGTAGGGCTCCCGATAGAATCCAAGGCATCGCGAATGAAGACATGAATCGCTCTGGAAGTCCACACAATACGAGGCTCTGGGTAAAACCGTAAAAGGACAATAAGACTCGAGTGACCTATGATGCTGCCGATGATTCCGTAGCTGGCAAGCCAACGCTCCACTGTCTACAAGTAGCCCAGGGTGGCCCCGCTGGGCTTAGGCTTGTGCGGCCGGGGAGGATCTTTAAACCAGGGTTCGGCACCTGTTTGGGCTGGCCTGGGCTGGTTTGGGGGGCAGAGGGAAGCTTAGTCTAGGGCTCCGTAGGCTTAGAGTTGCGTTTAGCCCGGTGAACCTCAGCTTGGTGGCTGCTTTCACCTGGTTGTTTCCATGCGGTGACCAGCACTCGGCTCGCCCGCCACCTGGATTTTCCCTTGTTAAGGTGTTAGTCAATCCGGAGTCAGAGGGCTCGAGTACTCGTACAATAACCTCTCACTGTCCTCCACCGACACCCACCGGGCGAGAAGAATGATGCGCCTTTCCCACATGCGCATGCATTGAACCCTCCCTAATTACTGTACGTGGACATCCTTACTTGCATATCCGCTCACACCTCTTTGTCACCAACATCCTCGTCCTCATCATCAATTGGACCGCACGAGTGCGACCTGTCAGTTGCTACCAAAATTACAGCTCCCCGTCCCGTTGCTCCACCAGTGAAGGCTGAGAAGAAAAGGCACGCACACCGTCACCTCACAAGCTGTATCTCTCCGTCTTCTTAACGAACGTACAACTACACAACAACGCTCAGACACCCGCAAACCTCGACGACATCCTCCTCCTTCCCTTCCTCCTTCTCTCCGCTTCTTCGATCCTCGCTCACCCTCACTCACTCACTCCTGTGTCGAGCACGTACCGCCATTCGCTTAGCTTGCACAATGTTCGGTCTACGGAAGGCTTTTGTTATCAGTACATTGGTCCTGGGTGCTTGGACCTCACCACATACGTCAGACGACGACAAGTCATTAATCAATTGGGATGCGTTTCAATCTCTCCTTGATACTGTCGACCCTGCTGCCCTACATTCAGTACTACATCAGCTGTCTCCCAAGTTCCAGGATGGCGTTTTCAGCAAAGATCGAGCTGCCATTGAGCACGTTCATTCCGAGAACCCGGTCATCGCAAGCAAGTTGGTACACTTGGCGAAGAAGAGACAAGCAAGCAATTCCACCACCACCTCGACTTCGCCTTCGTCGAGCTCCGAAGCTGCATCTATATCGTCCGTCCTCTCTTCCGAGATCCTAGCTTCTACAGTGCCAGGAGCTACCACGATCACGGTGCCGCCGTCCGCACCGGCTTCTGCCTCCGCCGTCGCCACCACCGACGGCGGAGTTGTCTATAGCACATTCGGGGGTGGTCTGGTCACGTTGACCTCATCCGCCGTAGGGGTTCGCTTTACTCCTAGCACCTCAACCCACCTGTATTATGCAACTGCCGGTGACGGGACTATCGAAACAAGGACATCGGTGGTAGTTGTGAATGCGCCTGTAACTGGAGCGGCCGATGCCACGGGAGCGGCAGGAGCTGCTGCGACCACGGGAAGCCCTGGTCTTCAGAATGCAGCCTCCTCACAGCACAAGACCGGAAGCTTGGTGGTGGCATTGCTTGCCGTGGCAAGCTGGTTTTTGGCTTCATGAGTCGATTTTTGACTTGCCAGCAGCTCCCTCTTTTGTTCGCAATAACTGCGACATTGGTTCTTTTCCTTTTCAGTACACATAACGACGACACGGCTCAGCATTTCTCTCCTTTTTACAACAATCTGCGAGCGGCATAGCTATAGGCGTTTTCAACCATTTGTTTTTCCGCGAACCAGACGGGAAGCTTGCGGATTTGTTTGAATTTGGAACATACATGTATGTGATTGATGGGTTTTTGGAGGATTGATCTGACGGTAGCAATCTGTAAGGGGAAGGGAGGCTTTGGGAGGCGAGTGTCTGGTGTCAAAGACATAACTATAGTTTCGAAAATGACAAGAAATCATCCCGAGACTAGATGCCTTCACCTACTTTTCGTGTTTCCCAACGTGAGTACCGAGTAGCTCCGATCCATTTTTTGATACTCAATTACTCATGAAACGCTGCTGGCGGACGATCAAACAGCTCAGGTAGGAATTTTCAAGCGCAGAAGCACAGATCGTCCCAGGTACCGGAGTATTGCTCGTCATAGCATACACAGAAGACAGAGAAAAAGCCCAGCTGGCTTGCGCGGTCAGTGTGGATGGTTATATACTACGACGAAGTCTTCTTTGATTGCTTTATGAATTGTGGACCGAATTTGACCGAGACAAGTTGTGATATGCAGCTCGCCCAGCCTGAGTCGAGATTGACCGGTGTTCATGTGGACAAGTGCTAAGGGAGGTGCTACTGCACCCCGACTTGGATAGACAGCATTGACACCAAGGTGAGTGGCCATGGCGGGACTGAGCGAAACGAACTTTTGTGGCAGTGCACAACTTGGAGATTTGCTTTTGACGGGAGCGAGATTCGATTGCGATAACAAAGCTTCTCCAATCGTGGGATGGCTGTCTCGTGAAGATGCCTGCCAGAGGCGTAGTCGGCGTGATGAGTCCGAGTATCTACAATACGAATTCTCATGATCCCATGCGAGCACGGCCTTGGCTGAGGCTGTCCAGCTTCTTTTCTCGTTGATCGTCTGTGCCAAAGGGATCTGGGTGAAACCTATCCCAATCACCAAGACCCATGGCCAAGTGTTGTGGAGAGACTTTCGAGACATGATAGATGCGACGATGATAGGACCAGCAAGCGGAAGTGGCTGCGCTATGCCTGGCCCCAGGGGAGGCTCACCAAAACATCCCCCTCCACTCACTCACCCTGGATCCAAAAAAAATGCCCATCAGAAAACGCGTTGCTTGTGCTTAGGCTTGGAGCAGCATCTCCAGATTCTGCGCTGTGATTCTCCCAACACCCTTTTTTCTACACCATCCCCCCTGCCTTCTTTCCTGCCCTCGACTTTCCCTCGTTCAACTCGACCATATCAAAAGAGCAGTCACCCATTCTTGTTTGTGGTGTCGCTCCTCCCACGCTACTTATCGTTTAATATACTTCTGTTGGGCATCCTCACTCTCTTGGATCCCATCTCTCGGTTAATCTTGTCTTCTGAGCCAAACGGGCCCCCATTACTATCTGCTTCTTGACACGAGACACTGAGCTCGCACGAGATCTCTATTTGCAAAAGATTACCGTTACCTCTCAAGCATGCGTACTTCTACTATCGCGGCCCTCGCCCTGGGCGCCGGTGTAACTTCAGCAGCGATCGTCAAGCGACAGAGCAGCGTCACCCCTGTGACGGTCAAAGGCAACGGTACGCAGCTTTACCTTGGGTCTCGCACATAGCACAATACTGACTTGCTGTCAGCTTTCTTCGCCGGCAATGATCGCTTCTATATCCGTGGTGTCGATTACCAGCCCGGTGGCTCCTCCGACGTCGCTGACCCTATCGCCGACGTTGATGGCTGCAAGCGAGACATCGAGGAATTCAAGAAGTTGGGCCTGAACACCATTCGTGTCTACACTGTCGACAACACAGCCGACCACGATGAGTGCATGAGTGCATTGGCAGATGCTGGCATCTACCTTGTTCTCGACGTCAACACCCCCAAGTACTCCTTGAACCGGGCCGATCCCAACCCTTCCTACAACGCCGTGTACCTCCAGAGCATCTTTGCGACCATCGATAGTTTCCAAAAGTACGACAACACCCTGGCTTTCTTCTCCGGGAACGAAGTCATCAACGATCCTGAGACCTCTGCTGCTGCTCCCTATGTCAAGGCTGTCACTCGAGACATGAGACAATACATCCGCAACCGAGGCTACCGAACAATTCCTGTTGGTTACTCTGCCGCCGATGTTAGCGAGAACCGTTTGGAAATGGCCGAATACATGAACTGTGGTACCGACGATGAGCGATCTGATTTCTTTGCTTTCAACGACTACTCTTGGTGCGACCCGTCTTCCTTCACCATATCTGGCTGGGATCAGAAGGTCAAGAACTTTACTGGATACGGTCTTCCTCTTTTCCTGTCCGAGTATGGTTGCAACACCAACACCCGTGAGTTCCAGGAAGTCGAAGCTCTCTACAGCACTGAAATGACCGGTGTGTACTCTGGTGGTCTCGTCTACGAATACTCTCAGGAGCCTTCTAACTACGGCCTTGTCGAGATCGATGGCTCGTCGGTCAGTGAACTTCCGGACTTCACTGCTCTCCAGTCTCAGTTCTCAAAGACCCCTAACCCGCAGGGCGATGGTGGCTACAACTCGACTGGTGGTGCCTCTGGATGCCCAGCCTATAGCAGCCCCAACTGGCTCGTCAAGAGTGACGCCCTCCCTGCAATTCCTGAAGGTGCCAAGCAATACATGACCAAGGGTGCTGGCACGGGCCCGGGTCTTTCGGGTGCTGGGTCTCAGAATGCAGGCGGTGCTTCTACCGGAACAGCTACTGCTGGCAGCGGACAAGCTAGTCAAACTGGTTCCTCCGGTGGCAGCTCGTCCGGCTCGTCCAGCTCATCGACCAGCGGTGCCATCGCCATGCCGGTTCCAGAGTGGTCTCTCGCTCCCATGGTCTGCGGTGCTGTTGTGATCATGTCAACTATCTTCGGTGCTGCACTGTTGTAGACTGGCATAGCGCTTTTTGTACAAGAAATTCGGTTCTACATGGAAACCCAGATGAGCCTTTTTTGAAACGAGGCCGGATGAACAATACCATGTCTTTTTTGGTCCGAACGGAAGAAAATTCGACCAGGTGCAGGAAGTGATTGAAACAGTCGGCGTTATCAACCTTCGCCCGAAACATGATATTTGGGGGGCTTTTCCTTAGCTATGCAATAGACTTGCGTTTCGATAGTCAAATAATTGATCAGAGAACAGACATGATTACAGATTGAAGACGGGGGTTTCTGCGCATGTGGTTTCTGGACTGTTGTAGCAGTCGTTTTCTAGTTTTTCTTTTGGAGTGTGCGAGCGTATTGCTTGCTCGTGGACTCCGTAAGGTGTACTGTACCTACCTACTAGACATCTGCTAGACAGACATCCCCTCCTGAGGGTGACCGTAACTGATTCCGAAACGTGCCCTCGCTCGGGACTTTTTCTGGGATACGTATGACAGGCATCATGTATTTATTGCATGTTTATGAGTCCGGTTTTTTGTTTTTGTCGTCGACTCGAGAAATTTCTGTTCCGATTGTTGTTGCAAGCGACAAAGAGACAATCTATTCCGTCGGCGCTCTATGGATTGATCATCGCTTCCGACGGGGCTCGACGAGGCCCCTCGAAGGGGAGTTACCTACAATTCTCGTCGCTCGTCGTGTTCGTCTGATTATTTCCCTTGTGCTCCTTGCTCTCCGATCTGCAAAAAAAAAAAAAAAACGAAAGATAATGTGATTTGAGCATACCTTGCAAGCTAACTCTCCGTAGCCCGTCCGCTTCCTCAGGGAGGGACTGACTACAACATACGGGATAAAACCAACACGGCAACAGCAACGACAACGGCAACGACAACGGTCATCTAACTGTTCAGGTACCGTGCGACAGCACCTCTCAATTTCCTCCCACCTTCACCGGCCACGTTGATCAGATTCTCAAGGTCATCGCCGGCCGTGAGGCCAAGTTTGCGAACAAAGTCCTTGGCTGCGGTTTCGAGATCGCCGTAGTCGCCGCCCTCGAGCCCAGTCACGTCATCCTCGGGACGGCCAAAGTAGGCGTTGGACGAGATACTCGTCGCACCCTCGAACCCTTGGAGACGCGTCTTGGCCTCGGCTTGGGCGTTGGCGTCGAATGTGCCGCGTCCAAAGAACTCGTCGGACGAGATGCCTTTCTGAGTGCCAAATTTCTGCCGTGCGTATTGCTCTGAATCGTCTAATATAGATTGTTAGCAACGTTCAAAAAAAAAAAAAAAAAAGCGCGGGTGCAAAGACACAACCAGGGGAGGCGAGAGAGATTGTGTAAGTCGTACCTTCAACGGGTGCTTTGCTCGCACCGACACTGCCAAAGCCAAGTTTCTTCGGCGCTGGTGCTGTAGAGGAAGTACCGGCGGCACCCCCTTTTGACCCAATCTGTCCGAAGCCGAGTCTGCCCATTCCCATTCCCAGTCGCTCGATCTCGCTGGGACTGCGTGTATGGGCGGCCGGGCCTGACTGTGAGGTTGGCGAAGGCGCAGAGGCGTCCTTGACTGTCGCGCCGAATGAGGAAGACTTGTTCTTTGCCAATTGCTCCGCATTCTCAGCTTCGGGATCATATCCAAGCTTCTCTATCCTCTCTGCTTCAGCTTTTGCGGCCTTTTCAGCGGCCTCAAAATCGATTTCTTCACCGACAACCTTCTTTGCGCCCAGCTTTTGTGTCTTTTTGGCCCCAAGTACGTTGGTCCGTTTTGCCCCGACACTGGCAGGACCTTTGCGGATAGCGGAGGAAGATGTCGTACGGATGGCGGTCGGAGCTGGGAGGGCGGTTTCCGAGTCAGTGCCAGCGCCATTCAATGGTGACTTGGGTCGAGCTGCCAAGCCATTCGCGCCGCCCGTGGAGAGGAAGGGCGAAGCTGTGCGAGAAACGACGGGTGGAGTTCCACTTCGTGAAGGAGGATTACTAGGCCTCTTGATGCTTGGTTTATCCCAGGAGGAAAAGAAGTCGTCGCCTTGCTCGCCTGTGGATGTCGCAGATCCTTCAGCAGGAGTGGGAAGAGCCTCGTCTGTGATGACTACTTCGTTGGGATATCTGTAGAGATGTCAGCCTGAGAACGGCCACGTTGACTGGCTGGTCTCACTCTTCTGCATCTCTTGCTGCTCTACGCTTCAGCTCTTCTTTGTACTTGTTCGCGGCGTTGGAAGTGTATTTGACTTTGGCATCCTTGCTGGCAAGAGCTGCGCTGCCCCCGTTGGATTGGAAGAATTTCGTGGCGGACTCGTTGCCTCCGACTTTCATAGTCCGTAATTGGCCCCATTGCCATACTAATACGTGTCAACATCGTGTCCGACACTAGAACACCGTCGCATGCAACATACCGTCCAAGTTTGTTGACCTGACAAAGGAAATGTGCACGCCGAGATTTCGGTGATTCGAGGAGCAATCGAGGCATAGGTAGACTCCGAAGGGCACAGATGACCACGTTGGATTCTTTTGGCCGCAGTCAAAACATATCTGAGGGGGACACGTTAGGATCAGTGGCATGGAGACGGGGAGATTTGTTGAGGCTACCTTGTTCGCAGGCTTCGCCTTTAATTTCTCAAAGATCTTTTGAGACTGGGCCTTGGTGGCACTCATGACAGGCGAGGGTCGACAGATGCGAGTAAGAAGAGAGACTTGCAGCAAAGAAATTGAGGGCGAAGGCGCACTTGATGTTGGGGATTTCTTTGACAGGTGGGAGGAAGCATATGCAGCCCATCTACGGAGTATGTAGATGGGAGTCTCGCTGCGTCTGCGCGACGAGCGAGAGATAATGCGGAATGGACCACCGTAGCCTCACCGGCTCCGATTGGCCACGTGCCGCCTACGGACCTACATAGACTCTCAATGGATTCTCCAGGGGGCGTTTTCCCCCTTTCCTGAGAAGCACCTCCGTCTCCTCTTGAACAGAAACATGCACCCAACAGATCGTGATGCCGCGAAACCAAACTATTTGTCTGTCGTCACCTTGTCAAACACCTCCAGAGTGTATTCCCAGACCTTCTCTGGCCAGCCTCCTTTCCGATATTCTTCAAGCACCCCAGGCGCAACGACTTCCTTGCTTGTCTCGTCGATACGGTGAGCGCCCGGCCCAAAGGTATCGCTGGTCAGATGGAAAGCATGTCTCTCACCACTGTCTTGGGGACTTATTCCAACGAGTCTCATGCCAATAGCCGTAAGAACGCGGACCGCAGCCAAACCAATTCTCCACGCGATTCCAGATGACTCTGGCGCGGTCAACTGGGAGAAGATTTCGGTTTGTACCAGTCCAGGAAAAGCGTGCAGGAAGGCGATGTCCTCGTTCACTGGCGCCAGATGATCAAAGGCGAGGGTCGTCATGGTTGTCGTGTGGTTGACCATTGCTCGAACCGCCCATTTCCGCTCAAGACCAAGGTCTTTGGTGTCAATCTTCTTTTCCCTGCCAGCATTGAGAACACTCAGAATGCGAGGACGAGGCGACCGATGAAGGAGCGGCAGCAAGTTCGATATCATTCTCATCCTGGAGTAGAATGATAGGGCGAAGGCGATTTCGAGGCCTTCCTTTGTATCTTTGATACGGTTAAGCATTGCTATTTAACTCTTTAGGGGGCGACATACATTCAGCTCCGTTCAAGGGAACCAGACCTGCGCTCATACACAGATAATCTATCTTCCGCTCAGCTTCGGCGATCTGCTCGCATGCGGCGTCGACTCCGGAGAGCAAGGTAACATCTACTTCGATGAATATGAACTTGTTGCTTGGATTGGAAGCTCTCAATGTCTCGAGTTGTTCTTCTGCTCGCTTAGCCGAACGTCCCAAGATGTAAAATGTCGACTTATGTATCATGGTCGCCATTCTCGTGAGAGTGCCTGCGCCGATTCCTCTAGTGGCGCCCACGAATACACACACGTTTCCCCCATGTTGCTCGTTGGCGAAGCGGCGGTTGTGGTCCTTGACCTGAGCAAGCTGCACCATCTTCACGGCTAGGCTGGTATTTGTACAGCAGAAAACCCTGATCTGAGAGAGATCTGTTTGAATTCATTTCCACGAGGCCACTCCAGCTTTGACTCATCCTCGGCGTCTTGGTCGCACAAGCAGACCCCCTCCCCTGTCTTCCAGATACAGCCTCATGCAGGACACGGCGTTAACAGAGTCTAGTTCCGACGCTACTGTGCAGAGTAAATCTTGGCACTTACAGTACTCCGTACTCGATACAGAGAAACTCTAAGCCAAGTCCTGTTTCTTGTTGATTGGAAATGTGATTATGTACCTGACCGAAAGACCAGTTGTGACTGTAGATCGCATCTACTGCATTGCTGCACAAGGAAGTTCTCTATGAAGAGAGACCTCTCTGTCTTCAAACAATTGTCAACCCCTGTCCAGTCTCTGATCATTGTCGTCGGCGCAGCTTTACACTCACCCCACGTCAACAATAGAAGCCTCAAGCTGGTCATGAGGTAGGAAAAGGCCTCTACGGACAGGAAGGTAGTACTGTTACTTATTTAGTGATGGACTCACCATGGCGGAATTTCATGTCTTTGAATGAGTGGTCGATGGCCGTGGAAGAAGTCTAGAAGTAGGTTCGTTGACGTTATTGCTATGTGACCGTAGCCGCCTTTATCGAGATGTCCTCCTGTCATGGAACATTCTGCCCGGCTCACAGACTGTACGACTAGGCGAACAGGTGCAAACACGTTGTCGTCTTGACAATAAAATGTTGTTTGGCGCTTCTCTCGGCGAGTTTGGTATTGTCTCTTGATGGCCAACATGAACTCCTCCCTCACGCCGCCCAGCACACTTTCTCACCCTTCTTTCCTTGCTTTCAAATCTCACTCTTTCCCATCCGAAGAACCATTTTTCGAGCTCTGGCAAGTGATCGCTTCTTGTTGACGCGATGCCAGCGTTGAAACATCTTGTATGCAATGTTCAGTGGGAGGAGACTGGTGCTCCTTTCCCTGAATATGGCACTCAATATGGCGATGGCTTCGTCGAGACCTTCATTGCCATTCCAAATCATCCTCAGCCCTTCAGCATCAGACTAAGTTCACGTCGATTCATCCATGAAGGTCTAGCCATGCTTGTCTACATAGACGGGAAATATCAATGCAACCGAATTCGAGTCAACCTCAAATCACCGCGTGGGGCTCTACCTGAAACCAGATCCAAGATCGATTTCGTTGTTCGGCAGAAAGAAACACGTCTAGGAGATGGAGCATACATGGCGAGAGAATGGCGTTTTGACGACTACAACATTGTACAACAACTTCCTCCAGGAGCAAGTGAGAGTCATTTCGAGAGCCTTGGTACCATTGAGGTCTTTGTCCTGCGGTGCAATTCCAACATTCCTGGCGAATTCGACGCGTTGAGTGACTCTTCGAAAGAAGATAGTGTCATCATGGAGCACTACGAGCGGCAAACATCGGGCGTTCAGTCTACAAGGACTGTGGCTGAGCCAGATTTTGAGGGGTTTCCTTTTGCTGGCTTATTTGACGGTCCTTCAAATCTCCCATCCTCTTCTCGCTTCTTGCAAGTTGACGGCCCTGCTGATGATCATGATTATTGGGATTATCGCTACAGATATGGTCCTGCACCGTATCCGCCCCAAGAACGCCCGGCCTATCATTCACATGAACATGAACATGAGCGCGTCCCCGATGGCACATTTTACTACCGACGACCTACACCACCTACGTCACCGTCGCCACCAAATCGTGGACGTGATCAACCTGACCATCTACCTCCTCGACGTGAGCGAAGAGTCCACTTCGACTATGGTACTGCCAGAGAGGGTCCCATGTATAATGATCGACACCAGTCCCAACGCACGCCCCGATACCATCACGACTACTACCCAGCACAGCACTACGTTGGACACCATCCTGAAGGAGACTATCCATCTCGTCACTTGGACATTCCCTATCGTAATAGAGATGATGGACCTAGAGACTATCGAGACTATCCTGAACCCCCGATGGCTCGTGGCGCCCTCAGAGTACCATTAGCTAGTGCTTCAAGAATTCCAGGTCTCTCAGAACATCGCGCAACACTACCAAATCACACTCGGATGGATTCTGCTGCTGCTGCTGCTGCTGCTGCTGCTCCTGCGCCAATGCCATACACCGCAGTCCCACCGTTTGCAGGTCAACATCAGCTTCCGATGCAACCCTGGTTGGGTCAGCCTCATCCTGTATTCCCACCTTCGATGCCTGGACCGACTCCGATTTTTCCCTACCTGCTCCATAACAACGTCCCATGGTTTCAAGCCGCAAATCAGTCCGGCCTTCAAAATACTCACAGTGCTACAAACAAAGATGCTGCTAAACAGGATGCATCTTCCACGGCCACATCCGCCACCGCGAAAGCGGAGCCTTCAGCTCCTGCCTCCAAAGACTCCGACAATAATGCTACGAATAACACCTCAGACAACTCGAATACCCAGAACCAAGGTGGGAGTGACAATAACACCAATAAACCGGAGCAGAATCAATCAAACTCGGCCGACAAGGGAACCAGTAATGAAAATTACAGTCAGGAGTGGAATGAGTGGCAGAATGGCGGAAGCAACGATAATACCAACAACAATACCAGTGATAATAACAACTGGGAAAATCAGAACACCAATGACGAAAGCCGGGACCAGAACAACATTGATGAAAGTTGGAAAGGAAACAACGACACCAGCGATGACAACAAAAGTAACCTCGATGAAAGCTGGAAGAATAACAACGACACCGCCGATGACAACAAAAGTAACAAGTCTAATCGAGACTTGTCTCAAGAACAGAACACATCTTCCAATGCTCAGAACGTACAAGTGTCCACAAGCAACGCATCTGGCAAGATGGCATGGTATGGCCCACATGGCCTTTACCAAGTAGCAAAATTCTACAGAGACGCCAGTATTCCAGCCATTGCAGAAGAAGAGCCGCGATATGATGTACCTCAAGCCGTCGCACAGGCCATAGGTGTCACTAAGCAAGTCCAACCTGGCAGAGGCTACGTTTACAGCAAGAAGAGCGTGCATCCCGCGGAGTATCTGGACACTCTTCAGGATCCATATGCGCGATTCATCTTCAAATATCGACACCGGGAGCAGATCAAGACCGAAACTGGTATTGACATTAGTTCAGATCCAACTCCCGATGCAGACAGAAACTCTCTCGAGAGTAAGACCAAGGATGAACTGATTGAGCTAGTTCTTCGAGCAAAGGGTGCTTTGGGAGGAACCATTCCAGATCCGCCAAAACCGAAACCTGTAGCTCCTGTAGTGTCAGCGCCCTTGGAACACATTCCGATTGCTGCTCCTCAACATCCATTCCCGTCTTACTATCTTCCAACATTTCGACGCCCCTCTGGCACAGGTTCCGGCTCTGGTGTAGCACAGCCACCAGCTAATACCGCTACTACTGCTACCGCTGCTGCCGCTGACGATGGTTGGGGAAGCACCAACGCAAATTCAAGTGTTGCTGAAGGAAAGCAGAAGAACAACAAGAACAAGAACAACAACTGGCAACAAGGTGGTGAAGCACAAGGCTGGAATGATCAGCAAGCGCCCAACACCAGTTCCTGGGACGGCCAAAATGAAGAAGAGCCTTTGCAGAGAGATCAACCAAACCAGACTCAGCCGACCGAGACGAACAAGCCAGCGTCGTCAGGCATTAGCCCTCTAGCTCTCCCCGGACCTTCATACCGTGCCAGTATCCCTGTTGAATCTCGAGTGTGGCAAGATCAAGATCAGGATGCTCCTCCTCCGACCACTCCACGTACGTCCGCCTCGTCCGACATGGTTCGGTCTGTACCTCTCACCGATCCTTTTGGGCCCAGCGAGCCCCCTAGGCGGCTCACTGAGGAAGAAGAATTTGAGAAGGGGGTTGGAGAGCCGCCTCCCGCCGGCTTCACCACCTGGTATAGGTACTTTATGCACCCGAACTCGCCCGACATCCCAAGCGAGTACGTCAGGGAGGAGATTGTCGATGCCCCTGATCGGCCCCCGGACCCTGTCCGCGCCCGCGCTCCCTCTCCCCCCCGGCTCGCACCCGGCGAACCGCACGACTTTTGGCGTTAGAGCCACAGACGGACGTCAACTGCATCTGCATCCGTTGGCGAGCCGGGTGCGGTCGGGCTGGTGAGCGACAACGACGGAGCTGTCGAGAGAACAAGGCTCGTGCCTTGGAGCACGACGAGCGGCAGATAGACAATGATACCAGAATGATGTTTTGAGATCCTGTCGCATGTCACATCTGAAGCGGAGTAGACTGTAGGGTGCATGTACGTGAACAAGTGAACCATGTGAAGTTACTATCGACGTCCGTTCTATGTTTGACCCTTGTCATTACCCTTTTTATCTGTTCTTCGCCCGCCCTGTATTCATCCTCAGTCCTTGTCCCAGTTTTCCGTTCTGTGTTGGCTTCATGTCCATCTTAATCATTTGTCTTTTGGTTCCTCGCCCACCACAAAGCCACCGCCTAACAAGATAGCAGGTTCGTCGATGCTGTGATGTTCGTAGCTCAACGTTCCCACCCCACCAGCTTCCATGATCAAACTCGTCTCCGTGAGCGGTCTGCCTATCCACCGGATGGCAAAGGCACGTAGGATGTGTCCGTGGCCCACCACCATCACGTCCCCCGTCACCCCTTGATCCTTGGGCTTCCCGATCACCGGAGCGTGGTAGTTTTCGCGGATGTCGGCGATCAGACTATCCACGCGCCGGATAATGTCTTCCGGACTCTCGCCGCCGGGGCATCCGTCGCGCCAGATGTCCCAGGGCCCCTGGCCTTTCTCGGCTCGCAGCTTCCGGATCTCAGCCGACGTGATGCCCTCGTACTCGCCGTAGTCCCATTCCGCGATGCGGGGGTCGATCGTGACACGGGCGTCGGTCTTGTTGTGCGTGGGGGAATGGTTGTCCGAGTTCGTTTGCCACGGGTACGGGTCGTGACAGCCTAGGTCGAGCAGTTCGAGTGTTCTTTGGGCACGATGGCGCGGTGAGACGTAGCTGGACCACGATCATTGCTCGTTAGTACATTTTGCGGCAGGACAACAATGGATAGACCATGTGTGGATGGGAAGATCTTATGCATGATTCGCTCGAGCAGCTGGCCACTCGATACGAGAGCGAGCGCGGAGCGGAATAGTGCAGGGCTGCAGGACAGGGCAGGGCAGGACAGGGTATAATGGCACAAGACAACCCGGCTAGAGGGGAAAAACATACATGTGAACCAACTGCCTGGGAACGATCAACCTGTCGTCCCCTACCAAAGCCCTTCCCGTCGCTCGAACTCGCTTCTCTCCGTTCTTGGTCAGAGGGATGTCTGTGGTGCCCGTGTGTTTCCCAGAGAGTGACCATTCCGTCTCGCCGTGCCGCACGATGAAGCACCGCGGCGTAGTCATTCTCGTGTGAATCCCCCTCGTCTCCTCCTTTTACAGTGGTAGTTCCCAGTTTCTTCCTCCTCTCCAGCGGGGTACGCCTGGCTACCTATGCCTTGACCACGCTGGGCCTCGGATGAGTGCGGATGAGTGCGCAGTGGAAGTCGCTTCGTCTCGACCCTTTGATATATGCGCAAGAAGGCTGTGGTGGGTTGCGAGAGCGATGGGGGGCTGTCGGTGTCGCGGGGTCAAGTCACTCTTCTTTAGTATCAGTCAAGGCGCCGAGAGTGAAGGACCCAACAAAGAGCGGAGCAGTGACTAAAAGTCAGAGGTGTGAAAGGGAAACAACAGGGAATCAAGGTACTCAATTTCTGCTGCTCCCGTACTTGCCGGTGGTGTTCAATTGTCTAACGTTCTCGTGCTACGTAGTCATCATACATGTGTTTACGCAAGAAACTTGCATGAAGTGGGCAGCCGTTTACCACATTCAACCGCACCACTAAAGGGCCCGAGGGTCTGCACAGTAATCGATTCGCAGAGGCCACTAATAAGGCTTCTGATAGGAAGGTTGTGCTGGGAGGGGCACGCCAGGGCCAAATGTTAAAAACACCCAAACACTGAGAAGCACTCAGTAGTGCTAACTAGCTAGTTAGAGACTCCCACGACGAAATCCGGATCCCATAACAGATATTCAGGAAGCCAACCATCACAACTCATTCTCAAGCAACAGAGCATTTCACTCGATTTCCTTGTTCAAAGGCATTAGGGTTTGATGATATATACCTAAAATAAGAGAAGTATTTTCAGAAGAGTGATTGAACATTCTTAGGGGTACAGATAGGACAGAGTAGTGTGCACCTAGATTAATAGACAATGCGTTGAAATAATAGGGCTGAATCTAGGGGGCACAGGCCTAAAACGAGGCAGAGAAAGCCTGAAGGATAAGAATTGAGTGCTTATAATGGTGCCTAAAGTCTAGGCACTACTAAGGAGATTTATAGGCCTTGGTGCAAGTCAAACGGAGCATACAACCGGCAGCAATTTCAACAGATCGGACGAGACAGTTTGCCATCACCGAACAGATGTAGTTATAGAAGCCACCATCCATAAGGACAACCCGTCTTAATCTAGACGGCACAGTTGTGCGAGAACAGGTCATCCGAATCGAGGGCACAGGTACCGTCGTCTCCCAAACAAGTTGCGCCTACAGGAACTCTGCGATGTCGAAGATTGCCTGTGCTCACGGCGTACCCTTGTGATTATGGGAAATCACTCCTAAGGAAGGCGACTATGATGAGCGAGCCATTGCTATCAAGGCTTTCGAGGACGAAAAAGCGAAGCGCCGCAAGACTGGGCGACCATTCCGGCATTATTCGCTGTCACAACCATCTATCCAACTTCGACATTATCTGAAGCAGATACGACCTGAAAAACGATGGTGCTATCCCAATTGACCGAATCGGCGCACACCATAGCCCATATTCATTCCTGTCGTGATCATGGCCGACGTCCGTTTGAGCAACCTTGTGTTTTTACGATAATATGAGCATCAAGCTCGTTGATTTCTCCGAGTCCTCTCTTATGCCGCTCGACCGGAACCTAGACAACTGTGACGTAAATAGCTTTTCAATCTGGGGCCGACGTTGGACGAGTCTGGGGGGATGGATATTCGACATGACGCCGGGCCAGCGTTGTGCCTTTGACATTTATCAGGGTTGGAAGCAGCCAGAAGACCCGACCACCTGGCGACGACGGCAACATCTCCTGTCAACCAACGGAGTATGGCTAGGTTCGGTTATCCAGAAATGCTGGACCAAGGACTTTGAGTCGGCGCAAGATCTTGTAGAGCTGGAAAGGGCTCGCGCCTCTGCTCTGCTTGTGGCGGCGGGAGCGGAAATCAGCTATTCTGCCTCGTCCAGCAAGGACTCCCTTTGAGGTGGTGGAATAGCGGCCAAACTCGGCCAAGGAGCTCATCAAGCAGCGGTTTACAAACTGGACCGACAAACCTCTCTCCGCAAGGGGGAAAAATGTACAAAATCACACTTGACTTCCTGAGTGTCGCGATGAGTAACAGACATCATCCGCTCGTGTTGTTTCTCCTTGACCAAAGTTCCAGGATGCTGCGTTTGCAGACGTCGTGCTCAAACAGTAAAACATGGCATTCCCACCATACTCTCCGTCTCCTTTTTAGTCGTTCACGTCAGTGAAGATGTTGGAAATTTGATGGCGAGGCTGTGCCGTGGGAGTTGATGGTCTGTGGGAGAGTCACGGCTATAATTAGGACATGGGGGACGCGCCGGTGCCAGAAGCCGAGCTTGTGCTTTTTGACCCTCCTATTGTACAGTACTAACTAGAGAGAGTCCCGAGCGCCTAAGCCTTTAACAGTAGTTAGTACTGTACGGAGTAGACTGAAGCGAGACTTCAAGATGGATCGGGGTGGAGGTTCCAAGAACAAGCATCTGTTTAGGGGTTGACCATAGAATCCGTAGGCAGCCTTGCTGCATCTGATGCCGCTATGGTACAAGACGGCCTAAAGATCGAAGAAGTGTCTATCATTTGTGCTCGTCTGGGTCCTGGCCACGACAAGCACAGACAGTCGCGTGAGGGTTTCGGCGAGAGGCGCGACAATCGAAAAATCCTCCAGTCCAATGGGTAGTTATAAACACCGCCAACTGCGGGTAAGTCTTGAGCCTCTCCATGTCTTGACTGCGCCTCAAATTCCCACCCGGCAAAACAGACTTTGGCATTTGACGTGGGGTTGTCTAGACCCCTTCGAGTGCCTTGTACGGACCATTCTTCTGTACGATCACTATGGCATCCAACGCCACCGTCATCGCGGTGAATGTGTGCAACGAAAGAAGTGATACCACGAGATCTAGGTAGGGAGCTGACATGAGATACAAAATTCTAACCACCAACACCATCATCGTCATCACCTGCTTCAAGTGTATTTGAGGTTTCAGAGTTGTCACCAGCCATCCAGTCGCCATCGTCAAAGTCCGAGGTAACGTAATTGTGGCCATGCTGACGGGAACCATCACGATGAACTTAAAGCAAAGCCACCACCATCGAACACCAGGCTCCATCTCGTGCGAATCCTTCCAAGTTCTGCCCAAAGCTGCAGGACTTAAACGCCCCCTGACAGGCGGTCGATCGAGAAGCGAGGCACCAGACATCCACTTGTCCCCCGGCCTGACCAACGCCATCGAGCCCACCAGTGCCACCACCCGCACCCCCCTGTCGGCCCACTGCGCGCCTCCATCGAACCGTTCGAAAAAAGATCTTTCATATGCTGAGGTTGCGTGTGCTCTGAAACGGTGTTGCCAATTGTGGAATCCCCATGTTGTCTTTTGTTCGAGAACTCCCCAACTGAAAATCAGACTCCCTTTCGTCTTTGGTGTATATCATTTATCTCGCAGATCACGATCTATACCTCACTGTCGCTCGCTATACCCTTCACACGTTCGTTCTCGACAGAACCACGCTTTGGACCGTCACTCGCTCAACTACCACTCCCCGGCGAGACCGCTCTCAGACACCGTTCGTTTCATTGAAAGAATTGTATTGGAACATACCCCCCATCGGTTAAAGAGTCGATCAAGGTGGAATACCCCGCCGGTTGACGGCATCACGCAGGGAAGAGAACTCTCGGATACATAACCAACAGGCCGTCATGCGGACGTCCTCAGTGGCAGTCTTTGCCTCCCTGGCTCTGCTCCCTTCCGTCATTGCAACAGATATCTTGAAAACAAGTGGTGTAGCGGATTGCAACAATGGTACATCTCAGATCAAAGTCAACAAACTCGACATTTCGTTCGATCGATCGACGAACATGATCAACTTCGATGCTTCGGGAACGAGTGAACAGAAGCAATACGTAACAGCACACCTCGTGGTGACAGCATATGGTATCCAAGTATATGAGAAAGAGTTTGACCCCTGTTCACAAGACACGAGGGTCGATCAACTTTGTCCTGGTAGGTGAAATTTACGGACGAAAGTGTTGGACTGCCCTAATATTTGCCTAGTGCCTGCAGGAACATTCTCCGCAAATGGAAGTCAAGAGATACCCTCATCCTATACCTCGCTCATTCCCTCAATCGCATACTCGCTACCTGATCTCGACGGAGATGCTCAGTTGACTCTCAAGAACAAAGGCGGACAGCAAATTGCATGCGTCCAATCTGGTGTCACGAACGGCAAATCGGTCGAGGTGCCCGCCGTGTCATATGTTGCAGCTGCGGTCGCGGCAGCCGCGTTGGGCATGTCGCTCGTCGGAGCTGCGGCCACGGGCGCTCATCCTGGCTCCAGCACATCAAGTCCTGGATTCTCGGAAGTTGTGTGGTGGTTCCAGGGAATGGCAATGAACGGCATGCACTCGGTACCATATCCTGGCATCTATCGGAGCTTTGCCAAAAACTTTGCCTTTAGTACTGGTCTCGTCTCCTGGGGCGGGCTCCAAAGGTCGATCGACAGTTTCCGATCGCATACAGGAGGCAATCTGACCAACGAGAACTACGACGACCTCAAGAACACCACCTTGGTGTTTTCTGATGGCACGACGGTCCAGCCTACCAGTACCCTCGGTAAACGTGCTATGTTGTTCTTCCGAGACGTCAGTACCAACGTCAACGGCACCGACGACTCTGGCTCTGCCTCGGGCTCGGACTCGACGTCGCAACTTGTTAATGGTATCCAAGGCTATGTAGAACAGCTCACCATCCCAGAGACCAACACTTTCATGACAGTCCTTCTCATATTTGCGATCGTGGTCGCCGCAATCGTTGTCGGCATTCTGCTGTTCAAGGTCATTCTCGAAGCATGGGCACTCTTTGGCAAGTTCCCGAAATCACTCACCACTTTCCGCAAGGAGTACTGGCGCGTCATGGCTCAAACCATCACATCTCTCATTCTGCTGCTATACGGTGTCTGGACACTGTACTGCATTTTCCAATTCACGCACGGCGATTCATGGGCTGCCAAGCTTCTGGCTGGTTTGACCTTGGGCGGATTCACCTCACTTCTCGCCTTTTATACTTGGAAGATCTGGAGTGTTGTGCACAAGCTTAAGAAGATGGAAGGCAATGCCGACGCCCTCTACGAAAACAAAGAAACCTGGAAGAAGTACAAGCTCTTCTATGAGAACTACAAGCGTGGCTACTGGTGGCTGTTCATCCCATGTATCGTCTACATGTTTGCCAAAGGATGCGTCTTGGCTGCGGGCGAGGGCCACGGCATGTTCCAAACCATCGGCCAATTGACCATCGAGTCGCTCATGCTCATTTTGCTGCTTTGGAGCCGGCCCTATAACCGCAAATCGGGCAACTGGATCAACATCGTCATCCAAGTCGTCCGAGTAGCGTCAGTCGTCTGCATCTTGGTCTTTGTGGAAGAGCTCGGGATTGCCCAGACGACGAAGACCATCACTGGAGTGGTATTGATCGCAGTCCAATCTGGATTGACTGTGATTCTTGCCCTTTTGATCTTCATCAACAGCATAATCACCTGCTGCAAGGAGAACCCTCACCGTAAACAACGCAAGGCTGCCGAGAAGCATATCCCTCAAGACATCGAAGGCGACGCGTTCATGATGGTACCCACCCCGTATACCTCATCACCGTCTCGTGGTACAGGCAAGGTCTCCGATCCAAAGCAAGGCTACGAGCCGATGCGGGCCAATGCATATTCTCGCTTTGGACCTTTACGCGATGACAGCCAAGAGACCCTCGTCAAGGGAGCAGCTGGGATGGGATACTCCGGCTATCGAAGCTTGAGCCGCGGACAGGACGATGCCGATGGCAGTCCGCCTCCCCCGTTCTCCCGGGAGCCAAGATTGCCAGATCTTTCTTTTGAACCGTTCCGACACAGATAACATGTGTGGGTTCTGGTCAAGTCAATCAAAAATTTCTTTGTGTGCGTGCGTCCGTTTTAAAATCAGCAAGCGTTTGCGTCCTTGTGATTTGTTTGGGTGGTTGGATGTTTGATATACAAATACATATACATATACATATTGTGTATGTATGTATACCAAAACAGTGGCGGCTTTATGCCGAGATTATGATTTTTGAAAGGATATTCTTCCTTTGGATCTGATTGTCAAATCATAGCGTGGCTCTTCGTTGAAAAGAGAAAATCCGGGGTCGATACCACATATGGGATGGATTGGACCTCGTTACGACCGGGAATGGACATATATCATATCATTAATACCAGTTAAACCTGCGGTCAAAACACTTGCTTGTTGTCTACATGATTCATTTTCATAGTCGTAGCTTTCAACTTGCAATTCGTAGTGTGATCTTCGCGCAACCAATCTCCCAAGGAGCACTCGCACACGGTCTCAGCCGCACAATCATTGATGGCCGAGTGCTTGATTCAAAGGAAGGGGTAGTCGGTCAGAACACGTTGAAGAAAGGTGATGGACAAAACCGAGAGGTCCCGGCACACGGAGCCTAAGCCTACCCGTCGCTGCCCAAGTAATGCGACGATGCTGGCATGGACACGGGCGTGGGCGAGGCCGTGGAAGGGCAAGCGAGAGCGACGGAGGCGGCTGAACGGGTCCTCGACAGGCTGGGCTTGATGGATGTCTACCTAGTAATAAATGTGGAGAGATCAGATGATGAAGACGGGCTTATTCGCGGCGACGACTTCGGTCCAGCGTCTCTCGCCCTGACATCTCCACAGCATCTGCAAAGTCGTCAGGGCCGCCGGGATGTTATGGAACCTGGTCTGCGAGTGGATCTGGGTCAGTCGCTGCGTGAAGAAGCTCCGGTGCTCGTGGGTGGAACTCTCGGCCGCGGCGACAAAGTATGCCCAGACGAGGGCGTGGTGGCCCGGCTGATGCACGGGGATCTGCAAACACAGCAGGCGGAGGCGTTCAAGGGCACCGACCGTGGCCGCGTGTGGCGGGCCGACGGTCGCGCGGGTCAAGTATATCTCGCACGCGCGGCGGATGATGGCGATCAGCGCGTTGATCCGCGGCACAAGCGCCGGGAAGAAGATGGCCGCGTTGGAGATGAAGCCGAGGTAGTTGTCCACGGCGGACAGGGTCGAGGTGCCCATGCCCTCTCCGAGGAGCGGTTGCGCGAACAGCGTCATCATCAGCGTCTGCTCCTTGAGGAAGGAGTGGATGGCCGACGACCCCTGGCCCCCGTGGCCGGCGGCAGAGGCGCCGTTCGCGTCCGTGAGATGCTGCAGAAGCCGGAAGAGGTACGGCAGGTTGGTCCCGCCCGTGACGGTCTCGCCCGTCAGAAGAACGACGATCGTCGCCCACGCCGACACGTCCGAGAGGCTGAAGGTGTCGGTCCGCTCGCGGAGCCGTCGGATGATCTCTTGCAGCCTGGCGTCGGCGGGCGCCTCGGACCCGCCGCGTTGGCGAGCAAGATGGTACATGGACACGACGGAGACCGCTTGCTTGACCAGGTCGTCTTCGACGGCCATGGGGAGGATCAGGTCCCGATACCCGTTGAATTTTCCGTCAAACACGACCATCACTGGAGCAATGGCCTCGGAAAAGTGAGCAAACAGTTCCCGCGGACCAGCGTCCATACCGATCAGCCCCTGCGATGGACTGCAGGTACGGCTCGTGGTGTAATTGCTCAATTGCAATGCATGGTCTGAATCTGGCAATATCTCGTTTGGAGTCGCCGCATACTCCTGGATCTCCTCGATGAAGCCCGACTCGATAGACGTGCCGAAATTGATATCCGTATACTGCTCCAGAGTGTTGGCATAGACCGCCACTGTGTCGCTAGCGTTGTGCCAGTAGTCATCGGGCCCGGGATGAAAGGATTCCGCCGCTGGCACAGTCTCCTCTTGTTCTCTCGTGGTGTTGCCTGTAAGTGATACATCTGACCAGACAATACCTGACGCTTGAATAGACACCGAACCGTGAGGTGTGCGCTTCGGTCCTTTCCGACCTGGTAGAGCCTGACCTTTGTTCTTGCCACGGTACGTCACACCGGAGACGAATCTGACCTCGATACCATAGCCGGCGCATTCCAGTCCTTGAGCGCGGCACTTGTTGCAGTGTGGTCGGGTCTCATCGCACTTGACGCGACGACGGGAGCAATTGTGACATCCTGGGAGATAGACGGTCAGAACGAAACTCACTGCAACCGATTGTCCGACAGGCGCGTACCAGACTTTAATTTTGGCATGTTGCGCTCAGCATGACTGCGTCTCGTCCTTGAGCATTTTGACTAGACTTCAGTTCTTGTACTGCGCAATGGTCACATCGTCCGGATGTCTTCAGGCGTTGAATATGATTATCCACAGAATGAGCCCGAAGACAAGTCGAAGTCGAAACGTTCTGATAAGGCGAGAATCTGCAAAGTCCCGCTCTTTGCTTGGCACGAGACGGCGCCACGTTCCCGCCTCGCGGAGACGATTCGATCTCTACTGTATTCTTCAAAGGTTCCTGGTCCGACATCGTGGACTACATGTCTCCAAGTAATCTACTAGATGTGAATCGAACAAATCATGCCATCTCGACCTTGTTCGCTGCAGAATGGTGCTCCGCTTCGCCGGCTCAAACAGCTTTTCCAGGTTCACAGAAACTGCTCTTCCGGAAATCCGTCCTCTCTCTGTCGTCGATCCGCATTGCCATCGTCGACGGAATTCTCCACCTGAGGTTTGGTACCTTCTCAACTGGCTTCGATGTGCACTGTGGCTCGAACCGCGTGGTCTCTGGGCATCGCGTTTTTGGGAGTGGCTGTAGGAATCTTCCGCGTTTTATGCAGCGACGTCTGGGACGACAACTACCTATGTACCGACGTATCCGACTATGCCGCACTTCTCCTGCCGGCGTTGCACCTCCAGAACTCCCTGGCCTTTTTACATTCCATCATGATCTCGTGCTGCTATTCCATCATTAAGCAGCTGGCCCACATTTTGTTGCTTTGCACGCTCAGGGGTGCTCAGCCGTGTGCTGATTCTTTTACACAGTTCCCCGCTGAGTCGTCATACCACTCCCGGAATTCCAGTGAAGCTCACAAGTGAGTTGCACGAGGCCCAACCTGCAGTTCGCCTCGAACTGTCAAAGCGGCTTCGGTGCCAGACTGGATGGCTCCGTCTATGAAACTCCTCCAGCCGCCAGCAGCCCAGTCTGAATTTGCAAACAGCACCGCATTTTGTCTTCTCCGGAGAGCGTCAAGATACTTTACTTCCATACCTGGCCGATACCACACCCTGTAAGTCGTCAGCACAAATTGCATCTTGTACTCTCGTGAGCAAAAAACCTACCATGCGCCCTCGGCAAATTCGTCCTTCGACCAATTGTGGAAGACCTGGAAAAATGATGTTAGTGAGTGCTTTCTCGTTTTGCGGTCACGAATCCTTGATGCTTACCAGCCGGTTCACATCCATCGGGGCGAACTCCTTGACGGCTTTCAGAGTCTCGTCGATGTCGTCGTCGGCGTGGATATGGTTGTCGTCGCACCCAAAGAAGACACAATGAGTATATCCAGCAGGGGTTTTGCCGTCCGCGAGGCCAATCACGAGTTTGTTGTTCGGGTAGGTCACTCCGCTCCATGACCGCATCTCTGGATCCTTGATCTCTGCGTGGACTTTCACGCATTGGTTCACGTGCTTCAGCTCAGAAGCCTCCCTCTTCTCCGCCAGCAGTGGAGGGTTGAAGGCGATCTTGCGAAGCACGTTCAATGGAGCGGTGCAGATGACACGCTTGGCTCGGAATTGGCGACCATCACGAGTCGTGACGCGGACGAGAGCGTCTGTTGTCGAATCGACCTTCGCCACGGCCGTCTTGAACGAGTACGAAAGATTGCGTGTTGCAAGTGCCTCTTTGAAGAACCGGAGCGCAAACTCCGACTGGCCGCACTTTAGTTTGAAGACAATGATGGTGTCCAACAGCGTCCGATAGTCGTAGTTTCCTGCCGCCCACCACCGAAGGAAATCCAGAAACGCCGAGTTTTGGGCCGTCCCGCCGCTGCACAAGAGAACGAACGACTCAATCGCGTGGCGCTCGTCTTCCGACAGGTCGTGTCTGATCTGGGCGATACGATCAGCGACCGACAGGTCGGCGTATTTCAGCACGTCCTTGTTCCAGTACGCGTTGAACGGGAACGGCATGACCGTTTTGCCAAAGTCGCCGTCGACGTTGACGAATTTTTGCATGGCTCGAGAGAACAGTTCGTCCTGTACCGAGTTAGTATAGCTGCGCCCGCACAGGACCACTTCGTGGGGGGTTTGGTTTGGCAAACGAACCTCTTCTTCATGGCTCATGGTTCGGCGACCAGAGCTCGTCGCGAAACTGAAATAGTTGTGGCGTTTGGAGTAATCGGTGGAATGGACCAGTTCATTGATCATGCCGTATCTGGACAGTTCTCGATACACGTGCGGCTGGAACCAGTGCACCCATGTGCCGCCCATCTCGTAAGGATACCCGTCGATATTGGATGACCACGTGCGTCCGCCGATACGGTCTCGGCCCTCGAGGAGTAAAGTTTTGAGCCCTATGGACATTTGTTCAGCACTTGTTTGCCCTTTTTCCATTTTCATTTTGAAAAATAGACCCATTTTCCACTACGTACCTGAGGTGGTCAAGTCTCTTGTAGCAGTCAGCCCGGTGTAGCCAGCCCCGATGACTATCACATCAAACATCGCGTCTGAGCTTGTGACGCTCTGTGGTGGTTGGATCACTCCTTTTGAAGGAATGCCGGCAACCAGTCCACCGTCAGGGGCCCAGTGCCAGCCCTCGGACGACGTTGCAATGTCTGTCATTTTGTATCCTGTGTGAGTGGCTGATGGTGAGAAGAAAAGAAGCAAGGGACGAAAGAACGCGATCTCAGGAAATGGAAATTCAGGTTTCTTATATACTTCTCGCGAAGCTGGGGGAAAGAAATATCTCTCTCATGATCGATGTACACTGTGGTGCAGCACCGCCGCGGCACGTACGAGTGAGGAAAGGAAACAGTGGCATCCCACACCCTGGCACCTTGGGCGTGTCTTACTGGGCGTCCTCATGGATGCTGAAAGGGACATGTCAATGGACTTCCCTTTTCGACTGCCTCGCATGCCATCCAAAAACTTAGTTCGCCGGGGCCGCTCACTTAACTTTCCTTTTTGGGGAACAAGACTCCACCTGGCCGTCGCTCCACCAAAAGCTTCATTCTGCCCCGAGATCAATTTGTTGCCCCTTCTGGATACGGACAGCCTGCCTTAGAACTCTAGGTTAAAATGCAGCATCAGTACCGCTCAAACCCTTTGGAGATGATGGCCAGACATATTCCTCATGCCACCAGCAGTCGGGCGAGACAGTTGCTGGATTGCCTCCTTTTACAACACATCAACATGCTAGAACTATGCTCACTCCCACCCCCGCGATCATCAAGGCCAGACTATACCGGTCCCTCATCGCACCACCTCCGTTGTCCTCCTTATTTTGTCCCTGGCCCTCCTTGAACCCATTCGCCTGTCCACCGAGATACTGTGCCCCGAGACTCGTAAGCTTCCCGTGGTCATCGAGCATGCTCACCCCGTCACCGGTCCATTCGTTCGCGTCGTCGGATCGAAACGATCCAAACCACGAATATCGCTCCAAGTAGTCCAGCCCGTCAAGATATGGTAGAGACTCGTTCATCATCGCCAATGCCTCCGTGTCAGACGTGTCCGGGATGGCAAACTCGGTCAGCCAGATCTTCGCCTCCGGATAGAGGGTGTGCAAATTGCCCAACCAAGACGTGAGACCAGAAAACGGCCCGTAGAAGTGTGTGGCGATAAAGTCAAAGGGACACCCGTGCGTCGAGTTCAGACTGTGGCATGTCTTGTTGAAATTGGAGAGCCATGTGAGTCCAGAGGCGGAACCGGATGTTGATGGCCTGCAATTAACCACATATCAGTCACGTCAGAATAGAATATCGTTGCCTTGAATGTATTATGAAAATGTCATTTCTGACACGAGCCTGTGAAAGAGGATGATCTTTTGAGGCGCTGGAGAGGGGGAGATATAGTCAAGATACGTACAAGCTGACTTTCAGATTATACGGCTCCTCCCTCAACGGCGCTAGGAAGTCAAGGTACGCCTTCGCAGCGTCGCGTGGGGACGTGTTCGTTCCTCCATCCGAAGATGAAATGTCCGGCTCGTTGAACGAGAGGACGTGACTTGCGTTCGAGTGGGTTTTGACTGTCCCAACATCTTGCTGGGCGTTGGAGGCACCGTGAACCATGGGCACGAATTCGAGTTCCCCAGAGAGAGTGTCGGTGGGCCATGGCGAGTAGTTGTAGTACCAGCTCAGCGGGGACCCGGACTGGATGAAGATCGAGTCGTCATCCGAGGAGTGGGAAGTGGAGATATAGATCAACCCTCGCTTGGATGTGGAGTTTACAGAGGCACCTAGAGTGAGGTGCACAGAGAGGAAGAGGAACCAGAAAGATGGTGTTGATGATCGCATTGCACGTGTGGATACGGGCAGGAATGCTGATGCCGTGTGAAAGGTTCTGTAGGCCGTGGTGATACTACTGGCGGAAACTGGGGGGCTATGAACCTCGTAGATGGCTGCTGTCCGAGTCCTTGGGTGTCTGAGCAGTGTAACCGGAGTTATATCAGTATTCAGACTGGTAGCGATTTCGGACCCGAGTATGTACAAGCCGAGTCAGGCAGCGTGTAGATAATAACACTATGTTCGCGCTTGGGGGTATATAGCAAGCTCGCTCAAAGGGTATCGTCGAAAACAGTCAAAGATATAAACAGTCGTGTCAATCGTGCAAGTCGTGACAGGTTGTAGATGGGAGAGCGGATTCTTGCAGAGGTCAATTTGACATTATTAGTAACTTTAGGAGTTGTGCAGCATGGACAAGTCCCTGCGGCGAAAGGGGCATCTTGAGATCTTTATAAGATAAGATCATAGCATACACTAGCCAGGTACTTTGTCCTCGTACCTTGGTACTGATATGCAAGTTCCCGGATTGTTGCAAGCCTAAGGAAATGCGCCAACACCCGATCTGCGACGATCTTGGTATATGAGGTCATCGGAAGCGACAACGCACTCAGGGGTCGGAGGGGAATAACATTCTTCCGGATATTGATCAACATCACAGCCACCAACTCACCAGACCTGTGCTTGTTGTTGCTGCAACCAGAACCAGAGCAACGATGGAGATCCAGGAACAGGACGACATCATCCTACCTTTCCCATCTGTATCTATGCCGTCGACATACTAGCTTTGATGCTGCGTAAGTTGGCAAAGCTTCCCTAAAGTCGCTCCAGAAGATATCTACCCACTTCTGAGTGCGAGAAAAGGATCCAAACGGTCCTTCGCCGCAATCAAACCAGATCTTTGATCGCCCTTGGAAGAAGAGGGCTGTCTTACTCGTCGATAGATGGGGGGATGTCAAGACACCAGAGGATTTTGTTTACGTTCATGTACTGTGTGTACCCAAGCAACGAGTTGGATGATCCTTGGGTAGATGTTCCATAACGTGTCAACATCGTTTGAGAGAGGTATATCTATCAGTGCACAGAAATATTGCAAGTCAGCCCACTGGAGTAAGCATACACGTATATAGCTTGGAATATAATAGATCCGTGTTACTCACACTAAGCAGGCTGACGTATGGATGTCCCAGGTGCCAAAGATGCAGCATGCTACCACCAACTGGACCTAGAGGCACACACGATTCTGTCGGGGGGATAGCTCTTGCGATAATGGCCCTGACAATGCAATCACGAGCTTTGCTGGTTTCATTCTTTGGTTCGAGATGTATTATCTATCGCTGAACACCAGGCATCGCAACCCCGCCGTCGGAACCAAAGATAGGCTCATTACACAATCCAACACCCGCCCTATGGCTGATGTGATCTTTCTCTCCCTCTGTCTCTGTGGACTTCGTTCGTCTCTCCAAGTTCCGTCTAATACCAATCTAGAAGCAGAAGACTTGATCCTCAAGCTTGCTCACAGGTCGAGCCTTCTGGTAACCAAGACCTTCTGTAGCCTTCTTCATTGCACTGACCATAGGAGGTGGGCCGCAGATCAAGATCTTGATGTCTGACGCCGGGGCAGGTAGTTTCTCCTTGATCATGTCGGGAGTCACGAAGCCGACACCACCAGTCCAACCTTCAGGGGGGTTGTTCAAGACATAGTAGACGTTGAAGTCTGGGTCTTCCTTGTCAAGCGCATCCAGTTGATCCTTGAGAAGGATATCGTCTGGGTTGACATTGGCGAAAATCAAGTCCACCTTGGTGGTATCATTGCCTCCGTTCCTCGGTCGTCCACGGTTGATTGCTCGAATGATCTGAAGCATAGGAGTAATGCCGGTACCGCCCGCAATCATTCCAATGCGTCTGCAAAGATTCGGCTGGTACACCATAGCTCCCTTGGGTCCACGAACCTTCATGGTGTCTCCAATCTTGAGCGTAGTCATGTGCGCGCTGATGTTGCCTTGAGGATATGCCTTGATCAATAGCTCGAACCAGCCCTTGTCCTCATCTGAAGAAATGGGAGTGTACGACCGCACCACCTCTTTCTCCGCGCCCTTGGGTGTAGCCGCAAGAGACATGTGCTGTCCGATGGGCAAGCCGAGAATGTCGGTGGGCTTGGGCAGAGCGAAGCGGTAGATAGCGACATTATGAGAAGTCTTCTTGATGTCCACGAGAGGGAACTCCTGGAAAGTGTCTGGCTTGAGGATCTTTCGCGCCGAGGGTGCTGTAGACGATGTGAGCGGATACGTGTCAGGCCACTCGAAGGATACAGCTACTTACCTCCACCTGCGAGGAATTTGTAGCCCACGAACACCGCAGCGAGTGCTGCAGCAATTGCTGCAGCGACTGGAACCCACGACATGTCGAGAATTTGTCTGTCTCAGCAGTTTGAAGAGCAGAGGGAGGACAGCAGGGCAGTCGCTGAGGGCGCTACAGAAGTAGGAGGAAGGATATCTGCGGCGGTCGGGGTGAAGTCTTTTGGTTGAGAAACGGCGCTGAGTTCTACACCCAATCCCCTTCTTCAATGACCTGGGAGCAACCTAGTAAGCGCCCCTCAGTCAACACCACCAAGTCTGCGAGGCCAAGCTGTGGGAGATAGAGACCATGGAGCACACAAAATAATGATACTGTACGAGTATCGGAAGTTGGGGATTGCGGGCTGCGAAGCACGAACATCTCTCGGAGTCTGGAAAAAGGTTCTGCCCTCCGAAACTTTGAACGTGGGGCTGGTGCTGGGGAGTTTGCTCTCACTCCTCTGGGCCTCTGCCCACGCCCGATGCGTGATGCTCCTCGCCCACCCCCTCCAGTGCCTCCCCGGTCACGACCGAGACGTTGGCCAGATTCTTCTCTTTGTTCCCATTTGCCTCGCGGGATTTCGTGTTCACTTCGGTCAATTGGTGCCGGCCCATTCCGTTGATCGGAAAGCGAATGAATACACACATGAAAAGTCTCGGATGGCTCCTGGGCCATAAAGCCGATTGTGTAGCCTTCCCCGTTTTGGTCAATCATTCCGGCGAGCATTACCTGTTCCTGACGAGCACCGGCCTCGAGGCTGCGAGCATGGCTCCAGATGAGCCTTCGGTGGCTGCACCATTCCCGCTGACAGCTCTTGACCGTGAGATTCTCTCCATGAGCGATGACGACTTTCACCCACACACTTGGGAAGAACTAAAGCAGATTATTGGTACGATTGGGGCAATATCTTCATACTCTACAAGGACGCCATCACGCCTAACGGGACTTAGCTGAAAACAATCTAAGCGTCTTGAAAAGACGGCCTTCAGATTTGAGGCGGTATATCAAGTGGTCTGCTGAGACCAAGGCAGCCTATGGCACAATACCAAACTTCATCATGAGAGAAAGGCTTAAATGGACGCCATTGCCTTCAACGACCGCGCAGTCTGGGCCACTCTTTGCCATTGAGAGTCCAGTTCCTTTTGCTCATGAAGCAGATTACAAGATCCTGGTCAACGACTGGCCGTATGGTCTGGAGAAGGGCGTTCGACACATGATTGTCTGGCTCAAGGTCAGGCTAGAGTCTGAGCCTACTCGTGGCGACATGACCCCGAAGTCGAGGCAACAAGTGGAAGACTTCATACAGACGATGTTTGTTGATCGAGTGAGAGATCTACCAGGACCAGTGGAGAAGGTCATGTGGTTCAAGAACTGGACAGCCTTGCAATCTGTGCCGGGTATGGAGCATGTACACGTGCTTGTTCGAGACATTCCGGACGACATCATCGAGGAATGGACGGGTGGCGTAGAACCACTAAACGTATAGACCTAGCAACCCTCAGCAAATAAATCTATGGGTAGATTAGACATTCTGAGCCTCAGCATGGATTGCGTCTCGTGATTGGCACTTAAGTCCCTGGAGCGAGGCAACCCAGTGCATATCATGATGCCTGGGTTCGAATGCTGTTCCAAATGGTGTCAATGATTTGAAACACCGCCGTGACAGCTTTGAGCGTGCTCTCATCAATGGTCATAAATCCGTACCGCTGCTGAATCTTGTCAGGATGCCACCGGACGCGCTCAGCCTTGATGACATTCGCGAAAAGATCTCCGGTAGACTCGTCTGGATCGAGGCTGGTCGTCCCTTTCCTGATGAAACGCTCCACCTCGTCTCCGTTCACGTCTTCGCGTTTGCCCGACTCAACCGGCCAAGCAATCTTGTTGCGAAGGAACACCTGCTCAGCATCATCCTCTGTCTTCGGACGATTCTGTGCTAACGAGTACATCTCGTCCCATTTCTTCAGATAATCTTGCCACAAAGCTTTCCATCGCTTGTGGTCCTTTCTTTTCTGCCCCCGCCGGAGGCTCGCTTCGATTTGTGTGTCGAAAGAGAAGTCGTCATAGTGCGCCTCTCGTTGCGTCCGCTGCTTAGCATCCTCTTCACGTAACTTCTGCTTCTCTTTCTCTCGCTGTCGTCTGTTCTCCTGTTTAGCCGCTTCAATCCCTTCCCAGCTCTTCTCCCACATCTTCCGCCTGACAAACTGCGCATATTCCTCATCGGTCATGCGCTCCAGCTCGCCTGTTTCTTCATCTTCGTAAGTATTAGGATAAGTGTGGACAGGCTGTCCGTAGACTCCTTCCCAAAAGGCTGCGCCTTCGTCGTCTCCAAGAGCATCAAAAAGAGACTCGCGAAATGCTTGGTCTGGAGGCAAAGCGGATGAGGACTGATGCCGGGGAGGTGTATTTGACCTGTGCCTAGAAGACCGATAGCGTTTTCTGCTTCTGTTTGACGAATCGTGTGGCCTCCTGCGCTTGTGGCTTCTCATATCACCATCGCCACCCGAACCTTCGTCTCTGGCTGATTTAAATCGAAATCGCTTGGATCGAAGTGAAGCATGGGCATTGTTCAGGGGGTCAGGCTCTGCGGAAGCCTTTGACTCCTCAGACATGGTAATTTGAAGAGTCCATTCATCCGAGAAGTGAGAAAAACTCAACAAGAATGCCGCGTTCTCAGGTTTAGAAGTCGTCGCCTGGGTGCGGTTCAAGAAGCATCGAGGAATGACACCAGTGAGGAAAAGGCAAACTGGAAAATTGTTGTTCCGGGTCCGAGTGCCAAGATATCAACTTTTCAATTGGCTCAAGGGCATCTCGCCTTGAAGAAGATGTGACTCTACAAAAAGAATGCCATTGTGTCTACCTCGTTCTCTCCTCTTTCATTCCCTTAAGACCTCTGAATCTCTTCTATTACTCCAGATAACTGCTATATCTCGTTTCCGAACTTGCCGTAAAGCAGTCAATTTAAGATCTTGTGGGTCACATCGCAGAACGGCTTGGAACATCGCTCCAAACTTCAGCACTCACCGTGCGCAAGGCTTTTCTTTAACTGCTTCGCCACGGTCCATCATGGCGTCGGGGATAAGTGAGAAGATCACTTCACTCTCCATAGAAGAGATGGCCAAGGCCAAGAACCCCGTCGATTTCTACCGACAGCATATCGCCGAGAGGCTAGCTCCAATTGTCAATCGCAAAGACAGTGAACTTGTTCCCTTTTTGCAATGGACCGCGACGCAAGACAAGGGTGACTTAATGATGCCGGTTGCCGCCCTCCGTGTCAAGGGCAAACCACCTCAGGACCTGGCCAAGGAAATAGCTGAAGCGTTCCCAACGTCAGAAGACACGCTTGCCACCGCAACACAAGCTGGCCCTTTTGTTCAATTCTTCTTCAAACCCGAGCATCTGATCAAGACTGTTATCCCCGAAATCCTGAAGACAACAAAGGCGTACGGTACTAATCCCGCTCCTGGTCTAAAAGATCCATCAGATCCCTCAAAAGGCCAGAAGCGAGTTATCATCGAATTCTCTTCTCCGAACATCGCCAAGGAGTTCCATGCCGGTCATCTTCGAAGTACGATCATTGGAGGCTTCCTTGCCAAACTGTACAAGATTATGGGTTGGGAAGTGATCAGGATGAATTACCTTGGAGATTGGGGAAAGCAGTATGGTCTCTTGGCGAACGGCTTCAAGCAGTTTGGAAGCCAGGAAGAATTAGACAAAAACTCCATTCAGCATCTCTTCCAAGTCTACGTCAAAATCAGCAAGATCAAGAGCGAGCAGGATGAACCGATAAATGCCCTCAAGAAGGAGATTAGGGAAAAGAAGCTGAAAGGCGAAGATGTGACGGATCTGGAGGAGAAACTTGCACCATTGGTCGAAGCGAGTGAGGACGAAAAGGCTCGAAAATACTTCAAGAGTATGGAAGACGGAGATCCCGAAGCCCTTGCGCTATGGCAGAAATTCCGTGATATGAGCATTGAAAAATATCAGAGGACGTATGCACGACTAAACATCGAGTTCGACGAATATTCTGGCGAATCGCAAGTCAAGGCTGAGAACATCAAAAAGGTGCTTGATAAGCTGCTGGCAAAGAAGATCGCTGAGGAATCTGAAGGTGCACTCCTGATCGACTTTGCCAAGCATGGAGCAAAGAAGCTGAACAAGGCAATCATTGTCCGACGAGACGGCACTCCTTTGTATCTGACCCGAGATTTGGCAGCTATCCTAGAGCGTCACGACAAGTATCACTTCGACAAGATGATATACGTGATAGCCGACCAGCAAAATGAACACGTGGCTCAGCTTTTCAAGACTACGGAGGTTAGCGGTCATAAAGACGTCGCTGACAAGTGTGAGCACATATCTTTTGGAATGGTCAAGGGTATGAGCACTCGACGAGGCACGGTGAAATTCCTGGATGATATCATCCAGACAGTTAAAGAGACCATGCTTGAAGTGATGCAAAAGAATGAGAAGAAGTATGAACAATTGGACGACCCTGATGCCGTGGCCGATATTCTCGCGATAACGGCTATCATGGTGCAAGACTTGACAGGCAAGGTTCGCAATGGCTACGAGTTCAATATCAATCAGATGACTGCATTCGAAGGAGACACTGGGCCATACCTGCAGTATGCCCATGCACGACTATGCTCGATCGAGCGCAAAGCCAATGTGGACATAGGTGGCTTGACTTCCGCAGACCTATCGCTGCTCAAGGAAGTACATGCCATCAATCTTACTCGGTCTCTAGCACAGTATCCCGACGTGGTACTCAACACGCTCAAGACTCGTGAGCCCGCAACTCTTCTGACCTATCTCTTCAAGATGGCCCATGCGCTCAGTTCAAGCTATGACCACTTGCAGGTTGTTGGAAGCGAGCCTGAGTTGCAAAAAGCTCGATTGGCGCTGTACGAGGCTGCCCGGCAGGTTTTGTGGAATGGCATGACCTTGCTGGGTCTGACACCCGTACAGCGGATGTAATGCGTCGGCTGTCAACCTTGCATACGAAACAAGAATCGTGTTGGACGTGCTCGACTGGGCCGATTGCACGGAATCACTCGGGTTTTTCTTGGGGGCAGAGAGGGTGGCTTGCGCTTACGATATTCTTCGACCGGGGTTCCAGGGTCTTGAGAGACGACAAGGCGACCAGGGTTCAGTGCTTGTGATACGTCCTCTGAAGGATCAGGCTTGTCGGAGCTACGGGGGCTGCTACAGTAGACTACAGGGCTCCCATCCGAGGGTACATGTTGCTGGCCAGGTCGAACGGAGACCCGATATTTTGTTTTTTCGGCAGCCCGTGTGTTCATGCAACTGCCCAGGCTAAGAGGTGCTAGTCAGGGCAGGCCTGCTCTCAACCTCACGGCGCGTTGGGCAGCGACGGCTTCGAGAGGATCTGTCAACAAGATCTGGCTGGAGGTGTTTGTGCGCTCTCTACCCTGGATCGTATCTTTGGGTTTGAGGAAGATTTTGAAGAGTTTCAGGCTGATATGGTCGTCATTCCAAAGAAGGCTTTTGACTGGACTAGGTCTTGTTGACTGATATGCTCGAAGTCATTCATCCCACCGGCCAGCGACACGGCATCAAGTGTCCCTTGTGTAACATAGACCTAACATAGAACTGAAGCGGGCCATCGAGGGGCAATTGTCATCGGCATTGTCATCTGCAGGCTGGCTCCCCGCGTTCATACTCAGCCAACAGCTTGCTGGCAAACCATACTGTTGTATCACACTATCAACCCTGCCAGGATACACTCCACGTTTCGTGCCACCTGGAGGCGCTCAACTGCCACAGAGGCACCAATACTGTGCGAAACTCTGATTAACTTTGACCCCAGATCGTTGTCGACGAGCCATAGGCGGCCGACGGCTAGAGAGGGAGTGCTGACGCCGCGACATTGTAGAGGTTGTAGAGGCGAGAAGCACAAGCCAGACGGATGCGAAGGCGTGTTGACGAGCTCGTGGCCACCGAGAGTGGCAATAGTTATTCGCAGAGACGAGCTTTGCGCTGTCTGCAGGTGTCTACAAGTGCCTACAAATTCTCGCTCGTCGGGCTTCAATTGGCTTATATCAACCATTCACAAGACAGCGAGCAACACCAACCCGCACATCACGCAACTAATACAACACCGGTTGGCTTTGGCACATCCTGCTCGCACGCAGTGATCAGCATTCACCAATGCCACTGGACACGATTACCCCTGCCTGCTGCACTGTGCTGCTGCCTCCGGCTTCTCCTCGTCATGTCGCGGCCAAACAGGCAGAGTCGCTCCCAATTTTCCCTCGCTCCTCGTCTCGTCTCTTCTCATTGCTCCCTCCGCGCTGCCTGCCTGGAAGCCAAGTGTAGTGGGGTCGAAGGGGATGACTTGTTGCGGACGCTCAAAAAGATACCCGTCTACAGGTGTATTGGGTAGGTTTTGCCCTTCTTTGCTCTTCTTCCTCTGTTCACTCCCTCCTCCATTGTCTCGACTGACATTTCGAGCGAGAGTTTCTGTTCTTCAACTACCTGTTGTTTTTCGTGACGCACATCTCTGCGGCCTTCCTTCGTTTCGGCACACGTACTCTCGACGAGCAAATCAAGACTGCACACGACTACGACGTCAGTCAGAACGTTCTTGCGATTGTGTCGGAGCTCCCTTCGCGCATACTCCGCACTCATACAACTAGACACGCTGGGCGTACAACGCTGCGCATCAGCGGCACCGTGCAGTACTCCTACAGACACATTGGCACAGCACCCTAGAGGTGGAACATAACTGCCGCGATACCAAGCTGAGGCCATTCAGTCCACCCAGCAAACCCTCCGAGGTCTGGGTGACCAAGTTGGCTGAGTGAAGCGAAATGGCATCCCTTCAGGGCACGTCGGATTGAAACAGTCAAAATCAAACGACGCGAAACAAGCCATATTTGATCACCACTTCAATCCTATTCCTGTGGTGCGAACGAGCCTTGAAAGGGCATCGATTGCGAAAAAGCGTCTGAGAAAAAAACGAAAGAAAAAGCAACCGAGCAACTGAACAATTGAGTAGAATCCACCCCACGAAGCTGGCCGGAACGAGCCTCCAGCCACGTCCCGCACCTAAAAGCGATTCTCCTTGTGGCCAAAGAAGAAATACGAGGTACGGGCTCTTCTCGCTTATCTGGTGACCAGCGACCACGGCTTGAAACGCCGCGGTTTAGTCACTCCACCCAGGACAATCATCGTCAGGATTCAGGACAACGTTCCTGAATAGTCTCAGATATCTCTACAAATAACTCGGGCCACTCACACATTGCGATTTTCACCACCGCGTCCATGCCAGATACTGAACGGCGTCGCCCTCGAGTAGCCACATGTGAGGATTGGGACGAAGAAGCTCAGGCGATCCTCCCCGGCTCTCGAACCTCTGCCAATGTTGCCATCAAGAGATCCCAGCAAGAGTTGACCGCTCAGCTGCAGGAGCAGAAACCGTCTCACGATGGATTTGATTCCGGATACGTTAGTCGAGCCGGCACCTTAGTCAGTGATTCTTCCACTCGTTCACGGCGAAAGATGCCAGAACTGAAGCTCGACACAGCTGCCGTCCCAGAAAGGACGCGACAGCCTTATCACATACCTCTCTCCGCCCCTGCGAAACCAGGACTGCGCCGCCAGTCTGTCTCTCAGAGCAAGGAGCCACCGGCCGATCACCATCGCCCGGTCAGAGCTAAGCCTTTCGTGCATCAGCCTGGTGCCTGTTGGGTGTGTGATCAATATGGCAAGCATATCGATATCAAGCAAGAGATGTCTCGGGCGTCAACCGTGGCTCCTCCACAACCTTCTTCGAAGACATCCAGGCAGGTCGCACCCCGAAGCGCAAAGGATGATGACGCTCTTCCGGATAGAACGAGGCGTGTCTCTACATCCAGACAACCACGGCCCCTGAGCATGATGCCCCAAGCCTTTCCTCAACAGTATATGAGCTATGGCCCACCCGTCGTCGCTACATCTGGCTGGGGTACACCAGTCACACCATCGGTCCCGTATAATTCCGTCCCCTATTCATACCCTCCGCCATCGCCTATGCCCGGCACGTCGTTTGCCTCGTTCCCGCAAATGCTGCCGTTTATGGACTCTGCACCTCCTTCAGAACCACAATCAGCCAGGCCAAGCCGGCGGTCGAGTCCAGTTCGACGGCCATCTACATATGGAGATCCAGTAGTCAGGCATACCTATGCCGAAGCCGGCACAAATGGTCTGGAGAAGGTCCCCTCAAGGGAGAGCCGACCTGTGCTGTCTTCTCGGAGATCGGGCCGAGTTATGGATGACGATCGAATTAGCATGCCACCGCCACCACCTCCACAGCCAAAGACCCAACCTGCTGAGATCGTCCTTGTCCGCAGACCCAGCGCCAGGAGGTCCAAGACATACCACCCTACAGAAGCCCCTCTACGAGAGCGCTACTACGAATCCGACGATGAATACGACGCTCCAGACTCCCGAGCACCTCTTTCACCCATGAGGTCACGACGAGAGTCTCACTCACCGTCTCGGCCTCCCACTTCTTATCGGGGTCCTTCGAGTGTCGAGACGCGGGATCGGCCTGCTCTGCCCAGGAAGTCCGTGTCGTACTCTACAGGGACCACCACCACAAAGATTGCTTCTAGCAAGGTTGCCACCGCTCCTCGTCGTACTACCATGCCATCATCGGTCATTCCTCTTGAGCAGAAAGAACTCGAGGCGGAGCATTATCAGCATAGGAGAAGTAAGACTTCAAGCGAACTGACTGCGGAGGCACTAAGAGATCTGAACAAACGAAACTCTGGCTCCAAATCCGAGACTGGCAGCAGCTATAGCCATAAGAGCCATCAGTCTTCGTCAAAAGACTCCTCTGGTCGTGGCAGGAGCCACACAAGCGGCACGAGAACCAGCATCACCCTCCCCGGTGGCCTTAACATAGGCATTCCAAATGACTACATGGATAAGGATGGTCGGCCGCTCAGTATCAGCGTAGGCGGCCTTGTGCTGTCGGTGGGCACCGAGGGAAAGGAGGTGGCCAGGGTGAAGGAGCAAAAACGGATCGAAAGGGCGCCGAGTGTAGCTAGTCGCGCATCTCGAAAGAGCATGTCCAGCAACATGTCGAGTCGGGATCCCGTCCAATCCTCGAGGCGGCTTTCCCATGTCGAAGACGGCGTGACGAACTTGAGATCGAGCGGACAGGTCAGTCGGGCCCCAAGTGTCAATGGCCGCAACCAAGAGTATAGGCGTCAGAGTGTTGACTACGGCAAACCTGTCGAAACTGCTTTTTATGGAGCATGACTTTTGACATGGGCGAGCTCTGTATCCGCACCTCGATTCGTCCAACATTGCTGTGGTCCCACAATCTCATTATGGGTGGCTATCTGTTGTCTTTTTTTGCTTTCTGACTTGTCGTTTCCTTCAGTGCTGGCCCCATCTTTTTTGAGTCGGGTTAGCACATGCGATGACCCATGACACGATATTCTCCTATGTTACTGGTTTCTTAACCTTATGGTATTTTACTTCGATGGTTGTTTCTTTACAACGCAGCGACCGTTCAAGTTTTCGGGCTTTGAAACAATTTTGGTTGCGGAAGTAGTCGATTTTTGGACAAAAGCAGAACACCCACAAAAGCTCACAACCAAAATAAAATCAAGGAGAAGCCAAAAATGGGCCGGCGGAACTGCTTTTGAGACTTCTTGTTATTGGCAGCGCTTGTTTGGACCTCACCCTAACGTTTCATTTGCCGTTTTCCATTACGGAGGTTCTTATACCTCATGGATCATGATGTTGATTGACGAAGCGAGCGAGCAAGTGAGCAAGTGAGCAAGCAAGCAAGCAAGCAAGCAAGCGTTGGAAATGACTTATACAAGACATGTTATCATGTTACTGTGTCGTTTTTGGAATTCTTTTTCGAACCTCATCTTCTTCAAGAGGCTTTTTTGTCTGTTTTTGTGATTTTCGAATTTCGAAACATGCCTTTTATGGCAATGAGTGAATATGAGAGACACTGATGATACATGATACCTTTTATCTTGCGGATCGTGGTATTTTGAAAGAACCCTCCAGTTTGGCCGTGCTGGTTTCATGGCCGAGTTTGGGGCCATTCTCCAGGGATTCTACATCCTGGAGCATGAGACACGAGACACGAGATATGAGATATGGGATACGACGTATGGGGCGTCATCATTATGATTTGTTGTTATTATTGTCGGTAGTGGTGGTGGTGATGGTGGTGTTTCAAATGTGGTTCTGCGGAAAGCCGTACAGTGACGGTGGGGATGGGGTAGTGAAATGGAATGAAATGAGAAGTATCATGAGTGTCGTGGACCATATTAGGTATCTTATGGAAGAAAATTGAATGCCTTTCAGAGGTCGTTGGAAATGAAGCTGTGGGTTGGGTATGTAGAATTGATCCGTCCATCACCGCTGTCTTTGTCAATCGAGGAATAGGAACCGAACTATCCATCTACCTAGGTAGGTATGGGTAGGTAAGGTCCCTTTCATTAGGCCACATAGGGGGGACTGGGTATCGGCTTGAAGAATAGACGAGCCTAGACCAGGAAGGCCACCATCGACAGTCAAAGAAGAATCGAAGATTGAAAGTGATGAAGAGCGGGAGCAATTCAGACAGACTTTGCGCAGTCAAACCAGAAAGGGCACAAGATCCACAGAGAGCTCTTACGAGTAGACGGGAAATATGAATTCAAATCGTCGCTGGTGCTGTATCAGGTCAGCTACGTACCTGGCTAGGTAGGTCATTGGGAGCCGGATTGGTTGGTATATTGGCCATCTGTAATCTATAGTTCGTTGCTTTTGTCTATATACCCGAGGCATTACTTGATCTCATAATCAACTCGTCCTTGGTGACAAAGGGGGGGGGTATATCGTCATCATAATCAATACCAACATATGTAGCTGGAACTCCTGCCGTAACAAACCAACGGCAATCTACCTAGTACATACATCATATCTTGTCGTAACACGTCGTAAAAGGACCCGGGAACCTTCGTCAATCAAAAGTACAGGTAGGTAGGTACCTGAGAGACGGACAGGCAGACCGTCATCGAGTCTTGCGAGAATGGAGCATGGGGGTCAAAACACCACCTTCTCTTCTCCTTCCTCTTCCTGGTATCCTCGGATCACCGGAAATGGATGCCTTCGAGATTGAAGTGATATAACAACTTGAGAAAATCCCCTTCCTCACACATCCTGGCTCGCTTGTCGGCAAGTTGTGTCTTGTCTTCGAGGACTGATCGGATCTTCTCGCGTACCAACTCGGAGACTTTGCCTCTTCTTTTCCTACCGGGTCCCTTTGGCGCTTGTTGTGATTGTTGTTGCTGCTGTTTGAAAAACTCGGGAAGGTCGTCGTCGTCACCACCACCACCGTCTACATCCATGAACCCGTCCCATTCTTCATCGGCTCCGTCGTCGTCCTGGGCGGTAAGTGTAGTTGTACCCTCCACGTCCGTCATTGGCGTCGTGTCGTCCACAGGTCCGTCATCAAGTGGGATATCATTCTGTGCACACCATGTTCGGTAATTCGCCTCGAGGGCGTTCATTATGCTCGTTGTGCCCAGGAAGTTGGCTCGGAGGATCTTGTTCTTGCGCACAAAGCATATCCGCAACAGGCCGTCCCATTCTTCGTACGAGATGTTGGGCCGTGGGTTCTTGGGCACGAGGCGGACGACGCTGCTTTCGACGGCCGGAGGCGGTTTGAAGTTGTTCTTGCCCACTTTCATGATGTGGTCGATCTTGGCCCACATCTGGGCGTTGACGCTGAGGCGCGAGTACAGCTTGTCGCCGGGTTTGGCGAACAGGCGCAGCGCGAACTCGCGCTGGAACATGAGGATGCAAACCCGCGGGGACGGCATGGTCGCGAGGAGTTTGAAGACGAGAGGACTCGAGATCTGGTACGGCGTGTTGCTTATGCAGACGTCGAAGTACGGGAGAGGGTCGGTCTTGATCACGTCGCCCAGGATGACATCCAGACGGCGACCAAGCGTCGTGCCCTGGACTCGTTTGGTTACTTCGGCTGCCATGCGCGGGTCGAGTTCGATGGCGATGCATTTTTTTGCCTTTTCTAGAATCTTAACCGTCAGGTTACCGCTACCAGGGCCGACTTCGAGCACCGTGTCGGATTGTTTGAGGTCGGCTTTGTCGACGATCGCTTGTGCGACGCCGGGGTTCTTGAGCACGTGTTGACCTAGGTCTGTGTTCATCTTGAAGATTGCATTGGACTGAGCAGAGGACGTGTTGGCGCTGCCGCCGCCGGGCTTGTTGTAGGGTGAAGACGAGGAGGCCGACGGCCGCTTTTTGTGTTGGGCTTTTGGCATCTTTGCGATACCTTCGACAGGAACACGCACTAGGCGAGAAGGGGGGAGGCGGAGGAGAGGAGAGTGAAGCGTTGTGCATGCGATAGAAGTCGCAAGTCGTGGATGTCGATCGTCACATACATCAATCAGTATGAACTTTTTTTTGTCTGGACCACAATATTCTGGGTTGGAGAAGAACAAAAGAAGAAGCGCAAAGTGTGGGGAAAATCTGCCTGCGTTGGACGCCTTCATTTTGTTTCTCGCCTTCTCAAGTGTTGTATTTTATTCCCTTCACAACGATCTGGCGAGGCCTCTCGAGGCTACATGTCGAGGTAATACTGCACTTTTCACCTCTTGAGATCCGAGCATTTTGAAGCATCGTCCAAGATGGCGTCACGACGAGATTTCTTGAGCCAGCAAGCCCCCGAAAACTATGTCGCTGGTCTGGGTCGAGGCGCGACTGGTTTCACCACACGATCTGATCTCGGTCCCGCTCGAGAAGGGCCCAGCGCAGAACAGATACAGGAAGCGCTTGCTAAGAGAGCAGCACAACTGGGCGCTGCACCTCCGACCGCTTATGGAGCCACGGGAAAGAAGCCAGAAGAGCCAGAGGACGACGATGAGCGATTTCAAGACCCCGACAACGAGACCGGCCTGTTCGCCTTCGGACAGTACGATAGAGACGATGATGAGGCGGATAGAATCTACCAGGAAGTAGAGGAGAAGATGGAAAGACGGCGGAAAGCTCAAAGGTTAGTACATTCCCAGTCCAGCCCTTGCCCTCTTTCAGAGAAGCCTGTGGTTTATCTTTTCCACCTCTGGATGAGCAGATTACCGACATAATTCCTTTGCGGTCCTCTAGGGAAGCACGAGAACGAGAAGAGATCGAAGAGTACAATCGAAAGAACCCAAAGATCGCCGAACAATTTGCAGACCTCAAGAGACCACTCGCCACGATAACCGACGAGGAGTGGGCGAATCTCCCCGACCCCGGCGATCTCACGGGCAAGAATCGAAGATCGAAACAGAACTTGAGGCAACGGTTCTATGCCGTTCCGGATAGTGTGCTGGCTGGCGCAAGAGACTCGACCGAACTCCAGACGACTGTTGAAGATGACGGCGCAGACACTGCGGTGAGCGCCGACACCAAAGACGGAACAATGACAAATTTTGCCGCGATCGGTGTCGCCAGAGATAAAGTGCTCAAGGCCAGGCTGGATCGAGCCGCGCAAGCCGATGCCGGGACCGGTACGGCTACTGCGATCGACACGAAAGGATACTTGACGAGTCTAAATACGGCGGAGTTCAAGGCCTCAGAACTGGCCGTAGGAGACGTGAAGCGAGTCAGGGTGCTGCTCGAGTCGGTCATCAAGACCAACCCTAAACATGCTCCGGGATGGATCGCCATTGCGCGTCTGGACGAGTTAGCCGGAAAAATTGTCTCTGCCCGGAAATTGATTGCCCAAGGCTGTGAGCAGTGTCCTAAAAGTGAGGATGCGTGGCTGGAAAACATTCGACTCAACGACAATCACAATGCGAAGATTATCGCTGCGAACGCGATCAAGAACAATGAACGGTCAACGAGACTGTGGATCGAAGCGATGAAACTAGAATCAGACCCCCGAGCCAAAAAGCGGGTGTTACGGCAAGCGATTGATCATATTCCTCAATCTGTTGCAATCTGGAAGGAAGCAGTCAACCTGGAAGAAGATCCCGAAGATGCCAAGTTGCTGCTTGCCAAAGCCACTGAGATTATCCCCCTTTCAGTCGAGCTATGGCTTGCTCTGGCACGTCTGGAAACTCCAGAGGCTGCCCAAGCTGTTCTGAATAAAGCAAGGAAAGCTGTACCGACGAGTCACGAAATCTGGATTGCTGCAGCACGGCTACAAGAGCAGATGGGCAATGCACACAAGGTCAACATCATGAATCGTGCCGTCAAGGCTCTCGTCAAGGAAGGCGCCATGCTCAAGCGTGAAGAGTGGATCGCTGAAGCAGAGAAGTGCGAGGAAGAGGGCGCCGTACTCACCTGTGGTGCCATAATCCGAGAGACCCTCGGCTACGGACTTGACGAGGATGACGACCGCAAAGAAATCTTCAAGGACGATGCAAAAGCCAGTATGGGCCGAGATCGGTTCGAAACCGCTCGCGCTATCTATGCTTACGCACTTCGCATCTTTCCCACTAGTATGTCCTTATGGATTGAGGCGGCAGACCTTGAGAGACATCATGGTACAAAGGAGGCGCTCTGGCAGGTTTTGGAAAAGGCAGTCGAAGCCTGTCCATCTTCTACGAAGCTGTGGCTACAACTTGCTCGAGAACAGTGGTATGCTGGCAATGTCGACGACGCTCGTCGCGTCCTCGCAAGAGCCTTCAATCAAAATCCAAAATCCGAAGAAATTTGGCTGGCGGCGGTCAAACTGGAAGCAGATGCAAAGCAGGTCGACCAAGCCAGAGAACTGCTTTCTACGGCAAGACAGCAAGCGTCTACGGAGCGAGTGTGGTACAAAAGTGCTGCTTATGAGCGACAGCTGGGTAACATTGACGTTGCTCTGGACCTGGTTCTTCAAGGTCTTACTTCTACCGTTGTTGACAAGAAGGAGACTCGATTCCCTCGTAGTGCCAAATTATGGATGATCAAGGGCCAGATTTACGAAGACAAAGGTATGATTCCACAGGCACGAGAAGCATATTCGCAAGGTACCAGAGCTGCTCCGAAATCGGTGCCACTATGGCTTCTCGCCGCACGACTCGAAGTGAAGGCCGGTATCATCATCAAAGCCCGATCTGTCCTTGACCGGGCCAGATTGCAGAATCCGAAGAATCCCGAACTCTGGGTGGAGAGTATCAGGATTGAACTGAATACAAAACCGCCGAATATTCAACAAGCAAAGACGTTGATGTCGAAAGCACTACAAGAGTGTCCGAAGTCAGGACTGCTGTTGTCTGAAAATATCTGGACACTCCAGCCTCGGACGCAGCGTAAGCCTTTGGCCTTGGAAGCCATCAAGGCTGTGGATAACGATGCAATACTCTTCGTGACCATTGCACGGATCTTCTGGAGCGAGCGAAGACTCGACAAAGCGATGAGCTGGTTCGAGAAAGCAATTGTGTTGGACCCCGATCTTGGCGATACGTGGGCATGGTATCTGAAGTTTCTCATGCAACATGGCACTGAGGTGAGTTATGCTTTTGTTTGTACGCGAGAGGCTGGCTTGAGACTAACATTGCAACAGGAAAAGCGAGAAGATGTCATCAACAAATGCATAGCAACAGAGCCGAAGCATGGAGAAGTTTGGCAGCGAGTTAGAAAGGACCCGAAGAACGCATATTTGAGCACCAAGGAGGTCTTGATGGAAGTAACGAAGAAACTGGAAGCCAAAGACATTGCTTAGGCCTTTCCATGTATTGTAGTCCGGCAGCCCGGGCTTAATTAATGTTCTGACTTGGATGTATCTATAAGTAATTAATCACACATCAACGACAATACCTACCTAGGTATGTTGCTGTCAATGGGAAATGAATGCTGCGACCCAGGCCGTTGATGTTAGCGACAAGGCTGTAGGTCATGTGATCAGGCTGGAGTCATGTGATTATCACGTGACGCCGTGCCTCGGCGCTCTCACCCGATAAATGAGTTTACGGTTCCGCCTGCGGCGACCGGGTTTTCTTCCACCTTCCATCACCTCAACCTTTCTTTACTCATCCCTCACTCCTTCATCAACCAACATTTCATCGGCCCTCTTCACTACCGCCATTCTTCTCTTAACCCTGTAATAATACATTGCCGCCGTCTGTCAGGTATTGTCTTTGTCTTCGTCTTCGCGTTCCCGAAGTCACCGCAAACTACGAAGGTGGCGTCACCCGGCAGAGTGATTCATCTATTCTCTTGTGAAACCTTGGGTAGAACACATCGTGTTTGCTCTCATCACTCGGAAAAATTGTGAGGGGGAAAATCTTGTGTCAAGAATCGGCCGATACTGGGATCGGTGAATAGAATATCTTGCGTCGAGGAGCAGCAGATCGATCGGGTGTTGGTACAAGGCACGATTGGTGCAGATTGTGCAGTCTCTCACCTGAGTTGGAAATCAGTACTCTCCCGAGAGCTCGCTTATTACTTGTTTACCTTTTTTTCTGAATATCATCTCCCTTTGCTCTGGTTGTATTTGACCTCTTGTCCCTGGAGCAGAGTCAATAGCACTTTATCGCCATCGCACACACATTCGACTTGATCTTGGTAAAGCCTCTTCGACTGGTATCAACTCCGCCTCCTGCCCTTGTGGCACTGCCGCCATGGCATCCTACGTGTACTTCAAGTTCAAGTCACAGAAAGAGCCACAGCGTGTGACTATTGATGGCCCTCATACCGATGTTTGGAATCTCAAACGTGAAATCATCAACATCTCTCGCCTGGGCGACGGTACCGACTTTGATCTCAAGATCTACAAAGAGAATAGCAATGAAGGTAGGTCTCCAACTGCTCCTGATGATAAGTGAGTGATACCGCTAACACTGAATGAAGAATACACAGATGACACCGAAATTATCCCCAAAGACTCGACCGTCCTCGCTCGAAGATTACCTGCTGCTGCCCCTGGTAAAGGTCGTGCCGCTCGCTATGTCTCTGGAAAGCCCCCAGTCAGCGCCAAACCCACCACGAGTGCACCGGCCAAGGCCGCGAAAACGGTGGATCTAGATAAATTCATGACTGAAGAAGAGAGACTAAAAGCGATGCTGCAATTTACTGACGCACAGTGGCAACAAAAGCAAGAGGAGATGTCACACGAGACCAGAGCGGCAATGCCCGGAAAGCCATTTGCGAAGAAAGCCAACGTCCCGGAAGGTGAGCCACCGCACGGCTACATCTGCTACCGCTGTGGCAAGAAAGGTAGGTCTCCTTGTCCTGTTGCTATAGATGATGCAGACTAACTCTTTATCAGGTCACTGGATTCAAGCTTGTCCCACCAATGACGATGTAAACTATGATAACAAGAACCGAATCAAGCGCACAACTGGCATCCCACGGTCAATGCTGAAGAAGATCGATCAATCGGATATCGATAAACTGGATGACGCTGACCGACAAAAGCTCATGGTGAATGCAGAAGGGGAATATGTCTTTGCACAGGCAGACGAAAAGGCGTGGAAAAAACATCTGGAACAGGTCAAGGCTGCAGAAGCGGCTAAAGAGCAAGTCCAGGTTGGTGACAAGGAGCTGCAAGATCGAGGCCTGCTGTGCTCGATCGACAAGCGCTTGTTTGTAGATCCAATGAAGACACCTTGTTGCGGGAAGACATATTGTCATGACTGTATTGAAAATGCCCTGCTTGAGAATGATCTTACCTGTCCCGGGTGCGAGACTGAGAACATCAGCCTTGAACGCCTGGAACCGGATGAAGATATGAAGGCAAAGATCAAAGAATATGAAGCACAGAAGCAAAATGAAAAACAACGGTCTAGAAGTCCTACTGCTGCAGCAGAGTCACCCAAGGCAAATGGCTCCGTTGACGGGTCCAAACCAACTTCACAAGCCGGTGGCTCGCCTGTCTCGTCGACTGCGAAGTCCAAGAAACGGAGTGCGAGTGAAGTGGACGATTCCAATGTGTCGGGTAACCTCGATGTACCAACGATGAAACGCCAGAAGTCTGGAGACGCCGTAGCATCAGAGAACCCCCAATCTGAAGCTGTCCAAAAGGCAGATGAGGATCAGGTGGATTCGACTGCGGATAAGAACCAGTTTCTTGAAAACATGATGCCCCCGGATTTCTCGCAAATGCAGAATGGCATGAACTTTCCCATGATGTCTGGGTTTAACCCCTTTATGATGAACCCCATGAACATGAACATGAACATGGGCATGGGCATGGGAATGGGCATGAACGGGATGAATGGAATGAATGGCATGGGCTTCGTGAATCCAAACTTCAACATGATGAATGGCATGAACGGCATGAACATGTTCCAACCCGGCAGCAACGGTATGGGTGGTTTCGGCGGCAATCAGCCAATGCAGAACAACAACTGGAATCAAAACCAGAACCAGGGCTATGGACAGGGACAGGGCTGGAAGAACAACAGAGGCGGTTTCAAACAGCGAGGCGGTTTTCACAACAACATGCAGAAACAGCCACCAACACAACCTACCGGCATGGCTGGTGTGCCCACGGGTCCGAAATCGATGAATCAAGGAAACAACTTCTACCCACCAGCAGGACCGGCGGGAGGGAAGTTTTCAAATCAGCAGCGTCATGTTGGAAACGAGGAGGACAATGCGTACATGCGGCAACCGGTGAATCCGCAACGATTTCAAAACAGACAGAAACGAGCGAGGCAGGCCGACTATAGGGAGCTGTGATCGGGACAACCTCGTTGAAGTTGGGCCTTTAGCCGGCGCACGTACTGTGACGAAGACAGAAAGGAAGGAAGTCTATGAACCGCATCATGATGCATATGTCATATGTGATTTATCTGGTGTTGTTAACGATGATCGTGACCCTCGGCGATCAAGACACTCACCCTGAAGGTAGTGTTGTTGCCGTCGAGGCACTTTTTTGCAAGCCTACATTTCGACTTGGGATACAGACAGACCCTGGAAGTCGCAAAGTCAAAAGAAATGAAATACAATTCAAACAAACCCTGTTCTCTACATCCATTTTACGAGTTCTCTTTTTTTCTCTCATCCTTTTTCGTCGTGGAAAGCTGATGACGAATCGTAAGTAGGTACATTGCTTACAACTCCTCTACCTTGCCAGCCTTGTATACCCACCCGATGTATTGGAGTAGGCCTCTTTGTTTCCAGGTAGTGTCTCGTCATCAGTGCATTGTGCATACACACGTTCGTCCATCTCTAACCTTAGCATGCTAGTCACTAGGGAAGATCTCTTCCATACGGCTCTCCATCGCAACTCGGGTGGGGAATGTCCAGTCTTACTTTCTCTTGGGTCCAAATGCGAGTCCCACGTCGACGTTTTCTGATTTTACGTCATGACTTTGAAGATCGACCGCACACTGTAGTGATCACCCGTGCGATGCAAGATGCGAGATCTGAGATGCTAGTCAGGCACCGGTACCCATGTTCAGGTACGAGTATAAGAGGGGTGGTAGATCTGACGATCTGCTATGGAGCCCTCCTGCGTCTGAAATCCCCGTGCTCTCCGTGTCTTTGCGCCCACGCTGTTAGTCCTACTTCAAACAGGCCACCGGTCGGGCTTTTAAGGTTTTAAAAGATGCCTCCGAAGAAAGATCAGGCTAACGAGGTGGATGAGCGTTCCAACATAAAGGAGGCAAATGGACTCAAGGAAACGGAGGAAGATGTCGAGACGGAGAATCAGGATGATGATGCACACGACTCTTCAGAGCCTGAAGCGTACGACGACCAGCAAGAAGTAGCTGAAGAAGCTCGCGCTGGACAAAAGCGCAAAGACCCACCCACCTCTCGAGACAAAGGCTCGTCGAAGAAGAAGAAGGAGGAGGAGGAGGCGAGTCAAGCGACAAACAGCGACCCCAGTACGAAACAGCTGTTGAACTTCCTACTCTCGGCCGACGCACTGCCGTATTGTTTCCCCGACGACGAACTCGAAGCAGCGGCGAAGAATACGAAGGGATTGAAAAGCTACTCTCGCACGTCGCCGACGTCTTTTACGGCGTTCGAACACCTCGTCTGCGCGCACCTGTTGAGCAAGCCGCTCAGCCACGCGCTGGGGATGAGGAGCATCCGGACGCTGCTCAACGAGCCGTACAACTTTAGCACGGCCGAGAGCATCGTCGACGCGGGCGAGGACAGGGTGTGGCAGGCTCTCGAGGACGCCAGGACCCAACATCGTCAGAAGACGGCGAGGTACCTCTTCGCCATGGCGCAGGAGTATGCCGACGACAATGGCGGCGACACCATGCTCGGCCTCGCGGAAAGGGCCAACGACGAAGGACCGAGCGGTGTCATCGCGTATATCAAGGACACGGTGCCTGGGTTGGGCGACGTCGGCGGACAGATCTTCTGCAGACGCATTCAGTGTGTGGACGGATGGGGAGATGCGCTGTGGCCGTATGCGGACACGAAGACGCTGCAAAGTCTGCAAGAGATTGGGATCGACGTTGAAAATGCCGACGACTTCCAGAGCACCCTGGAGAGTCTCGTCGATTGGCAGCGTGTAGGGGACATGGGGCTCCAGGAGCGCGACTTGAGCAGAGGCGAATTGACCGCCGAAGAGATGGAGACTCAGGTGCAGGCTGAGTTCGTCGTTGCCCTGGAGAGAGCCGTGGGATGTGTGTTGGAGGGCAAAGTCAACGAGCTGAGAAAGGCTGCTGCTATGGCATCATAGTAGGAGAAGGAGGAGGAGGAGGAGGAGGGAAAATGAGATAGACAGAGAAACAGTCCATGACCAAGTGCCCGAGACGAGGGCGTGATATGTAGCAACTTAAAAAGTACATTGTGTTCCCGTTTCGTCGAGAACCACCTTTGTTCGTCATGTCTCGTGTTCCGGGAGCTGCATCAAGGTTTGAAAATGGCCCAATTTGGATACCCTGAGACTCAGCCAAGGTGTGAATGCAGTTGCATAAGTACCCAAGGTCATGAAGGTTGGGAGACGATGTAGACGTCTACACTACTTGAAGGTACCGCAATAACCTGGATAACCCCCAAAGGAATGCTGTGGCAGCTGGGAGAAACCCCTTTTTTGTTGTTTTGTTTTGAAAAGAAAAACTTCCCACAGTCACATCCAGTCATTCATTTCCTGACCCCAATTATCCGCGTTGAAGAACAGCAGAGACTCTATCCCTTCTCCACGAAAGAATTCGGAAGACGAGCCTGTGAAATCGCGTACGAAAGCGGCGGCGGGCAGATCTCCGCCGTCAAATGGGGGCTCAGGACTCCCGCTCCACATGTCAGATGGGATTTCTGTATTTGTCGCCCTGCTTTGCGGAACTTGTTGGACCGGTCGTGGGGAATGGCGGCTACTAGGTCGATTTTTAATGTATCGCTCGCATAGAACAGTCAGGGCTGTCTTGCACCGTCGTGCAGACTCGCCGTACCGAGTATGGTAGGTCAAGATTTGAAATCCCTTCTGGATGAAGTCCGCTAGACTTGTGGTGGTGATTTCATCCGCCACTTCAGAGAAGATGTGTGCGGCAATGAGAATGGTCGTGGCTGTGTATACGTAGGTCACTATATGCCACCACTGGACTGCGACCCTAGCGCTTGGATTATCAGACAAAGAGCGTGCGTGGATCAGATCGAGAATCTGCTGCGCCGTACGGATACAAGTCAGCATGCCTTGGTGTGTGATGGCCTCGGCGAAGGAGCCCAAACTCAAATCCGTCCGCGTCGTTGCTGGATGTTTTGATCTCCTCGCCCGGTGCAGGAAGAATGGTCGGTAGAGAATAATGCGGATGTGCAAAAAACGTGCTCGTAGATGAACCAAAGGCCCGGATAATGGAGATTTACCCATTTTATCGGACGCTTCCACGAGCCTGTCGTCGAAGTGTAGGTGTGGAGGGAGTCCCTTGCGGAAGGTGTCCAGTTTATTGTCTATGTCTATGACATGGTTGATGTCAATGACTGTCTTGCCTTCATCTTGATGATCCAACACATCACCGAGAATGAGATGGAGCTGGCAGAATGCAAGGAAAAATGAGACGTTCGAGGGGTTTCCAGGAGCCTGGACGCCAAGGGTACCGTCATCAACGCTCGATCCCGTTGTCAAGTATTCGTCGTCAATGGCCGTAAATAGTGTAGCCTTTGTGGCAAGACTCTGAGCAATCTGTAGCGGTTGACCGGATATCATGGCAGTAATCCGATCCATGAGAATACAGCCATGCCACGCCCGCCGCGCAATCTCCCGCCGATACTGGCTCGGCAAACTGTCAATCCTCTCGGGCTTGTGCAAGCCAAGATTACGGGCTATCAGGATGCACAGGCCGACTAAAGAGGTGCATGCACGCACGTCATTGACGCTTTGAAACCACTGGGCTAACAGGAGCAATGCCCAAAGCAGATCGATGCGGTCAAGATCCAATAAGCATAGTTGCAGCAACCTCTTTGCGCGTAAGAAATAGGTTTCGGCCAATTGGGCTTGGTTCTCTGCCAAGTCTTCAGTATCGGATTGGTACACAAGGGCGAAGATGAGGTTGAGGTGTGCAAACTGGACTTGTTCGTCGGCGGCATCAAGCATGGTCTTTTCTTGACCATCCCATAAACTTTCGTACCAGTGCATGAATTTTAGCCGGTCAACCCATTGAATGTAGGCGTGCCTAAGAAAACTATCGATCAAGGTATCAGCGACCTTCCGGCTTGGGAGAACGTAGTCGGCCGAATGGGCGCGCTTTTGGGATATTGCAGGGCGGTCAAACGATAGCCTGTCGCCCGCTTCTTGCCTGTCTCTGATTTCGGGTCCGCTTCCGTCAATGAGATCGTCACTAGTCTCCGGGCCTGTGCCGGAAGACTCCCCGAAGACGGTGTTGAAGAAACTAGCAGAGTTAGAAGCAGCAAGAAGCCCAGCTTTCAGGATCCAGTTTCGTTCGCCTTCGACACCATGAACATTCGGAACGGGCTTGTCTTCGCCCTTGCCACGAACACTGTGTTCTGGGGTGTGCCCCGCTTGTCCCGGTGCTCTCGATGATGCCTTTGGAGTTGGATTGAATAGTAGAGGTGATGGTTGCTCCGCATACACACAGACATCGGCCACGTTTTTGCGTCTTAGACATGCTCCGCACTCTGTCAATCCAGTCAGGTTGATTAATGGATCCAACTTTGGACGCACTGCTTACTCGGACGTGCCCCATCACATCGTGTCTTCCTCAGCCTGCAAGTGTCGCAGGCCACCTCCACCTTGCGACGTTTCGACTTCGGGAGCGGAAACCTCCCACTCTCATCATCCCCAGCTGGAGCAATGCTCGTCCACATGATTAACCTTCCGCGAGGAGGCGGTGTCGATATAAATGGTGCACCATCAGCAGGGGTCCGGGGCTCGAAGAGCGAGAAGGGACGCGAGCTGAGGGGGTGGTGACCCTAGTAAGCGACGCTTCTTGTGCATATGCGAGGTTGTAACTAGTAGGTAATCACTCTCCATCACGCTCTCGGAAAATCAATTATCCGAGGTTGGTCACGCACTTACGGATAAACAGGTATATCCGTACTCCGCCTCGTCCCAATCTGAGTCGTGATCATTGATTGCAAGAACGGCTACGAGTATTATATCAGACATTCTTCATCGTCATTCTACTTGCAGTATTTCTCGAGCCAACCGCATTGCATCCTCAAAATTTTCACTTAGCCAAGCCACATATCCATATTGCCGGGTTTCATCGCTCCCTGCGTCTCGAAGTTCAATAGTTCCCTTAGGCCCAAATCGCATGAATCGCTCCGCCACCGTGTAAGATTCCCAAGGCACTTCGCCATAAGCAAAGCTCGTCCAGATTTCTGCCATGGTCTCGGCAATTCTCTGCGATTCAATGGGTAGGGAATCATTTTCCACTCCGTACATGTACATGGCGCATTGGCCGTGATATGACACGCCATAGGTTGGCCCTGGAAACGGGGATGGCTCTTCGAAATGGTAGAGGAATGCGTCGCCACCCCCCGAAGATTGAAAGGTCTCTGCGATGCGTGTGTTTGGGAAGTGAAACATGATTACAGACATGAAGCGCCGCATCGAATTTCGGTAGGTCTCCCATGGCTGTTCGTCGTCCCCAGTGAAGGCAAACAGGCGAAAGAAATCGCTCGCTTGTGTTTCCGAGAGTAATTCCCGAACCTTTTTTGCCAATTGCGAAGGCTTCCATCGCCTGGCAACCCCATCAAAAATGATGCCTTCGACGTTGGTATCTCCGACAATTAATGATAAACATCTTGTCTGATTCGGCTGTTGGAATGTCCAAGACTTGGGCAGCAAGACACCGTCGGCCATCGGGCCCATAGCCGCAGTCGAGTAACTTCGGAGGATCTCATGGGGTGGCAATGCCCTCAGTCTGTCCAGCCGCACCTTCGTTGGTTCTCCTGAAACGCCTACCTTGCTGCATAGATGGTCCCATGCCTGCTGATATTGTGCGAATGGGAGAGGCCCCAGGGTAGGAGCCGCGCCTGACATGCAAATGGCCCGGTCAAACATTGGCTCACCTGTCAAGATATGATCATGGACACTGGCACTGCCAGCACTGATTCCGAAGGCTGTCACACTTTCCGGATCACCACCAAAATCCTGGATGTGTTCTTGGACCCATTTCAGGGCATTGCGTTGGTCGACAAAACCAAAATTCCCGACAATCGAGTCTGCAATTGATTTTTTGCCATTGGAGCCTGCGACTTCAGGCCCAGACTCTTCTTTCATCTCTGCGAGAAGGTCTTCCGAGGCGGCAAAGCCAAGCGCCCCAAGGCGGTATCCCACCTGTACGAGAATTATGGGATGACCGGATTTCCTGGCCATGGAACAGAGACGGTGCGGGCGATACCGTGCCACCGAGTTGGCGCCGTATTTGAACCCACCGCTGGACATTTCTCAGTACATGACGTGAAAAGGCAATTGTGATGCTTACCCATGGATCCAGAACATGACAGGGATTCTTTCCCTGGTATGACCATTTTCAAATTGTTGCAAGCTCTCCCGTGGTACGCAAATGTTCAAATTGAGGCAGCTGAATTCATCGTCCCCCGGTGTCGGATCATTTGTTCCTCCACTCACAAGCACCTCGCCTTCTTCTTGAACACACCTTGGGCCGAACGCGGTGGCATTGAAGGGGTTTTGTAGAGAATGTTGGGGTTGACTGTGTGTCCATCGTTTGGTGACCGTTGCATATGGAATGCCTCTAAAATATGCCAGGGCATGGTCATCATCATACTCTCCGATTATTTCGCTTTGCAACGACGGAAGATACTGAGTGATCTTCATTTTAGCGGAGTGGTACGAGGACACTCAAGGTAGAATCAATGTCAAGAACGGAAGAAACTACACACCTTTCGATGAGTTTTGCAAATCAGTCGTTCCTGTGTGCCGCTGTTTCCATATCACGGCCAGGAACGGTCGCCCGCTATTCGGACACGGAACAAGTACGCATATGCGTGGAAGTGGAGAAGACGATCAAGAGGCGTGTCAGGGATAAGTTCTTTTCCGTCCATTTCTGGGTTCCTCTCGTGTTCTCGGGGGTGACAAGGAGGTCGATATTGGACTATGGCTCCGGCAGTTGATGTCCTCAGATGGAGAAGAGCTAAGTCCCTGAAAGTCGTACTGAACCCTCCAGCCAATTGCTTCTCGACATTGACACGGACAGGGACGGAACTGAAGTTTAAAACCACGCTAGGTTCCGTCTTGTCATTGCGCTCACCTCCAGTTTTGTGGAGAGACGGAGACCCCAGAATCACAACTCTGTGGAGGATAACACTACATGAACAGCTATTTAATGAAGGGGCAATGCTCCTCCAAGTCTAAATCGCCGAATCCTGCCGCTAGACGCCCAAAGAGTACGATTTTGTGACCGATACGACGTCCTATGATCTCGATCCCAATTGACAATGTCGATCACCGAAAAAGACATGTCCCTGCAGCATCAAGAGCAGACCGTAGAGTGTGAGGAGCTCAAACACAGATCAGACGAGGTGACAGACGGGGACTTGGCTCTCACCATCCTCCACACCCATTTCGAACCCTACACAAAAGAGGAAGAGAAAAGGGTCCTCCGTAAAATCGACATTAGACTGGCGCTGTTGATGCTGTTCGCCAATGGAATACAATTTGTGGACAAGTTGGTCAGTTCCGGATCTAGCTCATTGCTGCTGTGAACCTTGACTGACCGATCAATAAGACAATTTCACAGGCCGCCACCTATGGCCTGATCAAAGAAGCCCACCTTAAGGGCCAGGAGTTTTCGCTCCTCATCACAATCTTCTACATCGGATACCTCGTTGCGCAGTACCCAACTAATGTCCTCATGCAGCGTTTCCCAACCGGTAAATACATTACCGTCAACTTCGTCCTTTGGGGAATTACCTTGACATGCATGGGGGCTTGCAGGAGCTTCGGACCGTTCATGGTGACGCGGTTTCTGCTCGGTGTCTTTGAGTCCTGTCTAAATCCGGGCTTTGTCTTGATCACATCGTCCTGGTGGAAGCGGGAAGAGCAGCCTGCTCGAATCGCTATATGGTTCTGTGCCAACGGACTCATTTCAATCCCCTGCGGCTTCATTTTCTACGGTGTCGCCCACATGAATGCGAGGGGCCTGTTCCCTTACCAGTGGATGTTCATCTTCTTCGGAGTCTTCACTATTCTTTTTGGGACGACCTTGTGGTATTTACTACCGGACTCCCCAATCGCGGCCAGGTGGCTCAACGAGCGGGAACGGCTCATCGCGGTGGAGCGCCTCAAGTCGAACAAAACCGGAGTCAAGAATACTCACCACAAATGGCCCCAGGTCAAGGAGGCTCTACGCGATGCGAAGGTCTGGATGCTGGTCGCTGCTGTCTTTGTCCACAACATGACGAATAGCGTCCAGACCAACTTCACTGGGCTGATTATCAGAGGATTTGGATACTCGCCCTATCAAGCGGTCCTGCTCAGCATCCCCTCTGCAGCCATATTTGCCGTCACTATCTTGGTGGTGTCATTCTTTCTATCTTCCAAGTACGGCGAAGGAAAGCGCATCCTTGCCATCATCATCTGCTACATCCCAGGGGTCGTATCCTGCGCAATCCTGCACGCGTCTCCTTTGAACGAACATACCAAGGGGCTCCATCTGTTTGCGGTCTTCTTCCTCGGTTGTGTTGCAGCATGCGCTGGGATAATGTATTCTCTCTTAGCCTCCAACATTGCCGGATACACCAAAAAGACCGTCTCGGGTACACTCTTTTTCGTCAGCTTCTGCGTGGCAAATATCGTGTCTCCTCAAACATTCATCGCCAAAGAGGCTCCTCACTATAACACCGGCATCGCCGTCTCGTTGACAGCTTTCTGCCTCAATATCTGTCTCTTTGCTGTCCTGTATATCATCTACGCCGTTGAAAACAGGCGCCGTGACCAGTTGGAAGAAGGACAGGTCTGTGAGGACGACACTCGGGATTTGATCGACGCATTCAGTGATATGACGGATGGCGAGAACAAGAGAATGAGATATAAGCTATGACCAACGACCAAGCAAGCGTGTGCACCGAGGTAGTCAAGATGCATTTAAAGGCTAGACTGGGCCACGGTTTCGATACGGCGAACGGGGAACGAGTCTCGAAAGTGTTCACAAAAATGAAATGTTTGCAGTCAACCGATTCGATCGTTAGGCTAGCTGAAAACTGGGCAGCCCATACATACTTCGGCACCCTTAGCTTTGCTGCGGTGAAGAGCTTAGCACTGGAGTCTTTTGGAGGCTCGTTCACTCCGACGCATCTTACGCAGACGAACTATTTGCTCACCCCGGCGACTTCGTCAAACCAAGCCAACTTCCCTGGTTGCGTGCATTTTCAAGAATAGCATGCTCCATTCTTTACTGCAATCGTCCTCTCGTCTGGCCGCGCCTAGAGAATGGTGAGTGTTATTACAGACTGACTGTGTCTGATTCAATGGGGTCTGCTCTGCTCATTTGTCGAGACTGTGCCTGATTTAAACGCTTGAACAAGGGGCATTCAAGGATAAAAGGTGCTTTTCGGAGGCTCATCAATTAGCTTTGATTGAGAGAAGTGGTCAGGATCAAGCTCAATGCAAACGAAGAAGATCTTGTGGATAACTATCAAGGAGAAGTCGTGGACTGGTACTGTCTCTGGCTTTGTTAATACACTCCGTTCGGGATTGAGACTCGACACTTCTTACAGCAGTTCAAGCCGATGGCACAGCAAGGGGAATTGGAAGATAGCCTGGGGTCAAAAGATGTCAAAAATATATGTGCAGGTGCGAGGCCATTGATGACAAGATTCTCCACTGATTCAATGTGAAGGAGAAAGAGCAGACCCTGAGATGGTCCTTTCCCTTGATATCGGTTGGAGGTCTCTTTACGTGTCTGATCACTTTGCTGCACACGAGGTCTGACGATTTGAAGCCTTTTCTTGACAACTTAGGAACCTCGTAAGAAACAGAATGGGTCTGGTCGGTGTTGAATTTCCTGCTGACCTCCCTTTTCAACTTTAGCCAAATCACTCCCTTTATTCAAGACGTACTCTTCAGCGGCGACCCGTATTAGCATTACCAACTGATTCTTCCCAAGTCCTGGGCATGGTCTCAAGGCTCTCTCTGAGTTCCTTGTACCTCTATTTGGAGCTGCGTGTCAGCCTCCAGGAAAAACAAATACTAGAATTTATGGTGAACGTACCGTTGCAGCCATTTTCTCGGTATAGTCGCAGATTTTCCCCCTCAAGTCCTCGATCTCGGGGAGCTTTTTGTTGATGTCTTCCTGCGAACTCTCGTTGGGACGGAATGTTTCAAGCCAGTTAGCCCCGGGACTGATCAAGTCATTATGAATGTCGTTGTAAAGCTCCGCTACTTTCGAAACGAAGAGAAACCTTATTTTCATTGCATAGGCACCATCCAGGATTTCCTGCGGGTCGTGAGTAAGCGACCTAAGCTTTCCTTGAATCAAACTAAATGCCGCACCTTTTTGATATAAGGGTCTGCTCGTTCTTCCCTGTGGGTAGCTGGATCGAGCGTGAGGCTCTTCCCGCTATCTGCGATGATGACCATCTTCTGAAGCTTGATCAACAATGTCAAGAACATGTTGACACGCTGTTGCAGTTGATCCAGTCGCCCGAGGGCTTGCCTCACAATGCTGGCGACTTGGGCCTTGAAAAGATGGGTCAGCCGCTTCATCGTGTGAATCTATCAATGGAGAGCCCTACAATGGTCAGATCTTTACTGGAAAGGTCTTCTAGGATGTCCCTCAAGGCAGAAGCCTCCCGTTCCACGCGTTGAACAGCTGCCGTTTTCTCTTGTGCCGCAGATGTAAGAATAAGATATTCCACACTCAACCCTACGCAGGTGAATAGAACCACTTGTGGCGTTAATCCTATGGCCGCGGCGCTTGTCAATGCTGCACCCACTCCTGTAATAGTCACTGTGTTTCCGAGGGAAGTCAGTATGTGTCAAGGAACTCAATGTGCGACTTACTTGGTATTCCGTTGATAAGATTTTCAAAAAGTTTCAAGCCTCTCCCAATCCGTAACTCAAACTCTTCCAATTCCTGCCTCTTTGTCTCCATTTCTTTTTGATTCTGGACCCTCTCCAACTCACACTGTCTCAGTCGATCCTTGTTTGTCTTCTGTTTCTGCTTATTTGACACTAACTTAACAGTCAGCCAAGTCTCGGTGCGGAGGGCTAGAAAGGGTTAAGTTACCGTATTCATTGTTCAAGGAACCCAGAATGTTCTGTGTGAGCTCCCTCCACGCCTCGAAATCTCTTCTAACATCTGTCAAGATGTTAACAGAACCTGTTGACTTTTCAATACAGTTCGATATGTAGCGTTTAAGCTGCCGATCTCGAGCTTCCGGCTGATTTGGATCGAGATACCTCATCATAGACTCGATCTGTAGATGTTGTCAGACACCATGTGTCAAACTCTAGCTGTCAGAATCGAACTCACCAGGCCACCAGGTCCTCCTAGCTCACTAGCCGAGCGGCAGATGTCTTCCATTCTCTCTCCAGTCCTTCGGAGGGTATGGATCCCAACTGCGGCGCAGTTCTTCATTTCTGCGTAGAGGTTCTGTTGAACAAGGCTGAGTTGTGACGGGGTCATTACAACCTCCATACTTGCGCCGAACGCCTCCGCGGAACTTCGCCGCCTAGAACGCTCCTTTTGCAAACCTTGCAACACCATGAATTCACTCACTTTAGTCACATTTTCGCTATATCATAGTCCTCAGGATGGAGGAACAGGACCTCCCCGACACAAGGACGCCGGCCCCCGACGAGGACCTCATCGGTCGCCGCCGATGCCCGGGAGAAAAACCTCTCCACCAAGACGAGAAAACTTTCACTCCTTTAACATATAAATAGATAGAACAGCGACCTCCTAGTCCTGGAGGTCAGACTCGTCAATACATCCCATTTAGCCCCCCGACATCGCCTAGAACTGAGTGTTGCACAACAGGTTCCCATATCTTGTACAAAATATTTCTGTCAGCTCCTTTGACACACGAGAGCGTGGACTTGCTTAGTACACGTACTCTATGCCTGGACCTGACAAGTTAAGGGTGATAGTTTCAGGGTTGGACAGTACCAAAAGTGCTTCGGCCAAGATGAGAATACAATCCGGAGCAGCTTTGAGATTGAGGTGCCATTCACGAGCGGCGAATTGCCTCTGCAAATCGGAATGGGCTTGCAATGAGTTCCAATTGGTGTCTGCGGAATCAGACATGCTAAAAGATCCGAGAGCAATGAAGCTGTTGCTCGAAAGGAAAATCTTTGCAGAAGAAGGATTAAATCCACGTGTGAGGCGGGGTTCTGTACATTTATACCTATCTTAAGGTAGCCTGCGTGGGCGAAATCGGACGCACATTCAGTGAAATCGAGTCTCGTGGCCTGGAGAGCGACTCCCTCCATGTCACGCCCCTCAGATGTGATATACTACACCAACCTGCTGGCCGAGCTAGCAAAAGTAGTCTTGGCTGTGGCTTTCATTAGCTCGGTTATGACGGACTGTGTTTAGTTGTGTCACCCCAAATGGGCGTTCTGCGTCCGGAGGGGGCCAAACACGACTTGAGAACACGACTGGGAAACCCTTGCGAATGTCCCGGGTCCAACGTCCAGTTCAACGAGACGGCAAGAAAATGACGGTTATCGCCCAGCGCTCGCCAAACGCCATGCAAAGTAATTCTCTGTGCCATTTCCAGGGACCTGAAATATCTTCAACTTTTCACACTCAACTCCTCGGCCAACATTATGACTCTCGCCAAACGATCACAGGTCGGTTCATTCAGGGCATCGGCACTTTACAGAAGCAGATATTGCAGGAAAGTCCAGAGAGCAGCACTTCTGAACTAATTCTGCGCCATATCCACTTTTATTATCAGTGGTATCCTAGTAAACCACAGGCAATCTATCATCATACCCTGAGCCTCTCACAAGTATTCGATGTCATTGACGAGGGACTGAATCTATTTGTCGCCGGGAATCCGGGTGCCTTCTCTAAGTTCCAGGAAGCTTGCAACGGAGCTGAAACATTATTCAGACACCAACCTTTCCAGATCATTGTGCAATTCAGTGCATGCTTCTCTCAGTTGAAATGGTCCAACTACCCCGACTTCCGAGAGGCACTCATGCGCTACCTCGCAAGAATGGCCATCGGAGTGCTTGGACAGAACCATTATCTGCCCAAGATACTCAAGCTTATACCACGTGAGCACACATCTGCGGGTCTCAGCTCTCGAGTCATCCGCATTACTACGGATACTACATTTTCGCAATTTCAAGGCTCGAGTACCGATTTGTTGAATTGCATGCCGCATTTGAGATTGCTCGTTGGCAGAATGCATCGCGACACGGGCGAAGAATCTACTCTACTAAGGAACTTGAGCCAGGATGTACTCATAACGAATCTTCTTGGCCATGACACCCCCAAAGATGTTTCCTTGCTGTACAAACTTGGGTATCTGAGACTTTCACAGAATCGCCTTGATGAAGCCGAGGAATTGTTGACGGAGTCCTTAGCATTGGCTGGGCAGAGTCCAGACGCCAGTGGAGCGAGGATCTCGAAGGTCTATATGTTGACTCTCAGCTGCCTGGGCGTTCTCTTCGGGAGAAGAGGAGATTTGATCACGCAGACCCGATACTACCGATTGGCGCTGGAATGGAGCACTAGTGTTGTCCCAAACGAAGCCTTGAATGGGGAGGATAAGCGTAGACGCATGAAGTGGTTGGATGACATCGTGAGATATCATACTCTGAACGGAGAGGAACTAGAGGTGCAAAGTCTACGTGAGCAATATTACGATCTCTAGGCTGAGTTGATCACACGGAGTTTGGAAATTTGGGTGGGTCACGTGCCGGTGCCTGAATATAGCAATATCTCAGTATGATTCCGTACCATGAACGACCATTAGCCACGCTTGTGTTGTCGATGGTGTCTGAAAGCGGAAATGGATTTTGATGAGGTCAAAATCTGCCGCTAAGTATATTACTATTCGAGGTTCTAAGAGAGATGTCTGGGACGGAGAATAGTCTATATTACGTAATCCTACCGGTGCTCTCCCTTCGCTCTCCCTTCGCTCTCTTGTTGTTCTTTATGGGTCCAGTATGGCTTGCTGTCGAGGTACGAGGCACGTAGTATGACCACGCCAATTACGTTGTGCCCATGAGAGGCCCTTCTCCAAGTTGCCTACATGAGCAGAAGTTTCACCCCGTCTTTCATCGGATGTGGGATCTCCTTTGTGGGGCTCTCCGAGTCCAAGGGGGAGAATGTGGGGTGGAAGCGAAGTAGCCATCATCAACAGCCCGAATAGCTTTGAATGAGGTTGTTGTTTTGTTCTGTGCGTGTTTTGAAGCTTGCACCACCATCAACGACGGGTTGATAACATCGTTCGTTGAGATACTGGACTGGTTCGCTCTCTTTGGGTAGTCCCCCCCAGCAACAACTACAATGACTTCGACGCTCAACCACCCGACCCTCGGCGAAATCACAGGCCGCGATGGCGACGGGGTCACCCAATTCCTCGGAGTCCAGTATGCGACTCTCGAGAACCGCTTCGCTGAAGCTCAAGTCAAGTCCAGCTACTCTACCCCCCTAAACGCCACGGCTCACGGCCCGTCGTCCTTTGGGCCCGTGGACGCCTTTGACAATGAAATGCTCTTCATCCAGCAAACGGTGCCGAAGCCGCCGACGAACCACTCGGATCTGGAGTGTTTGAATCTGAACATCACCGTGCCCAAGACGACACAGAAGAAGATCCCAGTCTTTGTCTGGATGCACGGCGGTGGGTTCTTGCTGGGCGGCAACTCGTGGCCGCACTACGATCATGCGAAGATCGTCAAACTGGCAAATGAGAACGGTGTTCCAGTTATTGGGATAGGCATCAAGTAAGTCTTCGGCTGAAGCCTTCTTTGCCACGAACAATCTGTTTCAATCGTGGGAGCCGACTGGGATACTTATTGTTGACAGCTTCCGCCTTGGATTCGCTGGGTTTATGACCTCGGAAGAACTACGATCCAAAGGGTTCAAAACCAACAATCAACTCCGTGATCAGAGAGCAGCGTATATATGGGTCAAGCAGTACATTGAAGGATTTGGAGGCGATCCTGATAATATTACTGTGATAGGTGAAAGTGCTGGGGCAGGTATGCTGTTGATCCATACGAACTCCACATCCGTCCTTCTTTATCTATCTCTCCTTCAGAGACACATACCTCTACACACACACACACACACACACACACACACACACACACACACACA